TAACGATTTCGTCTTGTGATTTTGACAAGACGTGCATTTTGGTAACTCTTAAGTGTTTGTACAGTTCTGAAGGTCTTTTTAATTTCATTCCAAAGTTATTCGAACCCCTGTACAATGTTGACGGGTCTGCAGATGCTGCTAGCCGGAGCCACGACTTCAATGTCTTAGTGACTTTCGCGTCTAGTGTTCTTAAGTGGTTCTGTTGAGACGTGATGTTAAGTAGTTGTCGCATTTTTACGTTACTTATTGGATGTTGGTCTACCTTGTCAATGTCTGTTACGAAGTCATCGACTATTACGTTCATAGATGGAGTACGACCTTTGTAGTCTATCTTTCTTCTAAGGAATTTAAAGGGCACGGTTTCTGATATTATTTAAACACTTTCCCCACCATTAGTAACCCCGGGGTCATATGATTATATCTGGTACCTCGCCGACCCAGACAAAGGTAATAGCATTTGCTAGATTTGTCCTCACTCCCTCCGTCGAGGTACATCATCACCTTACGTCCACCTTACGCAGTAGTTCTGTGCACTGCTTCGGGTTACGTATGAGGATCGCAAGGTAGTCTGCGAATGCTAAGATGGATTCCGTATATTTTCCATTAACCTTTATCCGGTAGCCCCACCTCTTTTCGCATGTTGCGATATTGTCTATTAATATATTTATAACTATATTAAATACTACTGATGATAAGCAGCAACCTTGGATCAACCCTACTCTGTATTCGAGGGGTTTTGTATGACCCTCTTTTGCTGTACTTACAAATTTTAATTTACTGTAGTATGATCCAAGTAGTATAGCCCAAAATCGATCTTAGTGCAATGGGAGAGGCCTATGTCCAGCAGTGGACTGCGATAGGCTGATGATGATGATGTAGTATGATGCAATTATTACATAAACTACTGGCGGAAAGTTCAAGGCAAATAACATGAGCTCGTGTCCAACTAAGCATAAGGCGTTTTCTAAATCTATCCAACAGACTGTGTGCCTTTCATTTTTTAATTTTTCAGTTTAATTAAAAACACGTAAAAACTTTATTTTGTGCAAAAATAACTCCTAAATTATCTTTACATGAGAGTAATAAGCAAAACACTATGTAAAGACGGTTTATATGCTATCAAAAAACAACATATATATTTTAATATGTGCATGAATTCTTCATAGAACTTCTTCGGTTTAGTAACGGCAGTAACAAACCCAGAGACTGATAACATTGCCATATATATAACAACTATGGATACTCGTAAATGACGTTGATGGCATCACTATAGATACTATATCTTTGTGCTAGATAAACGCAAGCTGTCTAATCCGTCCCGTTGCTAATTCCTTAAACAGAAAACGAGCACTCCAGACCTCGTGAACCTGACTTCTATACCCTAAACGGCAAAAAAATGTGCAGTTCACTTAGAAACTACTAATCTACTACTAACTTTTTTATGCTGAGTTTAGTTGACATGAATATTGTACCGGTTCACCATGGCAAGTAGATAAATCTGTCACTTACCCACTTGCACATTTTTCTAATAGAGTATCATCACGATCGGTACAATTCAAAAAAGGTATAGTACATCATAAATGTTATCGCAATTAAGCCTCGATTTAAACGCCAAATATTTACACAATGATTATTTACAGACTTTAAGAACCTCCTTTAAAATTTAGTCATAATAGTCGTCATTGACCACAGTCCAAATATATTTAAATTACCTATGAGTCCTATAGCTATAGGTAATGCTACGGCATAGGCGATAGCACTACCTATAGCTTTATCTTCTTCCTATTTATTCGCTTGTAGGCTGCATCACTGTTGATTACAAACAAAAGACATCAACGCGTCGCAAAAGTAATGTCATTACAAAATGTTGTTTATTTTTGTTCAATAAATTTTACGATTGTAGAAGTTGACTTCAATGAAATGTTTGGAAATAAATATCTTTTAACAAATTATAATGACACAGAGGTCTTGACTTCTCGACTATAAATATTGACATGTATGTGTAATATTTCGACTGTTGGTTAATGGTAAATTTGACCCGAGATGGCTTACAGTTGCACTATAAATAAAATATTATTTATCATGTACTCTAATGTAATAATTTTTAGTGATAAGTACACGATTTCGCAAGTCTAGTATCCCCGAATAGATTTTCTAGTTCGTTGGCGTGGCAAATGTTTATGCCAATATTTAAAAAATAAAGAAGCATAATATAGTATTTATTTCTTCTTATTCACGTGTTGAATGACATCTATTCAAAGAAAACTGTAAAATATCTCTGTAATGTGTCTGTAATCTCTATGCGAATTAACAAAGATACGAATTTCGTATGTTTGGACTTATCTGAAGTCCGTTTCTTTTAAAAAATAACAGGCTACTACTAACTTTGCTAACTTTGCTAGTGCAAATAATCCTTTTTGAGATTCACTCTGTTTTGTATTTCTTAAATCTTTTTACATCTTTTTTTAATGATGTTGTGTGCGTAATTACTTTTACTCATAAGATAGAGTGAATACTCTAACCTACAAGGTTTTCACCAAATATGACATTCATTGCCTGCCATTCTAATCGAATAATTGCAAATGCAGCTAATGGAAGGCGGAATGGGTTTATTTATGCTGATTGAAAATATTAATAATCACGAATATGGCTGGCAGGAGCTGGATGCGAGAAGCCCAAAAACGATCTAAGTAACGTGCTATGGAAGAGGCCTATGTCCAGCAGTGGCTGATGATGATGATGATGATGAATATGTTTATGTTTTTACAAAAAAAAAGATTAAATATTTTAATCCATCTTAACTCATTTTTCTCAAGCTAAGTTTGTGTATTAATTATTTATTTATTTATTTAATTAGGCGGTAAGTAGTATTGTTTTAATGGAAGACTTGTGAAGTAATAGGAAGCTTCCTTCGCTTCCTAGCGCGCAATATTTGATGAAACAAATGAACACGCGCGTTGGTGATATCTCCATATAGTTTTAATGTTAAAGTTGCTTATTAACAAAGTCAGATGCTCGTTTTAGCATCTAAAGCGTCCAAATTAAAAATATCATTTATCAATATCATTTGCAATTTCTAAATTTTCTTATGAAGGATATGGTACCATTGATGGTGTCATCATAGATGGTATCAAAATATATATGTTTATAAATTATATAAATGGGTACCTACTTGAGTTGTTCATCTTCATGTTGTCAAAACCTCCACGGATCAGCAACTTAACGTGCCTATCGGTATCATATGGTAATCTAACTTATTAAAAACACGCAGTGTCTTATTACTGGTGAATTCAAAAAGACACCAGGGTATACCTTAGGAAAATGTACCGGCGAACCCCTGCAGAATTTTACTATCTTAGTAATGTTTCCAGTTTAGATGCTTCTGACCTTATGTAGATAAGAAGCATCTGAACTTGCGACTAAAGCGTCCAAATTAAAAATATCATACATACAATATCTAATAATATTAAAGTTTCCCACAATAATAACACTTGTCTATATTCTCAGGCAACATGAAGGAATTAATAATGTCTCATTATTTGCCGACTATTATTTTAGTCCCACTAAAACATACTGTACATTTAAATACTTACATAATATTTTTGTAACGTACACACATCCGTTAGCAAAGTATTTGTGTCGTGTTTTTAAATTTACGCATGTAGTCATTGACTTTTATAACTTGTTCTCCTGAAATCTACACAAAACACAATATAATGTCTCAAATCCTCGTATACTCTTTGCGAGTAGGTCGGGATGACACGTGCGAGTGCGTATACGTTATGTGTACACGTTTAAGTGTATACATAGACGTATAAACGTGTACACGCATTACGTGGAATTTATAGTCCTTTTCATCGGCTTCCGTGTGGCTATGAGTCAGCGAACGCGAGCGTATTATTAAACGGCTATTCCCGTACACGCCGACATCAAAGAATAAAGAAAATTTTCATAGATATGACAACGGACCCATTTCAAAAGTCGAAAGTATACACAGCGATCTATTGTAGTCATACTAAAAGAAAAATATAAAAGCTACCCATTATTATGTTTCTCACGTTCCTTATTTGAAATGATTTATATAAGTTTCATTTTTCTTTTTCATAGTAATAAATCCAATTTCTAAATTTAAAATAAAATACCGGTGTAATAAAATTTATCCGTGTTCACTTTTACTTTTTATGAATGAGCTGTGTTAGATGAATGGGCTTGGAGTCACGAGTTAGACGGGTCTGCGGCCACGTCTATCTAAAGCCTTAATTATTCCGGCCACACCCATTGTGTGCGGGCATACTTATCGCGCAATTACTGCGACTCTCTTGTAAGCCGATAATTAATATGTTAAACAAGTCGATAATTTTTCGTTTCCCGTGTGATAACTCAATCCATTAATTCGTTGGATATACATATATTAACTTAATATACTCATATATATATATATATATATATATATATATATGGTCGTTTATCGTATCTATTAGTATTTGTGTAAATTGTGAATGAATTAACGAAATGAGGTTGTATTCACACAATTTGTTTATAAAATATTTTATTCAGATTATTATCCGAGTTACAATTATATTTCTTTTAATCACTAAGAGCAAGACAGTACCCATCTTTAAATTGGTTTAGACAATCATACACAGGTACCGTTGACAAACAAACATAAGTGCCGCCAAATGGCACGCGGTTACTGGTGCCGACGAGATCATGAAATATTTCAGCATTAGATTACACTAGTAACTTTTACTTGTGTGTTACAATATCTAACACCATCAAATAAAAGAACAAGAAGACCATTTAAAGAAGACCAAAATTGAATTAAAAAAAAAATTACACAAATAACAGTCACAAATAAAAAAATATAAATTAATTAATAAAAATTACAAAATTACCGGGATACATATTTATACAAAGACAGCCACATAGACATCGAACTTGATAAAACTAATTATTGGATTGAAAATTAGAATGTATCTACAGTGTACCTTTTTTTTCAGTACGTTGGGAGTAGCGCATGTGGCCGGGATGTGCAAGCCAGACCGCAGCTGTTCCGTCAATGAGGACAACGGCATTGCACTCGCGCACACCATTACGCATGAGCTGGGACACAAGTAAGTACACCTATATTGACATTAAATATATGTATATATAAATGTTTGGAGACATATACAAAATTCTGCGACATATTATACATCGCTATCTAGATTTAAAACTAAGCATAGCTTAAATCATTTCTGCCAGAACACGGAATAAGATATATGATACATATGCATATAAGATTTTATTACATATGTTCATTTGAATACTTCAAAACACAATTTATTATTCCAAATGAAAGAAAAAAACAAAACATCAAAACTATAAGAATATACCGAATAAACTCTAAAATGAAACTTAATACTAGTATGCTTTTAAATTACCAGCAAATGTGTTTTGTAATGTGAAAATGCAGAATAAATTACATGACTTTTATAATAATGAATAAATGTTCACAAGAACAATTTAAAATAGAAAGATACAGTGTTTAGGCGGGCAGCCAGTGTCTGCGTCCTTACTGACAACAATATTAATGGTGTAAGACGAAAAATGCAACATTCTTGGATATTTGAACGTGTATTCTATACATCAGATTCTAGACTTTAAAATTTAAACTGTGTTTTTAATAGGATCTACTTATCCCCAGTTAAAATATTTTCAGTTAAAAGATTGGATTTCATAATCACCATCGTATTGCAAAAAAAATGAAATGTACAGTAATGGTTGCAGGTGAAATTACTATGGTTAACATAGTAACGAAACAGACATTGAACCCATGATTTAAGAATAATATGAGTTAACGGATAAAACTAATACAGCGCTTTGTATTTAATTGATTTACGTTCGTAGTATATGTACTGAAACGTATTTTCTAGAAACTTAATATATTTTCTACTCGGGGGTTATAAAACATCCATGAGCTTTAATAACTCATAAATTTTAATTTTTTACATTGATTGAATTAATATTACGTATTAAAAATGTTTTAAGTAATATTACTTCTGTGTATCAATATAGATTTGAACATTCAAATATTACCAGTAGTGTATGCCGCAAAAGACGTGATTCGGTGTAGTTTCTCATCGGTCTTAGATAAATAGGTTACACAAACATTGCAACAAATATTACTCAGTTATAACAGCATTGAACGGTTCTAATAACGTATAAACGTATACATCATTTCTTCACCCTTCTTTGTAAACAATTGAGAAAATATTCATAGTCAAGTCATATTTTAAACTGTAATTTATACTAACTAGCTATATTGTCGGTTTTACTTCCTATATCGTAACAAAAGAAATGTATATTCAACCAATCTAAAATTCAGTACCTACTTCCTACTACTAACGTCAAACCATCAGTCGTAGCGTGACGCTATATTATATAGCTATGTTTAAACCCGCTTTCTTTATTAAAGATATTTACAGTTTACTGCGGGTACACAATAATGCAATTCGTTTACAGAAGGTATTCCATTGGTGGTACACTTACGAAAACAGCAACCTTAACCTTAGAGAAGCTTCTTGTATTCTAATCAAACAAGCAAGTAGGACATAAGACGCAGCAGTTTTTGATTTAAGTTATTAAATAACATCCAATAAGAATAAGGCTTTCTAATACGAGTAGTTAGTTATTCTTATACAGAGTGTCACCACCCCTATTCATCCTATGGGTGTCGTAAGAGCCGACTAAGGGAGCAAAGTACGCAAGATAACAGCACTGCAAAGAGAAGGAAAACTTGAAGTAAACCCTATACCAACCCGTCTGTCCAGCGTGGTACAGTAGGCCAAAACCTCTTTTCTAAGGGGAGGCCTACATATGTCCAGCAGTGGACTATTAAAGGCGGATGATGTAATGTGAATTATTCTTACAGTAATATTTTATAATATGACATTCAAAAAAAACAAATGTATTAACTCACTCTGCAAAGAAAACCTTCTAATCTAAATGTAGAACTCATAAAGTTTTTAAAACTTTATATATGCGCACTTAGTATAGTTGTATGCGCTATATACTTTGGACAGTGCCAGTTTATAATACCACTTCAAACGAACGCCTTCTAAAATACATATACAAGCACTCATCGTTTACATATGTATCGTTATATTCCTATTCCTGGTAGTCGTAACTATAAATTAAGACTTTTTGTCAAAATCCGTCTTGTTGCAAGAGAATTAGGCTAAAATAACTAATGATATTGTAGCAAGATCCGTTACTATGATACAAGCAAATCAGCTCAAGAAACAATAAATAAATTTGATACAAAATCCAGATAACTGTATTGAATTAAAAACAAATATGTTTAAACCGTTTAAACAATTCAACTGCAAAATATAGGTAAAATTCCTATGACGTACTGCATGGCAATGTGAACGACTTAAAAACGCGCAATAAAAAATAAATTGTATTAAAGAAATAAACAAATCTAAATACTCTCGTCTTTTTATCTATGTTATCTTGTACATTTTGAAATTATTGATTAAATATTTATAGATTAATTTTACTTTTACTGAAAATTCTAGACCAAATCCTGGCATTAGTGAAAAAGGAAAATGTAGACAACTAGATAATTTATCTATTGGTACTGGAGAATATGTATATCCAAGTGTATTTCATAAACTTTTGTCTATGAAATTTAGCACTGAGACATAAAACAACGACTCAAATACAACAAAGCATAATCTCTATCTTGATTTAGTTTTCATCAAACTCGTAAACATAGATTTCTAATTTTACAAAGCTGAGCAATTATACATATTATTGTTACTATTATTTTGGTAATAAGTGCTAGTTTTATTTGGCAACAGTTGCTGAGTGCCTCGGTTATCGGTACTGAGTCATGTTTCCACGCCAAGATTATCGCAAGGACGTCTGTCTGTTCTAGAGAGAAAATTATTAAATACTTAGTTATAGCATATATTTGCGTGTTCGGTTACATTTTGTTCTGCTATGTTTTTACACCAATAAGACCGCATTAGAACTAAGACCATATACTTAGCCTCGTGCCGACTTAGCCTGGAAATTTTACGATTTATGTATTTCTGATACGCTTTATGACAAACGCATCAACTTGCGCTAATTATTGCATGACTGTAAAATTATTCTATACAAATGTATAAACCCGCTTATTAAAGAAATTTACAGTTTACTACGGGAATACAATAATACAATTAGTCTACGTAAGATGTTCCATTGGTTGTACACTTACGAAAACAGCAACCTTAACACCTGAAAATCACGGATTTATGTAGCTTCTTGTCTTCTAATCAAATAAACAAGTAGGACCTAAGGTACAGCAGAGTTTTACTTATGTTGAAGCCGTCTAGTACCGCACTTCTATTAAATACCTGATAGACCAAAGTAGCGTAACATAGAACACGCGTGCATGGATAGAATAACGTGTGCGAAATGCCGGAAATGGACCTAGTCTTGTTCCAGCCTTATACTACAATCAGTTGTTATTGTAAGGCGTTGTACGTATTAGAGATGAGCTATAATCATAATATAAACACATGTTATGTAACTTGTGCAAACATCGCGACACAGGCATTGACCTTCTCTAGACATATGAATGCATCATTCGCCGAGTACAATGTACCCGGTGCATTGACATCGCACTATCGGACCGCACAAGTGCGTACTTTTTCCGCCTTATCTTGAATAAAGAATAAGGGATAGGTTTAATAATAAACGGAATAGTTTGCTAACTACAGTCAGTAGAGAGCAAAGCGGGTCGCGACTCGCGACATCTGACATTTGCGCTCATGTTATACGCAACAAACAGGCAGTGTACTCCGGGATTTTATAGCCGGCGTTAACGGAGTGCAATCTCGTGCTTTTCATTTTATTTCTGCCAGTAATTTTAACATTAATGACAGGCTAAAGTTAGTGGTTTCATTAAACAGATTTTCATAAAATATTGTATTGTATGAGTTTATTTGTTAAGTATCATTTTCTTTTCTGTTTGATAACAGTTTTCTCGTATTTATTTGTAGCTATTACTGAACCTTTGAAGCATGTAATATTTTTATGCAATTTCTACTACATTAGCATTTTTCTAATTTTATTGCCACTTCATAAGGGTCAATGTACGATGGAATCGAAGCAATGTTTAATTAATGTATTTTTGTCCATTCGATTCTATGTAATACTTCTTAATCATAGCGATGTAATTATAGTGTCTGTTTGAAAAATATCATTTTTTTATATCTTGCATACGACACTCGGACATGTCTTCAAGGTCTTTATTATTAGCTTATTGCATAATTAGTTCAATAATTCTTGGACATTGCAACAGATGAAATGGTAATAATGTAGTAGTTAGTGATATCGAACAGAAACAGAACATTCGTTGATTCGGTTTTGGACGTACGCCAACAGATTTTCAGTCATCAGTAATGACTAAAAATGTACATACACGTTCAATATGTACATACCTAGAAGATTTTAGTTATATGAAATACCAAAATAAGTGTATACATATTAGAAGATTCTAAATAGCATTACTGCTAGTGATACGAAGCTAAAATCACCGGTGTCGTGATCATTTTTAGCTAGTACACTTTTTATGACTTATTTTTTAGCTGTGGCAGATATATTTTGTGGTCGGCCAGACACCTTTTAGGTAAACCCAAATATTTGTTTTTGGGTAGGATATGTGGTCGATAGTCGGTCAAATATAGCTATTTAATAGCTATAAACCTCGGTAAATAAAACGCAGATCCTTTAATAGTTAATAGCTTATGGCGCGATGGGCCATAATTGATGCTAAAAAAACAGGATAAAATGCACTATGGATCTTTTGCTATGTTGTGAAGTTTTAATCCGAAATTATTTAAACTTAGTTTTGTATTGTGAATTGACAATTGACATTCTGTTGTGAGGGGTATTTGACTCATCATAACGATTACACAGTGATCAGATGTGTATACGACGACAATCACACTTACCTGATAACCCGAGACCTGAGAAACTTGTTTCATTCAACTACCAGGAATATATCATTCATAAACATATATTTTCAATTACATCACGAACTCAGTCCCCTTATTAAATATGTAATTATACTCGTAGACTTAGCTACCTTATGATTATGGCCGATACAAGAAACGTAATTAAACATGTTTTGCTATAAATTATGTTTACTTATGTCTCAATACACACGATCCTTGCAAGATTTATCACTAGTAAAATAAATATAATAAACTTTACTGTACCTAATGTTGACAATGACGTTTAATAAATACTGTCTTACCAATACGTTACCCTTCTTGGTATTCATTGTAGAGTATTAGAAGTCAAACCTGTAAAGAAAAGCCAAACTATTTTATGATCGACTTTTTATTCATTCCAATTATTTTTATTAATATACATTTACACACGGAGAAGTGAACTTCTCTGTATGTATCTCACTCACATATTTATATATGACAACTAATTACAACGTTGATGATTTGCCTGACTTCACTCGAACTGTGGTACGTTGGAGTGCTACCGTACGAGTTAAGTCCTGCGAGTGAGAGTAAGTTCTGCAGTGAGATAATGATTACCCACTCTACTAATAAAGCTATAAAGATTAAGCGTGTTTCTACACTGATAAACACCACGATGCTGGGATTAATAGTGTCTTGTTAATAAAAAATACATAATATGGCATTTTTAAAGACTACAATTTTAATCATTATAAATATTTTTTAATAATTATGAATAACAGAACAGTAATTATGTAGATAGTAAGATAATTGATGATTTTAGTTAATTCAGCCGTGATCATAATTATCTGATATGAGTTACACGCGGGAAGTCTATGCCCATCTATACCACAGTAGTTAGTATAGGCTATTTGTATAGTCTTTAAATATAGTAGGTAGTTGCAGAATGTTATTCAATCCATCTTCGTACTGCAGTGTAGGACAATCCCAACAATTTGTAACTTAGGCAATATCGATTCACTGCGACAGAAAATAAATAAATAATGGCATGTCTATATATTGGCGAATTTAAAAAAAGGATATTAATATAAAAATCCACGGATTAATTCGTGCAATTTATAAATAATCGTCATCAGAAATCATATTAACATTATAGAATGAACGAAAAAGTGTACAGCACTAGATAATGTACTCATTTTTAAGTTGCCACCCTTTTTTAATCCGGTGATTTAAAAAGGGGTCACTTTAAAATGCGTTTATTTGCATGATTTCTTCTCACAAGGTTCAACTACTTGAAAAAGCGATCATAGATCGACACTGTCAGACAGCAACCTTAACTATTTGCAATAGGTTATTATTTCTTATTTATTGTTGAAATATTTTTTCTTTTGACATAGCAAGCTATTGCTATGTTAATCTACCATTGTACCTTATAAAATAAATACTGCTGCAAAAATTTTAGCAAAAAAAAGGTAATAAAGATGTTTAACTTTGAGTGAATCGGAGTTGATGGACAACTCTAAATAAAAGATACCGAGTGTCTAGACGCACAATTAAAAAAAAAACTAAAAACTACAAAGACGCTACGGTACAATGATGGCACGATGCGAAGTCATTTACATGTGCATGATGGATCTTGCTTGACAGAAAACAATCCATTTTTTATTGCCTCATTTTTTTTTTATCATATCTGTATATGTTTAGATTTTATAAATAATCATACAAACTGTATGCAAACAATTTAACAGGATATGATGATCAATATAATTATATTAATCACATGGAAACGGATAAAAACACGTTGGAAGTATCTACTTGGAACAGGTTTTAGGAGACTAGTCAACAAAAGATTAATTCTACTATATCAGATGTTCAGTAATATTGACTGAACTGATGCGTAGCTTCTAAATAAATAAAAAATACAAGTTATTGCATTGACACTTCAATTTTGAAACATTAAATTTCAGTGTTATACACATCGTTAGGTACACAAAAAAATTCATCAACAAAAGAGATACATCAATGATTATCAATGTATCCCTTATGAGTTCACAATGCATAGTAATATAATAATATACTATTTTCGGACATCTGACACAGAACGCCTTCTAGCTTTATACTCATAAGTGACTATTGATGACTTGTTGTTATTGTGGTATCTATTCCTTTATTAGCGAAAAATTGTAACTGGCTCTCGTTGATGGGAATCAATGATCTGCTTTACTCTTATTAATAGATGTTACTGTTAATATAACTAAACAAATCATTTTTGTTCCAGTTTCGGATTGTACCATGATACGGAGAAGATAGGTTGTAACCGCCGCACCGGATCCACTTTACACATCATGACACCAATCTTCGAGGCTGATACCGTACAGGTGGCTTGGTCTAGGTGCAGTAAACGAGACGTCACCAATTTCTTGGAGTAAGTCTATCATATTCGTATATACCTAAGTCATAGCCAACAAAATTCTACATAATCACTTATAGTGGCCAACACGCTTTCACCAGTCAAATTTTTTTATGTTTTTTTTATGATAAACAAACAGACAGGTTACCTCACAAACAAATCACAGTCACAAGTTGCCGAACTTTTAATCCCCCAGATAAAGGGGGAGGGTGAGTTTTGGCTCGGCTAACCTTACTCACTTGGTGAAAAGCAGTGTAAGAACTGCTTAACAGAGGGTTTCGGTGAGGCCCTGGTATCACTCCAGTCGAGCCTGACCCATATGTGCTGAAGCACGGCTGTCCCATTTTAAATAACGTAATAATTTCTTATGAATTCTTCACACATCTCACACACGGCCGTCTGATCCCAAACTAGGCAGAACCTGTACTATAGTAACCAGCCTACTGATAAACATATTTATAAATATAGTAAATACATACATACAGGGAGACGATTTATTATTTCGTGTCCATAGCAGTTAGACCTTGGGCAGTTGGGGTACAGACACTAATGTGTTTGTACATGAGTTAGGTTAGAACGAAGTTGGCTGGGTTTTCCCCTCCACCCCAGTTTTTTTTTTTAACGTGTGGAAATCCCCTCGGACCGTCACCCCACCGGGGCTCCCGTTCGGCGGGGCGGTGTGTCGGACTCGAATCGACTAAAACCACACGGTGTGTCCTCTTTGCGCTTCCAGTTTAGGGGGGGGTCCAGGTAGTTATCGCCTTCTGGACCCCTCCCAGCGCCGGCCCGCTCCTGGTGCGGGATCCGTCTCAAAGTTTTCCTCTCTTTAGGCGACGTCCGGCACACGCGGACGCCGCGCCCTCGCGGCTGGCCAAACTAATGCGGGTGGAGGGGAGAACCCATCCCGTCCATCCGCGGCCACACTCAGGACGGCATGAGGCGCAGGTGATCGGGCCCGAGTGGAGGTCGTCCTCCCGGGCCTTCTCCGCCGCCTCCTTCTGCGAGATTACCTCCTCGCAGAAGGTTGCGACCGCGGTAAAAACACTGTCGCTACCGGCCATGGAGCGAATTACGGCCGGTAGAGAGAGATCCGATCCGATGACTGCAGTGAGGGCCCGGCGTTGCGTCGCCCAAGCGGGGCAGACCGCCAGCGTGTGCTGGGCCGAGTTCTCACTGCAGTCGCAGTGGTGGCAGGCTGGACTCGATTCCCTCCTAGCGACCGAGTACAGGTACTTTCCGAAGCAACCGTGCCCGGAAAGCACCTGCGTCAGCCGGAAGGTAAGGGTCCCGTGCTGCCGCCCCGCCCACTCGGCGATGACCGGCTGGAGAGTCTCCACGGCGGCGAAGCCAGCGCGTGGAGTCTCCAGACGACCATCTCACCATGGTGGCTCGGCGAGCGGCTTCGCACCACTCGCGCACGTCTTCGAGCGGAGGGCGAAATCCGCTCTCCGCCCGGAAGTCAGCCACTCGCCGATAAACTTCAGCGAGCACTTCCGCCTCCAAATCCCACGGGGGTGTTCCGGCCAAGGCGCAAGCCGCCTCGGTGGACACCGTGCGGTATCCGCGTATGGCTCTGACCGCCAATATCCTCTGGGGGCGCCAGAGGCGCGCCCTATTCGGGGCGGTTAGAGCTGCCACCCACACCGGTGCACCATACAGCGCCATAGATAGACATTATACCTATAGTAAGGTAATCTGTTCACATTCGTTTTAACCACTGGACTAGGGTAGTAACTCTTTACTGAAGACTACGTATAAGCATCTTTACCAACCTACTATTTTATTGCTCATGAAAATATAGCATTATTGATATATACCTGTCAACTATGGAGGGTAGACGCAAGGAGAACCATCTCTGTGTATGAAAAGTGTCGGTAAAAACGCGTCCAATAAGGGTGGCTAAAGGTAGGTAGGCTAAAGTAGGTAAAGGCAAGGCATGATAAATTTATATTGGCTTATATAATAATTAGACACAGTGTAACAGACTGCGGAAATAGTCAATGAGTTTTACAGACAACAAATAAACGAATAATAACTTTCCAATAAAAGTATTATAATATTTTAACTCAGCACACTTCACTCCGCCTACAACAACTACCTCTATTTTCGTACGCCAGCGACCTTTATTTTCAGTATACAGCTGGACACTTTTTCAACTTTCCCCAAATATGAGATGGTTCTCCTTGCCTCTACGCATCTGATGTTAGTGCTTGTAGGCATAAGTCCACCCTATCACAAGTTGATCCATATACATGGTTAGAAACATAGCTTTTTAAAATAGTCTGCAACTATTATAAATCCATGTAATAGACATTCGACAGACAATTAAATAAAACCGGAGCAACAAGTAGTAGCTACAAAATATTGCAAATAGTAACTTATATTAGTTTGGAGCAAACAAATACATATAATTATATTCTTTAAAAGATACAAACTATCGTTTTTGAAAGCTTACTGGAACAAAATTACCGAAAGCTTTTAGCTCTTTACTTGAAATTTAGATACGGCCTATGTCCGACGACTTCCTGATTTGGTTTGAACATTTATGATATAATTTTTATTAATTTACCTACTTATTTAAATGTTTTCCCGTTACACGTAACCTCAATTCCCTGTTGACATAGTTTTGTACATATAAAATATTTTATACCGTGTAATACCAATAGGTACTACTAAACAATATCAATGTTTTACAATGTCTATAAAGTAAAACCATAAATCCTACGCATTCATAAATAACTATTTGCCATCGAAAACTAATACTGTATCACATGTAACGCAACATACCACTTTCATAGAGATTTTAAACTCAGCTCAGGTAATTGGGAAAACCTATATTTGATAACGTAATTGTATGATGTAAGGACAGTGTGATTATAAAAATGTATTCTACATGTTTATGAGATATCTACCCAGGCCTTAAATAGAACTGTTGTGAAACGGGCACGTTTATAGCTAAGGCCTATTCGTATGCACAAATCATTGTAAAGTGTGTAAACGCGATCGTAATTGTGAGAAATGTACTATAATGAATCCAATGGGCGCGGCTCCTGTTCTGCTTCAGCTGTTATTCGTTCGAGTACACCCAAATTTATTGTGCCACGATTTTATTGTCGCCCATTTCCTAGTACAACAACGTAGCAGAACTCTGTAACAGAATACTGTTTAGTTCATGTTAGATAATTATTTAAATGTCTTTTTTTTCTAGTGCGGGATTAGGAGAGTGTTTGAGCGATCGACCCTCTCAAGAAGACTACGTTTACCCTGAAGATCCTGCTGGTACGTATAATAATACTAGATGAAATAGTTATAGTATGATTGACTCAACTTCAAAATTAACGTAGGGTGTCATAGAGGTATCCATAACAAATTTTATCAAAATTGGTCTAGCCGTTTGAGCGTGAAGAAGTACCAAACACACACTCACAAACTTTCGCCTTTATAATATTAGTATTTGGAAATAAGGAAGTTTTTTATGAATATAACTAAAAAATAAGCACCATATAATAAATATATTATAGCAATTAATATTTTTAAACTTAACAGGTGTAATATTCGATGCAACGAGTCAATGCCACATGCAATTCGGGGCGGAAGCTGAAGTGTGCACGAACCCAACCGAAATATGTGACATACTTTGGTGTATGGTGAACAACTCCTGCAAGACCATTGTCCAACCAGCTGCACCTGGAACTACATGTGGCCCGGATATGGTGAGATATTCCCACGAACACGACAAAGTAGTAGACTTTGTCGCTGGTGGCACTGTATTTACTGACAAGCAACAGAACAGCAGTAGAGCTCAATTTTAAATTGTTATTTTGATATAATACGCGATTGATATGATTTGGAATTTAAAAATTGTAAAACAGACGTTCAACCTCGGAATATAAGTACATAGTTTACCTATTTTCTATTGAAATCATTTTCTAAGGGTTCCAAATGTCCGAACCAAGTAAACGAAACCCATATAGGATCACTTACAGTCAATATACTCGAATAGCTGATGAATATATTCTTATGACCAGTAGTGAATCATAATGGTCGCCGTCATTGGGATACAATAATCCATCTAAACAAGATCACTGCGCGACGCTTTAGGAAAGTTTTTGATTTATCAGTGTGATGAACAAGTTCGCTGTGTTATAGATAAACACACTATAATACATAACACACACACACATATATACAGAGACATACGAAGAGGCGTTTTTTTGTAATATTACATTTTATTATTATAATCCGTTCCTTCTCACGTAATGTAAACAAAATCCACTGCTGGCAACCGGGTGCTTTGGCAGTTAAAGATGAGAAAATTTGGAGTAAGTATATTGAAACGGAAATGTAATTCTCATGTTCGCAATAGCTTGAACACTTCGGAGCTACCTTTCTGTTTTTGTTTTTTGTTGACGGGGTGGAAAATCCCTTTGGATCACGGGCTCCTAGGGGACGCAGGAACCAGGAGTATGTCGTGTTTCCACTAAAAACCACCCCGACGGCCGGCCTCAGGCGCCCTAACCTGGGGAGGACCCGGACCATGTGATTTCAGGTCCCCCTGGATCGACACCGCACCTACTAGGCTCTTACTAAGTGATAGCCGGAGGGATGCCACTATGGTGTACTATGTTGAACAATTATAACTATTTGTTTTTACTACTAAATACGCAGACGACTAACTCATTATTTAGTATAATATTGAAACAAATGCAATCAAAGCGTTAATATTAGTTGAATATTTCTACAGTGGTGTCAGAATCAAACGTGTGTACCACGAACACCGTTGCCTACACCAAGAGACGGGGGCTGGGGTCAGTGGTCTGAATGGAGTGAGTGCTCGCGAACATGTGGTGCTGGAGTGTCCACGCAGTTCCGCGAGTGTAATAACCCTGAACCATACAACAACGGCGCTTATTGCATTGGAGACAGGAGTCGGTGAGTATGAGAAAGCCATAATGCTGCTTTAGGGCCATACAGAAAACATGCCGCTCATTACATAGTATAGGAAACTATTTATGTAGATACCTATGTACGTAAACCACGTTTTACCATACGATATAAGTATTTACTAACATTATTATACCTACATAGGTATCTACTCTCATAAGTAGCATGGCAAAAACAGCACGCAATGTAGGAACATTAAAATAACAAATACCTAACCAACAATTAAGGTCCACATCCCACTTATTTGGTCAGCTGTGATTTATTTAAAAATTTCAATATGAAATTTATCTCTGAGCTTAATAATATTTCTGACCTACAAAACTTAAATAAGACTTTGAAGTGAAGCTGACGAGACTATTAGATGTTCAAACACCATATTTAAAATCCGCCTGTTAATCTTTCACGCAAGTTATCCGATAAAGTAGGTCAAGCATTAATCACATATTACTTTCTAGCTACAAGATCTGCAACACCAACCCGTGTCCGATCAACGAACCAACATTCCGAGAAGTCCAGTGCTCGAAACATAACAACATGACGTATAAAAACGAAACCATATCGGAATGGATACCATACTTCGACCAAGGTAAAACTTATAATGTGTGATAAAATATTAGATGAATTTGCTAGTCATCTAATTTATCTTTACCTTTAGTTTTCCATCCCGGGACTTTTACTGTATAAACGTAGCAACCTTTAATTATTATTAAAGAATACAATTAAAAACTTTATGGTACCTGAATGGCACTTTTTACGTCACAGAATGAAACCAATTTTAAGGCATTGGTATTTCAAAATAGGTAAGTTTCATAAATATAATAATAAATATACTTGTTCATAATTCTATTGAAGTTGCCTACTTTAAAAGTGCTATCTTTATTGCCTTCTAACTTTTTTCCTTAAGAACTTTTAAACTGCGTTCTGGATTCAGAAAACAACTTAAAGGGCAAACATTTACCACCAGGTAACCCATCTACGCGTTTGCTTGCCCTACATACACCATTAAAAAAAATTACCATGCCCGATAGGGCAACGAATGCATTTTATGACTAATCCAATATTACATAGAGCCTGAAAGTTTTTGTAATTAGCTCTCGCTGTTCTTATTTTATAAAACCAAAATGCTAAATTCTTAGAACTGGGAGTTATACTTATTCATAGCAATGTAATTACATAGGATATAAATAATGTGTGTTGACTTTAGATAAGCCCTGCGAGCTGCAGTGTGTGGCACGAGACGGCAGCGATATGGAGCTGTTGGGTGGTTTCGTTGCTGATGGCACTCCCTGTCGCCAGAGCGTAGGCGCCCGGGATATGTGTATCGCTGGTGAGTTCTATGCACGATCGTCTCTCATACATGGTTGTCGTACAACCTTCACGTTAGATACAACAGTTGTTTTTTTTTTGTTAGAAAGTTAGAAAAACCCGAATTGGAAACGTGCCAGGTCGATTGCAAAACGCCATGGTATAAACAATTTTGCCATGCCATCAAATCTTTACATGCGCTTGTAATTTAAAAAAAATATTATTGATAGTCTAGTTTAAAAAACGACTATATTATTTTCAGGTGTATGTTATAAAGTCGGTTGCGACTGGATTGTGGGGTCGGAAGTGGAGGAAGACCAATGCGGTGTATGTGGAGGAAATGGATCAGCCTGCAAAACCGTACAGGGTATTTATAATAAGGATACCACTAAACAATCAGGCCTTAGTGAGGTAAGTCATTTTTACTCGAAAAGGTATGCTCGTAGCTAGGATAACATAAATATACATATTTATTATTAAAATTAATATTAACCAGGCAGCGTTATTTTTGGTGATGACTACTTACATTTTATTTCCTAAGCTTTCAGTCTTCCCAATCAGAAGCCCTGATACCAGTGTCGCATAACACTATTTACGCCACAAAATAGTCAATAATATCGACTTATCCATAAAAACCTGCAAATCACATTTTTTTGCAAAGATGAATGAATTCACTTTCCAAATTGATCTTTCAGACATGTTTACACGTAAATTAGTTATGGTTTAAATGTCAAAACAGTAAATCTACATAACATATACAAGATTCTACAATTTACAATGCCAAAAGTAAATATATATACATATACACATATGTATACAAATATAAAGTGTTGTTAACCCAAATTAAAAACTAGATTTTTACTTAAGTCCGTCTGCTATTTTTATTATCTGAGAACGGTGTTTGGGGGGGTCGAAAATTATAATGGGACATGGAGTTGTTATTAAGGAGTACAAGATTCTCAAATTTTATGAAAATATAATGTAGGTTAACATGTGTGAGTTACTGTAGCTATCGTTTTTATAGGTTGCGGTGATACCTGCCGGATCAAGGAATGTGAAAATCAAAGAGAAAGTCAATCCGGGCAATTTCATTTCTATTGGAAGTGCGAAATCAAATAAGATTTACTTAAGTGGTGCTCAGTAAGTAAATCAAACACTATGTTAAATACTTAGTTAAACAAATGAAGGAATGTTACATTCACATCTTCTCCAATACCGAAAAAAAACATACTCTCTGGTTAGTTTTGATATTCACACATACGACACTGAGTCCACAAAGATCTTATCTCAAGCCTGAGGTAACATCTATCGTTCTCGAATGAATCGATCTTTAGAAACCGCAACATCCATATATATCTCAGACTAAACTACGAAAATCGTCTGTTAAACCCATAGGCATATCAATATAGGTGGTGATGACACAGAGCATATGGGCTCTGCTCCACTTCATACTTTCTTACCACAGCCCCACGCTTCCTTTAGGTACGATGCGGTAGGCCCACTAGTAAAATTTCAATATTCTTTGAAGTGGTAATGGTAGCGTAAAATTAAATGAGCTTAAGTATCAACGAACCTACGATTAAGTATCAAACGCTTCTAAAATAAGCCCTTGCATTTTATTACAGTAATGCAACAGTCACAGAATATTTTGTGGCGGGTACGCAAGCTATATACGAACGAGATCGCGACTGGGAGAAAGTAAGAATTACGGGTCCACTCGCAGAAGACATCAAAGTATATGTAAGTAATAAAATATAGTGTAACTTTTAATAACTAGCGATCATAATCACTTACTTTACATCGTTTAGTCTAATAACTAATCGGGCAGGAAGCCCGAGGGAAACTAAAAAACAAAATGGACAAAAACAAACAGATGCACTTGTTGCACAAATTGCTCAAAGAACATTTATGCTTGAATACGTATTTTTAAAATTAATCTAATCACTCATTTTATTTTAATAACAAGTATCGAGCCTTCCTTCTTTACATAGGTATGTACCTATAGGGCTATGCAGTGTGTTCTATATACCTTTAACTTATCATAATCCGTTATATTAGGTTACTTAATATCATACGAATTACTTCGAGAAATGAGAGGATCTCTAAGTCAGACAAGGTAGATCCGATGCAATAATTATCCGTTAGTTTGACTAGAAGAAGCGATGTCTATCATTTTTGATAATTTCAGCAACGAATTTACCGTGGACTTCACCGTAACCCGGGTGTAACATATCAGTACACGGTGGATCGTCAACGCATGCACAAGAGATACAGATACCGACTTTCTGAGTGGTCTGCGTGCTCCGCGTCCTGCGGCCTCGGATATATTAGGCGACATCATGAATGCGTTGATGAAAATAATCGTATGTATACTTTAGTTTTCGAATTCAATTAAAGAGATAGGTTCAAACAAAGTTAATTATAATAATATTATAGGCGAACATTACATATGCCAAACTGCCGCAATTTTGTAAGATTCTAGTCTGTGTGTAACAGAAAGTTGTGTTCGTAAATATACCCTATTATAAACGTTGTGCTAACAATTTTAGGAATATATATGATTTTCAATATAGCAACTTATTTAAAAGCGTAAATTGAACTTTTATTATTATTTAATACATAGGCTATTGATAAAATGATGGTTGTAAAAATGTCTACATAAAAATAAGAATTGAAATCATATTAAAACCCATGTTATTTAGAAATATGCACACTAGGCAAAAAAATCGAAAAAAGACACTTATTCAAGCTGAAGCTGAACAATTTTATAAGTCAACAATTGTCGGCTACGCAAAACACTCCTAAAATTGGACCACGTTCTGTAATATAAATAAGTTAGCTTAAGCACAATATGGAAAATTTTGTGTTATCTATTCATTATAACAAATAAATCAGATTGAAACAGTGAACAAACGATGTAGTTTTAATCATGTTGCGATTTTTTAAACAAATTTGAGACTAATGCTTTATATTTCATTTGTGCAGGCAAAGTAGAACAATCCCAATGTTACCACATCGAGCCGCCACGCCGCGAGGAATTAATGCAGCGGTGTAGACTACATGAGTGTGCTACTCGCAAGTTACGTCCCCACTGGTGGGTCGGATCCTGGAACCCCTGCTCCAAACCTTGCCACATGCCGGTAGGTGTCGCTTCCTTTAGAAAGAGACAGATACTTAGTCACCGTTCACCTTGACTGAGCAAGAAACAATTTAAGAATAGTATTGAAATATAACGTGACCTGAAGCCAACCTACACAAAAACTGACATTGAGAAAATCTGCATTTAGACATACTAATTCTATTACAGAAATATTTTCCTATGATATGTACGTATTTACAGGATAAGATTTAAATTTTTATATAATTTGCCCATTATCTATTACGCAAAACTTCTAGAATATGGCCTTATATGGATTCAATTTTAGATGCCTAATTATGTACCTTCCATCTATATACTTCAGTTGAGTTGGTTTTGTGTACGCTTCAAAAACTCAAAAAGTTCTGCACCGTTTGAGTTCAAATTTTGACACGATGTACAACCCGCTTCAAAGAATGTTTTTATCTATAATTCGCATCATTTTGTTCCTCATTTTTTATTTATGCAACCACAATGTGTCACAGTGAAGCAAGGCAGTGGACAGCTTGTTTTTTTATAAATATACGTAGATCCAGTTTAGAAGGCTAGGTAATGTCCCGAGTACAAGACCACGGTACTATTATAATACAGTACTCCAACTTCATACAAACGGACGAAACGCGAGCTATACCTACGCGCCTCGATCTCGGGGTGCGCTCGGGGCGCAGACAGTCACGGCTGTACCGCAGTGTCGAACGGACGGTGTGTTGTTTTTTTAACAATAACCGCGCGATTTTTTCCCTAAAAATCAGTTAATATGACGAGTAGGAAATATTGTGCTGTTTTTGGTTGTATGAATTCGTCAATAACGCATCCAGACATAAGTTTTTTTAAATTACCTGGAAACTGAAAGGTAACACTATAATAATTTTACTTTACTTAATAATAATTATACTTACTAGTAGGTAGGTACATAATATGTGTCTTTTTAATGGATAAGTATTTCCTTTTATCTCACGAAAAAAAAGGTGTTTGGATTAATAAATAAAGCGAATAGAGTAACGGAAAGTTATTGAGACGAGTGAAATAGGTAGTTATATGCGGTTTTGAATGAATCATGATACGGTAGGTACCTACTTACGCTTGTGTTAAAACTTCGGTGCATGTGTGTTTTGTTACTTTGCATAATTCAAAGTAAAGACGTGGTATTTTATTATTAATAATATTTGTTTATTATCTGTGTGTATGAATAATACTAGAAATTTTTTTTTACCGTCTGTGTGTCATTAGATAGTTTTCGAAATTTTCACAAAGTATTTCTGCTGCTACTATAATAACATAATTATACCACTAAACACTGGTTTTATTTTCTCGGTATTAACAACAAAAGCTAGACTCATATATAATATTTGGATGTTTGAGGGTTCTGATTTTAAAACATTCGTAGTCAGCTGTTCAGCTTTTTAATAATTAATTAATTGGTGACCAAAGAATTTTTGTTTTGAGTTGTTGCGAGTTGTAGGTAGGTACCTAATTTATGGAGACGTTAATAAGCTGAGATAAAAAGTTACTTACTCGTCAGCTGTTTCTTGCATTCTAGTTGAGTAGGCAGGTGTTGGAGTTTCTAAGGATTGGAGTTTTGTAACGCGTATGGAGAAAGCACATTTTTTTTATTTTATAGAAGGATTTTCAAGCTATTGCATAGCTTTTATCGCGGGCTCTGAGCGCGGCGCGGCGCGGTGACCGAATCAAGAAATTCTCAAAACCTAACGAAAAATACCTGACACCACGCAGATTTTTTTCTTTAAAAAAAAAAATGTTATGCAACAGCTTTACCGCGGCAGTCTCCGAGAGTGCCACATGTATTATTTTTTTCAGACGTCTTCAATGGTTGCAACTGATCCGGCGAGATGATTTGGAAAACAAACCTAACTTTAGTTCCTACCAAGTTTGTGAAAAACATTTTAATTTGGAGGATGTATTACATTCATCAAATAGAAAACTTTAAAAAAAGAATGCCCTACCATTGTTGATGCTGCCAAGCTTAGCTTGTACTGATCCAGGAGTCTCTCTAAAAGAATATAAACAAACCCAAACTGCTCCGTTGGTAGGAAATGAAAATAGAACACAGAATGAAAATGCAACAAATGAAATCTTTGCTCAAATCTCAACGAGTCTCTCTAGCAACACTCCAAGAAAAAGAAAATTGAAACTTGAACTCCTCCAATGCAGAAAGAAAATAAAATAATTAAATCTACCAATCAAAAAACAACACGCATTTTTATTGAACACTTCCTATTCAATATACAAAGTATTTCATTTATTTATATAAAAAGGATATTTACAATCACAAATCTAAATAGAAACAGAAAGTAGGCAAATATAATTAAAATGCTGGAGACGGGCAGCCCTAACGCATGTTTACGTACCGCGCGGCTGTAGGCATTTATTTCTATCATGCGGCCGAGTTACACTACTGTATTATAATTGTACCGTGACAAGACTGTGATTTGTCAAGTCACAGGGCCATTCTCCCTAGTTCTTTTAAAATCAAGTAAATAATGTAATTGGCACATATGTTTCCAGATCATCGAAATATTTCAATCAAACTTGTTATTTCAAAAGACCATTTCACACCACCTTAACATGTCCATTTGTTTCAGGGCAAGGAAGCGACGAAACAGCGCAGCGTTTACTGCGTAGACAAAATATCGAACAAAGTTATAAAGGACTCCGAATGTGCTGCACTACCTAAACCGATCAGCACAATCAGGTGTGCGGACGTACCAGCTTGTTAACGAACAAACTATGTAACATACTGGAAACAAACCGTGAGGAATACACCGATCAAGATTTAAAAAATCATATCGCAAATGGACAAAGAACGATTCTTTGTTCGAAATTAAGCGTTATGTACAACTGATAACATTTTGGGTCCAACCTTTGGTACGACCAAAATGAGTTGTATAACTCAGCGGATAACACACATCTATTGCTGAGGCACTAACGTTCGGGAGGAGCAGAAGTAAAAGAACAAACCACTTTAGAAGCTTAGAGTGAAGTGAATAGTGTAGGACTCATTACGAGCAACACTCGGTCGCGTTATGATCATAAGTAAAGTGAATATGAGAGCTAGTGTTTTGTACGTATTTTTGCAATAAAATATAACCCATCGAATAGACAATAATCAATTGCATATATAAGTACTCGAATAAAATGATTGCGCGGTGACATGCGAATCTCGCAAGTACGTGAAACAATGCTCTGCAATTACCACTTACTGCCATATTATAAGTAACTAGATATAACATAGTCTTCGCTTAGTTATTAACTACTAATAAATATGTTTTTATTATTCTGTAACATCAGTATTAAAGTGGTGTATGTATTTCTATAAAATAATACAAATTAACTTTATTGATGACGACTTTGTGTATAATATAAATTGTTTTGGACCAAAAATATTTTAGAAATCAAATTCACGTTGCCATAATCACTGTAACTGCCAATATGACATTTGTATAAGTAGGTGTTTACTTAATTAAGTCGCATTATGTATTAATGATTCATATTTTTGTACAAATGAATTATTGAGTATTTGGTAAGTTTAAGTCGTATAATTGTCACACTGGGTATCCATTTTGTTTGAACTGAAATCTGTTTAATCGCTTACATTACTCATACCTGTACTGTAGACAATAGTAAAACAGCTAGTCAAAAACATAGGCATTTGTAACACCAGGCATTGCACACTTGTATTATGTAGAACAAAATCCATATTTGTATTTTCTATTTAGTTTTTAATATAATCAGCTACGGAACCGGCTGGACACGTTTAAAGGTTCTGGTTCGTTATGTATTCTGGAAACTGATGAATGGTTTGTGTACTAGGGAGTTGGTTTAAACATGTTAAGCTGTTTGTATCTGACTTTTATTGTATCCAGTAAAGTATTTAGTTGGGTCATATACGTAGTTTTAGTTAATAAACATGTGTATCTCAATTAATAATTGATGTGTATAAAAATATAGAATGTATACCATTGTGCCTCTATCTGGAACAAGAATGCCGGTAATATTTATGTTATTTAGGAAGCATTGTTTGTGTACTCTTTCAAGTGACTATGCATAATTTTATTAAGTTAGTTATAACGTTTATTTATCACGTACCTATTTCTAAGAACATTAACATTTATAAGTTTCTAGTTGTCTGGTGTTTCAGTTCTAAGATACATCAGGGGACGCGTCAATCAATTGATACACAATTTTAATTTTGAAATAGTTGCTTAGGAACTAACAATAAATTGTGCACAGGTTATATTAAAGTGTTTAGCTTTACATTATTGATTGTAGTAAAATATCATTCTGTTTTATCAATTATAATTGTGTATGTAATTAGATATCGCAATAAAATCGTGCATTGGTTTAAATAATGTTTTATTTGTTCATATCAAAAAATTATAAAGCCCTAAGTAACAACTTATATGAATAGAAATCACAGTGGACACGATTAACTAAAGTAACCGCTATTTTACTCGTCAATCATAAAGAAAGAAATAATAATAGACCGTCGCACACTGTTTGCACGTAGAACAACCTAGGTGGACAATGGGTATAAAAAAGTTAAGTTCAAAACAAAAAACTTATAATGAAAAACTAGAATTCTCTAGAACCCTCTTACGCCTCTCTGTTATTATATTCATATTCGACGTTCAACAAATTTGACTAACTTAACCCGGTTTAGTCAGCACTTAAACGTGAGCACCTCACAAAGGTAGTTTCAGGCGCTTTGTATAAACAACATCACTTTGTGTTTGTTACTATTACTTACTATTACTATTACTTTGTTACTATTATATATGTGCAATTTTCAGGTTATTACACTGTGACCTATACGGCTGCAGGAAGCGGTGGCATGACAATATGTAGAATGAAACCGCATGACACGACATGCAGCGTTACCCAGTGCTTCATTGAAATAAAGTAACATGATTACTAAACTCATTGAAATAAGGATAAAAAGAAATTGATCAAAAATAAAATCCATGGTGGGGGGGTATCCGAAGGGCAATTTTCGCAAGGAAAAAAGGGGGGCTTTATCATCTTTGCACGAGGGCGCTCAAACATCGAACGGTCTTGGGCCCATTTACTGTGTTAAAATATCATTACATTATCTGTAAGCTTTCCATATTTAATCAAAACAAATTTAATAATAAAAAAAAGATATGAATATTTTTTTCCAGCTAGATTGTTCTACGTTCAAACGGTGTGCATCGTATATTATTATTAAACATACCTTCATAGAACCACAACTCCTGAAATTTGGATAAAAACAAAGTTTGTGAAAGGGTTAATCATACCGATTACGTTATTTGCTAAAAATATATAGTTATGCTTAATAAAAGTGCAAGCAGAAATGTATGTCAGTTCTTTTCGTGGTCATGTATTTTGCTACTGATATAAGAAAACCCTGATCGTAGTTTTGTGAAGTTGAATTTTTAGTAAAAATATTAAGTAGGTCTCAATGTTTTAGATATTGAAGAAATTTAATTAATAGTTTACTTGGACTGGAGTTTTATATTTTATTGTTATTTTTATGTGAGAATTACAACCGCTCATTTAATTTTTCACACAACAAAGCAAAACTCACAAAACAGTCGGTTACAACTAATGTTAAGAGCTTTTATAGTAGTAATAGATCATGTGTTTAGATACTCGACAAGAATGGGATCCGTAGGAAAACTGTTGATATAATATTTGTAGTTTAATAAAGTCACATTCATGTGTATAGACATAAATGTGACTCGTCTCTGTAAGAAATAGTCCACCTTCCACGTAACCGGTATGTATGAACCCTTTAAGAAATCATGTACATGTTATATATCAATTAGGGCTTGCATGTTGATTATTTATAGAAGAATTTACAACACTGATGGGCAAAGGAAGAATTACTGTAAAGAGAACAGTTGTAGAACCATGCTAAAGTATGAAATGGAAACAGCTTGTTCATGACACTTCAGACAGATAAGTACACTGAAACATTTGCAAACTACATTCTACTGAATATTCATATGTATTTTAAACTTTCTACTAAACACTATTTGGCTAATATATTATCCACATAATTGTTTACGACAACAGCGAAACAGTTACTTATACTACACATCGAGATATGAAACAATAACTAAAAATGATGCATGTATTTATATTGTATTGCAATATTATTTTACAAAGTAAAGCCATATTTCCTATTGCAAAACTTCTGAGTGTCATGTAAATCAAATCGCTAATATTAAACAAAACTAATCATTATATAACTAAATTCAATGTTATATTTAACCATTTGCTCAAGTTCTTACTTTTAACAAATTACTTAATAGTCGGATATCTTCGGCAATCCTCGTTTAGTTAATTTTCACAATAGATTCGTTATGAGTGAGTTGCCTAAAACGCCAACACAGATTTTTTTCGGGATATGTTTATTAACAAGGACATGAATTTCTACCATTTTTCTTTAAAGAAAGCTTATTAAATCACAAACATAAATAAGTTTATCACTTAAAATTGACATTACCTAATGTAATTAAGACGATTTGAGATTCATATCAGTACTATTTAATACTGTCTATAATTATTATAAATAACTAAATCTCTTAAAATACTAGTAGTCCATCAAAATACATACAATAAAAATCTTAAAGATGGTTTCACATTTATTTCTGTTTTTATGACATGTTTATATATTATTTAAATATACCTATAAATCTTTATTTAACCAGTTCCAGAGCTAGATTCTTTCGATATGATAGCTTCGGATGAAACATCAAAGCGTATGTTTTTCTTCTTTGTAGTACTGTATTTCTGCAAGGAAAAACAAGAAATGAGGGCATAATAACATAAATCAATGATTGATTTTAATGCCATTTATCTTTGTGAAAGACGAAATCGCTGCGACTAAAACCAATCATTTTATCAAATAAATATGATTTAAAAGTAGCAATAATTTCCATGTCTACTGTCACCGTGTATATCGATATAATTTTCCACATAAATATGTAGTTAATAAAAAAGGAGGATCACTTATATACATGTGTATTCAAGTTTCTCAATGCCTTTATTCTATTAAACTGATATGTATCAATTTAATAAAATAAAACATTTTAGCATACACAAGCTAGAGCTTAGTGTAGCTAAGTTCTTCAGCATTACTTATTATCATCATCATCATCATCATCATCAACAGCCTTTAATAGTCCACTGCTGGACATAAGCCTCTCTTATACGCTGCGGAAATCTATTATTGACTCAATGTACACATTATGTAGCTAAAATATCAAGAAGGTTGATAAAGTTAGAGACTTTGCATTGTATTGGATACTAAACTTCTGTTAGGTCAGCAGATTGAGACAATTGTTACGAACGCATCAAAGGCATTAGGATTTATAATAACCTTATCCACTTTTACATCTTTAAAACTATAAAAATCTATATTATGCATTTAGTACGCAGGTGTGGAACCCTTAATATGAAATATACAAATCGCCTGCAATCGCAATCGCAAATTGACTGTCGAGCGCAACAGTTCTCAGTTTATTACGAGTATCGATGTATGAGATACCACTTCTTACCCCTAAAATTCCCTTTTGAGCACATCATTCCGCTAATCAACGGAGTTGTGTCCCAGACGCCCAACGTTTATACATAATGAGGCCTAAGAAAGTTATTCAACATAACCACCAAACAACTTGTATTTGTGCTGTATTGTATACGCACCCATCCACTTACTAACTCACACACACTCACTCACTCACCCACACATAAACACATATCATCATCATCACATCAACAGCCTTTAATAGTCTACTGCTGGACATAGGCCTCTTTTTAGAAAGGAAGTTTTGGCCTACTGTACCACGCTGGCCAGACGGGTTGGTCTAGGGTTTGTGTCAGGGGTGCTAGGCTAGAAAACCTCCCCGTGGTGCACCCTGAAAACGCTGGCGATGGCACTGTTTCCTCCTTGTCCACTTGAAGGAGAGGATTATCGCCAGCGGCTAATATTCTAGCAGAAGAGGAAGCCGTTCATCGGCTCTCGGGCAAGGCCTGGTCCAGCAGGGTGGGCGTATATGCCGGTTGCCCTGCTGGCTCTTCGCTCTTCGGAGCATGGAGGAGGAAACCTCGGTAAAAAACCGGATGGCGGGGCCTGTAGGGGCCACAGTTTCTCCGCTGACAGCGGTGGAGAAAGGAGGACGGGTTCGGCGTGTACTGACACTACCACCGAGCAGGCAGGGGGACGTAGTCTCCCTGTCAACCGTCGGCATATCGTAATCCCAAGAAGAGCGCTGTGGTCAAGTCTCAACTCAGGGGTATTTGACGCCCAACTGCGTGAAATCCTCATCGCAGTTGGGAATATGCTAGACGGACGCCTGGCTGGCCTGGAGGCGAGACTGCCCCCTGCGCCGGTTGTGCGGCCCCCGCTCGCGTCGGCACAGCGGCCTAAGGCCGCCGCTCCGACCGCGCTCCCCGTAGTGGGAGGCCGCGTCTCTTACGCGGCGGCAGCGTCTGCCCCGACTCCATCGGCTCCCCAAAAGCCGAGGAGGGGGGCCAAGGCACCGGCCCAGGCGCCGGCCAAGGCACCCCCCCAGACGCCGGCCAAGGCGCAGGCCAAAGTGCCGGCCAAGGCGGGGCCTATAACGGCGCCGAGGAGTGGAGTGGCTTTCCCTCCGCTCCCCACTCCGACACCCCTGCCGGGCCCCTCCGCACCTGCCCCCTCCAACGAGGGTTGGCAGGAGGCGAGGGGCTCCAAGAAGCCCCGAAGGCGGGCCAGAAGGGCTGCCCAAAAAGCAGCCCAAGCCCAGCCTTCGCCACCGGTGGCAACGGCCTCTACAAAAAGGCCGCGGAAGCTGCAGCCGCCCAAAACCGCGGCTGTAGTGGTGACCGTGTCCCCGAAGGCGGCTGACGGCGGGCTGTCCTACGCGGCCGTCTTTAAAAAGGCCCGGGACAGCCTCGCCGATGATTTTGGGACGGTAGGGGTCAGGATGCGCCTCGCCCAGACGGGAGCTCGAGTTCTCGAGTTCCCTGGGGCTGAAGGCGCTAAGACGGCAGACACGTTTGCTGAGAGGCTGAGGGGTATATTCGCGACCACAGATGGTATCAAGATCGCCAGGCCTACCAAGTGCGCGGAGCTGCGCATCTCGGGCCTGGACGTCTCTGTGACGGCCGATGATGTCCGCGCCGTAATCCGGGAGAAGACGGGGTGCAGCGCTGACAACGTCAGGGTCGGCACCATCCGCCCCGGTCCAGGTGGGCTTGGCGCCGTGTGGGTCAGCTGTCCCGTAGCGTCGGCCAAGGTATTGGCCGACGCCGGCAGGCTGCTCATCGGTTACGTGAGCGCTAGGATCACAGTCCTGGCGGCCAGACCGATGAGGTGTTACAAATGCCTAGCATCGGGACACACGCGCGTCAAGTGTCAAAGCTGTTTTGAGCGACCACAGCGGACTATGTTTCCGCTGTGGTCGACCGGGGCATGTGGCGGTGGAATGCTCTGCCGCCCCTCACTGCCCGGTGTGTTCGGCGGGTAACAAGCCCGCCAATCACCAGATCGGGCAGGGGGGCTGCAAGCCTCCCCGCAACTCTCAGCAAGCATCGGGGGCTAGCCAGTCGACCCAGGCCGCCTTCGATGTAGTTCGTGCATCGACGTCGTCGCCCATGGAGGAGGAGGTTGTAGAGACGACCCAGTAATGGATCAAGTCTCCAACCTCCTGGTCCAGACGAACCTGAACCACTGTGCCGCGGCGCAGGATCTCTTCCTGCAAACCATGGCACAGTGGTCGATAGGTGTTGCCGTAGTCGCGGAGCCCTATTTTGTCCCTCCCCGTCCAAACTGGATGGGTGACTGGGACGGCTCCGTGGCAGTCGTCGGTTCCACGGCGGCTCATTCCCCGCCCTTGTCGCTAAGAGACAAGGGTACTGGATATGTAGCTGCCGAGAGGGGGGGATCACTATATATGGTGTATACTTCTCCCCCAACCGGAGTTTGAGCGACTTCGAGGTTTTCCTAACCAGCTTGGAGACCTCGATACGGCGACTAGCGTCTGGGCACGTCCTTGTGCTGGGGGACTTCAACGCAAAGTCCATTGCGTGGGGTTCCCCCAGGACGGACGCAAGGGGCGAGGCCGTAGAGGAGTGGGCGGCCTCAGTGGGCCTCTGTCTTCTCAACAGAGGCTCCACCAACACGTGCGTGCGACAGCAGGGGGGGTCGATAGTGGACCTTTCGTTCGCTACCCCTGCCCTCGCCGCACGAGTAAGGAACTGGCGTGTCCTGGAAGAGGTTGAGACGCTCTCGGATCATCTCTATATCCGATTTGAACTCTCCCGGACCCAGGACTCCAGTAGGGGTCACGTGGGACGGTGTTTATCCCGCTTTCCGCGGTGGGCTGTTGCCAGACTGAACCGGGACCTACTAGAGGAGGCAGCCATAATTCGCTCGTGGCTGTCTCCTTAGGCTCCGACCGAGGAGGTCGACGTGGGGGCTGGTCGCTTTCGCGATGCGATTACGCATATCTGCGATGCGGCCATGCCCCGCATTTGAGGTCGTCGGCCTCCAAGGAAGGAGGTCTACTGGTGGTCCCAGGAGCTGGCGGACCTCCGTGCGGCCTGTACACGTGCCCGGAGGTCCTACACGCGCAGTCGGCGGCGTCACCGTGGAGACGGTGAGGAGGACCGGCTTCATGAGGAGTACCGACAGGCGCGGAAAACTCTGAAGCTGGCCATTAGCCGCGCCAAGGAAGAAAAGAGAGAGGAGATGCAGGAGTTGTGTTGATCGTGACCCCTGGGGTCGCCCTTACCCGCGGCGGCGACAAAAGACTCTCCAGCCCAGCTTCCTGCGAGAAGTGGTTGAGGGCCTTTTCCCGCAACGAGCGGAACACACTCCCCCGGCGATGGCCTCCTTGGCCGGAGACGACGGGGAGCACGAGGAGGATGATGTTCCGCCCGTCCGGGATTCGGAGGTAGGGGCGGCTGTTCTATGGATCCGTTCCAAGAACACCGCCCCTGGGCCAGACGGGGTACCGGCCCGAGTGCTGGCCCTAGCCCTCAACCACATGGCAGACCGCCTCCGGGAGGTGTTCGACGCTAGCTTGGTGTCGGGACGTTTCCCTGAGTGCTGGAAGAGCGGGAAGCTGGTCTTATTAAGGAAGACGGGACGGCCTGCCGATTCGGTCGCGGCCTACAGGCCTATCGTACTGCTGGACGAGGCGGGTAAATTGTTTGAGAGGGTTCTCTCTGCACCCATCGTCCGGCACCTCTAAGAGGTGGGCCCCGATCTGTCGGACGCCCAATTTGGAGAGGCCTATGTCCAGCAGTGGACTAGTATAGGCTGTTGATGTTCGACAGTCGACGCTGTTTTGCGCCTGAGGGCCGTGACCGAAGAGGCCGTGAGCTGTGGCGGCGTGCTGTTGGCGGTGTCATTGGACATCGCCAACGCATTCAATAGTCTGCCATTCAGCTGTATCAGGGAAGCACTCCACTATCATGGGGTGCCAAAGTACCTGAGGCGGCTAGTGGCAGACTATTTAGAGGAGCGTACCGTCGTGTACGAGGACCGAGATGGTAATTTAAGGTGTCGGCCCATGTCGTGCGGTGTTCCACAGGGGTCTGTTCTTGGACCCCTCTTGTGGAACATAGGGTACGACTGGGCCCTTCGGGCCGATTTCCCCCCGGGCTGGGTGCAATTTGTTACGCAGATGATACTCTGGTTACAGCCCGGGGGGCGAACTTCCAAGAGGCGGCGCGCCTGGCCAGAAGGGGAGTCTCCCTGGTGGTCGGGCGCATTGAGGCGCTGGGCTTACGGGTGGCCCTAGATAAGACGGAGGCTCTGTTATTTCATGGGCCCCGTCGTGGTCCACCCCCTGGCGCCTCAATCGTGGTCAACTCGGTCCTCGTACCGGTTCGGGCCCAGATGAAATATCTGGGCCTGATCCTCAACGGGAAGTGGCTCTTCGACGAGCACTGCTGACAGCTTGCTCCAAAGCTGGTCGGCGCTGCGTCTGCCCTAGGGCGACTTTTGCCCAATTTGGGTGGACCCAGCGTCGCGACAAGACGGCTGTACACGGGGGTTGTCCGGTCAATGGCACTATACGGTGCACCGGTGTGGGCGGCGGCTCTGACCGCCCAGAATAGGGCACGCCTCTGGCGCCCTCAGAGGGTAATGGCGGTCAGAGCGCTACGCGGTTACCGCACCGTTTCGACGGAGGTGGCGTGCGCGTTGGCCGGATCTCCCCCGTGGGATTTGGAGGCGAAAGTGCTCGCCGAAGTTTATCGGCGAGTGGCTGACTCCCGGGCGGAGAGCGGATTTCGCCCGCCGCCCGAAGACGTGCGCGAGTGGCGCGAAGCTGCACGCCGAGCCACGATGGCTCGTTGGTCGTTCCGGCTGGAGACTCCACGCGCTGGCTTCGCCGCAGTGGAGGCTCTCCAGCCGGTCATCGCCGAGTGGGCAGGGCGGCAGCACGGGATCCTTACCTTCCGGCTGACGCAGGTGCTTTCCGGGCACGGTTGCTTCGGAAAGTACCTGCACTCGGTCGCTAGGAGGGAACTGAGTCCCGCCTGCCACCACTGCGACTGCAGTGAGGACTCGGCCCAGCACACGCTGGCGGTCTGCCCGGCATGGGTGACGCAGCGCCGGGCCCTCACTGCAGTCATCGGAGTGGATCTCTCGCTACCGGCCGTAGTACGCTCCTTGGCCGGTAGCGACAGTTGTTTTACCGCGGTCGCAACCTTCTGCGAGGAAGTAATCTCGCAGAAGGAGGCGGCAGAGAAGGCCCGGGAGGACGACCTCCACTCGGACCCGATCCGCCGCCGGCGAACCGGGCGGCGGAGGCGCGCTTATCACCGCCTCATGCCGTCCTGAGTGTGGCCGCGGGTGGACGGAGTGGGTTTCCCCTCCACCCGCATTAGTTTGGCCAGCCGCGAGGGGGCGGCGTCCGCGTGTGCCGGAAGTCGCCTAAAGAGAGGAAAATTTTGAGACGGGGCCCGCAACAGGAGCGGGCCGGCGCTAGGAGGGGTCCGGATGTCTTAATAACAGCTGTTCCTGGATCCCTCCTATTACAGGCGCAGAGTGGCACACCGTGTGGTTTTAGTCGGTCCGAGTCCGACACACCACCCCGCCGCAAACCCGGTGGGGTGACGGTCCGAGGGGATTTCCACACGTTAAAAAAAAAAAAAGGGTTTGTGTCAAGTTTTCCTTCTTTATGCAGTGCTGGTGTCCTGCGTTGTTTTACGTCCTTATTCGGTTCTTACGACACCCACGGGATGAATTTGGGTTGTGACATCCCGTATTCTTAATCCGTCACTACACGGACAGAAACAAAATACTTAAAAACACAAACAAGATAAAAACACATACTTTACAAGCAAGCACACATCAAAATTTTTTTAATACATTCAAATTCACAAAATAATAGAATAAGGATGTTAACAGCGTATGCTAATGTAAAAATTTGTGAAATCAAACCCTAAATTGTATGTATGAAGGAAACTATATAGGAGTTATTGCATCACTTTATGTAAAGGGGTATGCCAGGCCACCATAGTGGTTTAGGCCCTGAGCCCATATGTGAAAATGGATGAAAATATTTCTTTGACAGATAAATAATTTATTCACAAAAGACAAGTTAAGACAAAACTTGGGGTTTCATAAATGTCAAGGTTTTTATTTTTTTTCAATGTAAGGGTTTAAATAAGCGCAATAAAGTTTTTGGAAACCCTTCCTGTATACATATACCTAGTTAATATTATATTTATAATCCATCCATCCATGTCAGCCCATAAACCTCCCACTACTGAGCATGGGCCTCCTCCAATGGTGGATGAAGAATTTGGCCTGCTATACCATGCTGGCCAAACGGGTTGGTATAGTTTTCCTGCTCTTTTTTGATCTTAGATGGTTGAAAATGAAACTCAGTTTAAATAGTTAAACCTTTATTCATCATACACTACTAAAACATCATCTAAAAATGGAGCAGGAGGCAAAATATTACCTTGATGCCATGCCCACCCCAAATACCATAGCACTGTCATGACATGGGCACAGCATCCTACTGTACAACGGCCAACAATGCAGTTGCAGCAGTATTGTTTGATAGCCTCGCTACCAGTTTCCGTATTGGTAACTAGTATATATATGAAGTATATTTTGCGACTGATGTGTCGACTTGCAATTCTTGTTCTAAGTAGGTAACAATTGGAGCCAAAAATTTGTTTTTCCATTATTCTATTCCTAGAGTCTCTAGAGACTTCTATTTGGTATGAACCGTTGGTCCTTATATGCTCTCCATACTAATTATATTTTCCCTGTCAACATTATTATTTTGGAAATCTGCTCTGGCTCTATTGAGATTATGATCCCTAACATAATCTGAAAGGTCATTGTTTCTGTTCATATTCCTGTTCACAATTTCAATTATTTCAGTGGCATCATCTCTGTCTCGTAATCTGGTGTGATATTTATTTATAAGAGCAGCAGCCACAGAGAAATCTATCATTAGATGCTTGGAAGCTCTGTTGAAAAAGCTTTGCCTAAATATTTTAAACTAGTTTTAATATTCCATTCACCACTTCCACCACCCATCGACATAAAGTAACAGCTCTTGATTTATTTGATTCTCTAGTTGTTAATTGTGACTCACCATCTTTTGGGGATAATGGTATATGGATATTATAGCCACAACTCCTTAGGAGCGGTAATGAGTCTCTAAAACCTTTGTCGAGAATAAATACATCCTCAGGTTCAAAAAATTGACGGCAAGGACGACTTTCAAACATTGTGTGCTAGGAGCTCTAATACAGTTAGGCTACTGCAAGCCATGAGATGAAGTTGTATTCTTCCTTCAGCTTGTGCTTGGGAAGATTCAATGTTCAATAATGGGTGACTTGACACTGCTGATTCCCAATCTGAAGTAAAGCGAACAGCTGCTCTTTCAGTCCTTCGCCAACAGTTATGACAAAGATGGGCTGATCTTGGCCACTGTCAAAGAAAAAAGATAAATGTTTTTTCTCTTAAAATGGTAAAACAACAATCCTCAGAAAATGATTCGACAAAGAAGTCTATCCCATGTAGGTACTTTTATTTGAATGAGCGAGTGTGGGTTAAATGCATTAATATGAAAGGAGTGGCAACGGATAGTGAGGTGCGTTACCAGCCAGACCAATGACCATGACTACTCTACTGAGTGTGATAACGAGTGAGAAGATTTTAATTAACAATTTATCTATAATATGTGTTTAAAATAATATTTAAGTATGCTTATCAGCAGTCTGGTTACCACAGTAGAGGCTCTGCCTAGTTTGGGACCAGTCAGCCGTATGTGAGATGTTATTATTCTTTATTCTTAGAACATTACAATATAGCTATAATTCAACTACCTGGATAGACACTTTATCTCAGTCTAAGACACATTACAGCTATTCATTTTAAGTCTGATTGTAACCACTCTTAACTCTCTTTACAAAATAAATTCCTAACAATAATATCCTATATTATCTTACCTCACATGGTGCAATTTGATGGGTAATAATATTCCTTATTTGTTCGCAATGTGGTGTGGTTAAAGCTAGATGACCCTTGCCTTAAAAGCAAAGTTCCACAGCTGATGCATACATGAATGTGGCCAACGAGAGGCTCAGGCCGTTGACTGGTTGGCATCCTGATTTCATTCCATGCATTGGTCCAACATGTATGACATACCAAACTATCACTCGAAACTTGCTAGAAATTAGATTATGTTGAGTGTTATAAAGCCATTTGCAGTTTTTTGTATGTAGGTTAGATGTATTTATTTACCTGCAGCTGTCCAACCCATCTTTGTATAAGGGATCAGCAATTTCCAATGCGTGTCTTCGCATTCTTGAAATATTTAAATTACAATTTACACAGCGGACATAACCACTAGTAATATTAGTAGACGGTCTTTGCAGAGAAGAACTAGAACCAGGTTGAATGTCAAAGTCTTCGGTCAGTACTATCATCAAATCCAAGTTATCGCGGGGGTTGTCGTTATCAGTAGGAGCGGCATCCATATGCAAGCCGTGGTTGTCAGGTAAAGAAGAATCGTCTGTCAGTATTCATGGTCAGAATCAACCCTTTAATATTAAATAATATCGAGAAACACGCACAAATCACGGTGATGCAAAGGCAAACAAAGTAAGGATAAATTAACAACTGGGTAGCTTATTATTTTAAAACTCTAATCAAACTGACGTTTGAGTAGTTTTAAAATAATAATACTATACTTGCCATTTAATAAACAAAATATCGTATTATCGATCGACGCAACAAGTAGATCAGTATTTTATATGCTCATTGTCAATGTATAATTATAATACAATAGAATTTTAAAATACTCAAATGTATATAAACAAAGTACAAGTAAGTAAAAAAGCTCAATGTGAATATTTTGTCAAAGTACTATTTGATTTTTTTAAGAAAAGTTGGCAACCCAGAAAATGGAAATGTCAGTGTATCAAGATAAAATTGTTTTAGTGTTATTTAATTTGCCAAAAATTATTCTGTCTTTTATCCTGACTTGAATAGCAAAGAAAATTAAGAAAATTTAAATTATGTTTTTTCAGCAAAATACAATTTTTGGGCGTTCTGGGCCTAATATCGGCATTCCCCTTTGAAGATTGTTACTAAAATGCTGTACTTTTTGTGAGAAGAAATAAATAAATATATTATTATATTATTCGGTCTTAGTATTATAAAATCTAAATTCGTCCTTTGAGACGTTGAGAAATAACCTTAATCATTGTTTTAATTAAAAATATAGTCCTGACCTTGTCTTTAGCTCTAGGATCTGTGTTCTTTGATCGTTCTTTCTCCAGGTCTGTATGTAGTGACGCCAGCTCCGTTGTCAGTTCAGTCTGCACCGCCCGTAGCCGCTCCACCTCCACCAACACCTCGGCTTTGTCTTTCACTGGAAATTATACTTTTGTGTTAGGTGTAGTGGGCAAACGAGCAGACGGCTCACCCGACGGTGAACCGTGCCATTGGCCACCTGGAACTCAAGAAATATAAGTAATTAGATATTTTGGACTTGATAATTCTTTGGACTTGGAACGACAGGTTTGTCATATCGAGAGCGGGAATAAAATATTTTGACGCTCTTCCTTCCTTGATAATAACCGTCTTCTTTGGTCTCGTCCGTTGGGGCCATTCATTAATTACGTAGTCCCCATGGGGAAAGAAAATGGTTAAGAAAATCTATACATGCCCTTATCTTCAAGGGAGGAGGGTAAAACCCATTCTTAGTTATATCTGGATAGTTATCTAATAATATAATCTTTATCTGATAGCAATCATCATCATCATCAACAGCCTGTAATAGTCCACTGCTGGACATAGGCCTCTCCTTAGAAAGGAGGTTTTGGCCTACTATACCACGCTGACAAGACGGGTTGGTATAGGGTTTGTGTCAAGTTTTCCTTCTTTTTGCAGTGCTGGTTTCCTGCGTTATTTTGCGCCCTTAGTCGGCTCTTACGACACCACTGATAGCAATGATAAAGTATAACCTAAAACTTCTTTACTAACCCTACTAACCTAAAACCTTAAGCTAAAAATTAAAAAACTTTGATTTACGTCAAACTGTGAGTTTTAGTGGAGCTGATCCTTTTCCAAAACTTCCTTACGTAACAAAATCATCCTTACGTAATTAATGAATGGCCCTTTTCCGTAATGGCTCGGGTGTTTGGAATACGAATTATAGGTTTAACTTTCTATCAAGAGTAAAAGAGAACACTAAGTACCATTGTACCATAGCGTTGTTTTATTGTGCTATCTGGAACAGAGTTTCATAGTTTGATCTATCAGCAATTATTGTATAGTTGTATAACCAGTAAACCTGTATACTAAAAAAAATTATTTGGAAACTTATCTGTAAAAAATCTAGGTGCAATCTTTGCGAAGTCTAAAAAACTAATAAGTTTTGGAAATGACCTAAAAATGTATCTTAAATGCAGAGCATTATTTATTAAAAAAAAACTATATGTAGACGGCAACTTACTTTCACCCTGACCTAGTATATTGCACAATTTTCTGTTTCTACACTTGACTGTAAATAGCTCCTCCTTTAGGCTTGTAATCTCTTTCTTTAAAGCTTCTATTTCTTGTTCTTTCCTCTCTAACGCGTCGGCGAACTGCACGCGAGTAATAATCTCGTCGGATATCTGCAGACGATGTTTTACTCTATCATTGATTTTGTCCTTTAAAATCTCATTTTTTGTTTCATTTTTGACCCTCTCGAAAAATTCTGTATCTTTTAATTCCGGGGTCTTCGCTACTTCAGCAGAATTCTTTTCATCAAAATGATTTACTAAAAATTTAAATAATTATTAGTTCTGTAATAGTCACAATACACAAAGAATTCACAATAGACACATGAAAGGAACTATTTGAATATTATAGAACTATGATTTTGCAGCTTTGCACATTGTACATCATATCGCCAGTCGGAAATAGTAGTGAAACATTTCAAAATAAGTTTGTTTTTGAGTTATATATGACTGATGATATTTTTTACTTATTATAGTTCTTTAACAATTTTGTAAACGCTTCTTACTGCTTATTCATAGTTTTAAACATTACTTGTTTTTTTTATTTATACTACTTGCTCTAATTAATACAAAGTACCTGGATGACCGAGCTTTGCTCGGTATTTTATTATTTTTCTAAAAATTAAACCTAGCTAGATCGAATAATCGCTAACGAAACCCCCTGCATACAATATATATATATATATATACAAGAATTGCTCGTTGATACCTTTCAACGAGCAATTCTTGTATATATATATATTGTATGCTTCTATAATTATGTTTCCATATATATATATATATATATATATATATTGTATGCTTCTATAATTATATCGTATGTTTCTATAATTTAAAAGTATTTTAAAGGATCTACTCCTACTTCGGAGGGAAAAACTATATACATATGGATACTGGGGGTTGATAAAAACATACGCTCAAACATATGTGAATATAATGAGCTTATGTTTTTGTTACATTAAAATTGGATGCATAATTAGTGTTTACTTCAAACTTACATTTGATATCTTCACCATTATTTACCAATTCATTGAACTGGTCCAGGCTCATAACATTTTTCTTCTTTTGTTTCTTGCTATTTGCACGGGCATTTTGTTCTTGCCCCTTTTTCTCTACGTCAGCTTCTTTCTTGGGGTGTTTGTGTACAATTTTCTTTTCTTCAAAGTCCAATTTGGATAAAAGAATGGCCTGTAAAAGTATTTTATTTTCAAATCTTGTTTATATTTGTTTCAAATATTAAATAAAATTTTAAGTTACCGAATTTGATGGTAATAGTTGTGATGCGAGTTCTATGCACATTTAAAGTGAATGAAAAGAACGAAGATATTTTACTAAGTACGTTGTTATTTTTTATTATGTCCCTAAATAAAAATCAGTCAGATAAAAATATTTTTTAAATTTTACAAAAGCATTTCTACTTTTGTCAAACATTTTAACCATAGCGACTTTCATGTAGTATTATATGACCAGACAAGCATAGAAATGACGAATCGTTGATCTTTGCATTGTTCCTTATAAGTCTCCTTGGAACACCTGAACGTCTGGAACTGTAACACCTCTACGAAAATATCTGACTGGGGCTACAATGAGGCTCTATTTAGCAACTAACCCGTTGAGTTGGCGGTAGTCTCACTCCTTCAGTGAAAAGCAGCGAAAGACTTGCTTAACACCGGTTATCAGCATTCTGGTCGAGCCGGTTCATATCTGCCGTAGCATTGGTCTTCACGGTAGACATTTTTTTTCTTAACGATTATTATTTGCAGTAAGTAGTAATATAGTATTTAAAGTGAAACTATGGATATGAAATATAACACTATAAAATATCACTATCACGCTGGCCCGGCGGGTTGGTTGAGGGTTTGTTTTAAATTTTTCTTCTCTTTGCAGTGCTGTTCTTTTGCGTAGTTTGCTCCTTTACTCGGCTCACTTACAGGATATATAGCGGGGGTTACACTTCGTATTTTTAATCCGTCCTCACATGGAGCCTTTAATATAATAGGGATAGGATAGGGAATAGTGAATAATACGGATCATTAAGTCGTCTCAGCATAAAAAGCTTTGTTATACCACCACTACACACACAGCACAAAGCGCGAACTAGTACCGCGAATGATCGATCGATTGGAACTGTTCTATTTAGTTAAATAAATCACTGCAGTTAACTGAAAAATAAAATAGTTACCCAAATAACTTCTAATTAATGCACCATAACTTACGTTTCATCGCACCATAACTTAACGTAACTTATCATCGTTTACAAAACTGACGAAATAAAATAATAAAATAAAATAATAAAAATAAAATGTTTATTAAACAGAAATATGTAAAATTTTACGTACAATTTTACATATTTCTGTTTAATAAACATTTTATCTTTACAAGTAAGAATTTACATTTTTGTAAGGAAAACTGATTTATTGAACGCATACTTGTAACTACAAACTTTCAAATTTTGTAAATTGTCAGACATTGTCCGACAAGACTCGCCTTCGATCAGAACCACGAAGCAAATACAAAGAGGTTTTGTAATTAGATTTTCCTATGAAACAACGCCTGATAATTTGGGGGTGAGCTGGTGTTAAACTCCGCCCACTTCACTTTTTTCCATCTACCAAATATTTAGTTTAGCTATCTCCCACTGAATGCAGGATGCAAGGGAGGTACTCAGAATGTTCGTACCAGTGAGTTTTTTTAAGAATATTTTTCTATACTATCTTGATACTTTCATCTATTGCCAAAACCTCCCTTTTTTTTTTCAGTGCGGAAATCCCCTCGGATACCACCTATCGGTGGCATGTCGGACTCGAACCGACTAGAACCGCACGCCGTCTCGGGTACTAATAGCCGGGGAACCAGGTATACCCTAGAAAGGAAGTCCCTGGTGCCCCGACATAAAACGGGCCATATACAACAAGTAGACGATCCCCCCCCCGTGTGGGAACCTTATGTTCCCTCTGCTCCCTGGAAGCGAGCGCGCTTCGCAACGCGCTCGCCGCCACCCCGGCCTGCTTCTGCTAGGGTGACAGATGGCCTCACCTGTCACCCCCAGGCGTGCGCTTATGGAGGATGGAGGTCGTTCGTTCCCCCCCCTCCCCCCGTCCTCGTGTGGGAACCTCCCTAATATTATAAAAGCGAAAGTTTATGTGTTCTTTCGTTCTCGTAGACTTATCCCACGCTATGTACTGTGTGTGCTATTTTTCACGCTGTAACGGCTAGACGATTTGGATAAAATGTGGTATACAGATATCTATCTGTATACCACATTTTATCCAAATCGTCTAGCCGTTACAGCGTGCAATACCCAGCGCCTAAAAGTCCAGGTAATAATCTTATTACCTGGACTTTTAGGCGCTGGGTATTGCTACTGTGAGAATAAAAACGTTTGTGATAAATGTAACGATTAAAATTTGTTCTCTTATTTTATCTGTATTTATGTGTACGTCTATCTTTTTTCCCATTATACCCCACTACGGAGAAAAAGAGTTTTATGATTTTCACTCATAATTAAATATTCTTAATTTTCCCTTACCCCGCAAATTGTCACGCGTTGTTTGATAGGTAAATCTAATTACAACACCTCCTCTTTGTATTTACTCTGCGGTTATAACTCATAAATGACCATTTCTTTAAAAATTTCGTAAAAATCAAGCTAAGTACAATTTCCCTTATTTTCATATTGGAAGTACTTTATTGGATTAACATTGAATTCCAATTACGGCCCTGACTTTTTGCTCAGTTTATGTATGTTTTCTAGTTGACGATAGATGACAGTCTGTTCACAAAATGATTAATAAAAAATTAGGTATATTGTTTTGGCGATTAAAAATTCTGTAGAACTAAATGCAGAGCAAATTTCAGTATTATCTGACTAAAACTAAGCTTTAAGTAACTTTTTATTTTTAGTTTAAATTACACGAAGTTTAGTCATCTAGTAACGAATAGAAGTAACTATACTTCAAATAATGGTTAGTGATCCTGACAGTTGTCACTAGTAAAAAGCACCACACGCTTTTTTTCAAATTTATTTTCCATTTTTTAGTTTGGTTTTCTATAGAAAGCGTGTTTTTTAGTTTTTTTAAACTTTTTTTTTTTAATTAGTGTATTGTCATCGGTCCTCCATATATCTACAAAGTTTGAACCAATTCTGACCGTTTAAAGTCAGTCAAAATCGCGCCCAAAGCAGTCGGTTACAAACATACAAACAAACATACAAGTGAAGCTAATATAAAGCGTGTAAAAAGAGATCTTCCCAGACCTAAATTAGCTACAAATGAAATGCGATGCCATCCATAGCTACAAAACGTCTATGCGTATTATTTTAACACGATAAAATACATACAAAATTTCATCCTTTTCTTTTTAATACCGATTTGCGAGTTTGCGACACAAGCGCACACTACGGACGTTGAGTGTACTAATTTTAAGCCACGCCCACTGTGACGTCGGACCTACTAAGAATCACAGTGCACAGTTGCTTATGCCCTCTCCTCTTTGTATTTGCTCCGTGGTCAGAACTTAAAAATTTTCTACCTCAATTCATTAAGAGGAGAAATTTAATTGTTTTACAACAAAAAACATAAACACAAAATATGGACATATTCCTCGTTGGTATAGGTTATCATCTTCAACAGTATCAGAAGCACAAATCAAAGTCTAGTTAGCAATGGTCAGTCACGAATAGAAAACAAAACAGTCCAAAAATACAAGCCAAGTTTTTAACTAGGTACTACCATGTTGCATGCTAATTCTTACTACTCCCAGTCTTTAATCCAATTTAATTATTTTTTTTATGACTTCTGATACTATCCTAGACTAATTTAATTTTTAGATAGCTGGCAATACGTACATGTTTTTTAATAAATCTGTAACTTAACTGTCATAGATATCTTTTTAAAATATTCGTTGAAGAAAAAAAAAAACAATTTTATTCCGTTTTCTATTATCAACCACCTACTTTAGCCCAGTTTATAAAATTAAGTAGAATTTTAGTGACGGAAATAATAAAACAACGTACGACACAAACAACGACACAAAATTGTAAACAATAAAAATTAGAATATCTAAGTTCTAAAAAAATAAAATTAGGCAAAATTTCGGCAATTTTTATAAAAAAATCCTTAAAAGTCCAATATCTTAAAAATGGTTAGGTTTGGGATATGGTATTTAATAGTGAAATCCATCGTAAATGATGGCAACTACAACCCTTTAAAGTAGGTCTACTTAAACAGTAACTTAGTATATGTATGTATCTATTTATGCAGGCGGGCAGAGGCCTCTTCCCCTGTACCCACATTCCGCGCGCACTCAATTCCTCTCATTGATTTAAGGCTAAATATTATTTTATTACATTTGAATTAGTGACCTAGTGAGCTGGATTATTCTTTTGGATTAAAATAATGTTATCTAGCCGATCAAATTTTTTTTCAAAATTTGACACTATTCAAGAAATTACTTGAAGTTTTAAGAATTCAAGTTATAAGGCATAGCTAACAAAACCCTCACATTAAATCTCTATACTTAAATAAAATAATTACATACAAATAGAATTATCTGAAATTCTTTATAAAAACATTATTTTATTTGTACAATTTAAATAAAATGTAAATTTGGTAAAAAAAATGAAATTCGAAAAGAAGAAGAAACAATTTGAAAAACTCTAAGAAGTCTAACTTACTTGTTGGAGTTCAGTTTCAAAGTTGCCATCAATGAGTTCCTCATCTTTCTGTTTCCAAATCTCCCACTGTTCAGCAGAGGTATTATTTTGCTTGTTTTTCTTCTTCTTTGGTGCAGGTTGGCTCTAAAACCGAAAACAGACCTTAAAAACTGTTGTTGTTTATTGTTATGTTTAATATAAATAATAAGAGCCAGTAATAATTGAAAGAATTGAAATACAAAGTAAACATTTAAAAGAATTTTACAATTTCAACCAGTAGAGTTCCTAAGGTTAGTACATACCAAACTTAGAAACTCTACTGGTTCAAATTGTAAAATTATTTTACTGTTGGATAGCTAATTTATTGAGGAAGGCTATATGGCATCCGAGCATCAATGAAAAATTTTGCAAACGTGGCAACTATTATAACAGTTTTAGTTATTAGATTTTTAAGTAATTCTTATAGGATAATACAAAAATATACTGAATTAAACTTACTTCTATGTTTTAATGGTAATACTTCTTTGGTAAAAAAATGTACAAAAATGTGAAGACAAAATTATTATATTATTAAACCATACTAAACAACCATTTCAGTTTCATAGGAATAATTAAACCATAGCACAAAAGTTTCACTTAGACAGGCCATGTGATATTATTGGAAACATTTTAATCGATTTGGTTACAGTTTCGGATATATTTCAATTTTGGAGATTTTAGAGATATCTGATTGTTCTTTGATAATTCAAGTGTGAAGACATCATCATCATCATCATCATCAGCTTTTCGCAGTCCAATGCTGGACATAGGCCTCTACCATTGGACTCCACTTAGATCGATTTTGAATTAATTTAAATCAAATTATAACAAAACCCCCTCACATAAAATCTCTATACTTAAATAAAATAATTACATATAAATAGAATTATCTGAAATTCTTTACCAAAACATTGTTTTATTTGTACAATTTAAATAAAATGTAATATTTGAAAAATGCAGTCTAACTTACTGGACACTTAAAAAAAATGCTAATGTTTGCTTCTTTCAGCTAATGCTATACAGCTTGTTAATGGTTTTTTCGATTTTGTTTTTTTTTTTATTGATTTATTTCAATATCTTGTGAACACATATTTAAAACTAATTTTAAATTACCTACCATATAAACATAAGTATTGTTGTCTTAACATATGTTGCCATTGATATGATTTGATTGCCATTGATTGATATGATATTATAAGATTTTGATTTCAAAATGATCTGAAGGCCAATTCTCATAATAAAATCCAGTTCCGATCAAGTTTCAACCTCTCAACTTTTATAAAAGGTATTTTGGTAGTAAAGTAGGTATTAAACATCCAACATTGACTGTAATGTGGTTATATCATTGTGATCGGGGTTTGAATCGGTAATCTGCTAGTCTTAGTAATACTTTATTATTTCACTATGAAAATACCATACTATACTCTTAGAAGAGTCTTATAAGTTTAAAAATGAGGTTTAATGGTAATAGTAAACATTCCTATCAACCTTAAAAATTGCACTTTATATTATGATATCAGTGTAAAATTGTTTATTATGTTTGTGAGGACAGGGTCTATGCGATTAAAGGGTAAACTATAAAAACGAATGGAAAAAAATAGGAAGTATCTAAAATATGCAATTACTTGATAATAACAGCTAAATACTAAGCTAAAAGCAGGAAATACAATTAGAATAAAAACACTGGTATTTAAATTTATTAAATAGAAATGGCTTTACTGATGTGATCGGAAAGGAATAAATAAAAAATACAATTTTCTATAGACATCTTTGTTGGCAATGGATCAGGATCTCAATATATTATTATGTCCATTCCTATAATGCTTTAGAAAGGGATACATCTATTTATTTTTTTAGTTATTTTTTCATTTAAATTGAAGCTAACAATTCCTTCATAGCAATGTGGCCAAGATCATTATAAAAATTAGTCATATCAAATTCTGATCTGTGCCTTTATCCATCAGCAGAAATAACTTCTTTTTATTTATTGTTAAAATTTTCGCGTACCTGTGTTTTTGGAGTAGTATTATTCTTTGCTTTCTTTGAAGGCTCGAACTTCTTGGCACTGTTAATTTTAGCAGGTTTTTTAGATTTTTGACTTTCGCTAGAAGAAGGATATTCATCATCCTCTATCTTGAGGCCGGCAAATCGAGATGGTACTACAATTGCAGCCATTTTTCGAATACTGTCCTGTTTGATCAAAATATTGTTAATAATAATGTATACACCATTTTTGTTAAATATAAAAGATTGACCTATATTTTAGAGGCAGATGCTGTCGATCACAACAAATGGCAGGATGATGTGTATATTCTGATTTGTTTACATTTTGCTCTAATAATATTACACAAATTTTATGAACATTATCACACAAGTACATACCTTATCAATGCAATTGAAAAATCGATGATTTATTGAATTTCCTTTTAATTATAAATAAACAGGCAGACAGACTAAACTTCCTTTTCTTAGAAACAAGGGGATGGGGGTGAAAAAGTTCTCAGGAACCAGTGTGACCATTGTTTTTAAAGGGGTTCTACTGTAAGTCAAAATATTTTCTACTACAAATACAAAAGTACAAATGTGAGAGACCGTTACAAATAAATGACCCGAATTCGTAGTTTTTAAAGATCTGATATGAGAAAGTAAAGCAGTGTATCAGAAATAATAAATTAAAATTCTACTAAACGACATGATAACAACAAGAACAGTGACTTAAAAGTCATAGCTCATTCCACCCATCCGACGCCCGACCACCTTGTCACTCAGTATCGACTCATTGTCGACGGGTGGTATACGGGTAGTTGTCGCGCTTTAACCAGAAAACGATCCGACAGATACATTGAACCCATACGCGAGTTTACCATTCTGTCACCAAGTGGTTCACTCGCAGTCTACACGTGGTCAATCCGCGAGTAAGGCACTCCGGAGTTGATGTAGTGAGCGTATACCCATAGTACTCCATGCAAAGAATACTAACCAATCAACTAAATAATTATATTAGATTTATTTGATCACTTAGATCCTTTCAGTTCCAGCGAAAAGTTTTATGTGGAGTGTTATTTATTAACGTAATCTTGAAAAATACTTTAATTCACTTGTTATAATATAAAGTTTATTTTAAAATACATTTACATGTACAATAAATTATTGCTCAGTAAGGTCCACAAGAATAGAATTCTACTTCTCAGCAAACGTTGTGTAGGAAGGCCATTGGTGTAGATGTAAGGTCGGTTTAAAACCAATTAAACCAATCCGTTTTAAAACCGAAATGAAAAATTTATTTCGATTTAAAACGGTTGGTGTTGATGATTATGTTTTTTTTATTTTCTTGATTTTACCGAGGTATGGATATAACGGAGTACCTAGACACTGTATTAAGATTTTTTATATTGCGTGTACCAAGCATAGGGGATTACCTACCTAAGTTATAAAAACTCTAACGATAAGTTAAAAACTCTGTATTACCCGTAATTTACCTCTGTATTAACCTACATACCTACTTAAGTTTTCGTGTAGTGGGCAATGTAGGGTAGGTGCTTTATTGATTGTCTATAAACTAATGAAAACGAAACATGACGCCAGGTGACCAAAAATTGCCCATAATGAAGTGTAAAACAGTTCTTTAATTTTTGTACGCGAGTTTTCAACCGTTTAAAACGATTTATTTGGGGTTGTAAACGGCAACATTTTATTTAAACCATTTTAAATCGGTTGTTTCACATCTATACCCACAGATCAGAAAGAGTGACGACTTGCGCAAGATAGCTGGCAGGAGCTGAATGCGAGAAGCCCAAAATCGATCTAAGTGGCGTGCAATGGGAGAGGCCTACGTCCAGCAATGGACTGCAATAGATTGATGATGAAGGTCCACATTTACACCAGTCCGCATAATCAAGGTCCAAAATTAGGCCTAACTCATCACAAGAGCAATTTTTTTTCTTTTATAATTTTCTTTAATTAATAAAAAAAAAATCTATAAAATATTTGAAGATGTTGATAAACTGATAGGTATCTAACTTTGATGTACAAAGTTTGTCACTTATATAAGTATACACAAAAGGTTAAATAAGAGGCTTATGTCCAGTAGTGAACTATTGAAAGGGATTACATACAAAAATAAGTGTTTTTTTTTTTAACTGGATTACGAAAATATTCTCTACAAATAGTTTCTCTTGTTAGAAAACAGTTAGTAATGTGTACTTATTTAATCTGTAATAAGATATGTTTAACCTGTGGTAACGCAATGACGGGCCAAAAATATGCTAAATAATAGAATAGAATAGAACCAACCAACCAACGGACCAACGATGAAAAGAAACTTGCTCTTTGAAAACCAAACATATCAACGGGTCTTGATGAATTAAGTGATAAACTATATAGAAAGTTTAGATACACGTTTCGCCACATAAAGTAAGTACTAGGACCTCGAAAAACAGGCTTATCCAAAAAATAAATTATTTAATTTCACGAATTTTACCCAAACAAATATTTTAAAGGACCAATACAAAAGTGAAGGTACTTTACTTTTATTTAATGGTTGATTTCTAATTGATAAACGAATAGTGTAGTGGTATTGATTTAAATTATGTGAAGGACCTATAAATAAAACGATATTATTACAGGCCAAAGTCGAGAGCTGCAAAGAGAATTTTGTAATGGATAATCAAACCTGTATTTTTCTCGGAATCAAAGTTAAACCTGGACCGATAGAACGCCATAAACTCGACAACTATGGTCTAGACAACACTGTGGATAGTTTAAAAACTGAAGCTGAAAAGAAGTCTAATGTACCCTCTGCTTCTTTAGGTACAGTAATAATAACTTCATACATCTCACACACGGCCGTTTGGTCCCAAACTAGGCAGAGTTTGTATACTATGGTAACCAGGCTACTGATAAACATATGTTTCTAAGCACATGAATATATATTATAGATAAAATAGTTCCAGACACAGAACAAAGTATTGTTCTCATCACACTATTATTTATCCTGAGGGACCCATGACTTCTGGCTTAGCAGTCAGGGTAATCTAATCACAGACCAATAGGCCCCTCAGTGTTGTACTTGTTTATACTTGCTAATATTATAAATATCAAAGTGAGGTTCCTTGTTTCTTTGTTGAACTAGTCTTCATGACACATAATGTCAGGGAGACAGAACAGAATAAACCTTTCAATGTGAAGAAAAGAATGTTTCCAAAGCATAATAAATTGATTTACTAAATCTGTATTCACACAGTTGAAGCTAGAAGCAAAAGCTCAAAGTCAATACTTAGCAAACTGTATGTAGGTTTTGTACAAACATTTTGTAAAGCCAAATGTCATATTTGAAAGTTAATGACAACTAATAATTTTTAGTTTAGATAATAATGAAAGCATGCAGTGTAAAATTCTGCCAAAAAAAATTTAGTCCTTAACCTCTCATGAGCCACGAAATGCTGCTATCCTGTAAAGTGCCCACACCAGTAAGCGCTGCACAGTGTAGCGGCACGTGAGAAGTTAATCATTTGTCCTTAATTTATTTTACAAACTTATGTTGACAGGTTTATTCCCTCTTCAAATAATGTTTAACTATGGATTTCAGCCTTGTAATTCCTGAATAAATTTATTATATATATAGTTTTACTATTAATATTTATAGTTAAAAAGGATAAAACTTAAATGTTTTCCTTGGAATAGATCTAGTAAAAACAGTATTTTGTTTCAATTTGTCCCTACTGTAGTATTGTATTTTTTAAAGATGAGAAGACCCAAATTAAACCACATTCTACAAAAAAAAATGTTATTACAGAATTGATCCATCATGGTAAGATCTTGAAGGATGATCTGACACTCCATGACAGTGGAGTAAAAAGTGGAGAGATGGTACATGTGGTGAAAAAGAAGGTCCAAACACCACCTCCACCTCCTCCAACATTTACTGATAATGATCTTCAACTGCTAAACAGTTCTTTGAGAACTTTAGGTTGTACACCAAATGCTCCTGGATGGACTAGAGCTATGCAGGTATTCCTAATATTATTAAAATAGTAATATAGATTTCTTTCTGTAATACAAGTTACAAACTACCATGGTGAAGTTTTCATTAGACTATCAAAATTAAATGTTAAGTAATTATTATCTTCACAGCTCAGTTTATATGTCTGAAGCCAAGTTTAATCTGTTAGGTTTGCTTCAGACTTATCAGATAATCTGGTTGAAACAGGAGTTGCAGAAATATTTTACCAAACTTTAGCTTTATAACAAAAACTCATTTTGCAGGTTATTAATATTGGAATAGGGTTATTTTTTAGTACTTATTATATTTTAATTTTATATAAATCTATTGGCATTTACAGTTATTGAATGATGAATCTGCAATGGCCGAGATTGTAGAGCAAGCCCCTTCCATTGGAGAAGACTGTGTAGCTCTATCAATTCTACATGAAGTGGAATTATTAGCTGCTTTAGGAGCTAACATACACACTATGAGAAGAGGTGCCAATGCTCATCCAGAGTTACCAGCTGCTTTAAGACACCTAACACGTCTCGTACGATCTCGCAACAGTACAACATCTTCTACTGACAGTGGTAATAAAACTTACTTTATTATCAATATTTAACACATATTTGTACATAATTAAAGTTTCAGTGGTCATCCGAATACTTCCACGGTCTAAAGTTGCAGACTGCAGCCGCAGTTGGTATTGCTCTTTGCAGTTGCAGTCAAATGTATTGTTGCCTGCAGTTGCAATTTTTTTTCTTACGAAACTGACTGGAAACCTCATATACCGCGACTAAATAACCTTATTGTTTCAATGCCGTTACGAGAGACAGAATGCCCTGCATTAGAACCGATTGTTGATTATTCTGATGTCATACTTAAAATGCAAAAAAGGAAAAACTAACATACTTATAACAGAAAGCAGATTTCAGAAGTTAAGACAGAGTTTAAAACTCGATCCAAAGGTGAAATCCGGTTTCTGTTTTAGAAATCACTATCATCATCATCATCACATATATCATCTCTGCTTAGTTAAGCATAGATAGTAAAGTGTGATGTCCTTGGTGCAAATTCAAAATTTTAATTAACTCCTCGGCTTGTTATTCCTGTTTATTATTATTTACTAGTTCTCACTTTCATCATTAAATTAATGTGAACATAATATGTATGATTGTCAATCACAAGTTCTGGCTAGTTCTAGAGTAATCTGTTCAAATTATTGTAAATTTTCTTTTAGTCCCCACATCCGGCTTTGCTTATTCATTAGAAGCACTATCAGAGGATGAGGATGCAGATGAAGAAGAAACAGAAGAAACTGAAAGAAATCCTATCACCCAGGAACAGTTTACTGCAGCTTTGCAGGTCAGTTCTCAATATCAAAGGCACATACATGGTTCAATTTTAGAATAATAAGCATAGACAGTAACATAGAATTACAAAAATAATGATCTTTTTGAATGAACTGGGATTTAATTTTTTACCTATGTAGTTGGCGATTTGTATAAATATTTTACTAGCTAATCAAGGTACTGGTCCTAATTATTATACAGTTTTGCTATTTTGATGACAGTTAGTTTATCCCTTTACTGTAGAAGTCTGCTGGATGGGAGGTAGTTAAGTCAGCGAAAGTGTTTTGTATGGCCTCTCAGAAGTTGAATTTTTTCCACTTAAAAAAAATGTCTAAATTTACAACAAACACCTGCAACTCAAGAGTCACAAGTACGTTTCCGCTTTTTTAAACTCCTCTGGGAGGGGTCTCAGGAATAACAGGTGGGATTTGGGTTCCAGTATCCCCACTCCCTCTATGAAAAGCAAAGAAATAACTGCTTGACATCGGTTTTCTGTGAGGCTGTGTTATCAATCCGGTTGAGTCAGATAATAAACAATCATTTAATTACGACTTGAAGTAGCTTTTAAACAAAGTTTCGAATGGAATTAAATGTAATTTAAGATATTATTCCTTATATGTTGAAAAATTTGCTTTATACACAACAAAATTGTATGGACTCGAAAACGTAATGTTTAGCTTAAAAAAAAAAATAGTATGGTTGTACCTTTTTAAAACTAAAAGCAGTTAGTTTATCGTAAGAAAGGAGTGTGCCGCATCTTTTTTTAATTTGCAAATAGTGCAAACAACTTTTTGAAAAACTATCATCATCTCAGACGGAATACATCTGCTGATGAATAAAGTCTTCGCTTCCCTATGTCTGGATGTTTTATGTATGGTAATTGTAGGTAATGTATAGTTTATTAGTAATATATTAAAAGCTCTTAATTAGTAATGTATTTTAGGCCGCTACAGACGCTATATCGTCGTCGAGTGGTCGCGGCGGCACCGGCAGTCAAGATAGCCTAGTGAGACTATTACAGTCAGCTGGCGAGTCAAGCAGAACTCCCTCCTCCGCAACAGGGTCTGGTACAGCAATTGATCTCGGTAATTATAACTCCTATCAAGTGGTTTCCCTAAGACTATTTTCTTATATGCTCACGTCATACAGTTTACAATGAACAAGGCTTCTTCAATTTAGAAAGGAGGTTATGCAATTAAGTTAAGGCCAAAAAAACAGGCTGCCCTGCGCGGTATTAAAGTCTAGGCATGCCTAGAAACAGTTGTAACGACAGGCTCTTGAGCCTTACCAACTGTACGAGGGGTGATCAATAAGTAATGATAATCAATATGAAACAGAACTATTAGATTAAAAAAAGTATTTTATTTTTCAACATAGTCTCCTTGCAAGTTAATACATTTAGTGTATCTTTTTTCTAAGCCCATGATTCCCTTAGAAAAAAATTCTTTGTCTTGACCCTCCCAAAATGCCTCTACTGCGGCCATCACTTCACTATTGTCCTCAAATTTGTTGCCCCGGAGGTGTTCTTTGAGCCGAGGAAAAAGGTAGAAGTCACTGGGAGCTAGATCTGGCGAATAGGGAGGGTGTTCGAGCAGTTCGAACCCCGTTTCTTCAATGGCAGCCATCGCAACTGCGGCTTTGTGAGCCGGGGCGTTGTCTTGGTGAAACAGCACTCCAGCGCGCAGTTTACCGCGTCTTTTTGACTTAATAGCTTCTCGCAATCTTCTTATTTGGCCTGCGTAGTAAGAGCCTGTTATAGTGGCCCCCTTTTCCAAATATTCCACCATAATAATTCCTTCTGCATCCAGAAAACAGACGCCATAACCTTTCCCGCTGAACTTGACACTTTGAATTTCTTCGGCGTTGGTGAGGAAGCTCGTTTCCAAGTCATTGATTGTTGTTTGGTTTCGGGATCAAAGTGGTGGATCCAGGTCTCGTCCATGGTCACAAAACGCGACAAAAAAAATTCTTTATCGGCCTGGAACTTTTGAAGATTCACCCTCGAAATGTCGACTCGTTTCTTTTTTTGCTCGTCGGTTAACATTCTCGGTACCCAACGCGCAGAGACCTTTTTCATATGCATTTTGTTGACAATGATTTTTTGAACGCTGCCATAGGAGATCCCTGTGACCTCAGCTACATGCCTTACGGTCACCCTTCGATCGGCCAACACGATATCTTCCACTTTTTTGACGTTTTCTCCAGTAAGGGACGTGGAAGGGCGTCCCTCGCGATGTTCATCTTCAGTGGAGGTTCTGCCCAGCTTAAATTCCTTTGCCCAGCGTGCGACTGTGGAATATGGAGGAGCAGACTCCCCCAATGTTTCCTCTAAGTCGCTGTGTATGTCTTTGGTAGACATTTTTTTCAGGCAGAGGTACTTGATGACAGCTCTTATTTCATTTTTCTCCATTTTGATGTTTTCTCTTCGACAGTTCGTATTCAAATGAATGTATCTCCGGTAATGGTGTCCTATTTATACATTTTTTTGTAGCTGAAGTAGTGGATATATAAGCAAGCAGAAAAAAAATAATTTGGGTTTTTGTGCGTTCTAGAAATACTCGATTATCATTACTTATTGATCACCCCTCGTATTACCTTCCCGCAGAGCTCTAATATCCTCACTAACCTTCAGAAAACAAAACCTTGCCTGTAGTTCTCTCTAACTGTTAATAATATTCTAGTCTTAGAACAAAACATCACAACAATTTCGTAATTGTTATTTTGTTTTGTAATATCTTTCTTCTCACTTTCTTGCATTCTATGGAAATGATTGTGTGAAAAAGAGCGGCAATATTTGATTTCACTAGTAAGCGCACCCGAGTTAGCTGTCAGATAGTAGATGAGAGCTTTATACAAGTCGCAAACATCTTACTTAATAGAACGTATAGAACTTAATGGCTCAATGCAGCATGCCCGCGACTGGTGACCAGTCGCTGCAAGTCGCCAGAGGTGGACTGCGATTGCGCAGGGCGACTTTTTTTTATCTATTTTATTACTAGTCTAGCGCCCCGGCTTCGCAAGAGTGCAATGTAGATACTAATGTGGTGTCAGTGTGTAGTAATTAATTATATTATTCTTATGATTAGACTGTACTACAGGATATCTTAATATACATTTATAGGCACTGCACACTATCGCGGGGTTTTTTTAATCTCTTTAAGATATACCATTCCGTAGTACATTATTATGATTTATCTTGTAAGGTCAGCGTTTGCAATGTAAGGAACAAAAAACATGTTTTTTTACGACATCACGTTACAAAGCTTTAAAATTCTCAGCTTCTCTTTTTCTGGATTTTGACAGTAGTACTTTATTTTTTAGCCAAACAATTAGTATGTTCAGTACTAATCTCAAGTAGATAACTTAATTGTCAATTGCTATCGATAGGTAGTAGTTGCTCATCACCAGTCGCTCGCACGCTGCACTGATTTTCGTATTTAGATGGAAGTCACCGCGAGTCGCTGCGACGGAAGTCGCGGGTAATCGCTTTCACGCTGCACGGGGCCTTAAATGCTATTAGTGTAAGGTTCGGTCTTTTTTTTTTACGGTTGCAGGTGGATATTTTATGTTTGAAGATTCGTGATTTTCTTATTAAGTAACAATCCAATTTTCATTATTTTTTCACTAACAATCCGTACTTCCATAATTATATTATAAATGTGAAACATTTAATGCACAACGTATTTCGTTGGATAAGGAATAATACCGTATTGTTCAAAATAGCTTCATAAATAACCCATTATTTTTTTGTAAGATGTAAAAGATAAAAATGGTTCCTGTTGGTTATCGTTAGGAGATAGACATATACCATCGTGGGGGTTTTTGTAGAAGGTTATAAGGGGTTCCCTTTATCTGGCAGAATCTTGTTGCTCCGAAATTTATTTCGCATAACACTTAGCAGAATCTTCTTTAAACGATTATTTTTAGGGCATAAAAATTATTAAGTATAATTATTGTTTGGCCGAATGTTAATATGTCCGAATTTACAATGGCATACTTCTATTTTAAAACAACATTTTTTTAGAGCGACGATTATTTGGTACAATTTCCTTTGGAATAATTTTATTAGGTATATTGCCATATAGTGTATCCAATCGTTTATTTAACTTTTGACAGATCACGCACATAAAGTTTTGTAATAATTTTTGATACAATGTACTACAGGGAATACTGTACTTCATGGACGGGCACCGCCCACTTAGAGATGTGCTTTGAAATAAATCGATTATCGATTATATTAATAAAACATGCAATAAAATTATTGTGATTATATTTTATATCAAATCACGTAAAAACCTTTATTATTTTGCATTAAAATGCCCTAAATGTCTCTGTTTTAATGCATAAATAATTTGCGTAATGAAAACAGTTCCATCGTACTCGTACCTCGTAATGGGATCGAATGTATTCGCTGCAAATTAATGAATCTATATCGTAGTACTTTAGGGATTAAAAAATAAAACAACCAAAAGAGGTACTGTAATACTATTTTTAATTATAAAGAATCTTCTTTTTCGTATGACCAGGAATCATCATCACTTGAGTTCTCAGTAATATGGATTATCAATTCTTGTACAGATAAATTGTCGAATGCAACATCCCGATCCCAATCCAACATTATCACCTTTTTTTTTTTACAACACGCCCTGTTTTCTGGAGTTACTTTTACACACGCATTTTTTAGTAAATCCAGCATTTTTCTTGCCGTGAAAGGAGGAGTTGTATTGTTCCTCGCAGCATATCCTTTAACTTGTGCCCAGATCATTTCAGTGGCAGTGATATGGGGGAATTCTGAGGGCGGTATGCCCATGCTCATGTCTAGGGACTAGTCTACCTCCTCGCCATTGTCACGGAGCCAGTTTATGATTTCATGTTTTTTGTTGACCTGCGTTGGCATTTTATTAATTTAACGAGAGTGATAAGGTGCATTATCAATAAATATTATTGATGGCTCCTCGAGTGATGGAAGCATTTCTCTGAACCTCTTTTGATACACGTTCGAATTCATCTCCTCATGATAATCTCCTGTTTTCTGGGATTTGAAAGCTAATAGAGCGTCTGGCACAAATCTGTTCCTGCATGGCAAATAATCAGTCGTTCGCCTTTTCCCATTGGTACTGCAGAAGTGGAGCCAGCAGTGTTGTCCGTCCAAGTTTTTGACAGCGTATGATTCGCATTGAGCCAAGTTTCATCAGTGAAAACAACATTCGACCAATCTTCTATTTTTTTTCGCTTGTCTTAAAAATTCGCATCGATACAAAGCAATATCATTGCGTTCCATTAAAAATTTTCGTTTGTCACATTTTTGGAATAAGAATCCAATGTCTTTCAATACCTTTGCCAAAGAAGATTTTTGACCACGGACTAGAGGATTCGATCCCGGTCGATTTTTATAAGCCCGGGATTTCGGGATTATCTACAGTTAATCTCGGGATCCCGGGATAGTCCCGGGATTGTTTTGGCAATGGAAAGTGGTAACAAAAAGACAGTAAAACATATCAAAATATTTTTTTTGTTTATCATTTAGTTTTGTGAGGACATAGAATATTTAAGTTTTAAATCTCCAAAAAGGCGGTTAAACAAAATTATACTTTCTTCTTATAAAATAAACAAACTAGTGCCTAGTTTGTTTTGTGTTTCGGTAAATAATTTATGAAACTAACAATAAACTTCAAAAAATCAACTTCTTTAGATTATTTAGATAAACTATAAAAAAAAAAAACTATATGCTTAAGAGACCAATGTTTATAGATACCTACTCATATTTTTTAATTAAATTGCCCAGAAACTTTATAAATTACACACTTTTACGCATAATCCAGAACCGGTCATTAGCAAAAACAAATGAAATCAGCTGTGTAGACAAGATGGCTGTCAAAACATCAAATCAAGGCAAGGGCGTTTCTTTTTACGCACATTTTATTGACTTATGTAAACAATGTATCAATCCCGAAAATCCCGGGATTCATAAAATATGACCGGGATCCCGGGATCGGATCCTCTACCACGGACCAAACCACTATTTCGTAGAGATTGTGTTAGTTTTTTTAATGTTGGAATCTCTTTTCTTTGGTAATAGTCGTATATACAGCCTTGGCCAAGGTATTAGGCACCCTACATTTTACTTAAAATAAAGGAAAAAAACAACTTATACTTTTTGAATTGATTTATTACCATTAAAATTCACAAAAAGGAATGAAAAAAACTTAAAATCAAGTCGGTCCACCTTTGGATTTAATTACTGCACTAATTCTAGCTGGCATGCTGCGTACAAGCTTAGTACAATCCTCCCTTGCAATAGCATGCCATTCTTGTACTAAAGCATTTTTTAATGCCGTTTTCGATGTGATACTATGCTCTTTAATCTTGCGCTTCAAAATGCTCCAAAGATGTTCAATTGGGTTTAAATTTGGTGATTGTGCTGGCCAATCAAACAAGTCAATGTTGTTTTCAGTAAACCAACGCATCGTAGTCGCTGACTTATGACAAGGTGCATTGTCTTGCTGGAATATAACTCCCTCTAAGTTGGTATCGCCGAAAATACTCGTTAGCGAAGGCATAAGCGCAGTTTCAAGCACTTTTATGTACTTTTCGCTGTTCATACGACCTTCGCAAACAAACATTTCGCCAACCCCATCAGTAGCCATGCAGCCCCAGATCATTATGCTGCCTCCTCCATGCTTTACTGTCGGTACGACGCAATGTGGATGGTATTCTTCGCCCACACGTCGCCTCACGAAGGTCACACCTGGCGTTCCAAATATCTGTTGAAAAAAGAAAAAGAAACACTTTTTTTAAACTGACTTAACTTTTCTTATTTTAGTTAAATAAATAACTGTCCATGATTATTAATAACAAAAGCAGTAAAATTTACTTACCTCAAAGTTAGATTCGTCAGACCATACCACATTGGCCCAATCTTCCTCAGTAAAATGTTGATGCCGTAGAGCCCATTCAAGTCGTTTTCTTTTGTTAGCTTCTGAAAGCCAGGGCTTCTTCCTGGCTTTGCATCCTTTTAAGCCTGCTTCTCCAAGTCTTCTTCTGGTGGTCCGAGCACTTATCGGCTTTCCAGCCTCTTCGGACAATGTTTTCTTCCGATCTTTCATAGACTCGCGTATTAATTTTCTATCCTCGCGCTTCGAAGTCACACGTTTTCTGCCTGTTCTTGGTTTATTAGCGTGACTGCCAGTCTCGGCAAACCGTTTGATACCAGATTGCACAGCGCAACGCGAACATTTCACTAACTTAGCAATTTCTTTTTGCGACTTCCCTTGTTCATGGAAAAGTTGTATTTTTACTCGGTTTTCCAAACTAATTTCACTTCTTTTCGGCATTTTTAAATAAATTACGTGTCAATTTAATCACTATGTTAGAAATAAAAGCTTGTTTACTCGTTAGAGTCCTGAACACAAGTGACCAAACATTGACTGATAAGAAAGCATAAAAACAAATCCTTTGTCTTCAGTCACCAGGTGTTTTATGACCATAACAGATAGCTGCTTGCTTTTCTAGGCTGTTATTTGTGACCCCGGCATGTCATCTAAGATAAGCATTTATTCATTGTTCAATCAGTAAACATGAATTGTACATTTTTCTGGGGTGCCTAATACTTTTGGCCAAGGCTGTATGACGACGAATAGCATCAGCGTCAAAATTGTCAACTGCTGTCACTTTACAGGTCTGACGTTTTTTCTTAGGTGTAGATTAGGCTTATTATGTCCGATGCCACTGCTGCCGTAGCCTTCTTTTGTTATTTTTGCCACTGTTGGAGCACTAATACCTAATGCTGCTGCAACTTGAGTCACTGGTATAAGGGGCCCACCATTACGGCTTGCCTTTTCAAAGTATTCACGAAGTCGCAGGGGCGTGCGCTCCTTGTAGGCAGAAATGCAGTGCTTTACTTGCTATTCACAGACATTTTAATAAAACGTTGGTACGTTTTAGATGACTTTAATTAATTGTAAATAAATGAAAAAACAAAATATAATAACTTAAAAACGCGTACTATTTACAAATAGCATAGCACCACACAAACATTGTTTGTGTGGTGCTATGCTAAAAAAACAACTCATGCCGTCGCCTCGCGCAGGACATTTGTTCGCATGTGTGTAGTAATTTTGGTGTCCGTGCACAGTTCGCATACCCATTTATTTTATATGCCCGACTACAGCCGCAGGATACTGCAGTTGGCCTTCGGGTGTCGGGTCCCGCGCTAATCGTTGTCGTCAGTATTCGAATATAATCGGCAGTGATCGTTGCCTATAAATCCACCCAATTACAAAAGTCAGAAATATAATGAATCATGTATGCGGATTATGAATTTTGAATATGATAAGGTTTTATTTGTTTAATTAGCAGATATGTTTCTTGTTCGCGGGGGCCATTTTGATTTTTTCATGTGATAAGCTTTGTTTATTACTGAGTTCCGTTGATTTTTTTTAAATGTTATTTGATTGTGAGGTATGTGTGGAAAATTTGTGTATAATTTAAATTAAAAATAACAAGTTCTTACAATTGTCATTCAGTGAAAAGATTAAAATTGTGTCTAAAGGTCTGTAACTATCACTCACTTGGATAAGATATTTGAGGTGGCCGAAATCTTGCGTTTATTTACATTGGGATGTAGTAATCTCAAGTAACCTTAACCTTAAATATGTGAATATCAGAAAATTGAAGATGACCAGGTGAGTAGTTATAATATTTTAGCTTATTATTTTACTTATTAGAATTTCCTCCGCCTCAAGCTATCGCCGATCTATCGCAGTTTTGTCAGTGTTCCCGTTGAAGATTTACATGAATAGTAGTACATCTAAGACTTGTTCTGTTGGCATGGTTTCCGACTTAGAGATACATCGCGTGGCTGTGGCTAAGCTAAAAATCTATAAAAGAAAAAGTTTTTGGGACCGATTACTCTGCCGCATACCTAGTGTCATAATCCTGTGCACGCCGCTGCGAAGTCGCAAGACAAACTCTCTTGTTTGTCCTTTAAGTACTTTTTAGCATTTTGACAGTAACGAAGGGAGGAACGATACGCTCAACTCAACCAAACGTGGGGATTAACAAATAAATCAATACGGAGGAATATAAATACTCAACTCGACGTATGAAAATGTGGATTAACACTGACAACAAAATGGCGTCGCGCGTCGCCGCCGCGTCCGGTATTGCCGTTTAATAATCGATAAAATTATGAAATTGTCGATAAAATAATGAGTGTGTTAAATGGATTAAAACTTTATGAATAAAATCGATCGATAAAAGAAATCGAATCGGTAACGGGTCAGGGTATCACTATTAAGTAAAAGATTAAGTATTAGAGCTGTCAAAAGTTAAATAAACGATTGGAAAGGGTATAAAATAGCATTTCTAACCTTAAATTAAAATATTATCTTAAAAAGTCATATGTCTTGCTACAAAAGTTTGTGACAGAAACGTATCGCTGCAAAACCGACTTTATGTAGTCTTGTCGGACCTACCCCTAGAGTGTAATTTAAGCCCACGTAGGCGCGGAGGGGCGATGTGGCCTGCGAGCTGAGGAGGAGGTGGCTCCAATGGTCGCCGCCGCTGCGGTGTCACCACCGTTGAATGCATCTGCGACGATAAGCTCGCGTGGGACCGCCGGAGCTCCGCAGCTCCAGAGCCGTGACAAATATGCTGCATCTTGCATTCTAGCTTGCATGCTGCATGCTTGCTGGCTTTATTATTATAACAAGAAATACAAAATGATAGTCTTTCAATTATTATAGATTATATGCAATTTATGCCAAAAGATGATTCTCACTATAAACTTCCTGATATATGATGGTTCTATCTTTTACCATAATGACTATCGATATGAAATTTATGCTCCAAGACGATGCTGACTATGAACTTTGGGTATGATGATGGTTCTACTTTTTAATTATTATGAATATGAAGATTATGCCTAAAGATGATTATGAATTATGAGTTTTGAATGTATGATAAATGAGTGTCTGCCAAACGATTTTCTGCGAAATGAAGTTTATGCTATCCGTTGTTATGCAAAATAATATAATGACATAAAAAGTTCAGATATAAAGGGTAGACTCCTTTTAAGATACACCATTCCATAGATTATTTTGATGTATCTCGTAAGGTTTAGCCACCGTTTGCAATGTAAGCGCAAAAAACATGTTTTTTAGCACATTACAAATATTTGAAATTCTAGGATTTTCTCTGCTATGATATGAATGTATTATACATAATAAACCTTCCTCTTGAATCACTCTCTCTATTGATGATTATCGCATACGCATTGAGCCGGGTACTCATTAGCGAGCTGTAACTGTAACTAAACAGATACAGGAACGAATTTCTAGTGTGTACGCGTGTTACAGTTTAGACGCACGACGTCGTCTGAACGCTTTAACCGAGCGTATTCATTTAGCGCGCTGTAACTGTAACCAAACAGTTAGAGTAACGAGGTTCTAGTCTGTACGAGAAGTCCACATCACTGTAATCGTAACGACGAACCAGATCTAGCCGCATATTGGTTTGTAACTCGATGATGTCAGACGAAGTGTGTTGTTTTTTTCAAATGTTTTTTATAATAGTCTTTGTCCTTAGAGTTCCGTAGTACGCTGTTTGCCTTGTAGGAATCAATCAGAAGAAGACATTTATCCTTTGACCATTTACTCATGACGAATAAACTAATTATAAAAAGTTGAAAATATATGGCTCGCAACGGCGTCCTATAACGCGTCCAGCAACGATTCGCGGCAAAAACCGTCAATCTTCGGCTTGCTGTATGTCGCTCGTGTAGAACTCGTTGCAAGCTCGCGAACCTCGTACACACTATGTTTTTGGTAACAGTGACCGCGTACACACTATGTTTTTTGGTAACAGTATATCCAACCGTTACGGTTACGGCTCGCTAGTGAGTACCCAACTTTAAAAACCGTTGCCTAGGTTCAAAGATCTAAGCGTACAGGAACGAAAAGCGACTTCATTTTATATTACGTAAAGATGTTGTAATAAATATTCAGTTACAATTATGTTAATCAAATTGCAATCACTTATGTAAATATATATATATGTTCTTAACCTAAACTACTTTTTGAAGGGCCTTTCCAATCACTCATAACTACTGAAATGTTCACCGAAGCGTTATCCGACGTTATAAACAGAACTACCAGATATCCGGAAGGAACACCAAGGGAACACACTCATCCTGGTAATTTTTTTTTTTCATCACTATTATGTTTTCTTTTTACATACCTACAAAAAAACTTGCAACTACCTACTAGTAGTGGCCGATAAAATTATGTGGAGGTTGAATCATTCTGGAGGTTCTTGCATGTATGGCGATGTGGTTCTGGCATCGCGTCGAATGTTGGGGGTTCGATACATATGGGTATGGCAAAACTATCTGTGTTAATTAAACACCTCAGTTGGCGTAGTGGTTTAAGCGGTTGCCACGCCGCTTCCTAATGCGCTGAGTGGCGTGGGTTCGATCCCCACATGGGACATGGGATTTTGTGTGATCCACTAATTGTTTGGGTGTTCTTTGTGTCTGTTTCATGTATGCTTGTGAAGTCCCCCGCGACACAGGATATATATTCCTAATGCGGGAGTTGTCTTTCAAATAAACTGTATTTTCATAAAGATCCCATCTTGATATTCCGCAGGACAGATAAAAAAATAAAAAACAAATTTCTGCTGTCTGCTATGGATAGTTTTTCCACTCCGTTTTAATTTTGACCTGTCTGTTTTTCAAAAAGAAATTTAAAGGTACAAATTCTGGACATATGAATGAATTCGTATATACCACTTTAAAGAACATATCAACCGTTTCGCAAATCATCAACTAGTCTGTAGAGGGTTTCTTTAATAACGATAATGAGGCACTTTTGGTTAAATGACATCACATAGATTTCACACCCTAACAACATACTGCATACGCTCATACATCAGACAGACCTCTTAAATGTACATAATATGCATACATTACTCATACATGAACACACATGCAATACTCGCATCACCACACATACAAGCATACATTAACTAGACTTTAACCGACACACGCACAGAAAACCACAGTAACTTAAACAATTATTTAAATTTAATTAAAAATACGTGCTACATTAAATTCATCTTTTTTTTAAGGTTCAGGCCTGTTTTTTCCTATCACAGGCTTTTCTGTAGCCTAGCTGGGAGAACAGCACTCAGCCAAAATATTATTGTAGACTAAAAATTGTAACACAAACTAATCCTAAGTCAGGAAAAAAAAGCTAACCTCCTCTTGTTACATCATGATAATATAAATAAAATGCAATATCTGACCATGCCATTATTTTGTAATTTGCTGTTAAAGTTGCAAAAACGTAGTTTTCGGCATTAAAAATTTTACGACGACCTCGACTTTATACGAAAACTAGCTGACCCGGCAAACGTTGTTTTGCCATATACATTATTTCTAGGAACTATTGGAAAAAATATTTAGGGGTGGGTCACCCTTGTCATTTAGGGGTGGGTCACCCTTGTCATTTAGGGGTGTAAAAGTCAAACAGGCGTTGCCGCCCTTGAGTCAGCGGGAGGGGGATTTGGGCTCCGGTAACCTTACTCACTCAGTGACAGGCAACGAAAGAACTGCTATCACCGGTTTTCTGTGAGATCGTGGTATCGTGCCGAAGCATGGCTCGCCCACGGTAATTCTAAAATCATTGTAGAATTTTTATTTTGTTAGTAGATTGCATAGTTTTTGGAAAAAGCCATTTATTTATTAAAAAGGCAACTTAATTATTTCAGCTATGGCTAGTCGTACAACGTTGTATTTAGGCTCATTCTCTTCCTTAAGAAAACTAATGCAAGATTTCGCTAATTTTAGTTATATTATCATGATGTACCGAAAGGAACCAAAATACGTCGAAATATCTCGGTTGGCTATTTTTTTGAGAAAACCTTCCTTTTCCTGGTCTAAGTGTGAAAATTGTGTAACTCTACAATCTCATTTATACAATAAATTATTATAATGGTCTCTCATACAAACTCTGAGAAATGATTGATATCCTATTCAAAGCTAAGTCGTCATTTCGTCTATGTCTAATCCTTATCCTTGGGTTCTTATTCTCAATTCTTAGGGTCGTGACCCCTATTTGAAGACGTTATGCAAATGAAAGCTCGCCACCCGTTTCTGTCTTGAGCAGTGTGTAGGGCTGTATGGATTGTAGTGCCGAGAGTAGAGCAAACTTGGTCTGATCAGGGCAATGGGCCACGGTATACCTAACCTAACAGATATCAAGAATCCTTTGCGTCAACGTACCGGTCGGTCTCTTGAAAACATTGCTGCTGTAAATGAGATTGTCGCCGAAAACTTCTATTCTAAACAACTTTAAATTTCACGAAGCACTAAGCATCGAATTTTGACAAAAGACCTTCATGCGTACAAGATTCAACTAACTCAGGAGCTCAAACCAGCAGACCATGGAAAGCGCCGGATGCCAATTTTTCGAAAAATGTCATCTTCGATGAAGGGTGAAGGGTTAGCTACGTGAATACACAAAATTGACGAATTTGGGGCTCAGAAAATCCTCATGCAATCCATGAGAATCAAATGCAACAACGAGCAATTTTGGTCAGGCGGCGTGATTGGGCCTTACTTTTTTGATGATGAGGCCGAAATTGTAGTGACTGTGAACGGCGTTCGTTACAGGAATATGAAAACGGAGTTCTTGTGGCCTCAACTGGACGGCATGGATCTGGACAACATGTGGTTTCAGAAGGACGGCGCCACCTGCCACACCGCGCATGAACAAATCGACTTATTGCAGCAATGATTCCAGAACACATTATCTCACTTCTGATGTCAACTGGCCACCAACATCGTGCGGTTTAACGCCGTGCCATTTTTTTTTTTTGGGATTTTATGAAATTAGGGTTTATGCGAATAAACCAGATACAATTCCTGAGCTCAAATCAGAGATCCAACGCGTCATCGGTTAGATACAGCCACATCTCTGTGTAAAAGTCATGGAGAAGTAATGGCTTGGTTATCAGAGCCGTGGGGGCCATTTGCCGGATATTTTATTCCATACTTAATCGGAACATGTCTGCTTTATAATCTAATAAAAATATCACAGCTGTTTCATAAAATACGTGTTTTTATTTTATAATGAAAAAGTGCACTCTTACTGAGACACCTTTATTTGTATATCTGTCCAGATATTGATAATTTATAAAATTCTTGTGTCGCGCCGTTGTTACCAAACTCCTCCGAAACGGCTGGACCGATTTTTATGAAATTTTGTTGTGCAGTTGTGTTTCGGGTAGGTCTGAGAATCGTCCAACATCTATTTTTCATATCCTTAAATGATAAGGGTGACCCGCCCCTAATTTTTTTTTTAATATTTCTTATAAATAATGTTTATGGCAAAACAACGTTATCAGGGTCAGATAGTAATTAGTATTTTTTGTGAACCCTGGCTAGAAAGAGATGGCATAGATAACGACAAAATATTATTTAAAAACTCATTAACCATAGTAAAAACGAATCATTCTACTCTACTAAGCTGTACACAGTTATAATATCTTTTATTTTAAAACAAAAGTAAAAAAAGAGAAAACCTATTAGAAAACGACCGGAAAATTTAGAAACTTTTATTAGGATATCTTCTTTTGCCTACCCTTTTCCCAATTTTATTTGGGGTCGGCGCTTACTCCCTTCCTAGCCATATCCTCACTCACACAGTCCATCCACCTATTCTTTGGTCTTCCTCTTCTCTTGTACCATTGAACTCCCATACCTAAAACTTTCTTCGCCACATTTTCCTCATCCCTTCGCATGACATGTCCATACTAAGATAACCTATTACTTCTTAACTTTTTGTCCAGTGGCGTACTTTAAGACTTTCGTGTATAGTGATTCCTAACCTTGTCCACCCGAGTCACCACACATCCATCTCAGCATTCGCATTTCGGCTACGTTCAGGCGTATCTCATCCTTTCTCTTAATGGGCCAACTTTGAGAACCATACAGGAAGGCAGGTCTGAAAATAGTTTTATAATTTTTTCCCTTGTGTTTTTTACTTTTTTTTAATTTTTAGTAGGATATATTTAGGTATATATTTAGATCTCTGCAATGTACACATATGGCCAGCCACATTTTTCATCTATGGTAGGAGAAACTAGATATCTATTTATGGTCTTGCCTGTAATACTTATTACTACAATTAAAACAAAAACGAAAACAAAAAGCCGAGGCCAACATCAACATGTTTATGCCTTAATTTAGATCTAAAGTCCGAAACATGAGTCTGTCATTTCAAAATATTGTTCGTTCTCTAGCAACTCAGGAACTAGCCAGAATTGCCGCGAACATCGCCGAAAGAGATCGATTGGCAATGTCCGTCGCTGGGTCTCCATCGAGGTCTCGTGATGAGCAGCGGAGCCCCGAGAACCTATCACAGCCAAATGCGAATCCGGAAATTGCTAGGACCGAAGGTCGTTAAGTCCTTTTGTGGACTTATTGAAGCTATCCATTATTGTTCCTAGATCAATTGGTGTATATTTTGCATGGGCCTAATCTTTCAGAGCACGGGCATGATAGACAGTGCATTGTGTCCATACATTTGATTTTACTTTTCTTCTTTTGATTCTCTTGTTTTTAATAATGCTTCTTATTTTGTCGTATGTCTCTGATTTGTGTGTCGCAAGTCACGCATTTACTTTTCATTTTCATATACTACGAGTATGTGCTAGTACTGTTGTCAGAATTTCGTAGAGGATGTAGTATATTAGTTAGCTGCTTTGTTTCTACTGAAAAAAGAAAAGTATTAATGCCTCGATTAGCCCTTAAGAAAAAATTACAGTCGAATTGAGAACCTCCTCTTTTTTTTGAAGTCGGTTAGAAACAATAATATCAGAACTTGGTGTCGAGATACTACTTTTAAACTTGTCTCTATTTTTTGCGTACAGATTGTCAAATGTTTCGTTCAAAAAGGTCTTGATGCCGCAATCCAAATTGAAACTTTAACAAATAGTACTAGTATGCTGATATTTGTAATACCTTTAATACCTTTAATAATGTTGATTATACTTAGACTACAATGTTGATTGTTATTTTTTTGATACTAGAATAATGTGAATGATGTAAATCTTTTTACTTCGAAGTAGGCCAGTCTTGGCATTCTTACACTCGAGTCAAACTTTTTACTAGCTTTAAATGTTTTTTGTACTTAGTCACTCATAGACACGTACGCACTCACTACAGTTGGTTTCTAAATTTTGTATGAATGGTCCATCATATATCTTTATCGAAATATATAATGGATATATAAAAGCAAACAGAGGAAATAGAAAAAAAGATCTGCTATGAAAATACAGTATAAAACTTAATTTATTTTACAGCGTCATCATCTCAAAGTCCAGCGGCAAGAGAGAATAGCGAGGATTTCTCAACACAAATACAATTCATGCACGAAATGGGCTTATTGGACGACGCGCTCAACATGCGCGCACTCATTATTTGCGCAGGTGAGCAGAAAAAGGAATTTTTATTGTAACTACAGCTGTATCAACTTCCATTAAATACTTAAATTAATTGAAATATTGATAAGTAGGTGAATCAGACTATGATTTTGATATCTACAAAAGAATTGGGTCAACTAGCTTAGTGACTTCCGACTTTTTTATTCACACAAATATTAAATTTCCACATTTCATAGAACCTCGAAAGAAGCAATCACTCAAGGCTAAAAAACATCGAGATATGGGTCATGGGTACAAACCTTTTTCTTTGGATTTGCTGTCTGTCTAACCAATGGTAATGGCTGGTAACCATTATGTAATTTTATGACGTACAATTAAAAAAGATGGAATTTTAATGATCTCATTTTGGTAATTGGCTTGATTGGGGTACTAAATCCAAGATTTCTATGTTCTGTAAATACTGGTAAGAAAAGGTTTTGGGAATACTAAGACTTGAAATCTTTAGGGATGTCGGAAATAATGCATTTAAAATCTGAAAAGTAATGATGATTACGTACATTTCTAATGCATGCATTTTTTTCTGGTATTGTTTGTTATTACTAAAACTTTTGATTCCCGGGTCGGACCAATTGTTTCTACGATCTACAAATATTTGTTTCGGAGTTTGTATGTATAAAATGTATGTACTAACAAAAAGAGTATGTATATAAGTATTCTATCGGTCAATCCAGCTTTCATAGTACAAGCTCTGCTTAGTTTGAAACTAGATGACGTTTGTGTTAAATATCCGAAATATTATTGTTATTATATTTAAAGATTCTACGCGTAAAAGTCGTTCCAATAATGTTATTGCACCAGATTTTATAATTGGTATTTTCAAGTATCGTTTAGTATTATCGCACTGATAATGGGCTTTTAATGTTCTATTTAATAAAACAAATGTATTTTTCAGGTGATGTGAATGCAGCAATCGATTTAGTTTTTAGTGGAGCCATTGGGGACGAATAACTGGTTTCTAATTACTATTTAATTGACATGTTCAGAACTTGCTGAATGTTGTATAAAATGCTATGCTTATGTATAAAAGCCTGGATAGGATCATATATATCTATAGGTGATAAAGTCTATGCAATACTATAATTATAATGGTGTAGTATGGTAATGCAATAAACAGTAAGACATTAATTGTTTTATTCATTTATTAACTAAATTTAATTTTAACATCTGCTAATTTAGTAAATACTATATTTTATCACGGGTTCCATAATATATGTGAATAATATTAGTACTATAAGCTGCTTACTGCTATAAACTGCTACTAAGATAAGAGAAGTAAAAGAAATGCAATCTTTTATGTTGAATTCGAGAGATCTGTCATCAAAAAATATTTTTTAGAAAATTCTTTAATCTTAGCTAATGAGTGAGAAAACTAGTTTTAATGATCTGGTCTAAGACTATTAGATAATTTTGAGGGCAAGAAATTGACAGACTATAAATATGACAGTAGTAAGTAGGTGCTAAGCACCATTATATATTCTATTTAATCTTTTCCTAAAACATCCAACTCTAAACATGTGCAAGTATATTTAAATTCTAAAATTTTACTACTTGTTGCCATTTGTGACTGTTTTGTGATTAAAATGTAGTAAATAGCGCTATCGGTTTATAATCTTTGATGTCAAACCATTTAACCACATAACAGCCAATATACTAGCTGATGAAACAAGTAGGTGTCAAGATTTTTGCACTAATCTCTCACTTAATGACCAATTATATAGTTTAAAGTGCAATATTATTTTGTCATTTCTTCATTTTGAAATTCATATTACGTTTAGAAAGCTTTTTATAAGTACTGTTGTCACTCTTTGCGCGGCATTGTTCACGTTTGTGCATACGTCTAAAATACCAGCCAGCATTATTAGGACTTGTCTCACCAAAAAGCTCATGTTGAAGTCTCTTTCGAGCCTCAGTTCGAAGAGCAGCCCTTTTGTCATACCAATTGGTATCTTCAATTTTACTGTTTTTCCCACCATCTTTTTCGTGTTTTTTGTTTTGGACATCGTTGGAGTTATTACTCAAATTTATATTTTGGGAACTATCTGCTCCTAGTAACTGATTTGTATTATTTGTTTTTTCAATTTCTTGAATCACTTTATGTCCGTTAAGTTTCTTGAGAGGATTCTCGTTTTCTTGGAATGAGGTTATCGAAAAATCATCATAGTCTTTCATGTATCCACCTTTCATTTCCCATTGTTCATATTTGTTTCTCCTTTTTTGCTTCTTGTGTAGTTTTTGTCTATCTCGTTTTTTTCTTTCTTGTTTGTGCTTTTGTCCGACATATCTGTCATCTTTTTTAAATTCTTCTTCACTAAAATTTACATCAATAAACACCACATCTTTATCTTCTTTACCTTTTTTTTTAATAATATTATGTTTATTCTCTTTGGTGATTGCTGCATTTACATCTCTTTTCTGAACTTTGCGAGTTTGCTGTTCAGATTTTAATGAATCTGCATAAGTAATCTTTTTTGCCGCTGGTATATCATCGTTATTAGAGTCCAATTCTATTTGAATCAATTGTTCTGCTTCAGGACTAATAATTTGAAATGCAGGTTGATAATTATCCATGTCAGATTGTGTTTTTATATTGTCATCTTGCAATACCCTTTGTTCTTCTGTTATACTACTCAAGGGACTTTTTATCATTTTTTCAATCGTTTTTTCTTCATGTTTCATTCTTTTTGCAATTTCATCATCTAGCCAGCTTCTATTTTGTTGATAAATTTGCGTCAATTTATCAACATCTCTTACAAACTCCTTTTCATAGTCCGGCTGAACCAAATGATTGTTTAGTTCTTTTTCAATATTTTTAGTAGTCTCTCTGTCAATGCACTTTGTGATTTTGTCTATATTTTTACTATGCAATGGTTCTTCATATACTTTTTTGCATCTCTGTTGCTTATATGGAGTTTTGTCAAATGTGTGAAGTTTCTTCTGTGGTATTTGTAAAGTACTGCTTACAAGTGTAAGTTCTTTTAGTTTATTGCGTAAATATGTGTTTTCCTCTTGTAGTTTATAAAGATTTGATAAAATTTTGTTGATTGACGGTGATGTATGCATTGAACACTCATTTCTTGCACCCCACATGTGACCTATAGCCACACCAGCAGCTGTGATGACACTACCCAACATAATAATGTTAAGGACTGTGCTAAGCCTCTTGTTTCTTCTGTGGACATATGTTTTATGTTTTCCTGCGGTATGTCCAAGAAAATCGTCCTGACTTCTTAAAACTTCTTCATGAGTATTACTATTGGGAGGGAGAGGGTTAAATGAAATAAATTGTGGACATGGTAGTTCTGCTGGACGGTTCTCTTCCATAACATATTTGTCAAGGATCAACTCACATGGAGCTGATGTATCAGGCTCACTGTCACTGATGATAGAAATGCCATCTGTATCTTCATCTTTATCTACATTAACATCGGTTGTTTCCCTGCATAACAAATAACATGCAAAAATTATTATTTTAATACAAGAGTAGAAATTACTATAAATTTTCTATACTTAATCAATGGTACATTAACTATAACTAGTACAGGGGAAGTAATCTTATCAATATTTACTAACTGAATATCAACTGACGTAACAAGATTGCAGCCACCAGTTGGCACTCATTTATATTTGTTTTTAATTACAATAAATAGGAATACAAAAAGGTGTATGTACCTACTACTGTTAGCCTCACAATCTTTCTGCATATTACATGCATAGAATACTGCTACATAGTACAAACATTTTTACAAAACATTCAACTCTGCAAACTTTTTATTCAATCACTAAACAATATTAGTTAGTAACACTTTTACTACGTAAAACGTCAATTGTCCTTGGAATAAAATATACATTTCATTCAAATAATTATGTATCAAGGTAAATGAACAGATATCAAATCCAACACCAGCAGAATAAATTTAGTTATGTTTTTATGAATCTTTACACTACTTACTGCTCGAGTATTTGATTATTGTCGGCAAAATCTGGCGCGTCATCCCCATAAGCGGGACTGTTTTCTAGAATTGTCCAACTGTCTCCCGAGTCTGAATCGCTGTGGTCCAGGGTAGACCCGTCCATTTAAATATCTTTAACAAAGTATATTAATTACTACATACCAAGGTCGATCTCAGTAGAGAAATGGAAACAGTCTCCATGCCTAATAAGTTTGTGGTGTAAAGATGTGCGCATTAAAAATACCATACCTCAGTGCACGCTCCAAACAATAAATTTGCGAATCCAATAATGCTTGGAACGGACCAGATACACTGAAATTTATTTTTTTCGTAAACTAGTATTTTTGTGACATGTTTTATATTTTGTTTTTATAAAAATACAACGTCAACGTCAGAGAAACGACTATGTTTTGTTTTGAATTTTATTGAAGTTTGAACTATCTTGAAGTTGGCAACAAAACAAACAGAAAAGTCATCTGACTATCTGACACATTTTATAATGTTGCCCTTATACTTGATGCCTTAGATTAGGCACATACAATGGTCATCGTGGTCACAAAGCTGCGAAAGGGAATAAACAACCTAAACTACTGTAGCTTGAAATAATTAACGTGAAAATGAAAAAGTTGTGTTATTGTTGGATCTTAATCCTAACCGAGGTGGTTTTGGGTGCACAATGAATTTAGATAATGACACCACAATTCGTGCTTTTATTACTTTAACAACATTTTACATTAGAAGCTTAGTAGCTTCTAATTCTTCAGTTATAATCATAAGAAAGGACTCTGATTTAAACAAGATCGCATAAGTTGTTTTTGTTTTGCATTTAGCTGTATTGTTTTTTATAACTACTTTTCTTTGCTTGTATATATGTTTAAATTGAATAGTATAGTATGTTTGGTCTACAATAGCTCAGCGATCTACCATAAAATGTCTGTCATCTCGGCCTCATCGACTGACCTGGGTCCTCACCATTACCTTTTCTACCTATTACTTAAGTATTTTGCTATGTTTGTTTTTACTTGTATACCGCTCGCTCTTTTGCTAGTTTGTGCACTGATATACTACGGTTCACCGAATAGCACACACGGTGTGTCAGCATGTTGCTTAAACGCAGACTCATACGGGCATCGCCTTCCTTGCCAATTCCCACTAACATTTAATCTCACTGAGTCAATCTTACTCAAATATCCTATTGCCTTATTCTACATTGATATATATTCTATTATTGTTTTAATTCTTAATGACTAGTAATGTAAATAAAACTTTGACAATCTATTATCAAAACGTGCGTGGGCTTCGAACGAAAACTGATATATTCTATCGTCAACTGCTATGTACATCATTTGATGTTATTATGCTCACAGAGACATGGCTGCTGGATGGTATAACAGACTCGGAGCTCTTTGACAATCGGTATGTTGTGTGGCGTCGCGATCGTGAATATGTTACCACGGGTCAGACAAGAGGTGGAGGTGTCCTGATTGCTGTTCGTAGGGAAATGCTAGCGATGTCTCAACCTAGTTTTCACTCTACAGCGGAAGATCTGTGGATAAGGATACGCTTAAAAAGATCTGACACTCATGTCTGTTTTGATCTTTACCTCTGTGTAATTTACTTGTGCAAACAGAACCTTGGATATTCATTTTCATCACAACTTGCTAACTTTCTTTTCGAATTGAATCGCACCGTGGTCAACAATATGTCGGATACATTTCTTATTGTGGGTGATTTTAATATGAGTGGAATAAACTGGCAGCCTTCAACTGATCAGTGTCTTGTTCCTACCAACCTTAGTACATACGATGAATACTCATTGATTGATGAGCTGTTTGCTTTAAATTTTGAACAATATAACGCCACTGTCAATAAGTACGGTAAGACATTGGATCTGGCTTTTTGCAATAATTATATAAACATAACTGAGTGCTTGGACCCCTTAGTGCCTATTGATGATTACCACCCTGCACTATTAATTAATATAAATTTCGCAGAAACCACAACTTTACGGTATGCGCCGCGTACCCGTTACTCATATGACAAGGGAGACTATAACGCCATTAACAGCAATATAGACTCCATTGATTGGGACACGGAGTTCTCAATGCGCTCAGTTGACGAATCTGTTGATCATTTCAATCAAATTATACTTGATCTGCAACAAAAATATATACCAAAAAAATACATTAATGATAAGTCTTATCCGATATGGTACAGTCCCACGTTAATAAGAACAATAAAAGAAAAATACAAGTACCTTAAAAAGTTCAAGACGTATGGAAATAAGTCAGATGAATTGGCGTTTAAACTCCTCCGAGCGCGAGTTAAAATGATGGAGTCTGAATGTTATACGTCCTATTTGGAGCTTACTGAGGCATCAATCAAGATTAATCCGAAACACTTCTGGACATTTGTCAAAAACCGTCACAAATCTAACTCGATCCCTAGCTCCTTAACGTACAATAATCATACTTTGCTTACAGGGGAATCAATATGTGACGCGTTCTCTACTTATTTTGAATCAAATTTTCTTAAAAAGTCTTCAAATACAGTCGATAACAGTCGTAAATCCAGGTATTCTCTCTCTACTTCCGACCTATGTAAAATCACAATAAACGTTGACTACGTTGGTGACTTAATTCGAAAGCTGGATACATCCAAGGCCCCAGGACCGGATAACATATCTCCAAAACTTCTTGTGCACTGTGCATCATCTCTTGCCCATCCTATTTCTATAATCTTTAAGAATTCCTTGTCCTCTTGTTCTGTCCCAAAGGTGTGGAAATCATCTTTCATAACACCTATCCACAAAAAGGGTGCAAAAACAGAAGTCACTAACTATAGACCTGTCTCTAAACTCTGTATAGTGGCTAAAGTTTTTGAAAAAGTAGTCTATGACCAGGTATACTCAGCCCTAAAAAATTCTTTCAGTCCTTCGCAGCACGGTTTTTTAAAGGGCAGATCTACTGTCACTAATCTTGCCTTACTAAATGATTTTATCACTGACACTATGGACAAAGGTAAGCAGGTTGATGTGGTCTATACTGATTACAGCAAGGCCTTTGACCGTATAGATCATGATATCCTCCTATTAAAATTAAATGGCATGGGTATCCATGGTGACTTGCTGCGGTGGTTTTCCTCGTATTTGGAGAATAGAACTCAAGCTGTAGTTCTCAATAACTATATCTCTGGCTGGGTGCCTATCTCCAGCGGCTGTCCTCAGGGGTCTTTGCTTGGACCCCTTCTATTTACGATATACGTGAACGACATACAATTATGCTTTAGATCATCGAGACTCCTATGTTTTGCTGACGATATGAAAATTTTCGCAGCGATCTCATCACTTGAGGATATGACCGCGCTTCAAGCTGATTTGACTCGTTTGGAGGAGTACTGTCGAAACAACAAGCTAGATCTGAATGCTACAAAATGCTCGGTGGTGACATATTCGCGAAAGCGATCCGCTATAACTACAGCCTATAAGTTAAACGGTGATTCGCTGCCTAGATGTGCTTCCGTCCGGGATCTGGGTGTCACGCATGACTCGAAGCTGATCTATGAAGAACACATAGATGCAATCGTTGCCAGAGCTTCTAAAGCATTAGGATTCATAATGCGACTGTCTAGGGGCTTCAAACAGGCAAAAACTTTAAAAATTCTGTATTGCACCTTTGTTAGAAGCCATTTAGAGTATGCATGTGAAGTTTGGAATCCTTGCTACCAAAAATATGTGGACCGAATTGAGAATATCCAGAGAAGGTTCATAAAATATTTGTGCTTTCATCAGAAAGTACCTTATCACTCGGAAATTTACTTTGACCTTTGCAAGAAGTACCATTTACTACCCCTTACAACGCGTCGTGAAATCGCTGATTGTACCCTATTATTAAAAATTTTTAGTAACGAAATTGACTGCTGCGAACTTTTATCTAAGTTTAATATTAATATACCGTCAAGAACTCGCTATAACCCACCGCTGAGTGTACCATTTGCGCTGACGAACTATAGAAAAAATTCTTTTGTTATTCGTTCAACTAGAAGCCTCAATAATGTGTGTGAACAATTTGGAATTGATATTTTTAATGTTAGTGTAACGGGAGCGAGGAGGTGTTTAAGCCTTAAATTCTTCAGGGGTGATGGTGGGGGGTCTGAGTAGTTATTGTTATGGGTCCTGTCTGTTTTGTGTGTATATTATAACGTTCTGTGTAATTTGTGAGTGATCTGTGCCTCTAACTTATATAATACCTCTTGATCCTATTCTGTATTGTCTTATGCACTGTAACTTATCTCTGATTTATATAAGTGAGGATTTGTTATTGGCTATCTGTTTTCTTGACTGTTTTTATTGTAATCATCATAGCTGTAAATCCTCCATAGTTGTAATAAATAAGTAATAAATAAATATAAATTTATTATATTAAAATTATAAATTATATTAGTTTTATATTAAGTTATTTATGCTTTATGCATTTTTCGAATGTGGAGCAAGAAGGAAAATAATTTGGCTGTCGGAAGGCTAGAAGAAAAACGATGTTCATATAGGCCGAATTAATGTGACACCTCCGGCTTGATCGCTAGTGTGCAACTAGTGTCATTCCAACAGTTATACGAATTAACTAAATAATTATTATATTTTATTTACATATTTCAGAACCATTATATTATTTTATACAAAAAGACCAATAAGAAAAATATCAATTTTCGAATAGGTACATGTATGTAATATACATATAGTACAATTATCTTAAAATAAATGTTAACTAGCTGAGACCCGCGGTGTTACCCGCGTTTGTTGTTATAACCGCGGGCAACGCCGCGGGGCGGAGCTAGTCTAAAAAAAGTAGCCTAAGTTATCTGCCAGTGAAAGTCCCGTCGAAATCGGTCCAGCCGTTCGTGAGATTACCCGAACAAACAGGCAGGCAGGCAGACAGACAAAAATTGAAAAAAATGTTATTTTGGCATATGTACCGTGTAAACATACATATGCATTTAGTAAAAGCGGTTATTTTAATATTACAAACAGACACTCCAATTTTATTTATTTGTATAAATAAAACGAAAATGATACAATTTCAGAGATACAATAGTAAACCCAATAAATTAGATATCAAATATAATAATAAAGTAGTTGAAGAAGTGGATGCAACGTCATTTTTGGGCATTACAATAGATAAACACTGTAATTGGAAACAGCAAATTCAGAACCATTGCATGAATTTGGATAAATTTGTTATGTTATATAAGAATATGTGATTTCCGAGATAGTACAAGCTCTGCTTACTTTGGGACTAGATGGCGTTGTGTGAATGTGACTGATGTGCCGGATCGTTAACAAAGTATATCCGCGGATACGGATCCGAATACGGATATTTGGTGTCAAGATCCGCGGATACGGATACGGATACGAATCTTAAGTTTCTTACACAATCGGAGCCCGTGACCTTGATAGTTGTCGCTACTTGACGCTTTGCCGTTGATATTTAAATATTTCATTATTTTAATAAGCTAATACAAAGATGTTTGATTGATCTCATTATAAAGATAGCTCTTTCAGTACCTACGACCTGCCTAGTTGATTTAGTATAGTACGATAAATGATTGCAATACAAAGGTGCCAAATATTTGTTTTAAGAAATAAAAAGTAATCTGAACAGAATTCAATAGTTTTTCTTAGCTACCTAATAACCATTATTCAGGGTTATTTTAAATTTACTAAAAACCTCTGAAGTGCATATTAGTAAAATTATAAATAACAACTTTTCTTCTGGACTAACACCGAAAACGAAAGAAAAAAAATTGTTTCTCCATACAAACTAACAACATTTGATTGGTTATTTGAATGGAGAACAATTTGTTTTTCATTTTGACGTTGGCCAGAAAAAAGTTGCTGTTTATAGTGTTACAAACACATACCTAAGAGTTTTACAGTGAATACAAAATTACCTATATAGAATTTCATCTATGTAATATGTATTTAAAGATCCGCCAAAAAAGTCACGGATACGGATACGGTTACGGATCTCTCTTCTCCCTTGGCTATCCGCGGATACGGATACAGATACGGATATCCGGCACATCACTAGAATGTGTAAAAAGAAAAAAAGAAAGACTTTTTTTTTCTAAGTCATAAAGATGTAAATGATTAATTTAAGAAATAAAAAAAATCATGCATGTTCCCTATTATTAACACAACAAAACTTTTATAAACAAATATCTCACGAACAACAACAATATTTAATTATTTTCGTGGATGGTACAATGACACAAAACAGCATAACACTCAGCGATTCACGGTAACTAAGGGCCGACTGACTGTACTTACTGGATGAACTAATTAAAAACGAGTGTCCTTCATCCTGATGACGTAATTATCAACATATTTCGTACGATTCGAGTGTAGTAAAAGCGACAACGTGTGATGTTACCGCGCCGGGTATACAGCTAACCGCCGCCTTAGGTCAATGTATTATGACTTCATTTACACATGATGTTGCAAATTACAAAACAAAAAAATTACATGTTTCTAAACCACTGAATATTTTTGTTCATATTTCGCAAATCGTTCAGAATATGTGGTTTAAAGATTCCTCAAAAGAAATAACACAAGTTGTATATGTTTTACAAAGTAAATAAATGATCTATATTGTAATAACAAACATTTCAATTCTCATCTCGCACATCTAGACCTTTTACAGCAAAAAGGGCAAATTTTGCCATATAAGTTTTAATTCACGCCCATCCCATCCACGCCTCGTCTCGCCGCTGTAAAACTACCTTGACTCTCTGCATTCACTTATACCATCTATAAAATTAATGACCCCAAACTATATATATATATATATGAATAAGTAACCCTGACTGCTAAGCCAGAGGTCGTGGGTTCCATTCCCACTCAGGGCAAATAAATGCGTAAGCACTAAGAATTTTTCTTCTTTTTTGTTTATATTTTAAATAAAAATATGTCAAACCAAACGTAATAGCCGACACGACTTTAACGACCACGTCTGCCATGTTTGCCTGTCCGAAACACACTGACAATGTACTCTGTGCACACTGACCACTCGCAAGCGTGTAAATGACACCCAAGCGTTTGTGAAGGCTCGGAACTGTGAACGTTTGCCGAACCGGGTACGTTCCAGCCTGCAGACATTAAAATTTCAAAATAATAAAAATCTCATTTTATAGATCTCAATTAGCCCTTTCGACCTACGTTAATTAATTTATAAGCCCGTTTTTCGTTTTCCCAGGAAAAATAGAAATATAATTTTCAATTTTCCTCTACTTAAAATAGCCATATCTCTTTGAAAAATGATTATTTTTTACTCTACCAAGCGTGAAAAAATTGCCCTTACGCTAATTTAATTTGCCCGCATGCTAATTCTTATAAATATACTATATATTATATATATTATATTGTAAACAATAAAAAACCGTCGTGGCATTTCCAAGCCAATTATTTGCGCATTGCGCATGCGCGACAGAATAAAGGTGATACTCACATCATCAACTGCAGATCAGCTGATGCTACACGCACGGAAGGACTTTAAAAGTTATTATATTACTGTTTCGGGAAGTTTTTCAGTACTATGCTATGGCTGGGAAATGCCACGACGGTTGTTTACAATAATAATTATTAATTATTTTTAAGAATTAGCACGCGGGCAAATTAAATTAGCGCAAGGGCAATTTTTTCAGGCTTGGTAGAGTAAAAAATAATCATATTTCAATGAGATATGGCTATTTTAAGTAGAGGAAAATTGAAAATTATATTTCTATTTTTCCTGGGAAAACGAAAAACGGGCTTATAAATTAATTAACGTAGGTCGAAAGGGCTAATTGAGATCTATAAAATGAGATTTTTTCTATTTTGAAATTTTAATATCTGCAGGCTGGAACGTGCCCGGTGTTTGCCGAGCCTCGGCACGCATGTAAATGAGGCATAAGTGTGTAGTGGTGTATTAGACTAGACTGACGTGCTACCTCGTCCCCTCCGCCGTCTGTCACCATGAAGGACGGTCGCGCAAGACGTTGACGGACTATAAAAACTGTTTTGTATGTTCATAGCCTTGTGTTGCATTTACTCTTTTGAAGACCTTTTAATTAATTGATTATGTCTATGCGTGAGTGCACTACAGGTATTACAATAATAATTATTATACGAGTATATTTGCTTTTAAGTTAATTATTTACTGAAACTCTCGACTTATGCTTATTTGTCACTTTTATGGTCAGAGAAAAATTTGCTTTTGAGCCCTAAGGGCTATATATATAAAAATTGGACCTTATATTCTAACGTCCAATTTTTATTTTTTATTTATAAAATATTTCTCATACTTTTATAAATGGTTGAGATAGTCGATGTTTGGAGAAAAAAAAACAACGAACATAATATCTTAGGAATGTTAATTTATTTCGTATTTGTTTATACTAGGATCTTCTATAGCATGATGCTTGTCACACGTAAATGAAATGGTCACTGCATATCTGGTGCCAGACGTCACTTTTTCTACATAATGTAGGTTCTCACGTCCGCTTGTAAACATGCTAAGTCGTGATTTTCTTGGCTCTACAGTCCTATTAAATTTCTCGTCAACAAAGACGAATCTGCCACCCTTAAAATCAATGTTATAATCTCCTAGATATAACAATGTAGTGTAGTGGAAAGATTGGTATGTCTCCTGAAACAATATCATAAAAAAACACTATGGTATAAAAACACACCTAGTATGTACCATAATGGTGCTAATTCTGTTGTTCGAAAACTCTCTAAAAATTAGTGCAGTCCGGTCAAACAACGATTCGTATTCTGAAAACGTAGGACTTCTATTTTTAGTTTTCACAACCAAAATGAGTTAAGTTACTTAATTTAGTCCATAATTGGTCGTTTGTTATTCATTTGTACGTTCTAATCGTCAAAGATTAACTAAAATAAAATGTCAGGCTAAAATTAGACATTATCTAAATACATGCCGACTAATTTGTTAATTATACTGTTTAAGTATAAATTCTTTAATAAATTTTTTTATGATGAATAGCGATTACATGTCTTGCCCCTGGTCAGTTTAGCGGAAAGGTATGGACATCATATTCTTCATCTTAAATCACAATTATAGTATTATCATGTATCTTATCTGGATTATAAGACATACCTACGTATTATTTCAGAAACTAAAAAATAAGCTTTGAACATATTCAAGACAACTCCAATTTATTTGAGATGGCAGAGGAGAAGAAACGGAAACTTTTTTGGCTGGCTCTCAATTTTCCAAAAAAAAACAAGAATATCCGGGCGAGCTTAGCGAGCAATCGATCTATGCATTTTTATGGTACTCTTTACTGAGAAACTAACACATTTTCAGGCTTGGGCTTTTACATAGTAATTTTTTATTCATGTCTAGATATATCTTAAAAATATTATATTACATTTAATAAAGAAAGAATATATGTAACAATTTTATTATTTAAAATTTATTGTAGGTATTACTGACGGCTTTTGTCGAAAATTATATAACTTTTTTTTACCGGACTATTACTACGTAAGTACGCTATCTGTTAGAAAACGAAAAAAATAATATAGATGTAAACAATGTTTAGTTAAAAGTAATTAATTAATGAAGCCCATATTAATAATTCACGTATTAAAAGATAATTCGCTTTAAAAACCCTTCTTGAAAATTATAACTAGGTAGAAAACTTTGCGATTCCTCCTAAAGCACCGCCATTTGCTAGTTAATTTAATTATTTATGCTATAGCTTATGTATTTATTTGCAATTGGATTGATGTTATTGTCTGTTAATTATTTTGTTATTAACTAAATATTTCGTCGGATGATCGGGTTTAGTTACATGGATAACGAAAAAGGTTTACCTACCATGGGTTGCTAGGTATGTGAACTGAGTAAAACTGTATTTACTTAGCTATAACTGAAAAATATAACATTTTGTTTACTACATATATCTTGATCTATTATTTCATTGAATAATCATATACATCAAGTTTACACTTTATCATTCATTTTTAATTTTAAACAACGGTAACACTTTCCTTTTTAACTTTTAATGATGCTGTCTTAATAATAATAAATTATAATCAATTGTTTATTTTATCGCCACAATACATTTTTAAATAATTATAGCTTGCACAAGAATTATTACTAAATTTTATACTGTGGGAGACTGGTGCCTAAGCTAGGCTCAGAGCCTGTTCTAGGAGATCAGGGTCCCCTCCTTAATTGTATACATTTCTGTTAGAATTGTATCAGAGCTTTTGGCAATCAGTTGTGGTCGAACTATTAGAGAGTATACGATGTACCTATATAAATATGTATATCTTCTCATTTTATTTGTTCATATGTGCTTTCGTGTATGTAGTGTTTGTGAATATGTCTATGCGTGCGTGGTTGTGTGGATGTGTGTTTGTGTGTGTGTGTGTGTGTGTGTGTGTGTGTGTGTGTGTGTGTGTGTGTGTGTGTGTGTGTGTGTGTGTGTGTTTGTGTGTGTGTGTGTGTGTGTGTGCGCGCGTAAATGTGTGCTTATAATAGAGGGTGTAGGATCGTGTTGTATCCTATGTCTATGCTAAGACAGCAAGCATCTTTTCAGTGTCGTCGTAAGTTATATCTGAGAGCCAAGCAGTTAATTTCATTTTACATTTTATTTTTTGCAGTTCATAAATTGACAAGATTTTATTGATTTTGTTGTATAAGTATGGTCCTTAGCAGCAAAAGTAGCGTTTTGAATACACGGTGTTAAGCCGGACGTTACTTACATGTACGGGATTGTATCGACTTTTGCCACGGGACAGAGAAGAATCATATTCCAGTTTACTGTGCTGCATTAGGATTATCTGCTTAGTAAACAACTGTCTTACCGTTAGAACTTTAGCTTTTTTGTATAAGAGAGAAGTAGGATATCTGAACGGTAGGTTAATGAACAACAAATTTAGTTCGACTTGACATCAGAATAGCATTTTCGTTTCACTAAAATAAGAGAATTTTAGAGAAATTGTAGTTTAGTTGTGTCATCAACAGAATTAGCACCGTTGATTGATGATTGGGGTGCACTAGCGAGGATACGCAGCCCTGAATCTACGATTTTTTCGAACCGGGGCAGAAACTTGATAGTGGCGCCCCTCTCTTCAGCGTTTGAGATACTTCACTTGTAGTGTGGGCCTGTGTGGCGCCTTTTTCTTACAAGTCGACGGTGAGCTAATCAGGGTTATGTATGCTAGGCGCTTTGTGGCGCAAGTTTTTTTTTTTAATCATACTATATTATGATTTTGGCGACTCCTGAAACTGCCGCCCGGGGTGGTTGCCCCAGTGCCGCTGCCCCCCTAGATTAATCAATTTTTGATAACTATTTTAGGGTAGTTGGTGGCATTGGGCATTTGGGCATGTTAATGTTTCGTTCTGTTTGCGTAGCGGTATTTCCACGTAGGAACTCATATTCGAAAATTGTACGAAATTTCAGTTTATCCCTTTCGCCAAAAAACTACCACAATTTTACAAAAACAAAATTATCTAAAACAAATGACTGAATTTTAAATTAAAATGACATGGCTTTCGGATAAAGTTTATCTGAATTTCGTATTGCGCGCCGAATCCACAGATAATTCAATCTGAAAATGCTGGTTTTAAAAATCCAACTTCATAGGTAAAGACGTATTATTATTACCATTTCAATTTTTCTATGGTGTCAAAGAGATACAATGAGGTCATAGGGTACCTTACAGGATACATAGGGCAAACGATAGGACAGGTCACTTGGTAAGTAACTATCGCCGTACATACGACACAAGAGTCCAGCTACTACCGGATCTACGATTTTTTCGAACCGGTGCAGAAACTTACTAATAGTTGATGGTTGGTATTTTTCGTAATTGGGAGGTAACAATATGTTGTTTTTTTTTTATTTTAAACCATATAATATGATTTTGGCGCTGTTTGAAACTGCCGCCCGGGTTGAGGCCCCTAGATCTCGGGCTTGCAAGAGTCGCAAATGTGTTACCATCCTTTGAGTCCCTCCCCTTAGTATCTGCAGAGTGGGAGGAGTTTGGGCTTCGGCAATCTCACCCACTTAGTGAGAAGCAACAAAAGAAATGCTTAACACTGGTTGTCTGTAAGAATATGTTATCACTCCGGTCGAGCTGGTCTATTTATGTCGAAGCAAGTTCGTGTTTTAAATTGTACTGCCTACTAGTACTATTGATGTTACTATAAAACCAAATGTTGACATAAAAAAAATCTATTACTATACATACTTTATCAACATGCGGATGCCAATACTCATCATGAACAGTAACAGCTTTTTTAGAAGTTATTTCAGAAAAAAATGTAGGGTGTGTCAAGTATATTTTATTTGGGTCTACTCCAAAATGATGAGCTACAGCATATTTAATTTTCTCCTTTACCACCTGAAAACAATAAATAATAAAAGGTTACTATTAAACCGAACATTCACATATAAATATTTTAAGCATTCACTAACTCACTTACCCTATAAATATTGAAGTCATTCTGATCAAACAAGTTTAAGGCTGCTTCTTGTTTGTAAATATTGATGAATTGTTTTCCCTTTGAAAGTGCACCACTGTGCAAGTCTAATATTGATGCACCACCGGATGAGCCTCCCAACTTCAGCCCTTTCTTAGCAATGGCTAAGAGTTCATCTGCTTCCCTCAGTGATATTACTTTGTCAGTGACAAATCTCTTACATTCTTGAGGAAAGCATCCTTCATACTTGTCTAAATCTTTTACATATGAGGGAGAACATTCAACAACTAAGCCTTTACCAACTAACAGCTCAGATTGTTTAGCAAAGGTCTTGAATTTATCATCTTTGGATGAAAAGTATACCACTGCCAGAAGAGAAAATGTCATAACAACACGGGACAGTATTTTTAGCGATATGTTTTTGTTAATCCTGCAAATTTAATGGAGTTTAAATTTTTTGTCAATTCTATTATATAGGGAGATAGTAAAAAATAATAGCTGATTATAACGTGTTATAGAATGTTTAACCTGATATAGACTTACTGCATTTTATTAGGAGATGAAGAATTTCTTGCATTTCTGTCTTTATTTTCGGTTTGGATGACATTGTTACTCTTATTTCTTTTTTTGATATCCTGCATTACAATGTTTTATCTATCGTGTAGGAAAATAATGTTTTATATAAACAATGTTCCTTTCTGTCAGGATTATTTCATTACCGATTTTTAACTTTTGATTGTTTGTTTATACCATTGGTTTATACTTTGTAGATAGGCGATGGCTCTGTCAGTTCCAGTGCTGCCAACAGTTAAATTAACTCTCCACGAGATTCAACATCTAAAACTAATACAAAACCACTAACAAAAACGGCCCTACTTTAATTTTCCCTTAATTTTCTATTAACATTTTTTTAGTTATTACGAAAGAAAACAATAAGTATATCAATAGTTATTTTTCTTTTCATCAATCATCAACAGCCTATACTAGTCCACTGCTGGACATAGGCCTCGTAATAAATCAACAAGCCAAATCAGAAACAATTTTTTGTTACAAACACACATAAAACGGACACAAATACCCAGACTCAGAACAACAATTTGTGGACCAAGAAACATAGAAGACCAAGAACCAGGAAAACAGAGTGCTGGAGAAGCTTCTGGACCAACATAGAGAACAACAACCAGGCCAACAGAGTCAAAAACATATCTGAAGAACTCTGACGGTAACTACAACAAAACAGACTCAGAAGCTTCAGAGCTGTTATTAAAAACACACTTAACTGATGTGATGGAAACATGGGAAGCCTGGTGGGAAAAAAAACCAGACGATACAGACTGGGACACGGCCCGCAAAGTTGTTAACAGTGATAAACTTAAATGGGCAACAGCTTCCTACCATTCAAGGCGCCAGGACTAGATGGTATCTTCCCAGGCGTGCTGAGATGGTGTGACGTGATACTTCTCGAACACCTTGTGAAAATTTACAGGGGCTGCCTGGCGCACCATTACATAGTTAAAGTAGTCTTCATCGCCAAACCTGGATAAGGTGACTACACACAACCCAAATGACACCGATCTATCAGTCTGACATTCTTTCTATTAAGGTTCTTGAGGGGCTAATAGATAGGGAAATCAGGAGCAGTGCGTTAGTCAGTCACCCATTACACCACAAGCAACACGCATACTCGATGGGAAAATCAACAGAATCCGCTCTACATCTAGTTGTATCACATATAGAAGGTAATCTAAAGCACAAAAGGTCAACACTGGCCACCTTTATCCATATTGAGGTCCTTTGACAAAACCACATTCACCAGCATTAGCCAAGCTCTGTCTAGACATGGTGTTGATTCCACAATCTCAGGGTGGATCAACAGCATGATAAGATATAGAGCTATTCAATTTACTGTGAGTGAAGTGACTAGAGGGATGGTGGCCAGAGGATGCCCTCAGGGCGGTGTACTCTCCCCCTTCTATGGAACATTGTTGTGGATGAACTCATCACACAACTCAATGACCGTAGATTCCTCACATAAGGCTATGCAGACGATCTGACCTTCCGCATCAGTGGTCCCTTTGAAAGCGTTACATGCGATCAAATGAGACTTGCACTGAAGATCGTAGAACAGTGGTGTGTAACACACAACTTGACAGTGAACCCACCTAAAACAGAGATGATTATGATCACAAACAAACGCAGTCTAGGAAATCTCAGACTGCCCAGGCTATTTAAAATGCAACTAGCTCTTACTAAAGATGTCGAATACCTAGGTGTAATACTGGACAGTAGACTCATGTGGCATAAGCACCTCGATAAAAAACTTAATGAGGATTAAATGAGGTACTCCTCCAATGGATTAAAGAGCTATGTAATTTACACGGGAACGACGCCTCAGATGAGTTGGCAAGGAGGGGCTCGGGAAATCCGGCTACCGGCCCAACCATACTGCTGCCACTACCGTTCAATCAACTATGATTCTGGGCCAGGCAAAGGACTCGTGAAGCACATAACCGGAGGTGGAAAAACTCACCCGGCTGCAGACAGTGAAACTGGTGCTGACTGAATTCACACCACGACTCACCTGCAGATTGATCAGTCTTAATAGACTAGAAATCCGAATAGTTGTAGAAACTATAACAGGAAACCTAGCCCTGAACCGACAACTATTCACCATTAATGCTACGGATAGTCTTCTTTGCAGACGATGTCTGAAAGCAGAAGAAACGGCCTCCCACGTAATCTATTAATGCGAGGGAGTGGCCACACAACGGGCAAGTATAATTCTTGATACAAAAACGCTCCTAGAAGCCTGTGAACGCCCCAGGAGGCTTCAGCGCTTCTGGAAGGAGCCTGGTTGGCTCACCTAGCCGACCTGTCCTCGACGCATAAAGGACCACTCTTGAGTCTAAATGCGGAAACCGGAACCCACAACCAATACCAATACCAAAAAAATTGTGGATCACGCAAAGTGTCGTCCCATGTGGGGATCGGACCCGAAAAACTGAGAGTAGTAAGCGGCGTGGCGACCGCTTAAACTACTACGCCATTCGTGCATATTATATGTGCAAATTATGAGAATGTTTTATTTTCGTTTCGATGTCTATTTTTCCCACCCCTGTGCCCTGAACTGTGGTGCACAGCCGTCCCTGTTGTCAACTTTGAATTACACCCTCAGTCGATGCCGTCACTGCAGAGAAAGTGAGTAAAACTCTGAAGCTGGCCATTAGCCACGCCAAAGAGGAGAAAAGAAAGGAGATGCTGGAGGGTCTCGATCGTGACCCCCGTTTGTGACCCTGTGTTTAAAGAGGGTTCTCTTTGCCCACATCGTTTCTGTGAGGTGGGCCCTGATCTGTCGGACATCCAACATAGTTTTCGAGCGGGGCGTTAGACGGTCGACGCTGCGTTGTGGAGTGCCCTCCACTGAACCATTGGCGATTTTGGATAAGTATGCTAGGGTATGCATGCAAGGGTAGAATGTGAAACTTTTTAGATCGGGCAGTGTACCTAACTAGATAAGTAGTAACGGGTTTTATGTTGTAAAAATATTTCGTTTTATACAACATAAAACATATTATTTCGATTATATCTATGTGTGTGTTTTAGATCGGGTTCCAGATCTGAGACACAAATTCTAAGTGGCTGCTAACAAACGTGCAGTAAAGGATTTTAAATCTTTTGACATTTTTGAAATCCGCAGAAAGCCTTAGAACAAAATCGAGGGCTTTTGAGGTTCTACTTATGATGTTTTCGGTGTGGGAATCAAAAAGTAACTTGGCATCAAATGTGACGCCCAAGTCTCTGATGACATTAGTCCGACTTATAATGGTGCTATGTAGTATGTATTGGAAGGTAATAAGGTTAGGCTTGCGGGTATAACTATTTACGAAACATTTAGCTACATTAAGTTCAAGTTTATTGTTATGGCAATATTTCTGCAGCTCATTTAAGTCTTTTTGGAGGTTAAGGCAGTCACTAAGATTTGATATTGGACATAGGATCTTCATGTCATCAGCGTAAAGTATTATTTTTGAGTGAGTAAAGCATGTATGGATATCATTAATAAATATAGTAAATAGAAGCGGGCCGAGAAGTGATCCTTGAGGTATTCCCGAGGGAATAAAGACTGTCCTAGAGCTGTAACCATTCAGAACTACTGTCTGGCATCGATATTCAATGTATGACTTAAACCACCTAAACAGATCACCGCTTATACCAATAGCTTGCAATTTATATAAGAGAATCGAATGGTCTATACGATCAAAGGCTTTTTTGTAATCTGTATAGATTACATCGACCTGAGACGAGATATAACAATTTAATCCACATTAATACACATCTATACTAATATTAAAAAAGGAAAGATTTGAAATAGGCTCCGAAACTACTGGACCAGTTTTAAAAATTCTAACACCTATAGAATGTTAGATTATCAGCAAGTAACATAAGCTATAATTTATTTTGAAAATATTACTTATTTCTTATGTAAATGACGATAATTTGAAGCCAGGTATAAAAATAGCCAAAAATATTTGGTTTCTTCGCGTGCGCTGCAAAAACTATTGATAGTACATAAAAAATACGATATATTTTAAACTTCAAATTCAATGTGCATAAAAAGTCCTCGAGGAGTTATATCAAAATATTGTAATTTAGCTATAATTACCATTTGCTGTTGAATTTAGACAACTAAAATATGGACAAAAAGGGTTTCTATCAATATCATGATATTAATCCTTAGGCCCCGTGCAGCGGCGGGCGGCGACTTCACTTGCGGCGACGTGCGGCAACTTCTAGCTACAAAAATCAGTGCAACGTGCGGGCGACTAGCGATGACGAACTACTAGCGACCACAGATTAGTGTAATGTAGCAAGCTAGTAGCGACTGGTCGTTAGCAATTGACAATTTAGTTACCTATTTTGGATAAGTACTGAACATACTTATTGTTTGGCTAAAAAATAAAGTACTAAAATCAAGCTGGCCAATCGAGGTGTTGACAGCGTGTTACAGAAGGCCAAAACCTCTTTTCTAAGGCCTATGTCCAGCAGTGGACCATTATGGAATGTTGATGAAGTTTATTACTATTATTACGGAGCCATAAATCAGCTTATGTGTCCTGAGATTGTGTATTGAATTATTAAAATGATTTTTGTACAATAACATGCGTTTTTAATTATTTATGGAACCAAAAAATATTTTTCTTGCAAATGTTACTAAGTTCAAATAAAAAATACAACTTTTAAAAAGCAGTAAATATGGCAACATTAGAGTCTAAAAAAAATAATACGGCGGTTTTGTATGTTGACTGCGTTTGCAATTATCAATTTTATTTTGAGTATTTACTCCAAATTTTCTGTGTTTCGTTATATTTCGGTGGTATCATGTTTGATTATTAACTGCGGTTACACGGAAAATTCTAGCTGCTATCCAGAGTTGTGAGAAAACGTCATGTTTTACGAAGAAGATGAAAGATTTCTTAATCCGGATTTACTTCACGTTGTCCGACGGGAGTTGTGTATGTCTTTTCTTATTTCTTTTACATAGTGTTTATTGTCAAAATAGTATTTTAGTATATAAAAATGTGAATATAGAAAGCATTCACACGTACCATGTTTGTAGAAAAGAAACAGACTGGTATGCATTTAAAGGAATTCAACGGATATTGTTGTTGATCATGAACTTATAATACGTTTAACCTATTTTATTTGTTATAGATGCTATTAACTCAAATCTGGAAGTGACTCCTTTTGGTTTGAAATATGTGCCCACCCATACTGAAGATGGAATACCTATAAGGAAGTTGTATGTGTCAAATTTACCCCCAAAGGTACAATTTTTGTAATACTTGTTTTTTTAATATAGTAGTAGATACAGGAAGATAGTTTAAATATGCTGTAATGTGTAAAGTATCTGAAATGTTACAAATAACCCATCACTTGATGTAAAATGGAGAGTCATGTTTTCAACACCTTATTGAAATAGATGCATCCCTTTTTGAAATATGCTTTCTTTCAATTCCTCAATAGTACTGCTATCATTTGTATAGAGGATCAAGGAATTTTATTTTCCTCATTGCTCAGAACTTGATGCCAGATGTAAAGACTTGACAGCCCAACCACATGTGGTATTTAACTATTATTTTACTAACAGTGTCACATGTCCACAATGAGGCTGATTATTTGGGATATAATTGGCCACATAAGAATTTGTTATGTGTAGTCCCAAATGCGCTTCAGATGAGCAACTAAATTAGTCTACCTGTTTGAAACTGCCAAAAGGCTAAGGTTAAAATTAACAATTAAATAGTATGTGTTTTTTTATTTTATTCTATAATATTAATTCTTTACCTAATCAATGACTGTGTTATAAAGAATTGAAATAAAGCAACTGTTTTAGGGGTGCTAATCTTGATATCAATGTTTTTAATAAACTTCATTCGCCCTAATTTTAACAATCATACTCACATAATATATATCTAATATTATGAGATATGACACAACATGATTTATTATCCAAATTAGTATTAAAAATTAGTATTATTAGTAAGTGTATTTAAAACATTGATATTAAGATTAGCACCCCTAAAACAGTAAAATGTCTTAAACACTACACACTACAAATAGAGATGACAAACAACTACTATAGTTAAATGGTATAATGATCTCAGCTCATGAAACAAGATCATTGGTTGAGGCTCAATCTACACCATTATACTTAATACAATAAATATTAATTTGTTAGCATTAATTTTCGTTATTTGTTAGTTACTTCATTTATTGTTTATGAATTTTTGACGCAAGGGCCTTTTCTAGAAGGCTCTATCATGTGTACGTGTAATTTGTGTTAATTAAGAAAGCTAGAGCTTCAGTTTTCTCTGAGTCGTTTGGACTCTGGACTCTCAAAGATTGGGGAGGACTTCTGGGGGCAGCTTTATTAATTGCTGCGATAGGGGATAGGATGGTGGCCTGATCGCATTTAGACGCAATCGAGCCGCTACGCTGCGATTGAAATGGGCAAAATTATTTCCCCTGGGATAGGGCCTAATTAGGCATGATGTCGATTAGGCATGACCTGAAATCATATGGTTCCGGGTCCTTCCAGAGTAGAGCGCCTGAGGCTGGCAGTCATGGTGGTTTTGAGTGGAATCACCACATATTCCTGGCTCCTGAGTCCCCAAGGAGCAGGAGATTCAAAGGATCCCGTCAACAAATAAAAAAGTATTGGAGATGATAAAAATGTAAACTCAAAATCAGCCATTTTTTTTTGATAATAGTAAACTTATGAGACATTTTATTTAGTAAACAAATTATAAAACATTACTTTATAAGACTAATTTAATCATTTGCATTACATAGACAACCCGGGCAGAATTACATGGAGTCTTTGCTCAATATGGCTTCATCAAGAGCTGTTGGTTACGAATGGGAGACAAAGGCCCAAACCGAACTCCAACACCAACATATGCATTTGTTACCTTCAGCAATCCTGATGATGCTCATAAGTAAGTAATTTCCTATCTAGATATAAATGTTATCCAATATGTTGATGATTTAAAACCACATGTATGCTATTTAAACAACTATAGTTGCTAAAATATGAACAACCAATACTAAAAGAAGAAAACAAAATTCCAAGTTGAATGATCTGGTTTATTAATAAATAAATAAATTATTAATGCAATTAATACTATAACAATGTCATCTGCTTATATTATTATTTTCAATAATATAATCACTACTATATTACACTAATATTACCTATAAAGCGAAAGTAACTGTCTGTCTGTTATAAGCACCGAAAGCGTAACAGACAGACAGTTAATATTATTATTATTAACTGTCTGTCTGTTACGCTTTCAGTGCTTTTTTCTGAGCTACTTTTTACCGCAATACACGTGGGCGGAGCCACTTGATGTGACGACTTAATGTTGATTCTTTTATAGTATAGGGCCAAACGACCAGACAGGTCACTTGATGATAGGTGACTACTGTCGCCTTTTAACCTAAGAAATAGAGGACGGGTGCGTTTTTTCCCCGGTAACCTTGGTTGTGCGTTCCCGTTTCAGCATTTAGACTCAAGATGGTCCTTTATGCGTCGAAAAAACATTGGCTAGATGAGCCAACCAAGCTCCTTTCAGAAGCGCAGAATCCTCCTGGGGCGTTCACAGGCTTTTAGGAGCGGATTTGTGTCATACTTTCCCGTTGTGTGGCCACTTTCTCGCATTCCAGGATTACGTGAGCGGTTCTTCGGTTTCTTCTGCTTTCAGACATCCTCTGCAAAGAGGAGTGTCCGACGCATTAATGTCGAATAGTTGTCGGTTCAGAGCTAGGTGTCCCGTTATAGTTCCTACAACTATTCGGATTTCTAGTCTTCTAAGACTGATCAATCTGACCTGAGTCGTGGTGTGACTTCAGTCAGCACCAGTTTGGACTGTCTGCAGCCGATTGAGTTTTTTCACCTCCGGTTGTGTGCTTCACGAGTCCGTTGCCGGGTCAATATGGTTGGGCCGTGGCCGGGGTTGCCGAGCCCCTCCTTGCCAACTCATCTGCGGCGTCGTTCCAGTGTGAATTACTGTGCCCTTAATTCATTGGAGTAGTACCCCATTTAATGTGGCAAGCTGCTCCAATGCTTGATGACATTCGAAGACAATACCAGAGGTCATTGTGTTGTCTTTAGGACGGCAATGCAGACTGACAGTATTCGGATGTTATAGTCTTTAATGCCCCTTGACATGGCCGTTGTGGCGGCGTAAGTTATTGCCACACATTCGCATTGGAATATGGAACTGTGTTAGCCTAACGCTAGTGATATATTCATATTTAGGTTTTGCGAGAAAACTCTGGCTCCAGTTCCTGACTTGGTCTTTGAACCCTCCTTGTAAATTCGGATTTCGTCAATTGATATCGGTAATTTTCTTGTATCTGAATCTGGTATCTTTTTTTGTGAAGATATGGTGGTAACCTTATTTAGTCGGTGAAAAGCAATGAAAAAATTGCTTAACACCGGTTTTCTAGCAATTGCGATGGCCCGTAATTATGTGCCAAAGCACAGCATTATATCTTGAAATAATTGCTTTGATTTACAGAGCTCTTCAAGCTCCAATGCACGAGAAGTCACTGAGAGGTCGGAATTTACGCATATCTCCTGCTGATAGCTGGCACCAACCTGTGGAAGAATCCGATGCTAACTACAAGCCACAACGTGCATCGCGTCCTCCAATGCCTCCACAGTCCCGCACCGTTAGGACTCGGCTTGGTGATCGTGAGCTTACACATTTGAATTTTATTCTAAGTAGTATATCTGGGGGCCTATTTTGGGTTAGAGACCTATTAAAAGAAAATGGACCTTACGTTTTTTAACTGTAGACGATTTCTGAAGAGAATATTAATAGGACAAAAATAAATTATATGTATCTGTGACTGTCTATACTTGGAGCAGAACAGCTTTACAGAACAGATTAGGGTACACAAAGTCTTATTAAGAATTAACAGGGGACACGGGCTTTGCAACTAATCGCTGCAATTGACTAACAAGTTTTCTTTACTCTTTACTTGCGAACATTCACAACAGAGACAATGCATTACACAAATGACCCACTAAATTTAAAGTTTCTTTTTATTACAGACACATGAAGTAGATGTAATGTGTATAGTCTAGTGTGTATGCTAAATTGAGGAAAGGGTCAATATTCATGTGACTGCTACGACTCGCGCCCGTGCCTACCTAATTACTCCTAATTCTGAAACGACCATTTTAGAGGCTTTAATATTTAATTTTCAGTAATTACTGTACAACGGTCGCCTAACTTGGAATGTCCCGCTACAAGTAGTGGGTATGGTGCAAACAATGCTTCACTGGATCTTTCGCCTGTGAGTACTTACAATTAACCGATAACATTATTAAATAACGCTTATGTTCAGCTTATTTTTTAAGGAACTTTTTGGATTCAGCTTTGGTAAATCTTCTATTCATATATTGATAAGTGCAGTAGCGGACTGGGCACAGGGCAGGCATGTCAAACGCTTGGCCTTTCCCACTAATTCATTACAAGTGATGATACAGTGCCATCAGAGTAATCCTTAGTAATTGTTTTATCTTTACCTAAATACACATAGATTAAAAATGTGTTTCCATAAAGAAAATCTAAAAAAATAAATTAAAAGTAGAAAAACCTTTTTAAAAACAAGTTTTTATTTAAATACACTAAAAATAATATAATAAACTTTTGCTTTAAAACTTTGCTATCAACTTATAATATCATCACACAATTAACATGATATAAGAGCTTATCGCGAGATTTAAGTACTCTTATTAACTTATTAAGTTTGAAAAAAAAAAAACAATCAGATCAGGTAACCTACACAGGTAAATTTAGCGACAAGGTTTCATATCATATACATTGTTATTATAATAGTTGAAAGTAAAAATTTAAAAGGAAAAGTTTATTTTTTACTTTTGAGTTATCGCTGGACAGGTTTCTCAGTCTGTGCATATCAAACCACAGTACGCCAAAATTTCAGACGGATTGAAGCAACGGAGTTAAACTCGCATTCGTATTCTCAGAAACCCCTGTCATTTGATACCCATATTGCAGAAGTGCATTAAAAAATGTCGGCCATCTTGGGTGTTCCGCCATGTTGGATTTAGAATGACGTCATGCAGCCAACCATGCATTTTCATCCAAACTAAACATGTACACAAATTTTCAGTTCAAACAGTTAAAGATATGAAGCTATAAAGATATAAAGCTTCAAAATTGAGTTGCAAGATTCCACCCGAACAAACTGTTACATACATTCATACATTGCACGCCCCAGGAGGCTTCTACGCTTCTGGAAGGAGCTTGGTTGGCTCACCTAGCCTCACCTAGGCATAATGGACCACTCTTGAGTCTAAAATACATACATTGCTAGTTAAATAAAAGCTTGTAAAAATAATGTAAAGTAAAAAAGCCTGGGCCTTGAAAAAAGACATTAATGCAAAGCTTCTGAAATAATATCATAGTTTTAAATGATAATTTAGAATGATATATATGTTGCTGAACTAGTAGATGGATGTGGAGGATGTATTTACTTTTAAAGTGTTTATCATATATAGGCCTCTCCTATAAAGGAGGCTTTGACCTACTATACCAGACCGGCTGGCCAGACCGATTGGTTTGTGTCAAGTTTTCCTTCTCTTTGCAGTGCTGTTGCCCTGCGTCGTTTTAGTCGGCTCTTATGACACTGACGGGATGAATAGGGGTGGTAACACTTCCTATTCTTAATCCATCACCACATGGACAGCGATTAAAGCGTTATTTGATGTTATTTTAGGATTATACGATTTCGAAGCGACAAAGGGACCTTGAGGAATTAACATCCCATTGTATCGATTATACTGGTTGCGAATTTCCTACTTTGGGCGAGCTTACTGGCGAAGTCCCCTTAAGACCTCCAAGACCGCTGAAATCGATGCATGTTACTGAGACTAGTGCAGAAGTTGAGACCGATTCTGAAAAACCAGCTGAGGATCCTGTTGAATCTCGTGCAGAAACTCCTACGGGTCTCCCAGACGATGTCAACATTCTAGATATACTGAACAGAGATTGTCTTTCACACATATTGGCCTTCATTCCTATAAGAGATCTTATACGTTCCGAAAGTGTCAGTAAAACATGGCAGAACATGGTCCGTGAATACCTTGATGGTAAGTTATTATAATTTGTTAAATTTTGTTGGTCTCAATAATCAACAAGTCAGGTCTGGTTATCATGTGTCACCTGCACTTGAATATCTAAAGTATTTCTTACTACAGTTTCAATTCAAAGACTCCTTTCACATTGTTTTAGTTTTAATTGGCATACGTATTTTGAATTTATCATGCAGAAATAATATGAAAAAGGAATTTTACCAAAATATAATTTTACCCAGGTATTCGCATATTTAAGACGTCCTGGTGGCAGCACGTTCCCGTGATGCTAACAACCGCGGTGTTGCGACGCGTGTTGCAGCGGGTGGGTACGTCGCTGACGCGCCTGCATATCGACCACCACTGGTCTGCGCTCAACGACCGCACTGCACACACTGTCGGCAAGTTCTGCCCTAACCTAGAGGAACTTAAGGTAACAGTCTGAAGTATCTAGATAAAAGCATGACTGCAGAAAAGTATAATGGTGGAAGATGTTCATAGATGTCCTTCACCTATTGGGAGGAGGGGCGAAAGGGTCTGTTAGACTCTTAAAGACTAAAAACCATCCCAGTGTTTCTGTGCTTGCCAATGGCTGGGGAGCGAGAATTCTAATTGCAATCTTATGCAACTCCTGACTGTAATAGCATTAAATAATTGATGTAGTCGTCTTATTTTATTAACTAACTAGCTAGTACCCGTGACTACGTTCGCGTTTATCTGATAGGAAAAATAGCCTAAGTTATTCCTTATGTAGACAGCCACCTGGTAGTAAAATATTAGTGAAATCGGTCCAGCCGTTTAGAAGATTACCCGAAACAAACAGACACACAGATAAAAATTAAATTGGTTTACGCCGATAGGCAGTGGAAGCCCCGGGATAGGCCTTTACTGGGCGCGGCGTCGATCCCGGGGACCTGAAATAACATGGTCCGGGTCCTCCTCGGAGTAGGGCGCCTGAGTCCGGCCGTCGGGTGGGTTTTAGTGGAAAAACCACATACTCCTGGCTCCTACATCCAAGGAGCCGGTGATCCGAAGGGATTTTCCAGAAAAGCATAGGTATCGTGCAAATAACCGTGTGAGCATGAAAACTTATAATTTTGACATTACAAACAGACACTTCAATTTTATTTATTTATATACATAAATTTTCTTTAAATAAATAATTATTGCTCCAATTGATAACATATTTGTACAATTTTAATTTCATAAATTTATTTATTTTATTAATCTTTTTACTGGTGGTCTAATGGTGGTCATTACTCATCACTATAATTAAGTACTCTCCTCTTGTGATTTTCAGATTGTTGGTATGCATACAAGAAATTGGAACCCATTAATTTACGGATGTAAGCAGTTGAAGATCCTGTCTTTTGTATCTTGCAATAAGGTAATTGATTAATATTACAATAATAATAATATGCTTGATAGTAAAACATTAAATCGTTTTTTCAGGTTGTAGAAAATATAACCTAAATCTAACACTGACTAAATCTTTATGGGGCTTTTGGGTATATTTATAGAAGTATCGAAATACAACAGTTTATTTCATTAATACCACTCACAAAATTGAATAAATAAATGAAAATGAAATGAAATGACTCATTAATCATATCACACATTACTCTTTCATGTCATTCCTTTTATAGTCGTATACTCTGATCGATTCATATTTTCTATGGTCATACTCTACTATTTTTCTCGTCAACTTCTATACATCATTCAACGATCATCCTATGCTCCTATACTAATTTTGTATAAATATGAAATGTAAAATTTCTTAAAACTCGTTTTTAATTTATTTTTTTAATTCCAGCTTACTGATTCGAGTTTAGTCCATTTAGTCAAAAGCGAGTGCATCGAAAGCTTGACTGTAGCAAACAATACCCACGTTACTGGACTATTTCTCACGGGTTCGAATCCGGAAAAATTAAGCTCTCTTGCATTTTATAATTGCTACAGCCTTCAGGGTACAGTGCTTAGCGCCGCCATGGACAGTTTGCCGATGCTCACTTCGTTGAAACTTGACGTGTGTCCTCATACCATGTGGAAGATTATACCTTTGATACTAAGCAAGCTACCGAAACTTGAAGAGCTGTCATTGAGCGAGTATATATCTGTAGAAATATGCTTCTCGCCCCAATGCAACGACGCGTTCTGTGATGCGCTCGCGACATTATCCGAATTGAAGATATTAAATGTGAGCCGCAACATCTATATAACAAACGCTGTTCTGAAGCGGGTCGCTCAGTGCTGTCCCAAATTGGAGTCGCTAAACATCTCCAGCTGTAACTCTCGAAAGATTTTCCCCCACCCAGGTGAGATGGCGTCTTATAATTTCTTTGTAATGTATAGGCTACAAAAAGTTCAAGTTGAATCACTTGTAAAATAATATGTTAAATGAGTGTCAACATTTATTTATTTTAAATAAATTAAATAGTATTAATTAAATAAACAACTATGTTTAATACTTTATGGTATCAACGTACACATTTGTTTAATTAGTGTAAAGAGCTCTCATACCTTTAGTCGTTGCTAAAAATTTTACAATTAAATCTGTCATAAAGAAACAATATTATATCAAAAATAAATAAATATATAAAAACATACGTGACAGATAATAAGATACTTATTTTTTAATTCACGATTTAACGTGTCTCTGTAGGAATTTTTATTATGGCAATAAATCAAAACATCTTAAAGAACAAATGTGTAAATTTTAAAAGGTAACCCTATTTTAAAGTATAAAAACGTCTAACGAGAAGGTTCGGTGCGTGAGACAGTATTCGAGCCTTTAACATAAAGATATAAGATATGCTACGTTCGCTCCAGGCGTGGGCGACGAGGGCGTGTCGGCGGTGTGCCGCGGCTGCCGCTGGCTGGGCGCGCTGGACGTGTCGTACCTGGGCTCGCTCACGGACGCGGGGCTGCGCGCCGCGGCGGGGCTGACGCGCCTGTCGCGGCTCACGGCGCGCGGCAACCCCGCGCTCTCCGCCGCGCCGCTCGCCGCCGCGCTCGCCGCCTGCCCGCTGCTGCAAGTGCGTCACACATCTCACCCGCCGGCTTGCTCTCATCCCTCCGATCGTATTTCATTTGATCGATGAACGCAGACGAACGAAGACACTCTCGCAGATCACAGGAAAGCGAGAGAGATGTTACCGTCGATAATTCCCGAACCTCTGACTTAACTCGATAAACGTAGTCCGTTAAAACAACAATCTTTAGTTTCGATTTATATAAAATATCGTTATTTCGGCATTTCCGTAGCTCTAAGGCAAGTTGTCCTTAGATTCAAACCTAACATGGACTGATTTTAAATAAAGAAATAATCAGACTTCAACAACGACAACAACATTTTGATGTGAAATATCTAATGCGGAGGATCGCGATCGCGTCGCCACGCTATGTGATAGTTCACATATTACGCGGTGTGGCTACGCGTCGCAATTTTACTTTCATAAATTATCCTTATACGGGTGTAAGGAACGTCGTAACGAATACTGAAATAGTGTAATCAGACCGTCATTCTGAATAGATAACCATTGGAACTTTCTGCTGGAAAATTACACGCTTTATGCAAACGGGTGTCAATGGTTAAAGTCATTTGCATGCCGTGCAAATAGTCTACGCACATTAAAACGCGCGCGCGCTTCGGAATTTTTGTTAATTACATTGCAGTTTTGACTGTATGCGGTATTTATTATATTGTTTTCGGTAAAATGTTCTGTTTACTCATGTTTAACAAAAAAAAATGGCACAATATAAAAAATGATGCATTTTCCGGCAGAAAATTTCAATGATTTTAGACTCGGAACGATGGTCAGAATACACTTTCAGAATTCGTTAAAAATTATCCGTAAAGTGGATTGATTCCTCTAAGCAATTAATAACGTTTTTAATTGATAGTGTAATTAAACTGAATAACTCGTCATGTCCGATGAATTTTAACGCTACATACACGATTAATTATTAATTAAACAAAATTATTGTTACAGGAAGTTGATGTATGTGGTTGCGATGGTGTATCCGAGGAAGTAGTGGTCGCAGCAGTACGAGCCCTAGAGGACAAGCCGCGCCCGCTGTTGTTGCGCCTAGCAGGCACTGCTGCCGCGTCTGAGGTAATATGGATTACCATATTTACTACAATATTAATGAACAGAAAATATATTCATTCCACAAGGGATGAGTAGTCAGATTTCTCTCTGGTAGTTTATACTTCTTAGGCTAGTGTCATAAAAAGGACTGAAGTAGGAGAAAGTAAAGAAGAAATTGTTTGCTGTGTTAGTCGACAATTAGATTTCCACCTAATTTAATATGTATTTTTTTTTTTTCTAGATGCAGCAAGAGATTCCATCCCATAAGCTATTGACTGTAGATGTTCACGACGACCGTAGTAACCCTCATCTCCGACCTGATTTCGTAGATCGGATTTTTGAAGATAGTTCTGATGATTCTCTTGGCGATCTCAACGATCACGACGATTTCGACGATTTCTTTGGACCAGGTACTTTCTATTTTACTTAGCATACTTTAACTAAATATATTATTATATGAACTTTATGACGGTTTTCATACGCAACAGTGATATGTAGAACTACCTACACATTCAGTTTGGTACGTAAAAAAACATGGCAGCAATGACTTGTAAAGTAAGTTACGCCCTTTTCGATTCCTTATAAGACCGTCAAATAAATTTAATGACTAAATTAAAATTTCTATGCTCTTTTCTCCTTGGCAAAGGAAACAAAAAGGAAAGTACTAAACAAAGTCTCGCAAAATTATTCAATACGTTAATAAGGGTGGCACAAATCAAAAAGTAAAAAACTTAATTTGATAGAAAAAGTCTAGTAAGTGTATAAGTTTTTTTTTTTTAGTAATTTGTGATTATAAAAATAATTTTAGATGAACCTTTCTTGGACGACGAGCTGGATGACTTCGAGGGTCTTTATCAATTCGGCTTAAACGCGCCAGACATTATACTGCTTTAAACGGCAAATGTTTCATTGGTCTTACCGCTGTGAGCACACCACTACAGCTTGAAGAATTTGTTGCAAGGGACAAGATTTGCCATACAACTTTGTGAATTGCATTATACAAGAACATTAGAATTTGTAGTTTTGTTCCAGTAATTTGTTAATTTCTTGTGGATTGAAAATCAAGGTTTTATTTGCTTAGCATCCAATATTATTTCTTGTTTCTTTCGCATGTTCGTATCTATAGTCATAAACGATAGGCATTAATGCAAATGGGAGAAGTTTTTGTTTTAATAATTTGAAAATATTATTGTAATTTTAAGAGGTGGATGATATACTTTGTCTTTTGGATTTAATGTTAATGTTCGACTGATAACAGGTGTTTATAGTATGCTAAATACATAAAGTACTTAAATAACTATATTAAACCCACCACAAAAATATATATATTTATACATACATTTATGAGAAACATTAAACAACGTTGTATCTATATGAAGCTTTAAAACTTGGATAAGTAAATATTAAATATGATGAATGAAGCACCCCTTGAAATTATCTATGATATTTAGCCACATAGATACATAGATAAATTACTCATTGCTTGCACTACTCTTGCAAACATAATTCTACTATTATTAGACTTCAATTATCTGTGATGAACCATTATTTACGCACCATGGGAGCCCCCACACCTCATCTAGATGTAACCTTTTATTTACTTATGTATGTATAGAAAAAAAATATTTTGATGTATCATATTAGAACTATAAGCAAAGTCTGAAACGGTGTGATAGAGTAAATGATTTCAAATCTCATTTTCAATTTCATATGCAAGCATTTCAGTGATTGCAATAATACAAAATTTGAGTTAATATTAGGTCTTGACCTATGAAGTTGGAGATTTGTATGAATATTTAAAAATATAAAAAATTGGTCATTTTTTATTCTAGCTAATTAAAGTACTGGCCCAAATTATCAATACATTTTCCATTTTGATGGCAGTTTGTTTATATCTTTACTGTAGAAGTATTGTTACTCGGGTGTTGAATTTTTTTCCCACTTAAAAGATTGTCTAAATTTTGAAAACAGTAAAAATGGCACAGTCCGGTGAGTACGGTGGGTGACGGAGAACTTCCAACTGTAACTCTTGTAGCTTTGCGATGTTCTATCATGAAGAGTGATCTCGCGCATTGTTGTGGAGTGGCAATGGGGAAGACCAGTCGTGCTTGTTGAATTGCGAGCTTCTCCATCATTGATTTGCAATTCTTAGCAATAGACATCTGCCGTCACTGTTGTGCAATTCGGTAAGAAGCTGTAATGTACAAGTCTGGCACTGGTCCACCGTACTGTCACCATTATCTTCCTATCGGTAATCTTTTTCTTTAACGCACTGATTAGGTGCTGTACCCGGATCCACCCACTTAGATCATCCACCCTCACGATCATCTTGCAGGATCCACGTTTCATTGCAGGTAATTCAATTTAGAATTCCATCGTTTCTGTGCCGATTCAGTAGTACTATACATGCTTTAACGCGAAGTCTCGCTGATGGACGTGTGGCACTCACTTATCTAGCTTTTTATCATTCCGATTTGACGCAAGTGCTTCAATGCTGTTTTGGCAGTAACTCCAAATCCCGCAGCAAGCTTAGCCGTAGCTAGCCGAACGTGAGGCTCTTATAGATCTAAAACCGAACCCTGTTTTTGCAAGCAGTGTTAGCCCTGTACATGTTAAGGTCTCATATTAATTGCGCAGAGGTATTTCCACGTAGGAACTCATATTCGAAAACTACGAATTTTCAGTTTATCCAGTGCGCCAAAAACTACCCTACTACAATTTCACGAAAACAAAACATTATCTAAAACAAATGACTGAATTTTAAATTAAAATAACATGGCCTTCGAATAAAATTTATTTGAATTTCGAAATGTGCGCCAATCCATAGATAATTAAATCTGAAAATGCTGGTTTTAAAAATCTCGAACTTCATAGGTAATCACTACTTCAGTGAAACAGATTAATTGGATGTTAATTTATGCCAGTATTATTACGAAAATTTGGTAATGACTGTTCAACCAAAAATTTACTTTTAATAATTACATTATTTTATTTATAATTGCCCCTAAGATGTATGCAAGTCAACAATCTTACCTCATGTCACAGAAATGCGCATTTAAATTGATTTATATTTGGTAATCAACTGATAAGTGTGATATTGTTATTTTTAAAATGTGCCCATATTAATTAGTTTACTAGCTTAATATGCTTTCAATTAGGTGCGTTTGTTTTAAAAAGACGAAAGAAAATGTTTTTTAAGACAATATTTTTCTATTGAACCATTGAATTATAAAGTATGTGTGATTTGTTTAGTTCATTAATTTCTTTCACATTAAACATATTAAGCTGGTTCACCTTTCAGCTAACATGCTGCTATTAGGTACATAAAGCAACACATTACTACTAGTTACTGTACGAGTGTTGCCAGGTATTTTTATGCCATTTAGACGGGAAGTTTTAAGTTTAGAATCTTTTTTCAGAAGTTTTTATTACACTACTGTAATTTATTGCGCTTTATAAGAACTCAATAAAATCAATGTTGTGGTTTTTATTGTTTTTATGAAAGAATGATTTTTGTTTTAATCACAGTAGCAAAATCAATTATTATTTATATTTTTAAGACTTTATTGAAAGCCTAGCAGGTTACAATTTAATTAACTGGGTATTAGAGGAAGATTTTTGTTAATTCGGACACTAAGTTATGATGAATATATACAAATATTACAACCAAACAAAATCATTTGATTTAGTTTATGAAGCGGAAGCTTTGTGTAACTTATTTATTTTGTTGACTGTAGACTATGGCTTACATGTTTTTATTCATTATCAGAATTGTAATGTCTATGTTTCTGTGTTTGTCTGTACATTTTTTTTCTATCACCTTTGGTTTTTTTCAACTATGCTTTATTTTCATAAAAACATGTGAGCTATAGTTTTCACTTTTGGTAAAATAGGTCTCCACTTGTGTAGACTGTAGTCAAACCTAATTACTGTAATGTCAAATGTTATGTTTGTTTTCAATATTTTACCATCACCGTTCACTTGAGAATATGTTCAATGATATAACTTTATAGAAGGAAATATGTTATTTATATTTGCTGGTGCGATTAGCAAATAGAAGTGATTTGTTTTTAGAGTTGTTTTGATAAAAACCCTAAAGCATGCAATGATTTGTGAAAATAGTTTTTATACAATAATTGTTTTAACATATTATAGTAAGAACTGAAATACAAAACAATTTTCTTCAACATTTTTGGCATTTTATTTTGTAAGAAGCTGATAGCAAGCCATTTTTTTCCATTATTTGTACATAAAACTAGCTTTTTCCCGCAGCTCAGCTCTCGTGTATGTTGATTGCCGCTGTAAAAAGTCTATAGCACTCAGGGACAATAAATCTTTCTAACAGTGAAAGAATTTTCAAAATCGGATAAGTAATACTGGAGATTACCCCGAACTTACAAACTCACAAACTTTACTTCCTTATAATACTCGTATAGAGTGGCACTAATTCCTCCTATACCCCACTTCTGTATACTAGGATCAACAGCAGTGACCCATAAACACACACTTGAAAAGTCTTAGGAAAAACTGTCTTGGAACTCATTGAAATTAATGAGAAGTAAATTGGAGGAGTTGGAAATATAATAAATCCACTTACCTTAGCAAAGCAGATGACTAAAATGAAGTAAAAATAGGCATATGTACCAGGTGTTTACAATAGGAAAGCACCACAGATATACGGCTCCTATGGCAGAATTGTGGAAACACGGAAATTCACCCTAGTTGACACAAGATCCTCATTGTATATTGTGCCAGATGTGATCTGTAAGCTATTGAGAATTGTATTACATTAATTGTACCAAAGACTACATTTCCAGAGGATATGATGATTTAGACTTCTCAGCTAGATTCAGACGTTGTCTATGGTGATTACCATGACTGTTTTTCTAATTCTAATCTAATTTCAATTTCTAATCTAAATCCACAAATATACTTTTCTGTATGCTGCCCTTACACCCTGTGTAAGGTAAACAGGACACTAACTAAATAGAACATGTCCGGATTTAATTGATCTTTAAAAAAATGGCAGATCTGAAGTCGTATGACATACACACATCTTAGGCTCAAAAAACTATCAGTTTTGACCTCCAACATAAAGTATAAAATAATAAAAACACATGATATAAAACTAGGCATTTATATGATATTATTTCACATTTATTAAGATACTAAAATAAATATGTTCAATCAACATACATTAATGACAGTACTAACAAAATTGTATCTAAGACTTCACATCATAATTAGTAGTCTTTATAAATAGGTTCCACCATCTGCCACCAATGCCTACATCAACTATTCTTGATAAAAAGCTGAGATATGTAGGTTGCACATATGAACAGTGTGCTTTGTACAGGTCACAGGAGCTATTTAAATCGGATGTGTACATTATAGATGCAATTCCCAAACTTCTGTAGTGTAGTGCACCTTGATTGTAACAAGTATTTAGAAATTGAAGATGTTGTGCTGCATTTTCATTTAAACAAGCACTGCTAACCATAACAATTTCATTATTAATTTGCTTTAATTCATCTTTGAAATCAATTTCATTTGGATTCTTTTTCATTAAACAACAAACTGTCATAATGCCAACAGTATATTTCATAGCTTTAGTTGGGTTATCTTGGATATCACTTCTGAGATCTTGCAACATTTGGCGATAATCAATAAATAAGTTCTTCCAATAGTCAGCCCATTTTTCTACTATAGTGCCTTTGAATCTTTGAGGGAATTTTATCTTACTTTTCCACGAAGGTATCATAAGTGGAACCTTGATAAGATTTTTTGCCATTTTGTATGTTTTGGTCAATTTATTAAAACTGATTTGCCTGCATTATTCTGTTTAAAAATTATAAATGCACCTAGAAGAACCTGGTGTTAGTTAATAAATAACTAATGAAACTAATCCATTAGTTTGTAGGTTAGGTTAAGTGTACGTCAATGTCAAATGTCAATAATGCTATTTTTGTAATCTCTTACTCCGTAGACAACGAAACTTTTATTATAGACAATTTTTAACGAAAAAATTTTACGGAATGTCTGTATCACATACACACAACTATCTAACCATTAAACAATGGCAATGACGTCAAGAATTACATTAAATTATGTTATATTAGTTACACAACAACATCAAATTAAGTAACATTAGGGATGTGAAAAGTGCTGTTTTGGTAAATCGAATCGACTAGAGTCGGTTTATACGGTATTCGAATTATGACTTGATACCGTGATTCCAGTACACGGGTTCTATGTTTGGTATTCGAATGTTAACTCTAGTCCAGTACTAGTACAGAACTGCAGTCTAGAATTTCGAGTGCAGACCAGGAATACGTTAGTGATTTTAGAACAGAAACGAATAATCGAAAAGGAGTAAACTTCAAGGTTGTAGGTTTAGTATAATGACACAACGATAAATTAATCAAACATTTTCAATTATATTAATTATTTTTTTTAATATTTTTAAACACTCCAAAAAACTTAGAACATACTAGGAACTATAAAAGGGGATCAAGTTCTATTTGTTTTAATAAACAACAAAAAGAAATCTTTTAAGAAACTATTTAAGAACTTCAGATATTTGTTCTATTAGTTTGTTACAAACTTTGCAAGTCTTTTTACTTATTAGAAAGAAAATCAAGTTAATTATTTAGTACAACCATCACATCTAGACACATCAAATACGCTTAATGAAAGTTTTCGAAAGAACGAAAGAAATCGAAACTTGGACACTTAAAAATTTTGTCGTTTGAAAGCTGTCTCAAAAGTCAATTAAAATTCAAGGTGAGTGACCTTAAATTTTATTTGACTTTTGAGTACACACGAAATATATTATTAGGAGCCTATTGAGACAGCTTTAAAGATGTCCATATATCTATTAAACTCTTGATACCCAATCAGATATGGTGTGCATTGAAATCAAACAGGCATTATCATATTACAAAAAAGTAGGTACTCAAACTGCATGGCTCAGAATATAACATTATACCTAAAGGTACAGTAAAATAGTACCTAGCTAATTAACATAATATACCTATGTGTGAAGATATAGATGTGTCAAGGTAGATATTAGTAGTTTTCAGACAAAACAAAATAGGAGATAAAAAAATAAAAGTTATTTCAAATACCTGTTCAAAAAAAGTATTAGGTCAACCTTCTTGGATTCTAGTCTATTACGACGTTGGTTCCATGAGAGTGACAGAAGTGGCTGGAATGCATAATTACTTTAAAGCTCTATCATATAGACCGTATTTGGTGACTTTGTGAAGTTCCCAATATGTACGTGGATTGGCTTTTCTATACAAACACGGTAGCTCTAAATACTGTTTCACCTTGATAATTGCTGATGTTAAGGGGTTTTCCATGCTAGAAAACTCCAATGTGGGAATCTATTTGGGACCTGGAATTAAGCTTGAGATTCCAATGTTCCTTACTAAAATTCGTCAACAACAAATGTTTGAGCATTATCTGCATTTCTCTTGACGCCAAAATCGGCATTCCTAAATCTTTGATCTATGAATGCTGCTTTAGCAGCAGTTTGTAGAGATGTACTTCTCATATTATTCAATATACTCTGTGGATGTACTCCAATACTACCTACAGTGTATCCAATCGTTTATTTAACTTTTGACAGATCATATAAAGTTTTGTAATAATTTTTGATACAATGTACTACAGGGAATACTGTACTTCATGGACGGGTACCGCCCACTTAGAGATGAGTCAAAACAGTTTTGAAATAAATCGATTATCGATTATTTTAATAAAACATACAATTATTTTGCATTAAAATGCCCTAAATGTCGCTGTTTTATCTTGCATAAATAGTTTGCGTAATGAAAACAGTTCCATCGTACTCGTACCTAGTAATGGGATCGAATGTATTCGCTGCAAATTAATGAATCTAAAATAATCGTTTAGACTTACTGTAGTTGGTCAAATAAAAGGCATGTGAATGAACTGCGGTAATGAACAGGTACAAAATGTTGAAATTCACAGTACTTTAGGGATTAAAAATAAATAATAAATAATAATAAATAATATTCTACTACATTCACACAACGCCATCTAGTCCCAAACTAAGCAGAGCTTGTACTATGGGTACTAGACAACTGATATAAATACATATATACTTTTTTTTTTTTTTTTGTAAATACATACATATTATATATAGAAACACCCAGACAAAAGAAAAAAAAAAATAAAACAACCAAAAGATAAAGCAATATCATTGTGTTCCATTAAAAAATTTCGTTTGTCACATTTTTGGAATAAGAATCCAATGTCTTTCAATACCTTTGCCAAAGAAGATTTTTGACCACGGAACAAACCACTATTTCGTTGAGATTGTGTTAGTTTTTTTAATGTTGGAATCTCTTTTCTTTGGTAATAGTCGTATATATGACGACGAATAGCATCAGCGTCAGAATTGTCAACTGCTGCCACTTTACAGGTCTGACGTTTTTTCTTAGGTGTAGATAGCTTATTCTGTCCCATGCCACTGCTGCCGTAGCCTTCTTTTGTCGTTTTTGCCACTATTGGAGCACTAATGCTGCAACACGGTCTCTAACTTGAGTCACTGGTATAAGAGGCCCACCATTAAGGCTTTCCTTTTCAAAGTATTCATGAAGTCGCAAGACAAACTCTCTTGTTTGTCCTTTAAGTACTTTATTTTTTGGCATTTTGACAGTTACGAAGGGAGGAACAACAGCAAATAAATCAATACGGAAGAATGTAAATACACAACTCAAACAACAAAATGTTGATTAACACTTACAACAAAATGGCGTCGCGCGTCGCCACCGCGTCCGGTGTTGCCGTTTAAAAATCGATAATATTACGAAATTATCGATAAAATAATGAGTGTGCTAAATCGATTAAAACTTCTTCGTGAATATAATCAATCGATAAAAGAAATCGAATCGGTAACGGGTCAGGGTATCACTATTTGATTAAGTATTAGAGCAGTCAAAAGTTAAATAAACGATTGGAAAGGGTATAATATTTAAATTGCTTCATTTTTTTCGGATTTCGGAAAGTAAATAAATATTGTACTCTTCAATCTTCATAAACTTATAGATAACTATAAAATCTTTAACACCGTACAGTATGTTGTCCAAAAAAAGTATTGTATTCTTTCTTATTTATGATTGTTTTTTGTTTGGAAACTGTAAGTATTTATTAAATAGAGTTTGTCTAATTTGATGTCAATGAATTTAATATATAAAATAATAAAATTCTTGTAGGTTCAATATATCACAACTTAAAATATTTTGAAACTATACATGCCTCAAGTCTTTCTCACAATATTGTCAAAAGAGGCACCAAGCTGTCTAACCATCCATTCAACACAATCAAAGAAGTACACTTTAAAACTCTTGGCAAGGAATTCCGATTGATTTTACATCCTCACACTTCAGTTCTTCATTCAAATTTTAAAGCATATGCTGTGGATGGTGATGGTAAAGAAACTACAGTTCATGTTGGTAAGATATCATGTATATTCAGTGATAATAATAATATTAGGGTAGGACACATACACACATAAACTCACGCCTTTCTTCATGATGGTAAGATACCTTTCATACATACCTCAAGAGATTGCTTCAGAATTGTTAATCATTTTATATTAGCCTTCCGGTTTTAAGCAAAAGAAAAGACAAAATATGTGTATAAGTAGTAGGTCTTCCTGATCTTCTCTTATTAACATATACTCTGTCCTTTGTAATAGCTTGCATGATGAATTCATTCTCTTAGCAAATAAGTAAAGAATGACATCATATTAAAATTAATGGCTCAAATATTTGTGCTTGCTTATCAAAATTAAAAAAAAAGAGAAAGAAAGAAAAAGAGTTTTCATGTAGTGTAATTAATATTAGGATGAAGCTTTTTAAATAACTTTTATTAAGTTATCAATTAATTATCACTATTATTAAATAAGGTGTCAAGATGGAAATTATATGTGATTAATCTTTTACACTTATCACTTTACTTATTGTAATTGTGCACAACATAATAAACCTTAATTAAGCTTCAAATTAAAACTAAAAATAAAACACCTTGAGTTTATTAAATTATTTGTACAAGTTTTGATTTATTATCGAAAAGACATTACAGGTGGATTGAACAACAACTTGTATTATGTCAATTTAACCAATGCACCTAACATTTGTTAAACTACACATATTTGATTGATGGTCACAAATGATATTCCTTGATAAAGATATCATGTACATGGAAGAAGAGTATATTTTGCAACAGTCCAAAATAAATTTCGCAGAATGGTTGGCAGATAATAAAGTTTGTAAATTGTGGGTATACATGTTAGATCTGTAACAAACATAGAATAATTTTGTCTTTTATATAAATTTGAGAATTTTGTACAACATTTTTATATTTGATGTATAGTAGAATCAGGATTTTGAATAAGATTGATTTATTTATCTTAACCAATTATTTACAATATTTTTAAGATCTTTTAAAAATTGTATCAATGATCCTCTGTCTACAATAAGGTGCATTAAAACAATAAAAACTAGAACTTTCATTGTAGATCAGGGAAACTACTACACAGGGAGGGTGTTTGGTGAGAAAGTCTCAGATGTAAAACTGCACATGGAGGATGGTATGATAACAGGAATAATTCACACACCAGAGGAAACATACCATATTGAGGTAAATGGCAAATATTAATAAAGATGTTTATGAAACAATTTTTCTTTCTATAAAGTAGAAGTACTTCTAACAATTGGACAAAATTTGCCCATGAAAACTGTCTTTACCTACTTCTGCACATAGGAAATTTAAGTATTGTTGTAACCACGGAGCAAATATAAAGAGGTGTTGTAATTAGATTTTGCGGGGTAAGAGGGTGTTAAGCTCCACCCTCTTCACTTTTTTCCATCTACCTAATAATAGCAAAACTACTTGCATCCTTGTATGTCAATGTTGCTATTTAGATTAGCTATCTCACTCTAACTGTAGGATGTAAGGGACATACTCAGAATTTTCGTACCAGTGAGTTTTTTTTTAAGATTCGAACAGATTTTTACCCATAGTTAGTATACTTAATATCCCCTCACCCCGCAAATTATCATGCGTTGTTTGATATGGAAATCTAATTACAACACCTCTTTGTATTTGCTCTGTGGGTATAACTCATAATGATCATTTCTTGGGTAAACTTTTATGAAATGCTATACATATTCAAATTTTATTCATGGTTTTTTTTTGCAATAAGAATGACACTTATAATTTAAAAATTACGTAGAAATCAACCTAAGTACAATTTCGTTCATTTTAAAATTAGAAGTACTTTATTGGATTAACATTGGATTCCAATTTCGGCCCTGTGTTTTTTTTTCAGTTTATGTATGTTTTCTAGTTGACGGTAGTTGACAGTCTGTTCACAAAATGATTACTAAAAATTTTAATATACTGTTTTGGCGCTTAAAAATTCTTTAGGACTGAATGCAGAACAAATTTAAGTATTTTCTGACCCATTTTTTTTTTTTTTTTTACGTGTGGAAATCCCCTCGGACCGTCACCCCACCGGGGTTTGCGGCGGGGTGGTGTGTCGGACTCGAACCGACTAAAACCACACGGTGTGCCACTCTGCGCCTGTAGTAGGAGGGATCCGGGAACAGCTGTTATTAAGACATCCGGACCCCTCCTAGCGCCGGCCCGCTCCTGTTGCGGGCCCCATCTCAAAATTTTCCTCTCTTTAGGCGACGTCCGGCACACGCGGACGCCGCCCCCTCGCGGCTGGCCAAACTAATGCGGGTGGAGGGGAAACCCACCCCGTCCACCCGCGGCCACACTCAGGGCGGCATGAGGCGGTGATAGGCGCGCCTCCGCCGCCCGGTTCGCCGGCGGCGGATCGGGTCCGAGTGGAGGTCGTCCTCCCGGGCCTTCTCCGCCGCCTCCTTCTGCGAGATTACTTCCTCGCAGAAGGTTGCAACCGCGGTAAAACAACTGTCGCTACCGGCCATGGAGCGTACTACGGCCGGTAGCGAGAGATCCACTCCGATGACTGCAGTGAGGGCCCGGCGCTGCGTCGCCCATGCGGGGCAGACCGCCAGCGTGTGCTGGGCCGAGTCCTCACTGCAGTCGCAGTGGTGGCAGGCGGGACTCAGTTCCCTCCTAGCGACCGAGTGCAGGTACTTTCCGAAGCAACCGTGCCCGGAAAGCACCTGCGTCAGCCGGAAGGTAAGGGTCCCGTGCTGCCGCCCTGCCCACTCGGCGATGACCGGCTGGAGAGCCTCCACGGCGCCGAAGCCAGCGCGTGGAGTCTCCAGCCGGAACGACCAACGAGCCATCGTGGCTCGGCGAGCGGCTTCGCGCCACTCGCGCACGTCTTCGGGCGGAGGGCGAAATCCGCTCTCCGCCCGGGAGTCAGCCACTCGCCGATAAACCTCGGCGAGCACTTCCGCCTCCAAATCCCACGGGGGAGTTCCGGCCAACGCGCACGGCACCTCCGTCGAAACGGTGCGGTAACCGCGTATGGCTCTGACCGCCTCTGAGGGCGCCAGAGGCGTGCCCTATTCTGGGCAGTCAGAGCCGCCGCCCACACCGGTGCACCGTATAGTGCCATTGACCGGACAACCCCCGTGTACAGCCGTCTTGTCGCGACGCTGGGTCCACCCAAATTGGGCAAAAGTCGCACTAGGGCAGACGCAGCGCCGACCAGCTTTGGAGCAAGCTGTCGGAAGTGCTCGTCGAAGAGCCACCTCCCGTCGAGGATCAGGCCCAGATATTTCATCTGGGCCCGAACCGGTACGAGGACCGAGTTGACCACGATTGAGGCGCCAGGGGGTGGACCACGACGGGGCCCATGAAATAGGAGAGCCTCCGTCTTATCTAGGGCCACCCGTAAGCCCAGCGCCTCAATGCGCCCGACCACCAGGGAGACTCCCCTTGTGGCCAGGCGCGCCGCCTCTTGGAAGTTCGCCCCCCGGGCTGTAACCAGAATATCGTCTGCGTAACAAATTGCACCCAGCCCGGGGGGGAAATCAGCTCGAAGGACCCAGTCGTACCCTATGTTCCACAAGAGGGGTCCAAGAACAGACCCCTGTGGAACACCGCACGACATGGGCCGACACCTCAAATTACCGTCTCGGTCCTCGTACACGACGGTACGCTCCTCTAAATAGTCTGCCACTAGCCGCCTCAGGTACTTTGGCACCCCATGATAGTGGAGTGCTTCCCTGATGCGGCTGAATGGCAGACTAAGTATTATCTGACCCAAAACTAAGCTTTACGTACCTTTGTATTTTAGTTTAAGTTACACAAAGTTTAGTCATCTAGTGACGAATAGAAGTAACTATATTGCAAAAACACTAAGAGATTTTTCCACAACTATTCTAAAAAATAAGTATAAAATTAATTATAAATTGAAATGCGATGCCATCCATAGCAACAAAACGTCTATCCGAATTATTTTAACACGATAAAATACAAAATTTCACTCTTTTCTTAATACGACGGCATTTAACCGATTTGTGATTTTGCGAAACAAGCGCACAGTACGGACGCTGAGTCTACTAATTTTAAGCCACGCCCACTGTGATGACGTCAGGACCTACTTAGAGTCATGCCCTATTCCTTCTTTTCTTTGTATATGCTCCTTGGTACATTAGTAGGTACACAAGACAAAAGCCGTATATGTATATATTTAACAAAAAAATAAATATTCACTTATAAATTACTAGCTTTTCCCCGCGGCTCCGCCCGAGTGTATGTCGGTTACTGCGGTAAAAATCGCCTATATCATTTATCAAGAATGAAACTATCACCATACCCAATTTCATCTGAAGTGGTTCAGCGGTTATTGATTCCCCATGCAAACCTCCACCTCCTTTTCACCCTCTTAAAGCATGATTTTGAGAATGTCCTTTTTCGGGACCCAATATCTACAGAATGTCATCTAAATCGGTGCAGCGGTTTAAGCGCGAAGGGGTAACAGACAGACATACTTTTGCATTTATAATATTATTTTCAAATTTTTTATGTATTTGAGACATTACTTTTTCTTGAAACTTTAAACATAGCCTAAATCACAATCCAGACTAACCTGTTCTGTAGCTTTTTTTTGCACACAGAAGTCGTTAAAGAGTTTTTATATCACACAGTAGCCTAACAAGCTTCAACATCTTATTTTAGCCATCGTGGCGTCATTTACCACATCTGGACGACAAGACGATGATAACATATCGGTCCTCCGACGTACACTTCAGTTGGAAAGATACTGACGGTACTACCACTGGGGATGGTGCAAGACCACGAGTTTGTGGTTATGTAAAAGAAGGAAAAGGTAAATTTACAGAAAAACAAAGTAAATAAAAACGTGCTGGTTGATGAGTCGGATTCCTTTGTTGATGTGTGTTGCGGGGTAGGCGGGCAATGTGTGTTCTTTTCACTCCATCAAAAAATGTGTCACCTTTAACGCTTTGATTATTGATATGTTTAAATGGACAGTCAAAGCTGTGACAGAGGAATAAATAGCGTCCAACAGTTGGCCTCTTAATGCTTTTCCCGCGTTTTTTCTTTCATATTTTGAGATGTTTATGATGACGATCATGGATATGATAAAAGTCTATAGAAGTTATGAAGAACGATCTAAATAAAGTTAAAAAGTCACCTAACATCGGTAAGTAAAATTGTTTCGTATCTGTTTCGGCAAAATACGCCATTGCATTATTGATATAATAAGTAAGTATTGTGTTCGCCATTTTGTATGTGTTGCTAGTTTATGAACTCAAGTCAAAACTTCCTTAAAAATGTAGTGTACTACGTGTTGTATGTAATACTTACTAGTAACTTCTTATTCTGTAGGTATGTGTAGTGAATTAGTGATATTCCAAAATCGATTATATTGAAATAGATATAATTTAAAGGGTTTTAATTTCAAAGTGAATACTTTTGATATATAATGTTTAGTGATTTTTGGTAGGAGTATAATTCATGGATTGGCGATGACTGAGATGGTGTAGTAGTAGCATATGCGATTGCCCCAGGACCAAGTTTCCTATTTATGAATTCATTCCTCCTCATATTCCTCATCCCACGTCCCTTAAATTGCTCTTATCTCGCGTTTTTACTCGTTTTGTATGCAAATTTAAATTTAATACAAAATTAAATTATAATTTCAATATCACTGTAATATTTATTTTGTTTTCCTGGTTATCTCTTATTTTGTATGTGTATAAATATATTACTAGTTGTATATCTATATTATTAGTTTATTTAAGTTTTATCATGCCAGTAAAAGTCAACAATTTATTCATTCTTGTTCCTTCATTCTCAAAAAAAACTTTTTGGCTCTAGCATAAAATCCTTTGACAGTTTGTCTTTCAAATACTTGACATTGGCGAAATTGTGGTTACACTCTACCACAAAGCCATCAATCAAAAGTTGATGTTCTTTTGCAGCGCGATGCTCTATCTAGACAATAATAATCTAAGCTGTTACGTTAAATTCACTGAATGTGGCGTTTTTACATGCATTAAATTCCTCAAGTATCAATTTTCCCTAATGTATTTTGCTATTTTATTTTTTCAATATTTAGCTAGCATTTCTATAGTAAGCTATTCTGACTGGTAACCCAGAGGCCTAGGTTCGATTCGATTCCTACCCAGAACAAATATTGTGGGATCTGCACGATCATTTCTTCTGTATCTGGGTTTATTTAATCTATAATAATAAGTATTTATTGATAAACAGAACCATGTTTTTTTATTAATATATGTGCCAGGTTGACGTCAATAGACTTTCCCCCTGTCAGAATAAAATAAACCAAAAATCATCTTCTACATGCTAGGTACTTCTTAAATTGATTGAAGACAATAATTGAGATACTGCATACACAAGAAAAAAATATGTATTTTCTTATTTATAGAAGAATCATATCAAAGATGTTTAATCCTCGTTCTAGAATTAGAAGATGATGAGGACGATGGCCAAATTCATATTGATGTTGAAACTGAGCATGAACAGTCAGAAAAAGAGAAATACCTACAAGACATACATTCATATAACACTAGTGACGTAGACGAGAATCGCAGGGTAAAGAGACAAAGCGACTACGAGTACACTCCTACTAAAACGAGGTGTCCACTGCTCCTTGTGGCCGATTACAGATTCTTTCAAGAAATGGGTGCTAGTAATACTAAAACTACTATTAGTTATTTGGTAAGGTTTTGGTATATATTCGTTTACATACGTTCAACCTTTTTAACGATAAGCTAGGTGCTAGGATAGGCTTGAGTGATAGACCAAAGATTGTATTTGTATATTGTGTATACATATGTACAAACCTAAAGGTACATAGATGTCTAATAGCTTAAACCAGTAATCTTTATATATATAATTCTTCTGTGAGTGTGTATGTCACTGAACTTCTCTCAAACGACTGGACCGATTTTGATGAAATTTTTTGTGTGTGTTCAAGGGGATCTGGGAATGGTTTAGATTCACAATTTTGAATGGTAAGGGTGACCCATCCCTAATTTTTTTTTTGTTGCAATACAGCGTTTGCCGGATCAGCTAGTTCTTGTATATAAATGTATATGTATAGAAATGGATTCCGTGTATCTTGGAAATGGCTCTTACGATTTGGATTTCCTCTACATACTAAGCTTAAGAACAAAACGCAATTTAAAAAATATGTTTCAATGCAAATTTGTAGTAATTTAATTTTCTTTTATTTCAGATTAGCCTCATTGACCGAGTTCACAAAATTTACAACGATACTCTGTGGCAAGATAGACAGGTCAGTTTATTATCCAACTAAAATTTTGATTTAGATCATTGACATGTAATAGATATTTTATTTTCATTCGTATATTACATTTTTCTTCTCTAAGCAGGCAGAAAACGTATCAAAGAAAAGGTAGTTGGTAATTCGAAACCTGTTGTATGCCCTTTATATTTGCAGGACATGGATGGTTTTAAAGGAATGGGATTTGTGATAAAGAAAATCCTAGTGCATTCGGAGCCGACGCGTGTGCGCGGTGGTGAAGCCCATTATAACATGGTACGGGAGAAGTGGGACGTGCGGAATCTACTTGAGGTAATTCTTTTCATGAACCTCTTTCTTTTTTGAAATCAGTTAAAAGTCAGACGGCATTTTTTTTTTTTTTTTTTTTTTTTCAATCTTTATTTAAGGAGTTTTATCCAACAGGATAATGCCACTCCATTGGGCCTATTCACTAACATATTTTACATAGTTTCTAATCTAAATAATATATAAGTCTACATAAGGTTATCAACATAGGATCGTCTTCGCAAACCTATGTTAACAATTTGATATAGTAGTGTGGCTGCTGTAGATAGCGGATATGATAGAATACAATTGCATCTGCCTACTTCTCTTAAATTGGTAATATCGTGTAACATTACACTATACCTAATGTCCTCGTTCCGAACACATTCCAGCACAATATGTAAAACATCTTCCACAATTCCACACTCTGTACATAGAGGAGACCGAACTTTCTTCATTAGAAATGCAAACTTATTAAGTGGAATATGCCCAGATCGAAGTCTAAAAGCCGTGGTTAAGACATCACGTCCCAATGTACCATTACCGAACCATGGTTTATCCCAAGGTTCACTTTGAAGTGTCCTATACCATATCCCCTTATCAACAGATCTCTTATCGAAGTGTACTTTCCACAACTCATGACAATAAACTTTAATTAAATAAATGCAATCAGAGAATACTGGTAAAACATATAAAGGTTCGCCATCGCTTGAAGCTTCTTTCGCTATTCTGTCGACTGTTTCATTTCCCACCAAGCCAATATGAGAAGGGATCCATTGCAAGATGACTTCTTTAGAGTTAGATTTTAATTCCAATAATAATTTAAGGATTTTGTAGGCGATCGGTGACCCTCTTAAAGAAGAGGTAATACGAGCCACATGTTGTAGGGAACTCTTTGAGTCAGTCAAAATTACAAAGTTTTTGTAGTCTATGGATTTAATATACACTAATGCCTGCAATATAGCAATTAGTTCAATGTACATAATGGAAATATTATTACCGATTTTGAATTTACACGATAGTTCAGACTGTGGGTCGAAAAATGCCGCTCCCATAATATGCTCGCTTGAACCCGCCCTTGAACCGTCAGTAAATATCTTGTAATGTGAGTTATACTGACTGTCCAAAAACAAGGAGCACTTACGACGTAGCGATGTAGGATCGTATTCTCTTTTGGTTTGTATTCCTTCGATTTTATGATTTATAATGCCATTCACATCATACCAGCTCATCCAATAATCCAGCGTATACATGCCCAATTGTTCCTCGGAATGAACGTTAACATCCTTAAATTTAGAGTAAATTTGAATTAAAACTGGAATTTTCTTTCTACGGCGCCAATATCTTAGATTAATATGGCCATTCAGTTCGCAAATAACATTTACAGTAGGGTTATTAGAAATAGACATAGACCGAAACCACGCCTTGCCAGCTAAATAAATACGGCGAACATGTAAAGGCTGTAAGCAAAGCTCGCTCTCCATCACATGGATAGGAGTGCTTTTCACAAAACCACCTATTATTCGCATAGCTTGATTCTGAAGCTTATCTAATTTAAGTAATTTGGAATGACAGCTAATATCATAAAGGTAACTACCATAATCTAAACGGCTTCTAACAATGGATATGTATAATCGTCTAAGATGTTTAGGATGAACGCCCCATCCAGAACCAGCTAGCACTTTGAAGACATTAAGTAGTTTATGGGTTTTCTCGTATAAAACATTGATGTGTTTGGACCATCTCAAGGAGGAGTCCAGCCACATCCCTAAATATTTTACACTACTAACATCTTGCAGTGGTGAACTGTGAATTGAAATGGAAACAGTTTTTCTATTAATCCCTCTTTTAAAAATGCACATTTTACTTTTTGTAGAAGATACACTTAATCCTAAGTTTTCTAAATAAACAACTAATTTATTTATTGCTACTTGAAGTATTTTACTTGCATCTTCTAAGCTTTTATTGGATATGTACAGGACGAAGTCGTCAGCGTATTGTGACATATATACTTCACCTATGGTATTAAATATGGAGTAGGTGGCAATGTTGAAAAGCAATGGCGATAGTGGGTCACCTTGAGCAAGACCTAGGCCTGTACATCGTGCTATAAAACCATGGTTGTTTTTAATTTTTAAAGTCCTAAAACTAAGAAAGTGCCATAAATAATTACAAACTTGTGATCCAACACCTGCCTTATCCAATATATCCAAGAGTGAAACTATATTTATATTATTGTACGCGTTATCAATATCAATAAAACACGCCAAAGTGGTAAGATCTCTTGAGAATCCCGTCTGGATCCTTGTTACAAGTCTAATTAAACTATCTAAGCATGATTTAGATTTTCTAAAGCCTACGGTTTCTTTCGAAAACACCCCTTTATTTTCAAAGTACCACTCTAGTCTTCTGTTAATTATTGTATGAAATGTTTTACAAACGCAAGACATTAAACTAATTGGACGCATAGATGAAATCAGAGAGGGGTCGCGGTCAGGTTTTGGAATTGGAACTACGCAAATATCTCGCCATTGCAATGGTGTGAAACCTGAAGTTAAATACTCATTAAAAAGTTTTAGCAAAATACACTTTGCGTTATTAGGTAAGTTTTTTATCATAGAAAAATAAATATTATCACAACCCGGGGCTGTATCGCTAGTCTTAATGCCAGACTCTAATTCATTTAAAGTTATAGGGGATTCTATTTTAGGGTTACGCGAAGTAAATATAGGCTTGTCAGGCAATACATAAGCAGGACATAAATTGCCTAACAAAAGCTTGATTCTAGAACTATCTACATGTGTATTAGCGGTTTTGTTTCCTTTAAGCCATTTCATCTTCCTCCACATTTCGCTAGCTGACGAAACTGATTCTAAAGAGTTACAGAATTTGCACCAGCTATCTGATGATGCCTTCCTTATTAGTATACGTGAGTCTCTAATGCACTTATTAAGCGTTGTCAGATTCGCCGGAGTAGGATTTTTCCTAAACTGTGATAAGGCTAATCTGCGTTTGGCAACAGACTGCGACAGGTTAGAATTCCAGAATGGCTTAGGGGAAAATTTACTAGTTGGGTTTAAATTGACTTTTACGTATGGAATAAACTTGTCTGCAGCTACATTTATATTATCAATAACATTATTATATAGCTGTTGAGGCTCGTTAACTAGATTAAAATTAGAAAACGTACTCTCAAGGAAATTTTTATAGCTCTGCCAGTCAGCTAATTTTAAGTTACGTTTTCTCAAACTATTAGGGATAAAAGTAATCGAAGTGGAGAGAGTGATTACAAGATGATCACTACCTAGAGATTCATTAGTAACTTCCCAGTTAAAAAAACATGAGATATCAGAAGTAGCAAACGAAACATCCGGCGAACTGCATTGTAAGATTCCCGAGACTAGCTTAATGCGTGTGTGGCTGTTATCATTTAAGGAAACAAAATTACTATTAGCTAACGAATTAAATATCTGAGTTCCCCTAACGTCTGTTTTATATGACCAAGTAAAATGGTGTCCGTTAAAGTCACCTAAAACTAAGGATTTGTGATTAAACTTGTAGAATAAATCCTCCCAGTCAGTTTGGCGGGTATGTACCCATTGAGGACAATAGATCGCAATTATATTTTCAATACGTCTGCAGTTAACAATCTTAACGTGTAATACTTGAATGTCTTCGTTATTAAGTACAATTGGACATATTTGAGCTTTAACAGATTTGTGTGTTATGATACTGACCCCCCCATAATTGTCTTACCGGTCGATTCTAAAAATATTGTAATCCCGAATTTTGATGCTACTATTTTGATCAAGCCACGTTTCACAAACAACTGCTATATGTACCTTGTTTTGTATTAGTAGGTTTTCAAATAATAACAACTTTGGTCTCAAACTTTGCGCATTCCACTGTAAGATTTTGATAACGGTATTATAAGTTGCATTGTTAACACTAGCCATTCTGTGAGTTACAAGTAATGCCAAACATTTTCTTAAGTAAAGACAAATCCGTAATATTAGCAATAACAGTCGATACAAACCATTGTAAAATAATTCTAACAGTTAAATTAATCTTTTTGAACCAATCATACCTTTCAGAAACTATTATCCGTTTAATTTTGTTTAATGAGGGCTTAAATGAACAATTAGAAAATAACATTTCCGGGTTCGACTGCATATTATTATGTTCTAATCCCTCGGCCGTACAGTTGCGCGTATTTGTTTCATTCTCAATATTATTGTGTTGTTCACTTGCGTCCTCGCTGCGACGTCGGCATCGCCGCCGGCGGCCACGGTGCGAACTGTTCGCTGCCTCAGTAGCAGGGCGCACGCCGTCAGCGACGGATGAGCGCTCCCCGCCATCCGACATGCATGACTCCGACGACAATGACTCATCGTGCAGTAGTCGCTCCGATGAGCAACGCTGTTTACGTTTGTTACTTCTGTGAAAGTCCTTTCCCATCTTGTCATGCTCCTGCTTGCCATTTGCTGCCACTACTGCAGCATATGACCTATGGTTTGAAATACCTTGTGTATACGTACCGCTGTTAAAGGTGTTTGGGTGGGAATTAGATGTAGTTTTTTCAAACTGTTCATTATAGCGAGGTGAAAAAGGTGGAACGTACATTGTTAGTGCCCGACGGTATGTACAGTTAAATTCCGACATTAACGCCCTAATTTTCTTTTCTTTAATAAAGGCAGGACAAGATTTGACTAAAGCCATATGGTTGCCTCTGCAGTTGACACATGTGTAGGAGGAAGTTTCACAATTTGGGTGATTCTTACCGCATGTCAGACGGCATATTTTAGGATAAGGATTAAGGAGTAAGGATAGCAGATTTTTTTTTTTAAGAATTGCGTTAGCAAAGATACACTGACCGTTTAGGAATAAGCTTTTGATGGTGTATAAGAATTTAAAATAGTGTCTAGAAAACCCACGATAGAGTTGGGTAAAATTTTGTCTGTTACTGTTTATTTATTTATGGTTTGCTTCCAGTCGTAACATTGTTACTTAATAATAATAAATTACATGTGGTAGAATTGGCTAATGTACAACCAATTTAAGTAAACACGACATGCATAGTGTTAATAAACAGGAAACATATGTCTAATTAAAATCCGAAAACATACGAGCATGAATCAAAGCGACCTCGCAACAGGCACCACCTCAGATCATACAAACAAGGTTGTTGGCATGATCCGAGGGCACCACACACACCTGACCGCCCGCCACTCCGACAGAGACAGAGACATGCAACACCAACTACGCGATAGCGCTAACTCCCGCCCTCAGACCTAGTTATATATGTATATCATCTTGGCGCGCGAAACTGTATAAATTCTACGTTATTAACATATACAAAAGAAGAATGTCTATTGTGTTCACCAGTTCAATGTTAGATTCATTGTCAATTACGGAGTTAATACATTTTCGGAAATGACACAAAGAATCATTGAATATATCCAACGAGCCGCTGTACTTATTAGCAAGCCTAGTTAGACGACAAATTGGATAATTTGATCCTAAAACAGTTCTTCGTAGGGGTGGGCAGAAAGGAGTGATTCTTGAACGTGGATATCTCGTTGGAACTCGTAGTTTAATTTTACTGAAAAGCATTGGGCAGTCTATTTTATTCGTTACAATTTTATAAAAGAATATAAGGTCTAGACTTTCCTACGCTTTTCGAGTGAATCAATACCGAAATGCTTCAATTTAAAACGATATGAAGACTTCTTAAGTGTATTTTGCATGCCAGATGTATTTATTAAATGTCACATAAAACGCTTTTGTATGCGTTCAATGCGGAGACTGTGTACGCAATACGGACACCATACTACATTGCAGTACTCCAACGTACTCCTAACAAGACAGTTATACAGTAATATTTTAGTTTTTGGATTTCGAAAATCCTTGCTGTTTTTTTTTCATCACAAAACCCAGTAGTTTGGAGGCTGCCCTCAATATGTTCTCCATGTGGGGCACCAATGTTAATTTCCTATCCAAAGATACACCTAAGTCCCTGACACAATCAACCTCTTGCAATTTGGCACCCTGAATGTAATAAGCCGAAGGGATAACTTTATTATATAATTTCGAGTAAATTTAATGTGATGGCATTTAGATACATTCATTTGCATTTTATTATTTAAACACTAATTGGAGAGTTCATCCAAGTCTGTTTGAAGCCTTTTGATATCGTCTAGGCTATTTATTACTTTACGAATTTTGAGGTCGTCGGCAAACATAAATGGAGTCGAATTTAGGAAACAACTGGGAACATCATTGACGAATATATTAATGAGAACTGGTCCCAAATGTGATCCTTGCGGAACGCCAGATGTAATCCTATAAGTATCTGATGTATAACCATTCAATACGACATAAAAGATCCAATTCGTTAAATATGATTGTATCCATTTGAGAAAAGTGCCCGCTATTCCGTATTGTGGTCATTTCTTTAAAAGAATTTCGTGGGAAACCCTGTCGAAGGCCTTACTGAAGTCAGTATATATTACATCCACTTGTTTCTGCTTATCTAAGGCTTCCGACAAAGTCTTCACAAACGTACTAAGATTTGTGCCGGGCCTTCATAAAACCATGTTGATGATCTGCGAGACTAAGCCTAAAAAAATGCTGCACATGTAAATTCACTACAGACTCGAAACCTTCGCGAGACTGGACAAAATAGAAATTGGTCTATAGTTCTGAATTAATGCGCTATTGTCTGACTTAGGTATGGGTACTACTCTGGCCGCTTTGCAAACGACCTATATTCGTATCTGTATCTGCAGATAAACTTTTTACTGATCCTTTAAATCACTACTTTTCATATAATTTTTCTGGTGGTTTTGAGTGTTTCCACGACCTACTCAAGTGTCCTTCTCACATTGCAAATACAGAGAGGAGAGGATAAGCAACCGTGTTTTGTGATTCTAAGTAGGACCTGATGTCATCGCAGTGGGCGTGTTTTAAAATTAGTAGACTGAAGCGTCCGTACTCTGCCCCAAATCGCAAATCGGTATATTTTCGTGGTATTAAGAACACAAGGATGAAACTGTATTTTATCGTGGTAAATTAATTCGGATAGACGTTTTGTTACCTTAAGCGCATCGCATTTCATTTGTATGTAATTTTATACTTAATTTATTAAAATAGTTATGGAAAAATCTCTGTTCTGGAAAATAGTTCCGAAAAGTTTTTTGGAATATAGTTACTTCTATTAGTCACTTGATGACTAAACTTTCTGTAATTAAAACTAAAAATATAAAGGTACGTAAAGCTTAGTTTTAATCAGATAATACTGAAATTTGTTCTGCATTCAGTCAGGTCTAATCCAATATGAAAATGAAGGAAATTGTACCTAGGCTGATTTTTCATATTATAAGTGACATTCTAATTTAAAAAAAAAAACATTTCATAAAATTTTAATATGTTTAGCATTTCGTAAAAGTCAACCCAAGAAATCGTCGTTTATGAGTTATAAAGATATAAAATAAAGTCTCCTTGAAAGTAAATAGTCCATGTATATAATATTCAAAGTATTTTTCTACCGCAAGACATCTATTGTAAGAGTTGTAGCTTAGTTAATTGAAAGTTATTTTAAGCTTTCTTTATTGTATCGTTAATTATTTTTTCTTTGATTTTCGTTCAAAAGGTCATTCAGATGCCAAATTTGAAATAAAATATTTTAATTTTATTCAATTTGTAAATAAAATTACATACATTCATTTTAATAATTTGTTGATTACTTATTGTCCCTCAAAAACAGTAAGTGTACTTAACTATGGGTGAAAATGAAAATCATATCACTCTTTTTCTCCGTAGTGAGGTGACAATAATATAAGCCGTACATATAAATATGGAACAATAAATAAGAAAACACATTTTAATCGTCATTCGTAATTTACCACAATCGTTTTTATTCTCACACTAGCAATAACCATTATTATAATATGAGTAAGATTTTGGCAATAATCTTGAAAAAATTTACTGGTGCGAAAATTCTGAGTACGTCCCTTACATCCGACACGTAGTGTAAGATAGCTACTTGACAGCTGAATGTAACCTATACAATATCAAATCAATTTGTAAAGCTGTTGGTCTTCCAAGATCAAATAAATATAGAACGATGCAAGTGGTTTTGCTATTATTTGGTGGATGGAAAAAGTGAAGTGGGCGGTACTTACGACTACTTCTACCCACTAACCCCCCCCCCACCCGCAAATTGTGATGCATTGTTTCATAGGGAAATCTAGTTACAACACCTCTTTGTATTTGCTCCATGGTCCTGCAGGCGGTAGTGTCGCGTTTCGGGTTGTTGATCCTGACTATATCGGTTAGGCTACACGACGACTGGGGCCCGTATGCCGTCTGTATGGACGGGCCTACGCATAACTATGGTCCGTTCTTTAAAAAGCCAACCCATACCCTATACTGAACTTACATAGTTCTCTTTAACATTGTACACGGACTTAAACAAAAAGACAACTCTGTGGTTTGTTTCGGCGTTTCTTCCCAGAGTGAGGCTTAGGAATTGCAGGTGCCTTCTAGCTGTAAAGACCGACTTGTAAAAATATTTGAAAAGATTTACTTGAAGAAATAAATATCATTTTATCATTTTTATCATATATATTGGTGTATACATAGGTGATTAAATTGTACATTCTAGAAAACTTATCAAAGGTGATATTTTCAATGGACAGGTATTCAGCCGCGAGTATTCCCATAAGGATTTTTGCCTCGCTCATTTGTTCACTGATCTGAAGTTTGAAGGTGGTATACTTGGCTTAGCTTACGTTGGCTCACCCAGACGCAATTCAGTTGGAGGCATTTGCACACCAGGTATTAAATATATAATATTATATAGGTACATATGTTTATATTGCAACAATTTATTTTAATTTATTACAATGTTGTGTTACTTTTGTTTTTTATTTTATTTTACTTTTCTATTATATTTATAAAACTTGTTTGTTTTATTTCCAGCTGTTATGGCGTATAGTGTGAGTGTCCTTATATGTTTTTTTTTGCATGTTACATTTCAATGTAGTTTGTTCAGTTTCGTTGCATTTTTATAATTTAGCCTTGCAACTGTTCTATATGATTAGTTATAATTTTATACTAAGTTAGTAGTAAGTATAAGTTAGTTATAGGTAGATTATATTAAAATTTTAGTCCTAAGAACTATGTTGTATTATAAAATTTGTAGTTTAGATATATGTATTACCAATACACACTATCGTACACAGGCCAACATGTAGGGTAATTCATGAACTACTATTTTAAATAAATTTACATATTAATAAAGTAGTAAAAATACCCTTATGACGTTTATAAATTGATCAGCCGGTCAAGTGTTTAGTGGTTTAATTTGTCAGAGGAAGACGAATAACAAGAGGATTTAATCTTAACGTTCAAAGCCTGTTTGAATGACAAATATCTAAAGGCAGTTTCCTCCGGCGATATGGGAAACTAATGATTTGAAACCAGTTTCCTAAATATAATTATTTCTCTTTTATCGAAACCTAGTTTCCAATAAAGAAAAGTAATTTTCTTTTCGAAACTGGTTACCAACACAGAATGTTGGATCTTCTTTGGAAACTTAAAATATATCTACTAACTTCTTGATTAGAAACAATTTCCTGGCTATAAGTAGCTAGGAAGTTCTAGCCACACCACCTCTTTTTGTCGGAATAAATTCTATTACTCTACTCATTTTAACACAATTTAAGAAAGTAACCACTGCTCGAACTCAATGTAATATTTACAATAAAAAAATCAATTCATTTAGGATTAAATAATCAACACTTGATATTTATCATTAGTATCTGTGTATAGCATCTGATAGTAAGATGACATCTTGTCATTGTACATAAGAAAGGTGTAAGTCGCCAGGAAATTATTTCTAATCAGGGATTGTAGGTTAGTATAGTTTCAAAAGAAGATCCAACATTCTGAGTTAGTAACCAGTTTCGAAAACAGAATTATTTTTCTTTATTGGAAACCAGGTTTCGATTAAAGAGAAATAATTTAGTTTTTGGAGTCTGGTTTCCAACCATTAGTTTCCAATATGGCCGGATGGAGAGATTTTCATATGCCATTCACAAAGCAATAGGTTAGTGCGATAAAGAAAACGATTTTACAGGTGTCATCAACCTTGCAGATAAAAATCCAAATTAATTTTAAAATAAAGGGCTTGGCCCTTAGAGAAAGCTCTATTGGTTGCCACTGGGGACACTATTATTATATCAACATAAAAAAAGAAAGCCAAGTAAAAGTATGTATATCATAAACAGCGGTACATGTCAGTAGCATCTGTTCAATTATGTTCATAACATTTGTAGGGACTTTCTATACAGTTACTAAAACTTGCATAATATTTAAAATTTACACATGTACTATAACAATTTTAATTTGAACAGAATACTTCAAAAATGGCTACACTCTCTACCTCAATTCGGGTCTTAGTTCGTCTCGCAACCACTACGGTCAACGCGTGATCACTCGGGAAGCAGATCTCGTGACCGCTCATGAATTCGGTCATAACTGGGGCTCCGAGCATGACCCCGACGTGGCCGAGTGTTCCCCCGCCGCCAGTCAAGGTGGCTCTTACCTCATGTACACGTATAGTGTCAGCGGATATGATGTCAATAATAAGGTAAAGGTTCAGATGGGCCAAGTACGTTTGATTTTTGCCTATTATTTGCGTGCAAATGATTACATAATGATATTACGTTTTTGTTCTTCTTCAGAGGTTTTCACCCTGTAGTTTACGGTCCATCCGGAAAGTGCTGCAGGCAAAGTCGGGGCGATGCTTTTCGGAGCCTGAGGAGAGCTTCTGCGGCAACTTGCGCGTCGAAGGCGGCGAGGAGTGTGACGCTGGATTGCTCGGTACTTCCATTTTAAATATTGTCTAATAAATTAAAAAGAAAACTGAGTAAGTGCTTTATATATGTTTACTTACTAATTTCAATAAAAAAAACTCACAGTCAAGATTTGGATCCAGAACAGTTTTGTATCTGGTCTGCTGTTTGATTTGACGATGGAAGGGTCTTCTGTAATTTTAAGCTTTATCAATAAGCCTAAAAATATTATTATTTCAGGCACCGAAGATAATGACATGTGTTGCGACAAAAATTGTAAACTGAGAAAAAATCAAGGCGCCGTGTGCAGGTACACTATATTTATAATATGAACGGAGGAACTCATTTTGTCATTACAAACATGGCAGGTAGAACGATCTGAAGCTGTAGTGTATGTGTGCAGCGACAAGAACTCCCCGTGCTGCGCGGGCTGCGTGTTCGCGCCGCCCGGCCTCGTGTGTCGAGAGGCGGCCCACTCGGCGTGCGAGGGAGAGGCCACCTGCAACGGCGCCTCCGCCGACTGCCCCAAGGTCATTTCCCTTTTACGCTACAACTGACAAAATTATTGATTAAGTACTAATATTGTGCATAGGAGTTTTAGTCTCATTTAAAGCGTTCAGTACCAAATTTTCCTTTATGATCCATGCAACATTTGTAAATAGGCGCTGTCAGAGCATATGTATAGAAATATTGTCATTCATAAAACGGTAACAGTTTTTTTACAGGATTTTATTAAGCTTCAACGTATAGAATTGAAATGCCTTCCCCAGGTAAAAAGAAAATGAAAACTGTATAAAGATACCTTACAGCACACGTTCCAACAGTAGCACATATTAGGTAAACTAACACCTTTGTACAGCAGGAAACTTGTTAAATATCAAAACAATGCATCGTATTGGACTTTAATAATGTTTTTATATTTTCATAGGCGCCAGCGATAGCGGACGAGCACGAGTGCGCGGAACGCGGGCGCTGTCGCAACGGCACGTGCGTGCCCTACTGTGAGACGCAGGGCATGCACAGCTGTATGTGTGATATAGGTTAGGGAGTTGCTGATTAGTTGCTCTATCGCTGACAGCCCTATGCATTGTCGCACGTAGGGCTGCCATCGATAGAGCGACTGTTACTACTATGAAAAGCTTTATACACATTCAGGCGATAATTTATAATGGCGTAGTGCGTTTATCCGTTATATTGTGTCCTTGTGCATAGGATTTTTATTTTATCGAAAAATAATAATAACCGGTTACCGAAAAATATACCGTCTAAAATAAATAAATAGAAATGATTGTTGATTCCAGAACCTGGATTTCTGTTTACAAATGGTACTTTAGAATACGTAGATGTAAGATTCTGAGAGTTGCCCGAGTGTTTTTTGGCAGACTTGATCTGCTTTTAAAATAATTGTTAGAGTAAAAGTGTATACAATATCATGTAATGTAGTATGTTAGTTTATGTAGTATTGTGTTATTGGCAGTGGCGGACGCATGCAAACGTTGCTGTCGCAAGAGTCTCAATAAGACTTGCTTCCCAGTAGCGCAGAATGACATACTTCCAGACGGAACACCCTGTATTCAAGGCTTTTGCAATAAGGTATGCAGTTATTTAAATCATTTTTTAGTTCAAACGAAATAATAGGTTTTTCCCTTGTGGCGACTCGACACATAAACATACTAGAGCGCCATCTAATGAAGACACACCGAACTACGGAGTAACTACTAAAATAAGAATTGCTAATCCTGTATCGCGATATAAAGAATTCCCTCGCCGGTTAGCATATATACAACTTCCCAACATCAACCGTTGGGCCGCGGCCCGCCAGGCATGATCACCTCGCCTGGTCGTAGGATCCTCCCTTTGTGTTGGAGGGACACGAAACCCGTTCCTCCACACCCTTAATATAAATTTTAAAGCGAAACCAAACTAATCGACATAGAGAGTAGTATATTACTACAAAAGAATATGCCCACAACCACCAGACCACCACCATACCACATAAAAACTATGCGTACCTTTTACGTGTCGTCGCGTCGTGTAGGTAGCATTTTAGGAACCAGGGAGGATGTTGCCACTGCTTACTAAGGCTGGGTAACTAAGGTGTAGTTGCCAAGCGCAGACCACGTAATCTTAGAAACAACTTGCATTGCTACACCACTCCAGATAATAGAGATCAAGATAGAGATTAAGTAATGGATATGTATGTGGATGGTCGCTTACATAGTAAGTCAAATAATAGTGACGCATCGATCAAGCTCCGCACGCCGACCAATCAGGTTCTAAGCTTTCGTAATAAGCGAATGGACTATAGATGGATTGACCAGCTGTTCAACGCGGAAGTAAGAAAGCGAAGCATTCTTCACAAAAATACCTTATCAGTCGATTATGGTGATTTTTTTTAATGGAAGAGGGGACAAATGAGCAGATGGGTCGCCTGATGGAAAGTGCCGTCCATGAACGCCTGCAATCTGGAGTCACAAGCGCGTTGCCGCCCTTTGAGGAAAAGATAAAGATGTTTTAGTAAAAACCAAACCACTTTCTGTTGCAGGGTGTTTGTGAAAAAACTATCCAAGACGTAGTAGAACGTTTTTGGGATATTATAGAAGACATCAATATAAATAATGTATTGGGTTTTCTGCGTGACAACATTGTGGGTGTCGTTGTGCTTGTTACTGCTTTCATCTGGATACCAGCTAGTTGTGTTGTAAGTTTAAAAATCAATTTAATACATAGCATACAGTTAATTCACTATCTTTTTCCTATGTGTAAAATATATATTACTTAAACAGTTTTACAAATAACATTAAATTGTCTAAACCACATATTGACTATTGATACTAAACTGTGTGATTTAATTTACTAATCTCAGTCACACATAGCACATCCAGTGCCTACCGATTTTAATAGTTCAGATGTACATTGCCTATGTGTCAAGTAGTTAAACATAAATTTCAAAGAAAGCGCTAGTTATCTATTTTTCTGGAATTCAGATACTATTTTGCAGAATAGGTACGAAAAACCAGTTTGCTTTAGACCACACGACTGAAATAAAACTTCTTGGCTATGAGAGAAAGAAAATGTGTGCTCGCACCTCTCTCTCTTGCCCCTACAGTAATATACGAAAGGTAACTCGCTCTCTTTCTATCTTAACTAACTATAAGTTAGTCTCCCTCTCAACTTCTGTTCGCCTTGACCGATCACACTTTTCGTAACGCTCTCGTCATGCATTCACTAGCTTACTCCCCAAGTTTTTACACTTACCAAAAGTTTTAAGGTCTGTAGGTAGTTTTACTTTAATAACGAATCATTTTTATCTGTTTAACTTTAAGATTAGTTACGTGGATCGTCGCCGACAGCGCCAACACCAGAAGTATTTAGAGTGGGAGAGGCAACACGATCTTGTACACCCTTCCTCACCGCGTAAAATAATACACACCAGGTAGGTATTATTATCAAATCCTCCTCAATAGCTTGAGCAAAGTTTTATACAAGCTTAGCATAGTGTACACTTTTCACTTAATACATTTTGTATCCCGTTTAACCGACCATTATATAATATATGAAAAAATATTCCCGCCATGTTGAACCAACGTTTCTTGTAGTTGGGTTTTAGCTATTTTATTTAATAGGTAATAATTGTAACCAATTTAAATAAACATGTCATCGAACTTTCAAACAGATGTCTAGAATAATACGTTTAACAATCCTAAATCGATCGTTACAGTGGTGGGCGTGTGGCCCTCCCACACGCCCACCACTGTAACGATCGATTTAGTCGATCAGTACCTTAAAAAAACCTAAATCGATGTAAATTCAATATGGTCCTTTATTATTTTCGTAATAGTTTTGTTTCGCATTTACCTTTTTTCTTGTTTTTGCAGATTACCAAAGCAGAAACCGCCGGGAATGAAGGGCAATATTCAAGGGTCGAGTCAGTTATAGATATTAATTTGTCTTTTGTGATCTTTTAATAAATAACTATTAGGAATATAATTTTTTTGTTTATATTCATCAACAGCCTATACTAGTCCACTGCTGGACATAGGCCTCTCCTTAGAAAGGAGGTTTTGGCCTACTATACCACGCTGGCCAGACGGGTTGGTATAGGGTTTGTTTCAAGTTTTCCTTCTCTTTGCAGTGCTGTTGTCCTGCTTAGTTTGCTCCCTTAGTCGGCTCTTACGACACCCACGGGATGAATTGAGGTGGTGACAATTTGTATTCTTAATCCGTCACCACACGGTTTATATTATGCCAACTAATTTATGTAATTTATGTAATGTAAAATTTATTTGACAAAACATATTGTTGCTCATGTGTGTATTGATCTACGATCAGGAGATTTCCAATAATGTAAACATTTTTTTTTGAAATAAAGAAATTTTAACTTGACTATACACTTTTGTTAGCTATGGAGATGTTATAGATCAATATTACAAATTTACATCATTACTTTCACGTCTCATTCTTGTTCGGGGTTGCAGCTCTCCCACGTTCATCGGGGCTTTTATTCAAAACCACAATATAACGACCAAAATAGTCAGTTGGGGGATCTAAATACATAGTGTCACTTACACGGGCTCGGCCATCATCAGGGATTTTAATTTTGATAACACAAAAAATTGTCGAAATTTGTCAGCAAATATTAGATTTTGTCGATCATTGGTTCAAAAGTTATAGGCGTTTATAGGTGGCCGGACCTAGGGTCATTCGCCTCAGCTTGGAAACGTATAATATATCCAAAACTAAGATATCTAGCGAAGATCTGTTTTCTCCCAAATTTAGTCGGTATTTGTCGCCAAGTCACATTTAATCGGATCTTAGTTCAAAGATATAAGGACTTCAATTTTTAAGGTAGGTACTTATAGTCTAAGAGCTCGATCGAAGAGTTTACGAAAGACTATATTTTATTCTAATTTCTTTAAAAGTCAACTCTCATTAGGTATATATTCCTGTGTCGCGGGGGACTTTACAAACATACATGAAACGGACACAAAGAACACCGTCTATTTGTGGATCACACAAAATGATGTTCCATGCGGTGATTGTGAATGTACTTGTACTTTTATCAATCTTAAGTCCTTAGAAATGTCGGAGAGACATAATTCTCAATTTAATAGACGTATTTATGTTTGAAATTACCAGGTTAGAGTAACTTTAACTTTGAAAACATTAAAACTTGCTCTTGGTCTGGTGTCTTTAATAATAAAAAACCTTCTGAAGAATCTATGATTCACCAAATAAGTTAAAATTATCGTATAAGTAGCGGCACGAAACTCTAGCGGTGACAGTTACTGCGCAGAAGTCAAAAATCAGGTATCTTGTGGGGTAAGAGGGACGAAGGGCGGGCGTGCGTAGCGCCGATTGGCTCTCCAGTTGCATTACGTCCCCCGCACTGATACGACACGCCGCGTGCTTCCAGAGTACAGTCGCGTTCTGAGTTATATTGTTATCGCTGTTAATTTTTGTTGCTGTTTTTGTTAAGTTTGATTTTGTTAAGTTATTTTTTGTTTGTGACTTTAAACAGTGAATATGCCTAGAAGAAATACTGTTTTGTAACGACAGGCACGGAAAATGGTATATGACGTGCATTGTTTTTTGAAAAGGGAATCTGATAAATTAATTAATTCTCTAAAACAAATCAAAAGTGAGATTGACGAAGCTACGAGTATTTTACTCAATCATTCGGACAGCAGCACTGTAAATTTAAGCCAGATAAAACAAACTGCAGAAGTTATTAGGGCGGGAAATATGAAATTGAAGGATATCATCAGTGATTTAGGGAAAATCCAAAAAAGAACAGCAGAGTCTACGAATACGTCAATTGCTACGGTAAGGAACATCATCACTCAAGCTAATAGTTCAGATTTAATCACAGTGTTCAGAACACCTGGCAAAAAACGTTCCAGAACAAAGCCGGTTACAAATATCGATAACTTCGATCAAGGAGTAATAAAGAGGTGCATTCATAACTTTCACAAGACAAATAATGAACTTCCCACAGTCGGAAAGCTAAAACAGAAGCTAGAGGAGGACATAAATTTCAAAGGGTCAGAACGAAGTCTTCGGCGGATAATTAAGAGTTTGGGATTTCGGTGGAAAAATACCCAAAATAACTGGAAAGTTTAGCTTATAGCTTTTACCCGCGGCTTCGCTCGCAGTTTTATCTTTCGTAAAAAATATTATTTTAATAAAAAGTATCATATGTTACTTCTAAAACCTCCAAGAATATGTGTATAAAGTTTCATGATGATCGGTTAAGTAGTTTTCACGTGAAAGCGTAACAAACAAACTTACATTCACATTTATAATGTTATATAGTATGATTACTTACTTACCTTTTGTACCTATTGTTGAGAAAATAAAGAAATTCAAATTTGACGACTCTGGCACGTGAACAACTTTCAGAAGTTACACTCTATAACATTAACTATTTACTAAAGTTAATATTTGCGTGCGCGATAGTACCCATGCGCGGCTATCCCTTCCACGTTCCGCTCAGCGCTAGACTTACGTGCCGCTAGTTATATCTTTAGTAAAATGTTTAAAATTAAACCGATATATTCTTACCGAATTATATTAGACCGATAAAACTGGAAGTACAATAGATACACATACCAACTTATTAATAGTTTTTTTCTTTGCAATTTGTCGTAAACTCTTAGATCTAGCTCTTAGACTATACCTATCTTAATAATTTAATTCATTATAATATAACTAAGACTCAACTAAATCTGTGACAGTAAAGGATGTACGAAAAAATCAGGTAATTAACGACTAAATTTGGGAGAAAACAGACCTTGGCCAAGCGGGGTAGATTCTCCCTAGGTCGCCAACCTATAAACGCTTATAACTTTTGAACCAGTGATCGACAGATTCTGATGTGGAGTTTAATTGAGAATAACGAGTTTTTTTTTTAATAATGAAAAATGTATTGTTGCGCCGTAGGATTAAATGGTTCGATTGTTCCAGAATTGTATGGAATGTCCACCCAGCATCGAGTAAAGTACAACTATTGAGATTGTGAGTAATAATTCTGATACTTACAGCGCTGCAAGTAAGGCCTTACTGATACTGAAATATTCTTATTTGTCTGGAACGGACTATCGAATACTAGGGATCATTCTAGTAAATTTGATAGCGCTATAAAAGCGGAGCGTATTGGTCGTACGAGACGGTATCGTTTTACGACACAGCGGTGTGCGTTACCCCAGCAAAATAATGTCGAAAATGGTAATTTTAACGTTATAGATAATTAGTTGCTCCCCTTCTGTAATTGTTAGGCACATTTTTAAATTTGTTTCACTTAAACTTTTTTAGTTATTTCAAAAAATCATTTCCTGCTGGGGTAACGTTTGAAACGTTACCGCAGCCAGACATTTTCTTTTTTAATTGTAATATTGAAATAAATTTTAGCTAAATAATTAGTTATCCGGACTAGGTAAATGTTAGAACTTATTTGGTATTTGTATTTTCTTCGGCTGCGAAGTTATTCAAGATCCTGCTGGAGTAACGTTTGTGGGTTTGCTGGATCTCTGAAACGGGTAAGCGGATTGTAACCATCTTTTGTATATAACTTCTTAGGATTAGTTTTAATTTGTTCCACAATAAAATGACAAAAATAATGGACCGTTTAAAAATTATTTAGGTAAGTATGAAAACACTTCAATACGTCCTAACACTTTAAATAAGACCTCTAAAGACTTACTTCAAACGTTATTCTATTGCTTGTAACCACCTTCAAATGTATACGAATTTTCGTAAGAATACTGTAAGTGACTAAAAAGTTATGATGAAATGTAGCTCTCCACGTTCACGATCACAATGTGTGCGGCCTTTTTTGGCCACCGATAAACCTGTGTGTGGATATATAAACTGAATGTTATGCCAATAATTAGTTGTTTAGTTCATTTGTCTACCTGTAGAATTTCAGCGTCGTACATATAATAATTTACGAGATAATTAAATAAAAGTCATTAGAAGGTGCAAGTCCGTGGTAATCCGACCATGTTTAGGTGGTTACAAAAAAGCGATCACCCAGTACATTGCGCTGTCTTTTAAAATGTTTAGTGTAATACACCTTACGATTTCGGTACAGTTGCGTGCAGTGTTAAATACATTCAATATTTATTCATTATTATTACCTATTATTTATTTTGTTTTTTTTTCCTAATTGATCTTAAGCACTAGTTTTTTTACTTAAAATTTCTTTAGTCTTTTTAACTACCGGAGCTACAATCAACAGAAAATCTGCACTGGTCCGCTAAAATTATAAATATGTAGATACATATATGAACGATTCACCTGACTGCAATAAATCGAAAATTTAAACCAATCAAGAATCGCTGATAATACATCCTTCGCTAGAACGCGGGAGGGGAGGGGCGAAGGGATGCTTCATTGTTTGCAATTTGCATCTAGTGCACTAAACTTGACCCTTAGGCAGATAATATAAGTACGTGTTGTAAAGTACGTGTGCGCTTCCGCTTTCTATTTTTGCAAATATTTATCGTATTCTTGAGAGTTCTTCAATATGTGTGTACCTAATTACTAATAATAGGCATTAATGCTAATTCGATTCAATTTAAGTAATTGTCAATTCTTGTCTTAGGATATTAATTACTAATGCTAATATTGAAATTTCATAACGATCATAACTTTTAGGTAGGTATATCACTTATTACTAATTTTACATAAATAATTTATTTTATTATAATTTAACTATTTTATTTTCTCCAACATTATTACAGAAATAATGCAATACAGAGTTTGTTCGCGATACGCTAGCCTAAGTCGATTCATCACTTAAAAAAATCCCCATCTATTCACAAAATACCTATTTACAACGCATACGTTACACTCTTCAAAACTTATAATTTCATTTCATTTCATTTCATATTTCTTAAATTACCTATACCTACCCTAAAATTAAACTTCAATTAACAAATACTACGCAGGTACCAATTCTATGAACAACTATAAACAATTCACCTAAACATTACGAGAAAACAAAAGCATTCAAAACAATACCTAATCTCCCGGCTGATTACTAATTATGCAATAAACAATCCTAAATAAGAAATATTTAAAAAAACATGTAGTTTTTTGTAACACTTATGTACATATCCGTAGTAAACTTGCAAATAATATCCTACATATTTTAAAAGCCAGCACAATGTACTGGGTGATCGCTTTTTTGTAACCACCTAAACATGGTCGGGTTACCACGGTCTTGCACCTTCTAATGACTTATTTAATTATCTCGTAAATAATTGTATGTACTACGCTGAAATTTTACAGGTAGACAACTGAACTAAACAACTAATTATTGGCATAACATTCAGTTTATATATCCACACACAGGTTTATCGGTGGCCAAAAAAGGCCGCACACATTGTGATCGTGAACGTGGAGAGCTACATTTCATCATAACTTTTTAGTCACTTACAGTATTCTTACGAAAATTCGTATACATTTGAAGGTAGTTACAAGCAATAGAATAACGTTTGAAGTAAGTCTTTAGAGGTCTTATTTAAAGTGTTAGGACGTATTGAAGTGTTTTCATACTTACCTAAATAATTTTTAAACGGTCCATTATTTTTGTCATTTTATTGTCGAACAAATTAAAACTAATCCTTAAGAAGTTATGTACAAAAGATGGTTACAATCCGCTTACCCGTTTCAGAGATCCAGCAAACCCACAAACGTTACTCCAGCAGGATTTCGAATAACTTCGCAGCCGAAGAAAATACAAATACCAAATAAGTCGTAACATTTACCTAGTCCAGATAACTAATTATTTAGCTAAAATTTATTTCAATATTACAATTAAAAAAGAAAATGTCTGGCTGCGGTAACGTTTCAAACGTTACTCCAGCAGGAAATGTTTTTTTGAAATAACTAAAAAAGTTTAAGTGAAACAAATTTAAAAATGTGCTTAACAATTACAGAAGGGGAGCAACTAATTATCTATAAAGTTTAAATGACCATTTTCGACATTATTTTGCTGGGGTAACGCACACGACACAGCGAATTAACATCGAAGTGAATTTCTAGTGCTACTAATGAGTTATATAGGGATTTCTTCTTTTGTTATAGTGGAGTCGTGGTCAATACAGTGAAATAATACTTTTGTTTAAATTAAACCGACAAACTTTTATTTATTGTATAGCTCGCTCGTAACAGTATCATGGCCTTTTGTCGATTTTAGAATGTTGGATGCATTCTAACTCTTATTATTTATTCCTCTAAATTCAGGCCAATATTGCTCTACTTATTTAAGGTCGAATAAAGGTCATAACGGAAAAGCTAGAACATTGATAGTATGAAATAAAAACCAATTGCTTAACATATTTTTAAAGTTATTATTTATTTGCGATTAATAAGCTTTTAACGCAATTACATTTCACTGAGTTGTGATATAAATAACATTTAAAAGTTACATTATTAGCGTGCACTGAGTATATTATGCAATAAATAAAATATTGCGGTAATGAATATCTTTTAAATAAATAATTTAGGTGATATATTTAGTTGAGTGCGGTGGAGGTGAGTAGAGCGACACCCCTCTCGTAGAAGGCGTGCGGCTCTTGTCCCGGCGCGATGGGGAGCCGCACGGTGAACAGGAGCTCAGAGCGAGCACTGTTCAAGTACACCGGTAATGTTAGAGTTTTGCCGCCTGTTGACGTTTCCGGACCACTGTAAATAAAAAAAAATGTTTAGAGATGGTTGTGATATTATGGTCAAATGGTGTCGATTCTCTTGTACATCTTTTCAAACTTGACTATTTCTATAGTTGGACTAATTTATTTCAGGGATTTCAAATATACTACTTAGTTATGGCATAGAGTTTACACTGTATTGCCAGTATTGTTACCACAATGACGTCACTTCCCAGAGTTTTATATTAACTATGAATGTGCTTACCGGATCCAAGTGAGGACAGTGAGCGGCAGGTCAACCATAATAGTGTTGGTGAGCAGCAGTCTGTTGCCTTTAACAGTGGCCCCTTGCAGCTTCAGCCCGGTCACCGAGAATGACCACTCCGTTTGCGCGTTCTCGGTAGGTGTGCCGGGGTCAGGGATCGTCACCTTGAATATTAATGTGGTACATATTAGATAAGAAAAGTACAACTGTATCGTCTTCGTATGAGTTATGGATACAAATAACTTTATTGCATCGGATCAAGTAATTATTTATTTAAATGATTTCATTCAGTGGTAATTAGGTACTAGTGATGTGTCGGATCGTTAACAAAGTATATCCGCGGATACGGATCCAAATACGGATATTTGGTGTCAAGATCCGCGGATACGGATAAGGATACGGATCTTAAGTTTCTTACTCAATCGGAGCCCGTGACCTTGATAGTTGTCGCCACTTGACGCTTTGCCGTTGATATTTAAATATTTCATTATTTTAATAAGCTAATACAAAGATGTTTGATTGATCTCATTATAAAGATAGCTCTTTCAGTACCTACGACCTGCCTAGTTGATTTAGTATAGTACGATAAATGATTGCAATACAAAGGTGCCAAATACTTGTTTTAAGAAATAAAAAGTAATCTGAACAGAATTCAATAGTTTTTCATAGCTACCTAATAACCATTATTCAGGGTTATATTAAATTTACTGAAAACCCTCTGAAGTGCATATTAGTAAAATTATAAACAACAACTTTTCTTCTGGACTAACACCGAAAACGAAAAAAAAAAATTGTTTCTATATACAAACTAACAACATTTGATTGGTTATTTGAATGGAGAACCAATTTTTTTTCATTTAGACGTTGGCCAGAAAAAAAGTTGCTGTTTATAGTGTTACAAACACATACCTAAGAGTTTTACAGTGAATACAAAATCACCTATATAGAATTTCATGTATGTAATATGTATTGAAAGATCCGCCAAAAAAGTCACGGATACGGATACGGTTACGGATCTCTCTTCTTCTTTTGGATATCCGCGGATACGGATACGGATATCCGGCACATCACTATTAGGTACTAGGATACTAGTACCTAATTACCACTGAATTTTTTCGTAATAGTAGATATACCATTACGTAATCTGTGTCCTTATTATATTCAATCTGCCAGTTAGTCTTTGACGTGATGCAAAAGGATGCTCTGCTTCTTTCCTTATAATATTTGTCGATAATTATTCGGTTAATTGCCCTTATTACTCGATTACTACATACTTGATCGATACATACTTGTAAATGTAGTTCCTCCAGTGACCAGGAGTTCGCTTGAGCCACACATTGACGAGTGGCGGTGATGTAGGCCTCCGGGTTGAGCAGCCCACCGAGCCATACGGGAATGCTCTGTAATACGATGAGGTTAAATAACAATAGTGCGGTAGAAGAGAGAAAGGACCGAAAGGATGCTAAATTCTGTGTGAATCGTAGTTATGCTAGAATCGTAATAGAGTAGGTAACGTATGTGATATATTAAGATTTGGGATGGAAAGCGTGACAAAGGAGCGAGAGGAGTCGAAAAGGGAAGTTCAGCAAACGGTGGTCTGCACTCGTATGCGGTGGGGTGGCTAAGAAGGGAGCTTCGGCGGCGTACCTGCAGCTTCTTGGCGCCCTGCGCGGCGACGGCGTCGGAGACGTCGGCGAGCTGCGTGACGCGCTGCGCGAAGTCGCCCACCCACTGCTGCACGGTGCAGCCGCGCGCCACGGCGTAGCGCAGCCAGCCGCGCGGCAGCATGCCCCGCACCAGCGACCCCACCATCGCGCGCGTCTCGTTCGTCTGCTTCATCGAGCCCTGCGCACACCACCACTCTCAGGGAGCCGCACGGTACACGGTTACACATATATATGTTCTACCGAATACCGAGTACGATATGACTAATTTATCCAAAACGAGCAGGTCTGGTCATGTTCGACTTTGTATTTCATTCATAGATCCGACTAAAGAATATAAAAAATAAATATAACGATACATAATATACCCGTGGATTCCTGTCATTTTTTTAAGTAAACATAAAATAATAAACAACTTATGTGAAAAAACGAATTGGATCAAATTTATTGACATTTATCGAAATTAAAAAGAAACTGTAAATAAAAAGCCTTCAATAATTTACCTCTCCTTTTTAATATTTAATTTACCTGACAAATAGAGATCACGTTCCGTAGATCGTGTAATACTTGTTGCAATAAAGAAGCTCCAGCGGCTACTTCGCGTTCGAAGAAACGATACAATGGGTCTTTTATGTTTTCCACAGTACGCCGCAATGTCTGTAACAAATAAAAATAGGATACTATCAATAAAACAAATATTATATCGCCCTAATACAAATTTTGTTACGAAAAACTTATCTAAAATAATTTTGAATAATAATATCTGTGCAGACTTATCTTAACTTCTTAAAATTGATGGTTTACTGATTATATTGTTATCACATAGCTTGACTTAACGCATAAACTAATATTATTCTGAAGATAATTCGTTATCAGTCGCATGTTAGCAATAAAATAAATGAAATGATACTTGGCTATTAATGAATTTATTAATGAGGTATAACTTACCGGTAATTGCTGTGGCAGCATCTGCAACCACTTGGTAGCAGTTTGATGCAAAGTCTTCATCCAAGCGGGCCTGCCGTCCACCATCGAATCTGTAAAATATTTATAAGGTTACTTGTCTACAAAACCAATTATTGTTACACGTGAGTGAAGTGTAAATCGAACGGAAAGAAATGAAACTAGGACAGATAACAACATGTGTTACTTTTTTGCGTTCTTAATGTATACAAACAAATCAAATTTTGGATAGTGGTCAAGGGTAATTCAATATGTAGCATGGTTATGACTCCTAAGATACTCCATGAGTTTAATTTTGGAGTAATTGAGAGCAACAGCTTACCTGGAACTTGGTCATGATCCTGTGAAGCGGCATTATAAGCTAACTCCTCTTCATCTTCGAGTTGCTGCATCTTGAGCAGCTTAGACACCAAGTCGCTACCTTGAGTAGTAAGGAGCACCTGAACAAAATAAAAAGGAAATTTAAAGCAACATCCAAATAGAATATAATAACCATTAGGTATTTATAACACAACCCTTGTAACTGTGCTCGTAAACTGTTTGTAGCGTCTAACAACATTTATTGTATCTCCGACTATGCTACGGGGATTTATATTTAAAAAACTCTCTAATCTATTCGAAGGTTGTGGTGCTTAATCAGTATTACCTTCTCAGCGTTGTTAGGGAGACCAAGCCAGGAAGGAGTCTGCCTATCAGACAACTCTTCGATCCACTTGAGGAAGTGATCACGACGGTTGCCATCGGGCATCGTTATGTGGCGCTGGTTACCGCTTGCCTGAAACAGAAGAAACAGTATAAAACGAAATCTATGCTGTCCATAATTTATTTATCAAGAAAATGTGTTTAGAAGTGTCTTACCCCATCTACATTAGCTACAAGTGCAAAGTCAGCCTCAAACGACTTAGGCGTGAACAGCTTGCATAAGAAGGAATGTAGTAGTCGCTGGTCGAAGGTGTTGTCGATCTTGCCACCGTAGATACATTGAGACAGAAGTGTCACTAAGGCTTCCCATGGAACCTTCTCAGGAGGTAGGTTTGTGCGACCCTGGAATAAAAGAAACTATGAATATACAGAATGCTCCTGGTGAATAATAAATTAAGAACGCAGTGGCAGGTATTTAAACTTATACTAATTTAAGTTGGTTCTAAAGATTGGTAGCAAAGTATTTTTTTCGTAATTCGTTGTATTTCATAATATGAAAATATGGTTAAACCTAGCATACAACTATGGTTAATTTACATTTCACTATACTCCAACTTTCTACATTTTTTTTAAATATTAAGTCATTTAGTTTTTCTCTGACTGTATCATTTCATTAAGTCATCATTTCATCATATCATTTCATTTTATTCATCTCATACAAGTCCTCACCATTGCTGTGGAGTCGATCCACGTGTCAAGAGTGTCACAGGCGACTCTGAGATCCGACTCGTTGAACTCGTAGTATTTAGCCCACCCCAGGGGCACATAGCGGAGACGCTCTTGAACGATGCCTACGGAAATAATATAAGCAATATAGATTTATAATTATTAAACATTAGGTAAAGGACTTTTATTTTAAGAAATATAGAAGATCGGTTAAAAATATGTTAAAACTAGTTTAAAAATTTCATTTAAAACTTGCAAGTTTAGCTCACTCAATGTTCAAAACTGTTCTAAAAATGGTGGCAGTACATGCAAAATGTAAAAAAAAAACAATCTTACCGTGGAACCAGGCAAGTAAGAAGTACAGTCTCGCGCGTTCCGATGGTTGCTTCATCATACGATTTGCTGGGACCTGTAATAATGCATTAATATACAATCACATCTCACTTCATTTTAAGCAACTGTCGCAAATAATGAGATCACAAGTACACAAAATTCACAAACCAGTTAGGCAACATCTACTGAAGTGAAATTAAAGGGCGTGAAATTTTGCGCGGTAAGTCACTTCACTTTACGCCAGAATCAAAATATTTACGTAATATTTTAAGTATGATACACAAGTAACTTGAGAAAAATGGCGGGCAACGGATGGATATGGACTGCCCAAGACCGGAATGGTTGGCGTTCTTTGGGGGACGCCTTCGTTCAGCACTGGTCGGCAATAGGGCGATAATGATACAATTAACTTACAGTTGCAAAGGTCCTGAGCAGATTGGCACGGATGCCAGGTGGAGGTTCAAACACGAGCACTTGTCCAGCACGCAACAAGTTCACAGGCAGTTTGGGGCTGATCTCAGTAGTTAAGAATAACCGGAAGTTCGGGTGTGGTTGTAGAGAATGTAATTTCTTCTCTAATTGCACTAGCCATACGGGCGCCAAGTGGACGTTCTTTAGCATTACCCAGCTGTTAACAATAGTAATAATGACATTAATTATAAATAAAGAAGACAGTACGTTTCATACGTTTTACATTTAATGTGGTCGAGTGTTACTACGCACCAGACTTTGTATTAAGTTATTTATTCTAGAAATAAGTTTTATTAAGATTCGTAGTTATATATTACCGTCCAGTCTTGCAAGCAGTGTTAATAGCACGCTCGGCCTGGTTAAAACCTTCGGCGGAACCAATGGCTATGCTGGATAAAGGTTTATTCAACTCAGTCGCCATATCGTCGACGCGACCTGAAAGCAATTAATATATTTTATGTATGATTTTGAACAAGATAAGAGATCTCTTTATTTTTATGGTTTATACAACAATTTTATTTAACAACTACTATTTGAGTTTATAAAGCTAAACGGTTTCCATTTAAGTTTAACTATTTTTAATAACAAAATTTACATCCTAAAACAGATTAGTTTTTGACTTACCACTGGCGTCATATCCAGGCACGGAACAGAGAAGAGCAGGTGTAGTGCCATTCAACTGGTTTTCAATAATTGATTGCAGATCAAGTTCAGTCTCGGCTTTAGCCATGAAACCGGCACCCAACACGGCTGTCACCAATTGTGTTGCAGCGGCGATCACACGGTCGGGTCGGAACGCCTGTTTGTAAAATCACTTTGTAAAATACTTCCTACTTCATATTTTTACTTCTAGAATATATGTGGATAAAAAAAAATCTTAAGCTTTTGCGAGTTATATGCATTTAAAATGTGTAAATAGGGATTAGCGAGAATGTTGTTTAGGTACCATTGCCATTATCTTTACAAATCGTTGAGTTCGATTACATCAGCCGTGGTTACAGATAGATGGCAAAAAAATATCGTATAGTAATTTCTAACTAACTATTACTGCAAATGACAAATTTCCAACTTGAAATCGAAGAATCGGACTAACTAAATTATTTCTATAAGTAATAAAAAGCTAACCTGTATGAGTAGCAAGCGGTACATGGATAGTGTATGTGGCGCAGGGGGAGCGGACGCCTCGCAGTCCCACAACGTGGGGACCAATTGCTCAGGCGCGGCTTGAGACAGCCACGCGGATAGCTCTGGGAGCTCACCGGCCTTTTCTAGGAGACGCCGGAATGCTGGTAACCTAATAATAATTATGTTTTAATCTGTCACAATAAAAATTAGTACTATTATCATGCCATTTTCTATTTTTTGAGCACCTCATAGCAGTACTATCACGTGCTCCTCTAGGATTATCCATTCTTTCTAGAACATCTGTATGTTCCTCGTCTAAATACAACCAATTCAATGTTTATCATTTACAAACAATTCAACTTTTACATCTTAGCATATCTTTTTTACCTGGAACTAAGTCTATCAGCGGCATCATGCTGTTGATGCGTGAGAGGTTCAAGCGGTGGGGATGGGGAGACGTAGCCCTCCTTTCCTCCAAGGAAGACTGCGAACGATCGTTCAAGTGTGTCCTCGGCACCAGTACCCTTGAGGTGAATTCGGCAGAGCAGCAAGGCGAATGTGAGCCGGTCTGTGTGCAGCATACCACGGGCCACACGCTCATATACCACCTGGTGAATAGTGGCAAACCACGATTTTTAAAGTGTTTTCTATCACATTTAAGAGAGCCCACACTTTAGCAAAGGTCAATAACTGTAATATTGTTTGTTGAATTAGCACTTTATTCTGAGCTTATTAATGAACTCTAATATGAAATTAAGTACCTATTTATGTATGTCTACAAACCGTGAACAGCTCCTCAGTGATAATCTTGAGTCTAGCAGTGTAGTCCGTAATTCCACTGAGTAATGGACAGACTAGAACTGAGCTGAATATATCGAGGAACATCTTCAAAGAGTATTGGTACAAGAAGTGTACTTGGTGGAGGGATTCCATTGTGAAGTAAATGCTGCTGCAAGCCTGTAAAGAGGACATGAGAGATCATCATATAATATGTGTTTAAATCCTTACACTAAAGATGTATATAAGAGGCAATTATTTATTTTCTTAACGTATCCGATTCTTACTTGAGACAATGGTAAGTACTGCTGGCTGACAGTTTCAATTTCGGCTATAACTTTGTCAGTCTCTTCAACCTTCTGTCCGATGTCGTCTGCTTCCTTCTTTAAGGTTTCGAGGGTGGCTATCACGGAATCATCGTCTAAGATCTTGCCTTTAGCATCGTTGAGTGCTTGCAGCAAAGACTTTTCCAATTGGCGCAGACGGAGGTGGAATTCGCCTATATGGTTACAAGAGGGTCTCGTCATTAGTACATTCTATTTATGAGCTCACATTATACATGACTGAATCTTTGTTGAAGGGAGTTAAAAGTTTTAAAATTAAAAGTTACATAGCTTGGAAGCCTTAACATGTCATTCTGCCGTAACATGTCAATGGGTTAATGGCTATCTAAATAAGAAAAGGCTCCAAGTAGAAAACGAAGAAATTTGAATGAAAAAGAGGAGTATAGTACAAATACAAGAAAAAACGACGAAATAAAGTAAGTGAATGTACCTGTTTACTTCACAGGTCTGTATAAGTCTGGCCTATTAAAAACAAATACATGCATACAACTTACCTTGCAACTTAAGCAAATCAGAGCGCTTAGTATCAATATCAGGCCTCTCAGCCTTGAGTACGCGATGTAGACATTGCGATTGTAGAGATGAACGAGTTACGGTGAAGTTGACGAATGTCACACGAGAGCACATGTCTGGTGGAAACTCTACTGTTGGATCCCTGAAGTAAAACGTTAATATATAAACACTATTATGAAAATATATTTCATAAATGTCACTGCTATCTTACAGACTACAATTGAAGATTGAAATCTATACTAAGAATGAGAAGAGCAAACCTGGTGCTTAGGAAAATGACAAACGAAGGACTTAGATCAATGTCTTGGTCTCCCAAAGTGATGAGGACGCGACCGCCAGTTCGGCGCAATTCTCTGTTGAGTACTGGGTTCAGAATCGGGTCGTAGTTCTCTACGTCCTATAATTTAAAAAAAATGGTTACAAATAGAAAAAACATACATTACAAAAAAACTCAATACTTTTTTTTAATACTGTTTACTTACTTGTACGAGTAACGGATTACCGAACCGTAGGGCTGACTCCAAGTTCTTTCTAAACGAATCATCGAGGAACGAAGTCTTGGTGATCTTGCGTTCTTTGAATTCTCGCATTATAAACTCTGTTGCTTGGCCAGAAGGATCGATAATAAGTGGATAACGATTGAAGCGCTAAAAGTATTAAAATAAGTAAAACATTCAACCATTTGAAAAGTTTGCCAAGCTTTAAAAGTTTATTATATTTTTTCATAGAAATGAGGAATAGTACACGCATTCACTCGTGTAGGTTTTATTTTTGATCAAAATTGTTACAAATTGTTTAATTTAGATGGTTCATTGTAATAAATGACAGCATAACAGTAAATAATAAGTGTTATTTTATTTTAAATCTATTATTCACTTTACTTTTATTGAATCAAACCACATGTAATTACTGTAATTTGTCCTTATATTGATGACTACCTTATTCATTATTAAAGAACTTATTACTTCAAATCTTTATTTAAATGTAACCAACTGAAATATTAATCAGTGAAATAGAATTATAGTACCTTCAACATTATAGCATTCTCCACACACAATTCATCAGTGGGTAGAGCGTTGGCCTGCCAGCGTAGGCGCTCGTCTGGATTACTGAGGTATTCAGTACGAGCAATGTCAGCACGATACTTGATGTTTGCAGCTGCCAAGTGTGCTGTCCATGTTGTAAACAAGTTTTGCCGATACTGAAAAGTTAAAATATTATCTAACTATCAATACAGGTATATTGCTTAAGTGGCGAGTTAACTTCAGTACTGAGCTGGAAACGGTCACTTGCGTGTAATTTATCTAAAATCTCTGACCAGACAGTCGGATTAAAAAACACTAACAGAGTCATCACCACAAACATATTTTTAAGTAATTTGGAATGTCTGAAGAGATGTTAAAAAGCAACAGACACATAGGAATGATATCTAAAAGGTTGTTGCTGCATGATGGTCTACGATTGGGTTGAACATTGTTTACGCAAAATATAAAGATCCAGCTTGGTCCAAAAATAAGTATCATATGTCTTATGGTCCGGATACAGCTTTCAAAACTGAGTAGGTAGTTATATATGTCGTTTTTCTTTTCATTTCTATAATGTCTTGGATGGGAAAGTTCTCTACTTGGTAAACTTACGTGTTGATCGAAGTATCCGCCGTATGCGATAAAAGCAGCCGATAATAGGACATCACCGACTATAGTACTCATTTGTGAACGGAATGTCTCTGAGCTTGCCTCCCAACGTTCGCGTTCGATCACCAAACTCTTCAGGAGCGCAATGGACCTATCCACCTGTGGGAATCATTATTATTTAAAACAAACATCAAAGTTATTAAAATTGGTTTTACATTTTACTAAATGAGTCATGAAGCTTCTTTAAATTGTTGTTTTTAAAAAAAAAAATTGTTACTGAAATAACATACACGAATCTTAGTACCCGCAGTATCTCCATTTTCTTAACAGCACGTTCTGTTATTTGCTCTTTTAAGTTAATAACAGGAGCCTAGGTTATGCCATTAAGGTAGTACTTTGAGAATTAAAAATAGGCAAAATAAAGATTGCTGAGGAGGCAACGTAATATTGAAAGTTAAATACATATCATTGTTACCTTAGCTTGAACATTTTCGAGATCAGTCTTAATAGCTTGCGCTTGGCTAATGAGCTGGGCGTATTCCTCCTTGTACGATGCAATAGACTTCTCTAGTTGAGCAATCAACTCGCTTACTTCATCACCAGCGGTTACATTGCTTTGGGCTCTGTCTTCGAGAGCCTTGAGTTCGTTACGTAAAGGTTCAACGCGTTTTAACATGTCAGCGTACTCGATCTGTTGAAAAATAGTACGATGGATATATGAGACCACATCGAACTTTTTATTGTATTTATTGCTGTATGTGTTAATGAAAGACTAGCAGAAGTATTAGGGTTTTACATCAAAACGGTTTTTTCTTAATAGGGTAGATGCCCATGTTTAAATTAAATGTAACATATTAAAGTACAGTATGAATTGTACTCCATTTTAAATTTAATGTTTTTATATTTTTAATATCTTCAAATCAACATTAAATGCGTCTAAAATTTTAACGTTTAATAATAAAAAGATACTGATGTGACTTGACCGTTAATATTGTTGATCTATCTATGCCTTGTTCTAGTTATTGTTCTAGCAAATTCTAGTTGTTGTTGCCATGAAAGTAAAACTTTATATATTTCAATACGACCTTTACTTTAGATTGTAAATAATACAGTGATAAATAGACCTTACCTGAGCAATAGCCCATTTGACCATAGGGCCACATGCCATACTGGCTCTGTTAACCTTCTCGAAGTTGTAATCAGGATTACTGAGGTAACGAGTCTTCATCTTTTCGCGAACGTCGTCACTGGTGTACAGACACATTATTATATAAGACATCATTTTAGATCTTAGAACGTTAATTTCATTTTACGTGCATTTCGTGCAATTTTAATGAACCAGACCATCTCAATGAACGAATTTGACCTTATACCAGAGGTATTTTGTTTGGATTCTTATTAGGTATACTGTCAATCAAATTTTTAGATCACATTTTCATTTTCTCTTTTACACTTTTATCTTTTTTACACCTTGATCATGTCTTTAGGAACCTTCACATATTAGAGTCAATTAAAAGAAAAAAAAATAGAAGCCAACTTTTCTAAATTTTAAATTTTTTTAAAGCCAAGGAAAAGGTGCTTTAAAAATTTCAATTGATTTAAAATTTTTACTGCTAAGAAAAAGTTGATTTTCATTCCAAAAGTCTAACCTTAACACAATTTCAGATAAAAACATTCAAAACATATTTTTGTAGAGTAAAATTCGCCTCGTGTATTTGTGTACAGTAATTTGACCGACAGTATAATTGATTCTGTGAAAGGTTTCACATGCAAGTATTGTTACTCCTCAATGAACCTTAATATAATATATAATAATGGACGTCACTTACCAACACACGCCAAACAAAGATTCTAGAGATAAACACGTATGCTTACTCCTTATTCGACACATCAGATAGCAAACAAACGAAACACAAAATAAAATATATAAACATAAAAAAACAAGCAAAATATTTCACTGTTGGATGTGACTTTCTTCTCTGGTGATTTGGCCACGGACATTATTTATTGGCAAATACATTCATGCGTCCTGGAGGTGTGTTTGTAGTAGTACGGGTATGGTGTGTATTTTAAAATTATTCTTACATTAGTGTGATGTTACTGAGATTTTGAAGTCTCGGTACTGATAAAGGCCTTTTAAATGTGTGAATAAAGTGTATAAATTAATATCTAATCTATATTTATATGTCCACCACATACGTACTAATTATTGTTACATGCCTGCGTGCTCCCACTCATGACAAACAATCTATATAAAATACAGGACAAATCATGCTAAAGCATGCTCCAAGCATCACAATTTGTTAACTGTACGCGACTAAGAAGTTATTGTTTGTAAACAATTAATATAATCTTGTATACTATTATGTTCTGGAATGCAAGCATGCTTGTGTGATGTAGTCTCTTTAGTTTACTCCACTCTTATTTAAATGCCAACACAACGAGACTTTTAAACAAGTTGTATTTGTATACACAGTTTTAATGATTAAACGAACATATAAAAGATTAACATAGATCTTACAATACGTCACTTCAATTAAAGAAATTATAACTAAAAGAATTTACGTTGTTTATGTCGTGTGCAGTTAACATTTCAACATGTTTTCATAATCATCTGAACAAAATATGTACATACCACCACCAAACAAAAAGAAAAGAAATCGTGGGAGAGGTGGAAACAAGCGGCGGTGCTCACGTTATGTCCTCGGTGGAGAAATTGGAGACGATGCTGTTGATGAAATTTTCCCGCATGATGACAGCTCGGATCGCTTTCCAGTCAGTCGCATTCTCTCCGAGCAACAGGCAGATGGATTCGAGCGCAACCTTCACAATCGCTGGTGGATTGCCCATAGACCTCACTTCCACCAAATGCTGCTTCTTAATAGATTTCACCGCTGTACGTTACAAACGTTGCCGATGTTTGGACGAGGTCGGTGCGGCATCGCGACGCATCCGCCACCAGCACGAAGCGAGAGCGACAGAGTACAAAAAAGAGAGAAACAAAAAAGGCATTTAGCTGCTTTCTGTGACTCATGCGGCTGGCGTTATTAAGTAACATTCAAATATATCGCTTCTACCAGCGCTGGGACTCAGAAAACCGTTAATATTACCTTGTAACTACGAAATACAGATGCTATAGGGACACTAATAACAATTTTCTGAAGTTCCTTTTGCTACAATGTAAAAAATATTTATCCGATTATATTACGTTCTGAAAAGAAAACGGTTAATGTTTGTATTGTTAAAACAATTGGTTTTAGTGATACACGACGATGCTTAGCGGGGTTAGTCACGAGTATTCACTGTATATTAGTGTGCCTTACATTACATTTATGCCATTTTACATTACGTACAGTGATACAGTTTTGTTTCTATATTAATAACAACAGTCACATGATGCAAGCGAGCTTAGCTTATTTACAACAACAAACTCGTCTATAAAATTCATTCATAACAACAAAGAAAAATATATAAAGAAATTGTAATACATCAACAATGTTTTGCAAGTGTCAAAACTTAAAATATGTAACACTTTAAACTATTAAAATGCATAGTATAACAATCGAGGTACAGTAGTAATGTTTTTGCCAATAAATACGACTATATAATTATGATATAGGAACACTAATTGCTATCTAGAATGTTCATCTCTAGAATAGTACAGTCGTATAAATATCAATCAATCAACTTTTGTATGTTGAGATAGTATGTCGTTGTACGAACTAACTAAATTAGATGTGAAACTAATTTACAACTACGTATGTGCAATACAAATCGCGATTGATGAGCTATGACCAGGAAAAGTAACTTAATATTTGATTCGAGTCTTTTTAGCAGAGTCTTTTAGTGCAGATGTATGAAAAGGTCGATTATTCAGTTGAGTATTTAGACGACTTATAAAATTTTTCTTAGTTTCTAAGACAGTAAATAGGAAGATAGCATTATGCTGGTTTGGCTGTGTTCTGTTATAATTTAATACAATTGAAATTATACTGTTACTAGTGTTAATATTCCTGAATGACTGCGAGTACATCGACTTTGATGCTAACATAGATGTGCTTCAACAAACATATATTCTCCATGGTCGTAACAAATCAAAGGCCGTAGTATAAGTAAATACGGAACAGAAATACCGAAACAAACTACGACATGCTACCTCAAAGTGGCAATAAACAATACAACTAACGTGATGTTCTCAGTCTCGAAGTTAACAATTGTCGATATGAAGTTGTCTTTCATGACGACGGAGCGGATGCCCTTCCACGTGTCACCCTTTTCCCCGAGCAGGGTACAGATGGACTCGAGCGCCATCTTCACCACCGACGGTGGGTTGGCCATGGAACGCACTTCCACTAGCTGCTGCTTCTTGATAGATCGCACCGCTGTTGTATGGGATTCGCTTCATGTTTAATACTAAGTCTTTATAGTCAGTCATTTCAAGTTTAGGCATTTCTTAACATCGATATTCAGTTTCAGATATTTACTATAACATAAGTTTTTATCTATTGAAATTGAATTTCTGACTATAGCGTAACTGTAATAGCAAACATGCTCAATTTTTTAATAATATACTTTATGAGCTAAAATGTAATAGCGTATAAAATACAAGGTTTAATGTGATATTACTAATTTAAAAATCAAGACAAAAATATTTTAATTATGTATGAGTTATTGAATACTTAGGCATCATTGTTTTGTGACTGTCTGTGAAATTTTAATATTAAAAAGGGCACTAAGAAATATGTAGCTAAGTAACAAACTATTCTACATAAAAGTACTTGTTAATTATTCAAAAACAATATTCGAATATTTTGAATAATTATACAAATAGGTTATATTTCCATAATATAACCTATTTGTATAATTATAAGTGTACCGGTCTCAAACGCTAGTTTTTAAGGTTTTTTTTTATATATATTCTACCACAATCACACAACGCCAAGTGGTCCCAAACTAAGGAGAGCTTGTACTATGGGTACTAGACAACTGATATAAATACATATTATATACTTTTTTTGTAAATACATACATATTACACATAGAACCACCCAGACCACATCAAACTTGTTTGAATTGAGCGGGAATCGAACCCGCGACCTTTGGAATAGCAGTCCGCTACACATACCACTAAGCTATTCGGTCGTCAATTCAAACTGAGAATTCAATTTCAGTTAAGAACATCAATACCTAGTTTTCCAATTTATGATAATAAATAATTCAAGGTGGTGACTAAAAATTGCAATGTTAAAAGTTATTAACATATACCAGGAGGTTTGCCACAAAAACGAAAACTTTTGTAATTAATTTCACATAATTATGTTTACAAAACCGTTTGGTTCCGTTCTTTCAATATTTTTGCATTTGACTCTGTTTACTTTGAAGGAAGCAAAGCTTGAGTTTTTATGTGTATTTAATACATTGAACAAAATAACCATTTTATTGTAGTCGTCTGAAACCGGTAGATAATAAAGGAGTATAAAAGTATCATGCATATAATAGATAAAGTCAAACCATTCTGAGCCTCGATGACAGCAGGTTCCACTTGCGCTAAGTCAGCCATTACATCTCTGCGTTTAGCTTCTATCTCCTTAGTTTGTTTCTCTAGAGCGACCTACATCACATTGTGTAATTTTAAATATCACATTTAATTCCCATTTGGTCGTAAACTTAGTTGAATATTGATACTTGCATTTTGAACGACAGTTTTAAATCTTTTTAATATTTTTTAAATATAAAAAAAAACATATATGTGCTGGGAAAAATAGGGCACTATAAATATGGATGGAAATGCCAGTAACTTTTTCTATAATACAAAATTTTAAAGAAAAGCACGGAACAACTGTCGGCATCTGTGTGCAATATGTAACCGCTCAAAATTAAGTGTTCCATGCGCTTGTTTGGTAACCACTAATACACATATACATTTGCAAGCTAAGTGTACACGATTATCCTTCTCAGGGAAGAAGTCCATCAGAGGGTTAGCACGGAGTTTATTCAAGACGATTCTGTTCAGTGTTGTGTTACTTAACCGTGACATTTTAAATGTCGGGTGTTTTCTATTTCAGAAGCGACTAGAACTCAACTTGGTAGTGGGATGGTGACTGTTCAGGAATTTTAAGTTTTTGGTAAGTCTTACCTGAATTTCTTGACTTTCAACCTTTTTCTTTTCGGCTTCTTGTTGGTCTTTCACCATTTGACGTAGCTTGGCGTTAGCCGCCTCATTCTTGGCTTGCAGTTCCTACAAATATATATTAAAACAATAAAACTAATAGCAGGGGTTGATACTTTAACCACTTCTCAAGGACTGAATTCACTATCACAAAAATACCTGTGATTTGACAGCAAGGCTCTTTTGCATTTCCTCGACTTGTTCGACAGTCTCGGCGATCTTGCCCAGACCAACATTCAAATGAAGCTGTTGTTCTTCAAGGTCCGCACGTTTCTCAGCATACAATTTTACCATTTGCTGGATGAAGTCTAAGTAATGTCTACAACATACAATCAATTTCATTTACATAGGAAAACATAGGAATCACATAGGAATTTTTTCGAACATACTCTTGAGGCAGATTATGTTATGGAAGATCCAGGCAAGAAAATAATGATCTAACCTGGGTGTGATAGCCATGGTCCTATTTGCTTTCTTGGCGAGGCTGGCGTTAGCTCGATGCAGAGTCTGGTGCACGTACACACAGGCGTTAACAACGGCTTCGCGATGTGCAGGACGTTCGCTGATCTCGTGGCAAGCTGCAGGGAAATCGTCCGGCGGAGAGTAATCGGCTGAATCCAGGTCCATACGCTGGGTAAACTCTTTACCCACCTATTTAATGAACACATTATTATGAACTGTCAAAAAATTTGGTTTTAAAGTTACCTAGTGACATTCTATGTATAAACATAGAATGTAACTAGGTAAAACTTCTAATGACAAATATTGATCATTACAGTTCTTGATCTGATTTTGCGAGGGCTGTAAATTTGTCTGTTTTTATAGCTTTTGTCCGTGGTTATTCTCACGTAAAAGTAAATTTCCTATCATTTAAAATAATTTTTCTTGGATGAAAGATACCCTATGTCTTTTGCTGTAGCATTGTTAAATTTCGTGAGTATCGAATAAACAGTACGGCTTTGCATAAACAAGCAAACATTATGAATTACAAATTTGTTCTTAGATATTAAACAGATCTACTGTCATGAAGCCTTTGAGGATCCAGTTATGGTAAGAATATTTTTGAATTACTTATCGCCAATTGGTAAGTTTAGTAGCAGTAATAAATGATTCTTACTTGGAACAGCGCGCCATCACTCCAATCGCCGAACCAGTTGAGCACACAACGATTGAAAAGAGCAGGAGAAGTGGCCGCACGGTCTTTTAATCCTTCAGATGACGGATTCATAGTAAATACCACATGCAAGTTGCGCATAACTTGACCAGTGAACCTTGTAAGAAACATATTGAATTAGTAATACAGGAATCAATTGTTAAATTAGGTCAAATACTAAGTAGTTAGGAACAAATCATGAATAAAATCGTAAAAAAGGTGTTTATATTTAAAAAATGGAGAATTACTAACCATTTATACAGCTCGTCGTTAGAATCTAACATCAAACCTTCTCTTTGAGCGCCTTCTTTGCATTGCGTCATGAGTGCGGCAAATTCATCGCCTTCGAACAATCCTGGTACCTATACAATCAAACGGAGAATTTAAATTCACTTTAAAAGGATTAGTTTAGTAAACTAACAGGTTTCAATAAAAAAGGCACTGTGCATACTAGGGTCCTTTTAAGAGAGATCAGTATGAACCGGTTTTCATATTTAGAGACAGAACAAACAGTACAACATTATAAAATAGAACTGAAAAACAAAGTAAGTCTATAAATTACAGTCATCATTTAATCGTGTTATTTTAAAAGTAAATATAGGCTTTTCAAGTTGTTGTAAAATGTTGGGGTTACCTCTCCGTTGGCTAATAGAGTATTCATTCTCTCGAGGAAACCGCTGTCGAGCACGTTGGACTCATCAAGAATGAATGCGACTTTCTCGTCCCGACACCCGGCGCGCCGGAGCACCGACCGAAGATCTTCGTCGAAATCAGCGCCTGTGTACTTGTTGTGCACCTACACAATAAAAAATAACACCCTTTAATCATGCTTTCTACACAAGTTTTGTTCTTTAACAATAATTCCGTTTTAAGCATACATTGAGAGACATTTTAATTTTTATATATTTTAGTCCATTCGCGTTATTAGTCTGAATATTATACTAATAAAATAATAAGTAAGTCTTATTAAGTCGCAGGATATATTCCTGGTGTGAGAGTTGTCTTTTAGAACACGGTTTTATATTTGTTATTTTGGCACCTACCTTAATTTGGAAGATGCTAAGTCCGTTCATCCAGGCGACAAAACGACTAAGTGTAGTTTTGCCGGCGCCGGACACTCCGATAAGCAGTAAGTGTCCTTGAGGCTGCCGGAAGATTCGGTCGATACGTAATACGTGGTCCAACACCTCATCAAACAACACCAAAGGTACATCTAGTTCTTCTTCGTAGAATACCTAGAAAATGTTATTTTATAAAATATTAACAGAGAAAATATCAGTTAATAGTACATAAAAATAGAATACATATTTATACCAACAGATTCTGATGTAATTTTACCTTAAGTCTAGCCTTAACGTACTCCCGCAGTTGGTCTCTTAGTACAGGAATGTAATCTTTACTAAGCCAGTTGCTGTACAAAATTGGACGAGCCAGCGCCTGTTCTCTGTTTATACCTATAATATTAATTTATACATATAAGACTATTCAAAGTTCAAAAAGCAAAATATGAAGTAAAGCCTGGTAGGACTCAATTTTACAATTAGTAAAATAGGGTTCATTTTCGAACAAAGATGTGTATTTACCTGGGAAGAACCTCATAGCAACATTGTCAATGTTCTCGTCCGTCCACTGTCTTTCTGTATCGTCAACTAGACGGTCCTGGAACAGCCGGAGAGCTTCGTGCGCCCACAGTCTTACGAGACCTTCCACGTTAAGATTATCTAGTGGCCTATAATAGAAAAAAATAGTTTCATCAGTTTTAATGCATCCAAAATCTATAATAACATTAGATACAGTATTAGAGAGGCGTAGTCGTAATTTACAGTCTTATACGATATAGTCGACCCCAAGAATAAAGCAAAACATTAAAAACAGGAACTTGTGCTTTTTTTTACAGAAATCTTTTTCTGAAAGTGAAATTATATGAATTTAATAAATTTATCATTCTTTTTTGTATCACTTTCTATATTAGACATATAATGAAGGACATAAGTAAGTGAAAGTCCAATAACCTGATAGCCTCGCAAATGCCGCGCACCCATCTGGTCATTTCCCTGGGCGAGTAGACGTAGTGCGGCTGCATGTCCTGCGTGAAGCGCTCCTGCGAGGCGAGGTACAGCTTGACCATGGCCTGCGTCAGCGGCTCGGCGTAGCCACGCAGCGCCGGCTGCATGCGGAGCATCGCGCGGGTGAACGTGCCGTAGATCTGTCACACACATGCAGGATCAATTCCTATTCTGTGCTTATGTATTAGCCTAAGATCCGAACTAGATACGACCTTCACTCATCTGTTTAATGGATGAAGTATTTTATATCAAATTAAATTTATTAGAAAATTTATCTTGACTGGGTTGTCTAATGAAATCCTGGCCAGAATGACGATTGTCGAGTTTTGAAAGGTGAAAATTTTATGCGTGGATTTTAATTAAGTGGAATTTTATAGTGGAAATTTGTGACAAAGAGGTCCGAGCTAAGTATACCGTGCGATAGAAGAGGACGCAGCATAAAATTTTCACCTTTCAATACTCGACAATCGTCATTCAGGCCAGATTTTTTACAGACAAGCCTATATCATTAACCGCAATTAAATTAGCGCCCATTTTGATATAAGATTCATTTATTAAAGAAATAGGTGAAAATAACTTTTCGATTTACTTGATTATCCTGCCAACCGAGTAGTAACACCAGGAAAAAAATAGACAACCCAACGTTTATATATTCTATTGGCTTCATACTTTCGGTTTTTTATTAAATTTATTCGTTAAACTTATAAGTACAATATTAAATAAAAAGTCATTTTTCAGTTTCAATTAATCATAGTTTGGTCAGGCATTTTTTAGAAAACCCACTCGACATTTATTTTCTAATATATTAAATCTGATACAAAATACTTTTCATCCATTAAAAACATGGGTGGAGGTCGTTTCTAGTGTGGATCCTCTACTATATGTAATATTTTATTAGTCACAATAATGGTGAAATGCTTTCGTGACTTGATGGGGTTAAGAAAGCATGGAGTTTGAATGTTTTAGGTGTTATTAGAATAAAAAATGTTTAGGGGGACGGGGGAAGATTAACTTCGTACATATCTTTTTTATTGGCAAAAATAAAACAGATATATTATTTATTGTAGACAAATTCTGATAAGTTAATTTTTGACAAGAAGGAGGTCGTGCATGTTAGCACTTGCATCTTTTAGATTGACTGTGACTGATAAAAAGCAAGTAAATACGACAAATCCCTGAAAAGAAAGACTAAAACTTACGTTACTATATCACAGTACAAAAAGTGTGACATGGTGACGAGGATATACCAGTTTACCGCGGTAATTATATCTCACCTGTTCAAGCGAAGTCTCTCCAGGGTAATCAACATATATGACGGGTACATGTCTCAACAAACGATGAGACAATGGTTTTCGGCCGGGGTCCGTAGGTGGGTTACACGCTCCTACAAACTGGATACGCTCCAAATGTACCCACGAGTGATCTGTAACATATCAGTAAGTTAAGTTCCTTTTTCTTTCTTAAGTATTTAACATTTACATAAACTGCATAATTGTCTTAGTGACTTACCACTGGCTCTATAAAAGCCCTTGTGCTCCAGCAGTTGTCTCAAGAATGAGATAACTCTCTGTGTTCCATACTGATCCATGTCTGGTAAGTTGATTTCATCGCAGAACAGTACCAACCATTTACCAAGCTATAATTAAATATATTATGTTTTAATATAATCTCTAGTGTAGAACTGACTAAACTATATACAACTGACACTTTCGGGTTTAAAAATCCTATTTCTATATTTAAGAAAAAAATATATATGAAAAGTGAAGAAGTCGAGATATTAAATTTTTTATTTAATAGTTTTAGTCCTTAAAATAGTGGTAAGAGCTATTATTTTGGTTAAATATCCAGTATATTCATAATACCTGTACAGGAGCAAGCACAACACCATTAGGCGTCTTTCTATATTCGCAGTAGTGGTCGAAAGTCTTGAGCAGAAGTTCGGGTGTAGTTGCGGACGAGAAGTTAAGACCGACGACCTCCATGTCAGGCAGAGCACGGAGCGCCGAGAATAGCGTCATGGTCTTACCCGAACCAGGCGGTCCACACAGTACTACAAGGAAAAGCAATTTAAATATATATGTTCTATAAGTATTACGCTGATATTATTAATGTATATTTTTGTACTGTCCTAACGATACAAAAAAATGTGCAAGCTCGGAGCTTCCTTCATATACTGTTTCATTTAAAAAAATAGGTAAAGATAAGGACTTACCAAGAGGCTTGTGTTCAGCTAACCAGGTGTACAGTAGAGCTTCGTGACGGACTGTGTCCAGAGTAGGTACGACTACATCAGGTGCAGCAACTTTATGAGTCTCCACTTCTATCTGGGGCACCTTGGCTGACCAAGGCACCCACTCACCCGTTATACACACCTGTACACAAAACAAAGGATATAGATGGGAAAAGTTACATTTATCTACACTTCTGACACATCATTTACTTACAACAACGCCAACGTTATAATTATTACTATAAAATTTAATAACGTCGTATATTAACATACAACTCTTCGCACACAGTAACATGGTGTGTATAATCCCTATCTCACCTCTTACATATATTTATAATATTACTCGCAATAAACTGCTTGTACGTATAGTCGCGCAGACAGTTTATTGCGACTATAAATTACTGCATATATTTATTTTTACCTCGAAGTCGATAATATGTTGATTCGCTCCACAGTTTGGCAGTTGCATAGTGCTGGCCGATCTAATAAAGTCTCCAAGTTCATTACGATCCTAAAACAATAGTAACAAAATTAGCTAAAAAATTATTTACAAATACAATAAATTAAAAATAAATGTTTGTTTACCTTCAGCTTGGCGTCACCAGCAAAGGACCACAGTAGAGAATAGACTAGCCACTTTGGCACATAAGCTTCTAACTGTTCGTTAGTGATAGGGAAGTCTGGATGTTGTCGGTTGTAAGCCAATATGTTTCTAAATGAGACAGAAATTATAATTAGAATCAAAACAAAGTACTAATTTGCGTAAAACAAGTATTCGTAAGTAAGTATTCACAATGTTTATTATTGCATTTTAAACTGATTTATGAGTAGTTGCAAAAATCAAAAAAAATCAAAATCATTTATTATTTGCATAAAACAGGTATAAAGGTGGTAGAAGAACATCATATAATACATAGGTACGCTGTAATATAACCTCTTAAAGGTGTGCAAATATTTAGTCATAGATATTTAAAAGATTATTATTTAGACGCTCAACATTACAAACACAATTTGAAGAATATATTCATGTCATAAATTTATTCAGAGAATTAATAATGTCAAGAGTGTTATGAATGCTATTAAGTCAGATCAATATAATAAAACCAAAAAATAATAATAATAAAAAAAAACAACAATAATAATCAAATAGTCAAAATAATAAAAATAAAAAATAAAATGTCACATTGTCATGTTCAACATAAATTAAATAACAATGAACGAAATTAATTTGATTTACAATTTGTCTTGCAGAAAATCATTTACATTATAATAGCATTTTTGGCTCAGAATTTTTTTTAATGTCTGTTTAAAGATAGTCGGATTTGACTCCTTTATATTCCTAGGCAGTTTATTATATATTTTTGGAGCCATGGCGAAAACACTGTTATGCATTAGAGCAGTGTTTGATTTACACAGGCATAGCCGGGATTTATCTCTTTGCATTCGGCCGTACGCATCAGAAGACAAAACAAATAAATTAGGATTTAGTTTGGCAAACATAGCTACCTCGAGTATATAAATGGATGGTAGTGTCAAAATATTATATTTTTTATAATAGGGCAGACAGCTGTCGGTTGATTTTAGAGAGAACATTGCCCTCACACAACGTTTCTGTACCTTGAATACTTTATCTTTATGTACAGAGTTACCCCAGAAAATTATACCAAACCTAAGAACTGACGCCACCATACCATGGTATGCAGTCAGAAGTGCATGAGTATTAATTACTTGTGACAATTCATGAAGTGCATACACTGATTTACTGACCCTCTTGCATATTTGTTCTACCTGTTGTTTCCATGTTAACTTATTGTCTATTATTACACCTAGAAATTTTGTGGAATCTACTTCATTTAAAGATTGGCCGTTAGCGCATATCTGTAGGTTTTTAATACTAGGAATACGCTGACTAAAATGCATGAGCATTGTTTTTCCTATGTTAGCTCTTAAATTGTTTACATCTAGCCAGTCGAGAACAGAGTTTAAAGCGTTATTTATATCATCATTATATGTATCCTTATTATTACATTTAATAGTAATTGTACTATCATCTGCAAATAGGGCTATTGGGTTATGGGTTACATTAGGTAGGTCATTAATGTATATTAGGAACAATAATGGTCCTAATACACTACCCTGAGGTACGCCATATTGTATTTTACGTGTTTCAGATTGATAGTATTCTTCTATTTTGGTAACACTATTAATTTTAGAAATTTGAGTATATTGAGTGCGATTTCTAATGTAAGACTCAATCAGGTCTAAGATATTGCCCCTTATGCCATATGAATTTAGCTTACTTAGTAGAGTATCATGACTTACATGATCAAATGCTTGGGTCATATCCATATATATGGAGCAAACAGGTATCTTATTGTCAACATTCTTCATTACAAATACAAGAAAATCATATATGGCCATGTTTATTGATTTATTACCTCTGAAACCCTTCTGTTCTTTCGCCAGAATACAATTCCCTTCAAGGTAATCATTTAGTTCCCCATATATATATTTCTCAAATACCTTAGAGAAAATAGGTACCAGGGCTATAGGTCTATAGTTTTCTATATTGTCTCTATTTCCTTTTTTAAATACAGGTTTTATGATCACTGCTTTCAGTTTGTCAGGGAAAGCTCCAGCTGCTATACATACATTTATAATATGACAAATATGATGACAAATATTACCTGCCACAGATTTTATGACTCTAGTACATATTCCATCATACCCTACACTGTTAGTGTTCTTTAGGTTTCTTATAATATGCAATATATTAAAGGGTGAGCAAGCTTTCAAGAACATCGATTTCTGCCTAGAGGACACATACTTGGAATAAAGCAATTTATTTTTAGGATTATTCGGGACTATTCTATCTACAAAATAATTATTAAAAGCACTACATATTGCATTAGGATCAGTTAGGGTTTGATTATTAAATTTTATACGGGCTATTGCAAAATAATTTTAGTTTAATTAAAACGAAGTTTAATAACAAATCTTGATTGTTATATGTTGTATGTCTTAATAATAATCATATTTAGGGCACCTCACGCCACGGTTAAGCATTGAATGTAGCGAGGACAGCGCTCTGTGCCGTGTGAAATCCATTATATGGTCGAGACTGACGGCACGCTCGAGACACTTCACAACAAGACCGTCACCAAAGAACAGGGGTTGGAGGATTGCCGCTACGTCACGTTGAGTCTAGAAAAAATAAATTATTTATTGATTATTGAGAGAGACAGGCAAAACGGTTTTTTATAAGAACATTTCAATTGATAAAATTTATTATATTATATTAATATTTCGGACATCTGACACAACGCGATCTAGTTTCAAACTAAGCAGAGCTTGTACTATAAAGCCTTGATTGACTGATTGTCAAGCTAGATTGACTGATAGAATACTTATATACTTTTTTTGTAAATACATACATACTTTACATAGAAAACTTTTATTAGACCAAATATTTGCACATCATACAAACATTTGTTCCTATCCTATCTCAGCACAGCAGTCGCATACGCTACCACTGCGCCACCGAGGCAGTTAACCGACACATTTATACTTACTTGTAAGGCGGGCGAAAGAATGTTCTCAGTAACGTTTTGATCACCACCAGAAGCTGGAGCAGCCATCACAATGCTAAAGGAGTCCTCCTCTCCATCTTCGAGTGGGATATTTCTCAACCTTAAATACACCAGTTAATTAATTTATAGAAGAATGTACAATTTGTTTCTGTAAACTAATAAATAATTAATCGCTTTACCTCAGAAGGTAGTTTTCGAAGATCATTTCTGTAGTGAGCACGTCCTGTGAGAACCACACCATACCACAACGTGATACTGTTGCAAGTGTCGCATATTTGAGGTCTTGTACCTAAAAGTATTAATTTGAAATTAAACATTTGTATCAATTTAAAATTAAACATTTGTATCAATTAGTTTACTAATTTTAATGATTGAAAAACTGCTTTTATTTTTATATAGCATTTTACAATAATTAAACTAATTGACTTATTAAACATAATTAATTTCTGTTCGGCACAAAAAATGAGTTTTTAATTTGAAAATAGAAAACTTGGATAAGTTAGTTTCTCTTCCTAACCATCCTTTTTGTTAATTTATATATTAATTGATTACCTCAAACATAACTCGAACATTGGGCGGTAGCGATAGACGCTCGCCGTTGGGCAAAGTAAGCAGCTTATTGTCGTCCAGTACAGAGTTCAAATTCTCCACCCATTCGGGGTCCACATCACCATCAAATATGATCCATTGGCGTTTGTTGATCTCACCGCGGACATTGTCAATAATTTTCCTGTTTGGCATGATAACAGATATTTTGATACGAAGAAGTAAAAGTATTTTGCCCGTTTAGTAATCAGCAGTTCTGACAGTCATAAAAAATTCGGACAAATACGAGTCGAACTCGCCCAACGAGTGTTACGTACACATTAGTACGTACATATTATAAATAGTTCCGGAATCGAGGCTCACGGTTTTTTCTGAGCTTTTCCCGAAATTCAGTATCCAAAACCTATAATTATTTATATTATTGTATTTTATGAGTGAAATTGTACCTCGATTGATAACTTATTCTCTCGATTGATACTTTAAATAAAGACTTTATTTTTTATCATTTAATTACAAATGGATAGTTTTCAGATTTTTTCCTGTACATACTTGTAGTATAAGTTACTTGCCAAAATTCTAGGTCAACGGGCAGTTACCATGATTTCCTTGAGAGTGTCGAAATATACGTTTGTTGCGGCATAAATGGCTGTATATTTTTTTGGAAGTTTGATTTTTTCACAGCTTCAAGGGACTGTAGACTATACTTTCCGTGTGGTGACGGATTAAGAATACAGTGTCACCACCCCTATCAATCCCGTGGGTGACGTAAGAGACGACTAAGGGAGCAAACTACGCAGAACAACAGCACTGCACAGAGAAGGAAAACTTGACACACACCCTATACCAACCCGTCTGGCCAGCGTGGTAATGTAGGCCAAAACCTCCTTTCTAAGGAGAGGCTTATGTCCAGCAGTGGACTATTAAAGGCTGTTGATGTGAAGGGACTGTAGACCTGAGTATATGGTTTTATTTTCAACGTGATAACTCCACGCGTTTCCGAGATAAAGGATCTGGATAGACGGACGGACAACAAATCCTATAAGGGTTCCATTTTTCCTTTTGAGGTTCGCAAACTTAAAAATGATGTCAAGAGTTTTAAATTAATTACCTGAGTATATGAGTAAAGAGACCATCAGTCCATTCACGCGTATTGGGATCCAGTACACCATAAAGTGTTTCCTTAGACATCGCCTTCGGGTCGATAACGTGAGCCACGCCTTCTATTCCTTCATATCTGTATTAAAAGAAGTTTATCAATGGAACAAATTAATATTTTTTTTCTTTACATTAGAATGTATGTAAGAAAATAAATATATATGTATTTTTTATATTGACAATGATTTTATACATGCTTGTACAGTGACTTTGGTACCTGTACAGGTATTTTAGAACACTTATAAATATATTTAGAACCATGTAACTTTTTTAAGTATAAATAACGCATATGTAGAAACTTTCCATATAAGTTTTATTCACGGAGCTTCAGATATGGTTAAGTTATCGGCTGCCTTTTAAAACTTAAACATTAATGAATTAAATTACCTTTCTAGTGCTTTGAGCAGAACGCGCCAAGCAGCAGTTTTTCCACTTCCAGAAGGACCGACCATCATAAGGCCATGGTTTAACTTGCAGATTTGATATAATTGGAGAACCTAAACACATTATACACAAGTTAATTAGTTTTGGTACCAAAACAAATATCCATTTCCATGAGGGTAGGGGAGGGTTATAATCCAAGAAGATTGTATATGAAAGTAATAAACTTGGAATTAAATGAATCTTTTTTATACTACAGTACTTAATATTTATCGTGAGTATTGTAATGTAAAAAAAAATAAAAAAAAGCTGTTGTCAGTTCAAAATTTCAATGGATATGACCTCTTTATACCTCCCCTCGTCCTCATTGGTATGAAATTTCGAAAAGATTCTAATGTTAAAAACGACTAAAGTTAGGAAATAAATGACAATAAAGTAAATGTATAAGTAAGTATAATAAGTAATTGTAAAAGAGTTTGAGTATTTCTAAACAAAAGCTAAGGCCAAGCAATCTGCAGTACAACAAGAAGTTTGAAATAAATTGACGTCTGAATGATTTTAGACACAACGGGAAGTGACGTTTACAAATTCCATTTTTAGAATAAATATTATACGAGCACGCTTTCTATGTTATAACGTCTATTTTACTTAAAAATGCGTACTACTTTCGGAATTTGTATAGAAAATTAGACAAAGCTATTAGGATATAGGATTAACGCTAGGCAAATTGCTGGTTAAACGTAAAACATAAGACTATGACGAGGCTTTCGGTGTAATGGTGTGTAAGCATAGTATGAAGAGTTAAGTAGTATACGTGAGTGTGTCAGAGGTATAAGCAGAGATGGGTAGGCCCGAGATTATCCTCTTGATATTTGACTGGTCCTATAGAACCCACATAGAACACAAACCTCTCTGAGCTTCAGTTTCTGAAAGTTTATGTCTCAGTATCTCATAAACCTCTGTTTTGTTTCATCTTCATTATCCTGTTCCAAATTCAATATAGTTTCTCAATTTTGTGGAAAGTTCTTCAACACAGATTTTCGGTACGTCAATTCCTTCGAAGATGTAGTGTATTCGGTCCTACCCATCTATAGAGAGTACACATAGGCACAGGGTAGTGTGACACAGACACAGAGCCCCACACCGGTCACTGACCTTGTCGATCCACGTGCTGTATTGGGCGCGCGTCGAAGCGCTGCGCCTCTACGTGCCGTTAGCGGGTTAGCATGAAAACGCATACGCATTCACACTCACGGACTACCGTTTATGGTATTATTATATGAATATACTAAGACTGCTTCTCATATCACAACCGTTTCAATTTCATCAAGTTGGAAAATTGTATTCGTTTGAATATATCTGTACATTTTTATTTGTAAAGGAACAAGTCTATTAAAAAAAAACGTAATAAGTAAAATTACTTTTTATTATTAAATTAGAGGTTAAGATATAATAAACAGTCTCAATGTAATCAAAATGGATAAAGCGAGATGCTAAATTGTTATGATTATTATCGCATGAATTATATTTATTTGACAAAATTAATATTATTTCCATCACCGTTACGGTTAGGATGATCCACATAAATGTTATTATAAATAATTCGATCACGATGTGCATTGACACGATGGACCTTGTGTTGAAACAAATTAACTGTGCAATTATCGATGAAATGAATGGGATATTAGTTGTCCCTCGACCAAATAATTAAGGGGATTATTGCCTTAAAAAGTTTAAAGTATAGTTGTATGTAAGAAACTAACCTTCTCCATCCAAGTGGAGCCTTGTTCGTCGCCTTCACCGCACACTAAAAATTCTTCAGCGCATACTGACCGAATTTCATTCTTCAATCCTGTTTTATAAATATTTTAGACTTTATGATTTCTCTTATGATTAGATATCGGAAAAAAACTAACTTTAACTATTATAATAAATTAGACCAGTACAAAGAGCTAAGGAGGAATAATTTGAAGAGAGTAATGGTGACAAAAAAAAACCAAAGGCCAAACAAGTTTAGAGATTGAAACACAACATACATCAAGTTTTATTTTGTTCGAAAAATATTGTTAGGAATGATAGAACAAAACCTTAAATGAATACCTGCATGTTTTATGCAACCTGATATTAAGGAAAGACTACAGTGAGGTACTGTGAACTGGCTTATTTGGTACTTTGTTTGTTACACACTGTTTCTCTCTTAGACCGACGGAATCGTGTTATACCCAAAGGTAAACTTTTTAATAAGTAATAGTCTGTGTGCGGATTAAGATACGAAGTGTCATCACCCCTATTCATCCTGTGGGTGTTGTAAGAACCGACTAGGGGGCCAAACTCTGCAGAAAAACAGCACTGCAAAGAGAAGGAAAACTTGCAACAAACCCTATACCAATCTGCCGGGCCAGCGTGGTATAGTAGGTCAAAATCTCCTTTCTAAGGAGAGGGCCTATGTCCAGCTATGTACTATTAAAGGCAGATGATTGAATTGCCTAATGAATAGAGTTCTTATAGTTACTCACCAGTCATCTCGGCTCTAGTATAGCCAACATTGGGGAACACATCGTTAAGCAGAGAGAACAGTAGAGGTATGTCTTCAGCAACTAATTTGGGCACCATAGTTTCACACACAGATTGTATAAGAATGTCTTGTTCGGGAAGAGATTCCGCGATTGATGCCTCATCTGGTACTTCAGTACCTCGTTCAACTAGGTTCTCCTAGAAAATAAGAACGATTAGTTTCCAATGCTCCTTCCACCATGATAAATCTGCCCTTGCTTCGATGAAAATCTACATCACTTATTATGTCGTGCTTTACGAAGGGATATGCGGGGATGGCAAAACAAGAAAGGGACAGTCCTCATTTATTTATAGTTCTGAAAATAATAATAGCTTACTTTTATCTTTTGGATGCGGTCGCGCTTGACGTTACCAGCAGACACAAGTACGGACTTAAGAGCTCTCAGTCCAAAGTCGTAGTGAGATTGGTTAGACAGTTGTTCGTCGCAAAGTCTGCAAATACAATGATGTTGTAATTAATAAGACAACTAAGTCATGTCATTTACTAATTATAAAATATAGGTAAAAGGTGTAATTTATGTAGTCATTTAAACGTTTTTCATGCAACAAAACCTTCATAAGCTTAAAATTGTAATTACATCAATGTGTAATTTAATTTCTGGCATATGATATTGTGATACTTTTCCATATCTCAGCATACCGCAATAAACTTTTGCAAGTTTTGAAAATTCAGGTAGGTATGTTTTTTAAGCTATGAATATTGATAGTGTGTCAGTTTTTGTTAGTAGTAACCTTTCCTTGAACATTTCTAAAAGCTTATTTAAGTAAAAGACCTAATCCAGGAATGCAATTAATGAATTTAAATCTAATTGCTGAAGGCAAACCAACTAATTCTTTGATAAAAATACAAAAAGCTTAGAAAAATACTCAGATGCAGTTGACTTATTTTAAAAAGATATAAATTATGGAACTATAAATTGCTTTGGCTCGACTCAATTGGACGTTTTTTTTTCATATTATTGCCTAGCCATAGTAAAAATACATAGTACAACTCACACATAGTAAAAACTGAAATGTGTTAATATAGAAAAAAAGGCTTAGTTTCTAAATTTACAATCTTTATTGTATCTACATCATTTAGTTTTTATAACACTTACTTGAAGAACGGTACGATTTTGCAGGCCAGTTTCTCAGCCGTTCTGAACCCTTGGCTGAACAGCATAACTTCAGCAATCAGCTGTCTGTCTGGAGTCGTCATGGCTAATGATCGGAACAGTTTCTTCAAATTGTCCGGCAGATTGGAACGTCCAGCGTATCCAGGGTTCATGGTGATGAAAATTGCCATATCTTGACTTACGCGAACTTGTTTGCCCACTAATTCGACCGTTATGGACTTGCCTAAAAGAAGAATTAAAATGAAAACAATCCTTCATGTTCTATATAAAAAGCACCCAAGCATTTATTCATAAAGTTCTTTATTTAAAAAAATTTAATACTAACCAGTGTTGTCTACTTCTTGATGGCTCTTGAGAGCTTCTTGAATGGTTTGTACTTGTTGAGATACGGCTGAGAGCATTCTTTCTTCTAAACGATTGAACTCGTCAAAACAACCCCAGGCGCCCACCTATACAGCATTAAGGTTATAGAAAAATATTTTGGTCGTAAATTATATTTGGAATTCAGACATCATTTTTGGGCACAACAAGGTACGTCTTTTGAGTTTATGCCATTTATATTATCCAATATAATATAAATGTGTAATAATAATAATAAACAATAAGTAAGTTTAGAAAATAAGAAGTTAATGACTATTTATACTATTGTCAATTAACGGTAACATTACCTGACATAGACCAACGAAGATACGACCCATAGCTTGGAAGTCAAATGTTTCATCACAGTTGAACACCAACACAAATCGACCGAGTTGATTTCCAAGAGCTTTCACTGATTCAGTCTTGCCAGTACCAGCGGGACCTGACACATTATGAAAATGTATTGTAGATGTATAATCTAACTGTTTAAAACTATTTTATATAGAGCTGTCTAAACGTACCGAAAGGCGATCCTCCAAGCCTGGCTTCCAAAGCTTGTGTCATCGTAAGGTAGCATCGGTCAGTAAGTGGAGTCTGTACTAGGCGATCTTGAACGCCTAAATACTCAAATCCGTACAAGAATTTGGCATTTGCCATATGGATAGTGAGCTGTTGCAGTACCTGGTATAGAAAATAATATATAATTTTTGATATGATGCATTTTGTGAATACAAGATCTTATTTATTGAGTACGAACGAATATGGCTTGGGTCTTCGTCAACAAGACGTTGAGTTTTCCCCATTTAAATTATTTAATGTTTGGTGAGAAGTTTTTTTTTATAACATTATATCTTACAAATTGAAAACACATTCGGTTTGAGACTGATTGCTTGGTGGAATAGGCTTTCTTTTAAATAATAAAATTAGAGCAAATTAACAGCAGTAGGTAATTTTTCAGACTTAGAATATATAAATAAATATGCATGTCCCCCTACTACTCCCTACATTTTGAAAACCCAAATATGAATTACTTACATCATTATTTCTAGGATCGAAGTAGAATCTCATTTCACATAGCCACTCAAATGATCGAGGACTATTGACGTCAGAAGCTATAAGGCGACGTGTCACTGTACGTTTGTGTACGAACTCGTTGATCTAGTGAAAAAATTTCACAAGTTAAACAAGAAAAGGAGAGACCTAAGTGTAAAATAAAAATCCAGACATTGATAACAACACATCACGGTTATTTAATTATAACGTCGATCGTAAAAAGTTAAAAAAGCTTCTCAAATTAGAAATTTTATATTTTTTAGTTTTTTTTCTTTTTTATCTATAGGTAAATGATAAATCATATTGAGATAAAAAAAGTACGGTTTGGGTTTTTTTAATATATTTTTTACCTACAAAGAATAGATACGAGTAACGAATACATCGGTTTATTATACTGTTACGAGTTATCTATTCAAATATATCGCAGACGAAAAAAGAAAAGGTCAAGAAATAAGAAATATGATTCTTTGTTAGGAGTTATTTTCTTACTATATAATTGGTTGTTTGCAAAGAGCGTTAGTCACATTAAATCACTTACAAGATGTTCAAGTTTCCTCCTCCTCAGTGGTGGTTGTTCTTGCAACACAGAATCAGCAAGAATGTTGAGCATGTTCTCTACATGCTCCTGTACTCTCTTCAAGCCTTCGCCTCCACCGCTCACTAAGGCGGCTTCTACATCTTCAGACCATAGAATTTGAGCTGCCAGTACCACGATTTGGGCCTGGGTAATTAAAATAGTATAAGTTTATAAAAATGTATTTTCTGTAAATTTGCAATTATGCATTTATCTCATAGAAAACTCTACGAACTAAAACTTTTGATATACTTACTTGATATTTATCACACCAATCAATAAATTTCTGCGGGTCAACGTTGCCGTCTTTGAATTGTTTAACATCACCAACAGCGTCTTTTAGTCGACAAGCTAAAGTCACGCGCATTTCACGTTCAACCATTGATAGCCAAGAGTTGATCTTGGGATTCTCTATCGTCGATACTGGCGATGTGAAGTACACCTGCAAGTAATGGTTAAAGCGTGTAAAAGCTGTTCTCATATAAGGATGGTTTATTAGATTTCTATAATTTAAACAACGTACATACAGCTGGTTACAAGGGCATGTTAAGTCGCTGGAATATAAGTGGGTTTTCAGGACAATATCAACAGTGTGAAATTAAAATGAGCTTGTTCCGCTAGTCAAAAGCTTATTTATAAAGGAGATTGCTGGCTCAGTGCAGAGTTTAAACAAATTACTAGTTAGTGCATTAACAAACAATGGTATTAAATAATACTCGTATTTAGTCATTCTAAAGAGGCTCTTGAGGAGTATGAATAACCTGCCCAAAAAAATAACCATGATCGTGATTATTTACAGTTGAAGGAAATTAATATATTTCTGCCAGAACATGTTCTCACCTCTTCACCTTCACGAGAAGCGATACCATTAATAACGGTGTTATCTTCATTGAGAATGATAGCTGCAACGCCAGCAAACATTTTCTTGAAGTGTTTCTGTAGACGAGCGATGTTCTTGCTGTTACCAATGATTTCCAGAAGATCTTCGTCACCCACGAAATAGAATCTATAGAAATAAATAAAATGTAATACTAAAGAACTATTATCTATCATTGTGAAGCACCCCAATAAACCGCATACAGAAATTCGACTAATAAGAATATTCCTACGTAACCGTATGTCATAGGGGTATCGGACTCCGACAAGGCCGCAGGGCGCTAGTGTGGGGACCTCTGGCGCCATATTAGGGGAACTACTATGGGGGGATAGGATAGCTGCCTGATCCATTCTGGTAGTTGTACTTAAGACATAATAAGAATATTTTATTTTGTTCTCTCTTTATAAAGATACGAGTGCTGTAGAATTTTATGTCACAATGATTATATACTTATTTTACTTTGGCGACGGACTGGTGTCTGCGTTACAAAAATCATTTGGACAAATAGCGTAAATTCAACGTTACACAGTATAGGTGCAAGAGATTTAGTAATATTGAACAACTTACCGAGGGAAACTGCTTCTCTCCCTCTCCAGGTATTCTCCGAGAGCCTTCTGGATTTTGCCCAGTAGGTCAGCGAGACGTTCCAAGGAGCGTTGCACGCCAGGAATATTGAGAACATCCATCACCATCGGCGATTTGCTTACTTTCTTCATCAGTCCAAGGAACTCAGAGCTGAGTAAACATGTGATAAATCAATATCTTGTTTTCTGGTAGCGCAGTAATAATAGTAAATTGTTTACATCCGATATTTATATAACGATCCGTATATAACGATCACGAATTCATAGAAACAAAGGAATTACAATTACGAAGTTAATTAAAAAAATTACCTGATGCTTTGGAAACGGCTAGTCTCAACCGGCAACAGCGTCTTGATATCGGCAGAACCGCTGAAGATACCTTCCAAGTAGACCCACCGACGTTGCACGTCGATCCACACGTCGAATAACGCATTGATACGATTCAATTTTTCTTCCCAAGTGAGTGCTTCTTCTTCAAATACCTTTGGAGAAGCATTAGCTTATAAAAGTTAATAAAGCAAAATAAATCATTTAATTTTACAATGCACTATTTTTGGTTTAAAAATATGTTTATTTTAAATAATTCTGTAAACAATACCTTGTAATATGGTGAAAGCTTCATAGCAGCAACGCTGTTGATGTGTTCCTTTACTTTATTAAAGAGATCGTCCCAACCGCGTATGATCTTACACTTATTTTGATAGTTGATTAAGTCTAGTTCATAGCTCTGCCATGACTCTCGAACCTGTGAACGGCGTTAAGTGCGTTAAGATTTATTTATACATTTAAAGTTGATATATTCACAGAAACTAAGTGTGACTTATAATAAGAGATGCTGAATCGACTTATTCAACATTCGACTTATTAATTATTATATCGACATTACCTGCTTCAAGAACTCCTCGAGAGCCATTTCTCCCTGAGCGACAGACACAACATCCTTGACTGTGTGTTCATTATGAAGCAGGTCTGCATCCCACACTTGCCCCAGGGTCAGCTCGGAGAGCGACCAGTCCACTTTGAGCGCGCGGCACAGTTGGCGCCAATGGCGTTCTTTCAGAGCGTCGGATTTCAGTTCAACGATTAACATGTTCACCTGAGAAATTCAATTAATCGTAATAAATTTGTAAATATGTAATAATAACGTAAACTTTCACCGAAATGAAAACAGTGAAACAAATAGTGTTTGATTTAGGAAGAAAGCATGTTGAGTGTTTCATTATAGATACTTCGGTCACTAGTTAGTGAAATGCAAAGAAAGAATTGCTAAACAAAGTTTTTCTGTGTGGGCTGTAATGTTAATTCATATTTTTAGTAACTTTCTGGTGGCTTTTGACTGTTTCCATGGCCCACCCTAATGTCCTGCTGCCGTTAGTGTCGTGCTTCGGGTCGTTGATCTTGACCAATATCGGTTAAGCTACATGATGGCTGGGTCGTCTATGCCGTCTGTGAGGACAGGTCGACTCAAAACTATGGTTCTTTCTTCAAAAGACCTACCCAGACCCTATACTGTACTCGCCCAGTTTTATTTAACTTTGATTATGGACTTAAAATCTGAAAAGATATACTTACAGAAGTAAATATCATTTATCATTTGTGAAGCCGTGGAATCACTCCGGTTGAAGCAGCCCATATATGCTGAAGCCTAGCTTTCCCATGGTTAATAAACACAGCATTCAGAATTATTTTATGCTGTATGAAATGTACTACTGTATATATATATCGGAGTAATTAAAGAATAAACTCTACCTTAGTGTATGACTGCAAAAGCTTGCGGACATATTCGTAGCTATCATACATTCGTAGACGAGCTGGCAATTCCTTCAGTTCATTCAACATTGCCTCCAATTGTTGCCTAAAAGCATCACATTGTTGTTAGGATATATTATTTTGATCAGAGGCAACCAATGCATAAAAAAAATACAAAAAGGCAGAAGAAATTACATACCTGAGTTTTCTAGGTTGTACAGAAAGCCAAGGCTTCTCCCTGATATCATCAATCTGTGTCCAGATCTTGCTTAGCGAAGACCATACACCACGTAAGTCTTGTAACTCTTCAAGAGCCACCGTCATGCGCTCGTTGTTTATTGAGCTACCTAAAATAAAATAAAAGTGCGTTACAGTATTTTCCTGGATTCTTTTCTAGATATAAATTTCTTAAAATGCAGAACAAGTAAATAGATTATAATATTATTGATTAATGATATAGGTACCACTATATGTCCTCATCAGAAGTGACTTTTTTTTACAATCATAACATTATTAATGACCATGGATGAACATCTTATTGTAAAGTAAAGGTTTAGAATAAAACTACTGGAGATTTATCTGAAGTACCTGTATCGTGTAACTCCAGAGCCTCCTTTGCTTTAGCGACATTGTCCCTCTCATCCTTGAGCCTGGTGTATCTGGTTTCCATAGCTTGAAGCCTAGCCAAAGCATCTTCGGGTCTAGTTGACCCATCAGTGGGCTTGCTGCGTTCCCACTCGGTGAGGAATTCAAGAGTTCGAGCTTCAACCGCTTTATCTTCGGCAACGATCTTTTGCTGGAGTGAGGCCACCTAGATAAAAAGGAATAGTATTTAGTGCTCTAACATTTGATTCCATGTAACAATTGTATTTTGCAGACCTAAAGAAAAAAGTAGACAATGTAAAATAAAGATTATTTCAAGTGCCCTATTATATATATATATACATACCTGGGTCTGAATAGAAGAGTCCTTTCTACGCATAATTTCATTGAACGCACTCCATTCACCTTCAATATTATCGACGTGCAACCATTGCGCTGGGAACTGGAATCTGGCGAAAATAAATTGTTCAGGAGCTAACCAATACAAATAGAAAAAATTACTACTGATCAACCAAAATTACTAAGCTACCTCTGTCGTTCCAGAATGCGCTGTGCCTCTCTATAGACATCGACTTGCTTTTCCCACGCAAGTACTTCTCTTTTAAGCTGTTGTACGTATGTAATGAGAGAAACTGCGTCACTGGTAGATGCTGCCTCTGTTGGAATAACAAACATTTTAATTTTACCATTTACTATACACGTATTAACAATGTCAATTTATTACATTCGGTACTTAATAATCATCTCAGGATTAGCGAAATTAAATATTCTTTTATTGTACCAAACGACAAATGTGGAGGTTCTCCGTAATCAGGGTCTCCATTAAATAATACTCGAATGTTTTAGTTACAGTGAATATATATATGTAGATTAAATTTGTGGATATCATTAATGGAAAAAAGTTTCATGTTTCTACCTTCTTAATGTCAAGGCTATTCATCCTTGCTAATGTCAACATTAAGAAGGTAGAAACATAAAAACTTTTAAAAATTATTCTATTTTTATAATAAGAGGAAACGAGACTCACCGATAGTTTGTTGTTCCAGCTGACTGCGTGACTTGGCAAGTTGACCGTGGAACTGCACCATCTCTCCACCGAGCAATGCTCCAAACTTTCCGAGTACCTCTTTGTGCCAAGCGTCGTATTTTAGAGCCACCTTGCTTTGTACGCGAGCAAAGTCGATGACTACCGGTCCGTATTCGCGATGTGTGTCCGAAGTGTCGAACGTTGTGCGCGATTTCCTAATGATTGAATTAAACAATTTAGCCAAAAATTTAATCGATACTGATACATTGGTCGTAAATATTGTATTTTCGATTTGTATTAGTTATGGCTAATAAAAAGCGGAAGCGAGACACTTCATGTCTATTAATAAATTTACTTAGGCACCAAAATAAATGCATTTGAAGAATTATTCAACGGAGCTTTATAAGCCGCGACATGGACAACACATTAATAATACTTTTTTACTTTTAATATAATGTATACTAACTTGATATCATTCAAGCACTTGATCCAAAGCGTGATGTCTTCACCGAGACGTCCATATAAGCTTTCAGGCTGTAGATCCCACAAGGCTTGGTAACGAAGCCATTCATGAACGTACTCCCGTACTTGAGATATCTTCTGTTCAATGGCGTCATAAGCGTTCTCCACGGGAGATGATCCACCCGGCAACTTTGTGAGCAAGTTCCTGTATGTAGCGGTTTGAGCGCGCGCTACACCCACTTGGTACCTGTGAACAAAAGTTTTGTTTGTATTGACCAAGTAAAATATTAACTCCTTTTATTTCATTAAATTCCAATTCCTCTATTCTTAGCAGGCAAATATGACCCTAAAATACTATTTTTTTTTGTATCTTTTAATTGTTTGTGGTATTGTGTCAGTATCAGAGTATGTACCCCTGTGCTAGTGCACGTTTCTTACATATTAAGAATATTGGTAAGTCCTAAATATGTAAGTAGCGTTATACGCGTTCCTTCGTGCAACAGCCGTATGTTAACTTTTCACGAATAAGCTAATTGTAAAATTTAAAAAAAAGTATTTACCTGGTGCTTTGCAAGCGGTGTTGGCTGGTGACGATGGCTTGCCATGCGAACATTTGTCGCATCAGTTGGAACCGTGCCTCCTCCAGTGACGGGAACAAGTACATTTGCTGGTTCGTAATGCGGACCTCGTATACTACACGTGCGATCTGTTAATTGTGGTATAGATTGTAATATTAGTATTTATAGTACACTCGGTTCGAAGTTTAAAGACGGCTTTCTTAGTGTTAAAATTAATCCTTTTGTTCTTAAAGATTTTACATTATGTAGCCAATTATAGAGCTCTTTAAACGGAGATGATGTGTTATCTCTTAGTTTATAAACTGTTCTACCACTAAACATGGGTAAAAATAATATGAATACTTTACCTGTGGCTCTCCACCTGGTTTGTGAGTGGGTTCAGTGGGAGAGTATGTATCCATGGACAGATCCAGTTCATTGGCTTTACCAAGTAGAGCTGCAGTCCAAGCTTCAATGCCAGCTTGTAGGCGGGCAGCGAGGCTTTTCTCAACCTAATAACGGATATTAATAAGTTTAATTCATAGTGCCATGTTTCAATTGAGTTATACAATCACTTTAAAATTTTAAATTGCTTTATTCTAACGTCGGTTTGTAGAAATACATAATAAAAACAAATTATTAAAGATAATAGTAACAGAATATCTTATTTTTAATGTATTTGCTACACTTTGATGGCATTTACTACGTTGATGATGAACTCTTTTCACTAAGAGAAGATAAAAATTATTCAATCCAAATATACAGAGCCTGTAGTGGCTGTGGCTATATAAAACACGGAAGTAGGTCAAAAGAGACAAGTTGGATGATGAGCTTTACTTACCTCTTCGTCAAGCCGTTGCACCCACAGGTGTAAATTACTGTACTGGCGGAGCGAGAGATCATCGATAGCTCTCTGTAAGCGACTGAGAATATCCGCAAGACTTTGAGCTGAATACGGACATGTTTCCAAAGATCGAGCATCAACAGAAATCTGTTCTTCAACTGCTAGAAGATCTTCCACCTGTTTTTGTAGTAGTAAAGATCGATTACGGAACGAAATTTTAAAATCAAGGATATTTGAATTTTAAGTACTTGTAACTGTGAGTGTATAAATTAAAATATTAAATTATAAGGCATAAAATGTAAAAAAATAATGATATTATACCAAATTTATTTTGAATAACAGTTACTTCTTGCAATATTAAAAATCAGTACTGATACATTTATATTGCAGTGCAAACTTGTCCTCTGTAAACTGAGTTCTTAGAAACTACATTATTACTTTTTAATTATAACTGTAAGACATTAAATATACAAGCTCGCCTTTGTACATGACATTTCCTTGTTACTTATATATATGTATGTGTTCAGTGTGTACAATAAAGAATAAATAAATAAATATAAGTTATTGAAATACTAGTTAGTAAACTTCTGATTTTATATACAACTAACCTTTTCTTGGAAGAGAAGTACAACTTCACTGAGCTTCTGAACGTACGGATCCAGTTTGTAAGACTCCCATACAAGCGCCATGCCTTCAGACACTTGGTTCAGCACGTCACGACGCAGCCCGGCTACCAGCGGGATGATGGAAGCTTTGTCGCGGATCTAGAGTTAAATGTTACGTTCTGATGTAGCAGACTTAATAAGGATTTACTCATTTGTACCAAGTAAACTTGTTCAGAATCACTTAGAATAGAATTAAGAAATGCCAGTGATTATAATATTGCTGCAATTTACATAATTATCATTTGAACAAATTTACTTGTTTTATGTTAAGTAAATTATAAAAGGGAATAAAAATAATATAAAGGGGACTAAAAAGAAAAATAAGCGGAAAAATCTATAAACTTAATATGACTATTTATAAAACCGATCTCACATGGAACGATAAAAACGTATTAATTAAAAACAACATAACAATATATACCGCGTAAATATTGAACTTTTTTCCAACTATTACAACCTATAATAATAATAACTATACTATTGTATAGTAAAATAATAATGTTGGTGTTAGTTGAAAGAATATATAATTAATATTCTTTCAATTACAACCAACATAATTATTATATTTAAGTGAACCAGGTATTCGAAATTTTAATAATTGAATTTATTATATTTTGACTCCAGAAATGACTGACAATATTACGCCGAGTGTTGTGGGTTCAAAAACCACATGTGACGACACTTTGAAGAAAGAAGAAAAAAAAGAAAAACAAAAGAAATGTTTATTTTGATAACTAACGTTACGGTTGTATTTTCTAATTAACGGATATTTCCTATGACTAAAAATGTAATCATTGACGATTATATCGCATACTCTGAAATTTTTAACTTACAAGTTGCAGTTTTTAATTTTCAGTTCAGTTTTAGATGTTTCATGTGAGACGGCGGCAGTGCTTAATCTATATGATACATTTACAATTAAATTGAACCTTTAAACAAAGTGATGGGTGTGTCAAAATACATAGACATAACCATGCAGCCTATAAAGTCAACGCTACCTTTGTATGATTCCTATTATTTAGCTGCAAAAATGAAAAGGCACACGTGTTAGTGTTATACGAACACATATTAAAAAATTGTGTGTTTATGTTGATGTGCAATAAAGAATATGATACATCAAGTGAATTTATTCAATTTCATTAACGAAATAATCAAATAACGAAACAAGTTTGTACTTATTATGGATTTTGAATAAATTAAATATGAAAAAAAATCTATTCTAAGCTAACAAATGGGCTATATTGTTTTGCGCGCATCGCTAGGAAGTCTGTACTTTCACAACTCAGTTAGTGGTACTTCGATGACTGTAGTTTGAGAACACAGATTCCGCCACAGGGCCACAAAGGCGCGCAACTCATACGTGCTGTAGCCAGCATACGATGTGACGCTAAGAATCACGTCATTAGTAACGAGCAAATTCGTGACCCGTTCGAATTCTGATAATTGAAAATGGTTTTACATCAAAATATATCAGAAATGGCTTCCTGTCCTGTGAAATGGTGTGGCAAGTCAGCTAAGACACCCTGATATCAAAAAGATGGTATAACATTTCACCGGTAAGTAAATTATATTCTTATCACGTTAACCTATTATTAAATGCACCGGAGTTCAACTTATATTGGTGCATAGTAATAACAATTATGCACTTCGATGTCTTTTGAAATGACCCATTCACTCAATACGTAAATTACAATAGCTGTCTTTGTCTAATGACAGGACGTGTGTCGATAGTGTTGTGATTTACAGGTCGATATTTGTTAGGTCATCCTTTGATTTTTTTTAAGTCATTATTTTGTAGAAATAGTGGCGTATCATTGTGGTATATGTTATTGGTTACCTAAATGATGAAAGGACGATTGGTTATCTACCAAAATCGTGTGATATGCTCAAGACACTTCACAGAAGACAATCTTCATATTATGAAAAACCGTAGAAGGCTGTTGAAATACAAGGAAGACAGATCCTAAGGATTCTGTGAGACGTATTTATACTTAGCTCATCAATTTTAAAAATCTGTGAAATATATATTTAAAAATCAAATATACAAATCTGTGCCTCCTGTAATGAGTAATTTAAGTCGAGTTGTACCCTTTTGTGATTTTTACATAGAAATATTTAGAAAAAGAATATTTTTCTGTCTATCTCACGTTTTTTCATTTACTATAGTTTCGGAGATGATCTTATGCAAAGTGATATAACTGGGAGGATTTTTACACAAATATCGTAAACATAGATGTATTTGACGTTGTCACGTCAAAAAACATTGATCAATATAATTTATTTATCAAAAATTAATAAAGCAAGAATAAAATAAATATCAATAATTCAGATCATTAAACCATTTCATCGATCAACGTCCCAACCCTGTCAAATCACTATGGTTTTGGTTTTTATGCAAAAGGGGGCAAAATAGCAAATTTTTATAATTTCTAATGGTTTTTCTTCTTATACGTATATTTATTACCAATACAAGCTGTACACTGCCACGCTTCGCTGTGGCAAATTGTGGTAGCATTGACAAGAAATGAGGAACAAACCTAACGCGTAAAGTAGATAAAAACGACCTTTACTACTAATACTACAAGTTTATTACTGATTTACTATTAAACTATTAATATTATTTAGAATCAAGTGGGTCAATATAGCATTATTTTATTATGATGTATCTACATTATTTATTACACGCCAATAATTTTTGTTATAAAGTTGAGTGTTCGTGCTGATATGTAGTGCTTAAATTGTGAGTTTGTACTGTTGTAATAAGTTTAAAGCAATACCTTCTCCAGAGTGCGTTCGTAAGTGCGTACGCTTTCGATGAGAGAGATAGCGAAGGGATACAGTTGATTCGCTTGGTGAGCTTTGTTCACTATGGCTAAAGGCACTCTGAAAAGAAGTTTACATAACAAATTTAATAAACACAACTATTCAGACAGTTTACGTAACAAAAATTTGTAGTAACACTTTACCTGAAGCCGAGATTTTTCAAATTACGAACTTCTTTGTAGAGAGTAATGATCTCCGGCAAAAAGTTCACTTTTAGTTTTAATATTGTGTTTGTTTTACTAGAACGGGCACGAACGGATTCTATAGCGAAGATGCGTCCAGACACACCTAGATTACGTTGTTGGACCTAAGGGTACAAAAAAGTGCATTTTATATAGTTCTATGGCAGGTTATATCAATATTTTTATGTTAATAAATATATAAAAATACCTTTCGAGCCCATTCATCGAAAACTTCTTGCGTATCCAACTTTAAGCGAAAACTATCGCCGTCTGCCTTTAACTTCTGACCTTCGATATGATTCTCCCATCCTTTTCCTAATTAATTAAAACATATTGTTAAATGTTATGTAATTGGAAGTATCGTAGGGCTATAATTTCTACGTAATTAATACTTTTTAGATAAAAGAGATTTTGCGAAAAGCTCTTACCTAATACATCCTCGACTCTCTTTAGGTATGCAGTCAGTTGGTGATCAATCTGTTTGGCCCAGATAATGGAACCAGCCACGGGCGGCAAATCACGCACAAGGGAGAGGCGGCTGCACTTCGATTGAGGATATTGCACCTGGACATGTAGAACATATATTTTAACTATTTATATATAATTTTAACTACCAATTCAGGTTAATTTTTGGTTAACAAATGTTATATAGACGATAACCAAGCTATCTAACGAAGGAACACACTCATATGTCTGCGGACACAGTACACTCTAACATTGAACTAAAAATGAGAAAAACAAAGAATTATATACGATTTCCAGGATTTTAAAGATACTCGTACGGTGATGCAATCTAGAAAAAAGATTAAGGTTATGGAAGTTCAGAACAATTATGAATGGCCAAAGAAAGAGGGCAGCTCGTTAAAATGTATTAGCTAGCCGGCTCTGTCCGAGTGTATGTCAACTACAAACAATTTTAAGTAAAGAACAATAAGCTACAAACCTATACATCGTTTTTAGCTCCCGGGTCAGTGTCTTGTTTTTTCAAAAATACGTTATTCAAGTTTAAATGAGATTTCTGAAATGCAGTCGCACAATTCTTTTTTTGTAACTACATTAAACTCTAAACAATTTAGCGCTTGTTTCAATTTTTTTCTTAAATTATTTTTTGTTTGTTATCTTAGTGCTTTGTGCATAGTTCATAGTTTTTTCTACTGAATACTGCAAGATACTACAAGAAAATAAAGTATACAACTGAGCAAAGAGTAATGAGCAAAGTAAAGAGAAATTAAAAAATAATTAAATCACACATTGTAGCTGCCAAATTAATGTGAATTAATGTGCGACAAGTCGCTTTTGGTCGAATTCAAAGCTCAAGTAAAGTAGTCATAAGTGTTGCCGCTACGTCAGTTCAAAACACTCGTCTTGTCTAATTGCCATGAATGACTTCAACAAAATGCCTATTATTATTTATGCCTTTCATCTGAATGCCCTAAAATTTGAGTTGTTATTGTGTGTACATGATCAGATACCTTAAATTTTTCATGAAGCGCTTCGATGTCATCTTTGACGCGCTGTATGAGCTGAGTCTGGTACTCGCGTATGGCCCCACGGATGTGTGGACGTACGAACAGTGCGTTGAAGCGAGAAAAGATGCGGAACATCTCGTTGGCGTTCTTAGCTGTTCCTAACTGGTCACGCAGGTGTGCAGTGATACGGGTCTCCACACGGTCTGAAGAAATGTTTTTGGATTAATTTTGGGACATAATAATGGGTACAGACAATACCAATGAATGCTTTTCACAGCTTACCGATTCTGTCTTCGTAACGACGGACGGCGGCTTCCCATGCATCGCAACCTTCGCGTGAAATGTCCAAGCAATCTACTTCTTTTACATTTTCATATGCAAGGTTAACCTGTTGATCAATATAGTAAGCAATATTAGAAGTCACATTACAGATTTAAAATATGAAATAAAAGTTGAAACTTTTATTTTACAGCATATATCAACATTTCGGTACATGTTATTTCAGAACAATAAAGTCATATTTAGTAAACGTGCTATACTTTTATATAACACGAATGCGACTTTTAACTAAGTTCGACTTCGTCAACGCAATTGTGGAACACAAAAAAAAACATGAAGAAATATAATTGACAAAGTCAGGAGTTTATTTAAAAAACGAACCCATTATTTACTTGTAGTGTGATGTATTTAATAGGATCAACATAATTTCATTTCATAAAGTCACGATTCAGAATATTCCTACCTCAGCAATTGCGTTGGCATCGGCAGCATCCATTGGCAACGAATGAGGTTGTGTAGGTTCACCGCCAGCACCCGCTTCGGCTGCCACGGTTGCACGGGGACGAAGCACCTTTATGAACATAAACATTATATAAGATGTTTATAGCACAGTAGTACTTTCAATTGAAAGAAAAACAATGTAATATATAGGTAAACTGAAATGATGACACAAAAAAATTAAGTATCTCAATTGACGATTAACTTAAATAATAGGTGATTTTAAGGATCAGTAGTCAAAATGTTTACTGAAATCAAATAGTGTTTTAAGTATATGCGAATGTAATTTTTAAAATTAAGGATTTTCAGTATTTAGAACAGTGATCTTCATGAATGGTTCATATAACTCTTATATATTAACGCAAATGTAAATCTGTTTCGAAAATGTAAAAGAAATAGCCTCGTTAAGTAAATAGAGCAGTATAGTGGTATAGCGCAGACCCTGAGCATGACGGTGCGCAGCTGCTCGTGGTGGCGGCGGAAGCGACGCATGTGCTCCATGCGCGCCTGCAGCCGCTTGTGCGAGGGCGACACGCGCCACACCATCTTGATGTGCTCGTCGCGCTTCTTCTTCACGATGTCCCTGTTGCGTTCGTTATTGTATTTCATAAATCTCATTATTTTTAGCGAAATAGTCGCGTTACATATTTCAGACGTCATTATTATGTTAACGGTAACGTAAGACGTTTGACGCGACCGTTTCGACTTTATTGTGAGTTCGAGTAATTTACTAATTGATTGTATAGATAATCAATTAATTCCTTGAACTTAGGTCTGAAATTTCTAGGTGTGGGTTAAAAAAAAAACGAAGTCACATATACCACACCACTACGAAGAAAGCGGTGTCGTGGGGCATCCGATAGGAACAAAGTTTTTTATGCTATTTGACAAATATTTCATTTATAAATTTTAGTAAAGATATTTTTCAAACAGATAATGTTTTGCTTATGTTTATTATATTTACAAAAATTGATTTGCTAATGAACTACAGCTAGTTGTTTGAAGAAAAGCGTTTTTTAGTGAATAAATAAAAAAACGATTCTAGAGAAACAAGACTCATTCTGGTCACATTATATTCCTCATCAAATTCTCTAAAAATGATACGCATCATGTCTCGATCTCCGATGGGTTATTCTCGAGTTATTAAATAAAAAATGTGCAATGCAAGTATACGGATTACTAGCGACTAACGCTTTTTCGTAATGTACGATTTTACTCATGAAATCCCTGTCGCCACATCGTCCCATAAACCACTTCGTTCCAAATATAAGAAGGTATAGTTCTTTCGCCAATTATTGTTACCCAATATTCTTAATATATATAAAGATTTCAACAGCAAACTGAGACTTACCGTAATAATCCTTGCAACTTTTCATACTCGTCATCCCAACAGGAGAACACTTCAAAGCATTGGGTCATAACTCGTTCAAAGTCTTCAAATGGAATGTGCATCAGACGACGAGTACCTAACACCTAATTAAAAATATAAAGGAATTGAGAATTTAAAAGTTACCGATAGATTACTATTAAAAAAAAGTCAACATGGAAACATAAAAACAAGAGGTATCACATAGATATTTATTATTTCGCTATTAGTTTTTTTGTATGTAGCAAATTACTTTTTATTTCTACTAATACGAACAGTAAACAATTACCTCTTGATACAATCTAAGGATTTATACTTTTATTTTCGACACAAATAAGACTTTGGTCTTCCATACATATTCGACGTTTGAAATACCTATTGGTAACTTGATTGCCTGTAAGAGATCGCAGACTGCCGGAGGCCACCCATTGTACCACTGTTTTTTTTTTAAATGTTTATATTGCATTGTATGTTTTCTATTCATGGTGTGCAATAAAGAGTAGACTATCTATGTATCTAACTTTTTATTGTTGCCTCGGTAGGCAGTAGTAATGTAATGTTATTGACTGTATGCTTTGCTTAGGGCTTATGCTCTTGTAAATATCTACGAAATACACAATAAACTTGACTGCACGGATGGCGTAGTCGTTTAAGTGGTCGCCACGCCACTTCCTACTACGCCGAGTTTCAAACCCCACATGGGACAATACTTTGTGTGATCCACAAATTGTTGTTCTGAGTCTGGGTGTTCTTTGTGTCCGTTTCATGTATGTTTGTGAAGTCCCCGCGACACAGGAATATATATTCCTAATGCGGGTGTTGTCTTTTTCAAAAAAAAAAAAAAAACAGGCAGAGAGAGCATATTGCCTTTACTATTCTATGTTCATTAAAGAAGTAAAGGAAGATAAAAACAATACCTTGAGGAGTTGTTGACCCAAATCCCGAGAAATAGCTTCGACAAGTCTCAATCCTCGTTGGATGGGGTATTTCGTAGAACGGATTTTCCGGAGATGTGAGAAAATTTGTTGAACTGCCAGTCTGTTTTAAAAGTAAGGTAATATCATTGTTTTGGGCTTTGTAACAAACAGATTAAACATAGCACACCTCCAGACAGTTTTTCATCAAACTTCTAATAGTACTGTCTAATGTAATGATCTTTATATTAAAATAATTAATAATGCAACAATTAAAAAGCAATTAAAAAGATAAAATAAGCTACTACACAACAATAAACAATTTTAGTTGATTAAAAGTTAAGATGGGAGTTCCAATAAAAAGAGGGGATGTATAGGCTTAGAGAAGTCACGTAAAGTAAAATCTTACCTAATCCTCTCAAGTTCTGTGGCACTCAGCAAATCGTTGATTGGAAAATCTTTCATTAGAGGATTGTAATCAGACACAGTTGCAAGAGCCTGCTTTAGCCCTGTATCGGTGTCAAAGGAGACCGTCGCATGAAACCGCTTGCCATATTTCAGTATCTCCAGAGTCAGGGCGACCTAAAAATACAAGTCAAACACATGAAGGTAAAATAAATTCTTAATAAAAGTGACATCATTTCATTAAAATGTAGGACATATGGTTTTTTTGTGGTAATCGGTAGTAAATGACTACAGTCAAAGATAACCACTAATATATGGTAGGTTACTCATCTGCCATCAATTCTGCCATCCTTATAAGCTTCAGCCATTTCATCACTCACAGGTGCTTTTTAAGGCTAGTTTTAAAAATTTGTAATGTTTTTAATTACTTATAAAAAGCATTTACTGTGGGTTTGAAAGTGCTATCACCAAAAATTATGAAGTTTCATGAAAAATTCCAACCCCCATTTTCCACCTATTGGGAAAGAATTTTTAAAAATCCTTTTTTAGTGTACACTTACGTCACCTAAGAAACATATTTGCAAAATGAAATGGAACAAAAGTTTCAGCTGTGAGTTGATTGATCAGTCAGTAAATCAGTCTGTCAGTTTTTTCTTTTATCCTCTTGTCTGTTGAAACACCGGCTCCCGGTATAAACACATTTTCGCCGGAACTGTTGACATACCGGGAGCCGGTATGGGTAAGTGTGTTCTCATAATCGCTCTAAAGCACGTCATTGTATATACCCTATCCTTTCTAACACGTTACAAATGCATAAAGAAGAAACAGGCTGACTAGTGAAGCCAAAATCTCGCGCAGCTTTAGTGAAAAAAATGTAAACAAGAGTCAGTCAAAACTCCGCCATCGCCTAGGTGACTACTTATTTTTTGTGTTGGTGAAAACTTGTGTTTTATCTTGAAGTGATTCGCTGAATATTAGAAAAAACGATGGAAGGGTAAGTAATTATTGATTATGTATACAAATTATATAATAGTTCTGTTAATTTTCACTAAAAATCGGTCTGTAACTATCAGCATGTTCAATGTCGAACATGTGACGACGATTTTATTGTCGTCATATTTCAACCAAAAATGGATGAAAAGGCAAGTTGATGTTAGATCTAAGACGTAAAATTAATTAGTTTTGATATATTTCATAGGTAGCATTATATTTCTTTCAAAAACATGAAAATATGTAATGGAAATGGGAGTACATAGTCTCATACCGGGAGCCGGTTACGTCAACAGTATACGTTTGACATTTATGGGCAGCCATGTTTTTTGTGTTTCTGGGATGCTTCCTAAGTATGGATATGCCTCAGAAATGTTTTTGTATGCATTAAAATTTTAATTTATTTTTTATTTTTGCAATTTTTTTCATTATCGGTTTTTCTTTTGGTTTTTGTATTGAGCAAAATTATATTTTTAGTTATTACGATACTGGTACTGATTTTCATATTTTCTAAGGATTCCTCCAGACGGGGCTTCATCTTCATCATCAGCCGTCAGGGCTCCTCCTTTGAGGGACGAGGAAATTGCCCGAATCTTGAATCATGGTAAGTGAATATTTTTCTTTCAGACCTATCTTTTAGTAGTATATATATATCTGTTTACATAGGTAAAACAGACTACAGTATATTATTATTATTTACACAGGCAGGGAAGAGGATGCTGACAGCGATGATGAAGATGAAGATTTAGTTCAGCCAGTGCATCTGCCGAGGAGAGCTGAAAGACTTTTTATGTCTGAGGAAGACACTGAGGTGCCACCGATAAACGCTGCTATAGGCTTTGAGTGGCCACCTCAACTTCCCTCCGGCCTGCAGCCCCAACCTAGCGCCCAGCCCGAACCCGAACCCAACGCCGAGCCTGAACCCAGTGCCGACCCCGAAGCCAGCGCCGAGCCATACAATAAGTTTGATTTTAAGTGGAGAGGGTTTTCAGAATCTCAAATTCCTCCTGAATTGAGAAAGGAACCATTCTCCGAAATTAATTGTGGTCCCACAGTTCCATTGGCGAGCCCATATGTGTGTTCACCTGCTTTGAGCCACATCACACTTAACAGTAACACATCACACAAACAGTATACCTATACGCACAGCTACTCAGGAACACACAGGAGTCTGAAACGCTTTATGTCGCCAGTTCAGTGGGAATTAGGAAGGTAAGTATATTTGTCCAAATCGTGAAACAGTAAGACAATTAAGGCTGTATATGTATATTTATGTATTTGAAAGTAATATTTTTACGTATTTATTTCTTTATTTACGTAGGTTACATTTTCATTAAAAATATCTATCTATCTATCTATATTTATTATTATTAGTAATATTTTGGGTAAAATATATAATTGTAGTTCCCTCGGTTGCGTCATTCGTTTGGATTACAGTCATCATTATTTGAGAGTGCTGCCAACCCTTTTAATCTACAAGAAATATCAGTGCTGCTAACCCTTGTATTCTACAAGCAATATCCCACGAAATCAGGGACTATATTTGATCTTATCATTAGCTATGACTGCAATATTCATTTTTTGAATTAGCAAAAATTTATAAAAGTACTTATACTAAATGTGTAAATATCAACTACTCAAATGCAGTGGTAAATTTATCAAAAAACGTTAGATTTAGCGTTGAAATCATTCTGTTGGCAGCTCTCTGGTTAGTACTTTGGTATATGGGCGTTTTTCAAAAAAACTGACCGTTACGTTACCGGAATGTGACCGGAATCCACTTTTTTGACCTATGCAATGTGTAACATATTAAAGTGCAAAGCTCATATACCCCAATTAGATAAAAATGTTTTGAATGTACGTTAGTAAAAAAACAAACACTATACTCGTGAGAACCATACCTTGAAAATATGTTATACGAAAAGTCGTATCCATACTTTTTTAACCTCTCAGGTACCAAAATGAACCATTTTTTACTACTTTTATCAACTTACATCTTGAAATATTTCTTAGAACTGTATTGTTCTGTTGATTTGTTTTGATGCTTTAATCTATCTAAATATTATAAAATGTCTAAAAATTCCGTTAGTTGCAATATTTTTTCCAAAAACTATGTTTTTAAATGTATGTAATTTTTGACCCAAATTTTTGAGTTATTTTTGTTTAACTCCTACTCAAGATATATGTAATATAGTGCTGCGATACTTTTGTAATACATAGTTTATAAGCTTAAGTTTCTAATAAACAAAGCATCTTAGTCCATATCGGCATAAGTCATTTAAAATTAGGTTGAAATATTATACCCACTTTTGAGGACTTGTTAAGTGGCAGTTCTTTGTGACTATATTAAGAACATGTGTTGTGTAAAAAATATGTATGGTGGCACTTGAAGTTTGAGTTGTATTTTATACCTAATGTGATAAGTTGTAAATAAAATATTTTATGAACTTCCAAATATTGTTGTAATTAAAATTATAACCGAAACTTATCTAAATATCATAGTACCCTATGTTGAAAGTTCTATGTTAGCTATAATTGAGTATTTATATAGAAATGGTTGAAAGTGAATAAAGATTATTCAATTTCCAATAAGATTTTTAACTTGAATTGACTTGATTCCAACTAGATACGGAGAAAATCCAGTTACAGTAAAAGTCTATCTCAAAAATGGGCTGTCTGTTGACCATACCGGCTCCCGGTATAACAGGTAATGCAAAATGGGCTAATGTCATTCAACATACAAGAGGTTATAGATTTAGATTTGTATATTTAATATATTTGCATTTTTAAATAAGCATAATAATTCGATAACTCACTCGACCTAAATACTAATCTATTACTTAGCTAACACAAAAAAAAATATAGTTTTAAAAAACTAAAAAACACGCTTTCTATAGAAAACCAAACTAAAAAATAGAAAATAAATTTGAAAAAAAGCGTTGGGTCAATGGTAAAAAGCACCCCACGCTTTTTTTCAAATTTATTTTCTATTTTTTAGTTTTTTTCTTTAATTAGTGTGTTGTCATCAGTCCTCGATATATCTACAAACTTTGAACGAATTCTGACCGTTTAAAGTCAGTCAAAATCACGCCCAAAGGAGTCGGTTACAAACATACAAGTGAACCTAATATAAAGCGTGTAATATATATAACTAACCTCAACACTCTCTCTTTTCTCCTGAATGCGATGGAGTGCTCTTTCCAAGTTAAGCCAGAAAGAAATTTCTTGAAGGGCTGTTCCGTTTGAAGGGTCGCGATCCAACTTAGTGACCTAAAACCATTATATAGATTATGAGTAATTCATCTAAAATATGTTTTGTTTCACAATGAACAATTGTCCTAACAGTTTTCTGTTTTACTCCTTCATCAATAATTCAGTATTTGAGAAATTTAGTTATGTTATAACCTCTCTGGCCAGTGTGGTATAGTAGGCCAAAACCAGTGAACTAGTAAAGGCTGTTGAAGTGATGATGTCATCAGGGCAACCTTTTTTTGGATGAAAAATTGAATGTTTTCATGTGTAAACAGTGGTCAACAAACCTTTTGAATTTCTTTGATCCAGCGATTGACCCCATTCTGCAATTGGTTTAAGAATGTTGAGTCTTCAACTTTATCACCAAAATCTGCCACTCGTGGTTTGCGACCCTCATCTGCAGCTCTATTGATGTAATAAAAAATATATGCACAAATTACTAAATAAATCTTTTGATGTTAATTCATCTTACCTCAATATATTTCAAAACTTAAAATTTTAATTGCCATCTGTTGTCTGTTGTAGTTTGACTTACAAGGGGACCTTACGGCAATCGGATTTTTGTAATTTTTCATACTCATGGTACGTAAAGTTCAGACCCCCAATATTAAGATCTAAAAGCAGCTCGACGCCATATTCAGAAATTCTCGAGAAAATGGAGTTTGAAGTTTTCGAGCGCGCTCTTATACCATAAAGATTACACCGGTTTTCGAGCCGCGGTTTTCGAAGCAAACCACGCATATCTGATCATGTTAATATATCATATATTAAACATATATAGATATAATATTTTAATTATATGTAATAATATGTGATTATAAACAACAAAAATTTATCGGAATATTTAAATGAAAGAGGTATGCGAATTAAAAAAAATAAAAAAATGAAAAAAAAAAAAAAAAGTTCCGAGTGAGACTCGATCCAGCGACCCCGCGATTACTAGTCTCGGCCGCTACCGACTACACCACGAGCCCGGCTCGAAAACCGGTGTAATCTTTATGGTATAAGAGCGCGCTCGAAAACTTCAAAACGCCATATTCAGAAATTCTCGAGAAAATGGTTCTCGAGAATTTCTGAATATGGCGTCGAGCTGCTTTGGGATCTTAATATTGGGGGTCTGAACTTTACGTACCATGAGTATGAAAAATTACAAAAATCCGATTGCCGTAAGGTCCCCTTGTTAGTGTATGTATGTAGAATTGTGTCAATTTGGAAGTGTTCATGTACGCTTCATTTTAATCAGTGCACATTGCTTAATATTCAGCTAAATTAAGAATTTCATGTCGGTAATAGATGTAATATTTGTATTTTGATAAGTAGACAGATATTTTGAAGAAACTTGTCAAATCTACCTTTTGATGACTGCAGCAACCAGTGGGTGAACTGGTAGAGTGATTTCTGGGATGTCAATATTCTGCTGAAGGTGCAGCAGTCCCATCTCTAACTCTGCAATCTTCTTCTCCACTGATGGTGCCATCTTGTCTCCATCCCTAAATTTGTTTTATGAAATTAATTTATATGAAAAATGAAAAATGCTTTGAGTAGTCAAAGCATTTTTCAAAGTTATAAGAATGAGAAGTATTCCATTTCATAAAAACCTGGTGTTTAATTTATAGTGGCATGCTCTGGATTGTGATTAAACTAAGATTTAGTTGGCATACTTAGAAATATATATATATATATATGTTTAATACACCTCTGCCTACCTCTTCAAGTGTATAGATGTGTTTCCAAAAATGTAATTTCTGACTTTCGTAATTTTAATGGGGCTGTCACACATCCAGTGTCAAAAGTATTTAACATGATTGTAAACAGTATTCAAAAGTATTGAACGCCCAATGACTCCTGCAGGGGACTCTACTCAGGGGTTGTGCGGTCCATGGCTCTTTATGGGGCCCAGTATGAGCGGGAGCCCTGAGAGCCAGCAACGTCGCACTACTGCGACACCGCAGCGAGTACTGGCCATCAGGGTTATAAGATCCCGCACAATCTCCTTTGAGGCGGCGAGTCTCTTGGCCGGAACTCCACCGTGGGACCTGGAGGCGAGAGCCCTTGCTGCTTTGTATTGGTGGCGCAAGGAGACGCGGGAGTTGGGTCTGAGTCTTGAGACTCGAGAAATCGAGGAACAGAAATCCCAGCTTTGATAGGTCCTCGTAGAGGAGAGGAAGGAACGACTTGGGCAACCGAGCGCCGGGCACACCGTTATTGCGGCGGTAAGACCCGTTATGGAGGATGGCTCGAGCAGAAGCTGGTGATCAGCAGGAAAGGTTGTTTCGGAGGAGGAAGAGATGGCGTAGCGGGACCGGGAGAGGTTTAGAACTCTCCCGGCCCGCCAGACCCGGGAACGGGCCAGGTACCGTAGACGACTCGGGAGCCGAACGTCACAAAACGACCTCCGTCCTCCATAAGCGCAGGCCTGGGGGTGACAGGTGAGGCCATCTGTCACCCTGGCAGAAGCAGGCCGGGGTGGCGGCGAGACGCATTGGGGAGCACGCGTGTACTTTTTTAAGCACCAAGGGAACATGGGGGTTCCCACACAATAGGGGGTCATCTACCCTCCATAGATGCCCCGAGGTACGTCGGGGTAATAGGGATTTCAGGGTATCCGAGGCAATAACTAAATATTTTTAACTTTGTATTATTTGAAGATTAAATTAGACACTAATAAGACAAGTGATGTTAGATAAAAGATTTTTTTAACTTCTTACCTATCTGCCCTTCCACTTTCTTTTACATAACTCTTGAAGAATGGGGCCATTGTTTTGCTGATGAAGGCATGTAAGGTCTCATATGGAGACCCATCTGATAAGTTAATAAGACGAAGCTGGCTATGGATAGACTTGTCAGCTTCAATGACTGCTCCACGCTTGATGCAGACAAATGCTGCCACCCGAGGAGATGTAAAGTGAACCTAATAATACACAATATTGAAGATGATTATAAATTGAGTTAAACCAATCCCCTTACTAATCTTTAGGTAAATATATTCAAAACCATTCCTACCTCTAATAAAATTATAAGTTATTTCAAGATGCAATACTTATAAAAAATAAATTATTTTTACAATTTCTCGGACTCTGTTTTATTTAAGGTCATACTTTTCATAAATTTCAAATAAACAAACAATATGAATTAAAAAAATTACCTCAGTGCTGATTTGATAAGTGACAGCCTCTTTCTCCTCCTCACCTTCAGTAGGTTGTTCATTGTCATCTTCTAAACATTAAGATAAATAACATTAATTAAAAAATATTTGCTAACTTTTTTCTTACATTAATAAAACTTAACAGTTTCCACTGTAGAATCACAATGATATAATATGTTAACTTAATAAGATGTGCATTGCTGCATGACACGGTACAACGGTAATGCAGGTAGAAAGTAGATTAATTAAAATATAATTAAAATGGATGGATGACTGCAATCACTGACCTTTGGAAGAAAATCTCTGAATATACAACGAAGACACTTGAGGATCGGAGATAAATTTTCTAATACAATCTTGATTTACTTTATCGTCAAGTGCAGCATTTAATGCCGGCGGAACGATGTCATCTTCAGGTAAAAGTACCGTTGCGGCCCTGCGCAGGTAATTTGCGAAGTCTTGAAAGTCAACAACGACCAAACTTTGAACCTCAACGGCATTCTCGTTCCCGTCCAAGGAATCTGCCATGATGTTTTGGGATGATCCCACTAATTTCTAATAAGAATCGATAAACTTTATTCAGGAAAAAACAGCCGCAGATGAAAATGCAGCAGCTGAAAGATGACAAAATCTATGAACTAGATGACGCATCGATTAGTGTTGCTAGATTAAAAATGAATTAATTTCGCTGCAGTCGTCGCGGTGGGTTACTTTAGCTGTAGGTTACTTTAGTTGCACAAACTCGGTGCAAAATAAAGAGTAGGTATACGTAGACAATAAAATGTGTGTAAATTACCTAATAATGTTTATTAAAGTGAAACTTTTTCCATTTAAAGCCAGAGGAAATAAATTTATGTAGTTAGATGGCATAAATAAATAAAAGTTGTTTGAGATCAGTACCGGGCTAAGTTACCACCACAAGTCAAGTGTTGTGACAGAGTTATGTAGCTGAGTGATCTTACATATATCATTGAATGTATATATCTAGTGTGAGTAAGTGATAAAATGAAATATATCACTCACTCACACTAGATCGGAATGTATCAGTAATTCAGTTCTAGCTCACTATCTCAACGGTGCCGATCTTTGTTTCATGAGATTAAATATAAATGAGTTAGATAGATCATGATTCAGTTCATGCTAATTTAGTTTGTTTTTGTAAAAATGTACTTAGGGATCTATACCACGGTATAATTATAATACAGTAGTGTAACTCGGCCGCATGATAGAAATAAATGCCTACAGCCGCGCGGTACGTAAACATGCGTTAGGGCTGCCCGTTTCCAGTATTTTAATTATATTTGCCTACTTTCTGTTTCTATTTAGATTTGTGATTGTAAATATCCTTTTTATATAAATAAATGAAATACTTTGTTTATTGAATAGGAAGTGTTCAATAAAAATGCGTTTTGTTTTTTGGTTGGTAGATTTAATTATTTCATTTTCTTTCTGCATTGGAGGAGTTTAAGTTTCAATTTTCTTTTTCTTGAAGTGTTGCTAAAGAGACTCGTTGAGGTTTGAGCAAAGATTTCATTTGTTGCATTTTCAGTCTGTGTACTATTTTCATTTCCTACCAACGGAGCAGTTTGGGTTTGTTTATCTTCTTTTAGAGAGACTCCTGGATCAGTACTAGCTAAGCTTGGCAGCATCAACAATGGTAGGGCATTCTTTTTTTAAAGTTTTCTATTTGATGAATGTAACACATCCTCCAAGCCCGCGCTCAGAGCCCGCGATAAAAGCTATGCAATAGCTTAAAAATCCTTCTATAGAATAAAAAAAAATGTGCTTTCTCCTTACGCGTTACAAAACTCCAATCCTTAGAAACTCCAACACCTACCTACTCAACTAGAATGCAAGAAACAGCTGACGAGTAAGTAACTTTTTATCTCAGGTTATTAACGTCTCTATAAATTAGGTACCTACCTACAACTCGCAACAACTCAAAACAAAAATTCTTTGGTCAAAAAATTAATTAATTATTAAAAAGCTGAACAGCTGACTGAAAAGAAAACCAGTTTTTAGTGGTATATGTTGTTATAGTAGAAACACTTTGTGAAAATTTCGAAAACTATCTAATGACACACAGACGGTAAAAAAAAAATCTAGTATTATTCATACACACAGATAATAAACAAATATTATTAATAATAAAATACCACGTCTTTACTTTGAATTATGCAAACACACATGCACCGAAGTTTAAACACAAGCGTAAGTATTTAGGTACCTACCGTATCATGATTCATTCAGAACCGCATATAACTACCTATTTCACTCGTCTCAATAGTAATCTTTCCGTTACTCTATTCGCTTTATTTATTAATCCAAACACCTTTTTTTTCGTGAGATAAAAGGAAATACTTATCCATTAAAAAGACACACATGTACGTACCTACTAGTAAGTAAAATTATTTTATAGTCTTACCTTTCAGAGTTTCCAGGTAATTTAAAAAAACTTATGTCTGGATGCGTTATTGACGAATTCATACATCCAAAAACAGCACAATATTTCCTACTTGTCATATTAACTGATTTTTAGAGAAAAAATTGGGCGGTTATTGTTAAAAAAAACAACACACCGTCCGTTCGACACTGCGGTACAGCCGTGACTGTCTGCGCCCCGAGCGCACCCCGAGATCGAGGCGCGTAGGTACAGCTCGCGTTTCGTCCGTTTGTATGAAGTTGGAGTACTGTATTATAATAGTACCGTGTCTATACGGATAGGTACCTATCCTAGGGCCCCCAGATTGGAGAAGTTAGCCTCAAACTACTTGCAGTAGCAGGAATTCTGCGATGGCTACGGAACTTCCTTCCCACCAATACTAAAATTGCTCTCGCACACTCTCTTATTCTTTCTATCCTTGGCTATGGCAATGTCAGTTATCTGGACCGCACTGAAGACCAATTGAATAAACCTTAGCGACTCCAAAACCTATGTATTAGATTCATATTTGGATTACGCAAATATGATCATGTGATTATATTTGCGTAATCAATATTAATAATTGCGAATGAGACCCCTGCAATGTGTGTTGTGTAAGAACTGAAAACGTTCTTTGAGATAAGAGGGTGTGTGGGGATGAAATAGAACACTGTATAAAAAGAGAAAGAATATGAATATTCCGGCGAAAACCCATTGGTAGTCACTTGAGTTCAGAACGATACTCTGAGATGTCTCAGAGTATCATTTCAAACCTCTCATCGGAGAAATTAAAACTAAAAATGCCACAACATTCCACCCAGGTTGCAGACAAATCTTTCACTGTGCAAGCAGTAAGACTTCAGAACAACTTGCCTTTGACAATCCGACAAGCTAAAACCTTGTCCTGAGCGATAAGACCGCCAATTGTTACGTCTATATATTTGTGAGTATCTTATGTGTTAACTGTAAACAATAAATATGTGAATAAATAAAGTTATTTCTATAGTAATAGTAAAAAGTGGTGCTTTGACAGAGCTCGTATTTACTTGTGCTTAACCAAAATAATCCGTCGTAATTCATCGAAACTAATTATTTAGTTTTCTTACAGATGGCGTTAGGATTATCAGTCCAATTGTTAAAATAACAAATGTATAAAATCATATTTTTATGATAGAAAACATATCCAGACATGAATTGAAATTACCATGCCAAAGCCTAAAAGTGTGACAGTTTCTCAGTAAAGTGTACCACCAAAATACATAGATTGTGGGATAGTATTTGTATGAGTGCACTTGAAACCTCTCTTGTTCATACAAATCTTTATTTATGGAACTGGGTTTACATTGTGCCATATTCATTCTAAAATATTAATATAAATCAGCTTCATAGTTGATATAACTCTCTCTTGAGAGGCCACTTAGTAAATAATACAACGTATTTTTTTCATTTTAACGAATCTTTAAACATATTCTGCACTTTTTTCTTGACGATTTGCTAAATGTGATCAAAAAATATTCAGTGGTTTAGAAACAGGTATTTTTTTTTGTTTTCGTAATTTCCAAAACATCATGTATAAATTCAGTCATAATACATTGAACTCAGGCAGCGATCAGATCCTTGTAGATGCGCTTACCACAAATTATCGTAATAATAATATTGTTATTGTTCGTGAGATATTTGTTAAGAAATGTTTTGTTGTGTTTATAATTGTTTAGTCTTATTGCTTTTGTCATAATACACGGCAATGGTGTGAACAATTAATGTTATCGTGTGCGCAAGACTTTGTGTAGTAACGAGTCCCGCTAGTCTTATTTTGAAAAGTGTCAATATTAAGATGTGTGTGTAGTGTAGAGTGTGAAACTGAGTGAATTATCAGTCTTCTAATTTTATTGGGTTATCGGTATCAACATCCATAATGCTGTGAGTGACCTTCACAGCCGCGGAATATCCTGACACGATGTTAATTTACGGGGAACTCTATCAAAACGCATCTTTAGCTTTACGGACAAACCGAGGTATGGAGTCAATCGTGTATGTCCTACAGACTGCCGAATTTTTGTAGGGGCGGTACAAAGATTACGAGACACCCGAAGTACCTACTTTTTCAAGGAGTGACACGTACTGCTGGGTCCGAAGCTAGTCGAGCATTCCCGAAATAAACGCGTGAATAAAATCGCATGCTTTGATGTCACCGACATTGCGTCGCTTTCGTCTACAGTTCAGCAACTCATGTTAACAATGGTGTTCTAATTCAGCAATAGTTTTATTTTATTTATTTTGTTTTAAATTTGCATTTGCTGTAATTTCGTACTTGAAAAAAAAAATAACCGATGTATATTGAACCGTGTTATCTGTTATTTTATTTTTTGTAATAAGCTTTTCTGTATAGAGTGAGAAAAATATTCTATAAGTTAGCCTTAAATTCAAAGTTCCTATCATTAACGTTCAATCAAATATACGGCAATATTTTGCACCCGAATATGTTATACAATTTTTTTTTCCTGGACGTTTATCGATCCTTTGAACTAAAGGACGAACCATTAAAAATCTGATAATCAATTTACGTATGGTAATACTTTGTACCAAATGTCATTTCTCTAACGGCAAAGTGTAATGAAAGTGACAACTGACAGATGACCTTTCCGCAGATTTTGGCGCCAAATTAGGCTAACCTCACACACAATAATATTGACAATAAAATTCACAATAAATTGGTATATATAGGCCATATAATATAGGTCAATATCGGGGGGAGGCAGGAGTATTACCAATAATATTGTCGTGTGCGGGCGAGCGTTAATATTTTCGTAGATAAAATTATTTCAAGGCGTTTACGTTCGTGTATGTTTAAAATGGATAAAGAAAACAGTATCCAGTAGCTACAATAGGTATTTTTTTATATGATTATAGGAATGGATGTACTTTAAGGGTACTTCGATGCGAGTTTGGTTACATTCTGATCATGGGATCCATGACAAAGTAATGGAACTCTTCAATTCTTAGGAGCAAATTAACGATACCCGGCTGAATCTTTTATAGGCTATCCGGATATTTGAGTCACCTTCAGTAACGTCGTAATGGTCAAGTAATTGTTGTTATCAACAGC